TGCGGGGAGGGGTTGGCCATGACGAACGTTGAAAAGGCAAACGAACAAAATGGTCGGCCGATGGTTTGCTTCTCGAATAGCGCCAGCGTGTAGCGAGCCACAAGCCGACAAGTCATCGACCCAAGCGTACTCGGCTACGAGGAACTATCGACCGGGCCCGAGATTGAGTATAGAGAGGCACAAGAGGGCAAAGAAAACCAGAGGATCGGGAACTTGCAAACTCTCTTGACTCACAATAGCAGGGACCTCGTTGCCACAGTCACCGTCTCAACTTATTTGCATCTGGAGCATCTCAGCTGCGAGCGAATCGCAGGGTCAAGGACGGAGAAAAAAGTTCAGCTTACCGCTCGATGAACCAACACTCATCACCAATCAAACGGTTGCGCCACCATCCCTTCCCCTTCCTGGGTTCTCTCCCATGGACGCCTGTTTACTTACGGCAAATCGCGTCGCGACGGATGAGCGTGGTGGGTTAGCTTGGATACCTGCTGCCCAGCTGGCCGGCCCAGAACAGCGCCACCAGTCGACTTAGTCATTCAGCTTGGCTTGATGGCTGGCGCCTTCCTTGATCTTTGCGCCGCTGGTTACTGGTACTTTAGCTTGAGCTACTCTGATACCAGTCTAGACCGCGTAGCCCAGACCATGCGGCACTTGTCGTCGGGTACAGCCCCCCCCTCTTGTGACTCTTCTCCCTATTCTTGCAGGTAGCCTTAGGCAGAGTCTCTCTGTATTAGGTCTGGTGGCTAGCTACAAACGCATACGAACGAGCCATTGAGTTCACCATTGATGCGCATGAAATCGTTAATTCGCCGTGTCTGCGAGTGAAGACTTTGTGAGGACGTTCACCCACCCTCAGCCTCCTTAGGTTAGGTGGTGACGATGCAGAGATGCTTGGCACAAGGCTATGCTGGCTCATTTGCCCCTTATCATCTATCTCTTCACCGTTAGGTTCGTTAATCATCCCCGATCAGGGTTTCTTGGCCGCCTTCACCCCGCAGATATTGTATGCTGAGTGTAGAGGGATCATGCCGGGCGGTTCCGTCAGTGCGGCACGAACGGCGCCACAACACACACCCTGCCTTCGACCAGTCGGGTAACGAGGACCAGCTAGCTGACCGACCATTAACATACTACGTGAAGCTGCGTGGCCTTTAGTCCTTTTAGTGGGGGAGCCACGCCAGCCCTACATGTGCAAGCGAAAGCAGGTTACCTAGCAGCCTGCCAGCGGGTGCTGTGCCACCTCATCGACTCTCACAGGCACAGAAGAAGAAGTAATGGGGAGGAGGCGCTGATGCATGGACTCACACACGTCTGCTGACGCTAGCACCGCGCAAGCACGGAGGAGCCACCACCTCCATTCGGTCGCGGAATTGTTGTTATGGTTGATACCCGTACCCGTCTTGGGAGAAGAAAGAGGGTTCCTCGAGTCTTGGAGGGGGGTGAGCGAGGTGTGTATCCAGACACCGACACCAGGGACCCTCAATGTCTCACCCCTCTGCACGTGGCGTTCGTTTATCTGAGCCTCCGAGGTGGCCACAAGGGACCCAAGAAGGTTCAAGCAACGCAGGAAGAGGGGAGGCAAGTAGTGGGAACACCCATCTCGCCAGACTTCCCAGAGTAGATATATGAGGCTCGCCCCATTCGCACCACTTTCCAGACTGAGAGAGGTTCGCCATCACTGATCAAACGAATTCTACGGACAACCGACTACTTCTTACACAGTCCTGCCCGTTCTGGACGACAATTCCACTTCCACTCTCAGGACGTCCGGTTTCATCGACACTTACACCATACTACCTCAACACTTATATACAACCACCACCAAGATCTCAGCAAATATGCTGTGTATCCTTCCCGACGAGCTTCTGCTCATCACAGGCGTCACTGGTCACGTTGGCTTCGCCGTTCTCACTCATGCCCTGAGGGCAGGCCACACCGTCCGCTGCGCCGTTCGTTCAGAGGCAAAGGCCGCCTTCATCCGCTCCCGGCCACAGATTCGCGCACTTAGCTTACCTCGCGCGAGACTCAACTTCACCATCGTGCCAGATATTACCACCGATGGCGCCTACGATGACGCCATCCGCGGCGTCTCCGCGGTCATTCACGTTGCTTCACCACTCGCGACCGCCGACTCAGTACCTCGCGATCTACACCAGGAGTACTTCATCCAGCCCGCCGTCCGCGGCACCCTCGGTATGCTCGAGGCTGCCAAGCGCGCTGGCACCGTTCGCAGGGTCGTCATTACCAGCTCAGTCGTCGCCCTCACTTCAGTAGACCACCTCGAGGGCCGCGAGCGCAAGGAGGCTGTCCAACCCACGGAGAGGACTGGCTTCAAGCCTGAGCCGTATGAGAGCGAGTTTGCCGCCTACGCTGCCTCCAAAGTGGCTGCCCTCAAGGGCGCCGAGGCGTGGATTGCGAGAGAGCAGCCTCGCTTTGAGGTCGTGCATTTGCACCCTTCCTTCGTCATTGGCCGCAACGACATCGCGACCACGGCAAGCGAGGCGATGAAGGGCACCAACGCCGTTATCCTCGCCACCCTCCGCGGCAAGAAGATGGGATGCAGCTACCCCGGAGCGACAGTCCACGTTGACGACGTCGCCCGCGCCCATGTCCAGGCTCTCCTGCCTTCTGTCCCGGGCAACAAGAGCTACATCCTCAGCACCAAGTCCCGCTGGAACGATGCGAAGCTCATTGCCAAGAGGAGCTTCCCCGAGGCTGTCGAGAGGAAGCTGATTGTCAGCAGCGGCTCGGTGGGCACGGTCAACATCGACTTTGACGCCTCTGCCTCGGAGAAAGTGTTTGGCTTCCAGCTTCAGAGCTTTGAGGAGCAGGTGCGCAGCGTTGTTGGGCACTTCGTCGAGCTGAGACTGAGGCGCCCTGCGCTCCCCACGGTTTCTTCGTCTTCGATGGCGGTCAACCAGCATTTGAGGCCCGAGATTGTGGCCGCATAGAGATCTTCACGGCCTGCTTGACGACTTTTACGAGCATTTTCTTTTCTTACTTTTCTACATTATCATTGAGGAATTGGTCAGGCATAGGAGAATAAGACGTTTCATCAGGGGACGAAGAGATAGCCCGTACTGTATCAGCCAGTCGAGGCGCATTTGGATTGGAGAACATTTCAAACATCATGAAGACAGGGGAAAAGGCAGCATTCGATTCAAAACGGGATACCCAGCGGAACTAGCATCCGCACCTTTAACATTAGTGTATATACTTTGGATCACAGAAGTCCATAACAAGAAATTTTTAGAAGTCATCCATCATCTCATCCGTCTTACATGTTCGTGCTCCCTCGCGCTGCTGTTCCTCGACGCTTGTGTCTAATTCACGCCCACGTTCACGCTTACTCCCCCCACTCCCACTCTCACATCGCACGCCCGCCCCCATGGGAATGGAAGGGTAGGGAAGGGGATTGGGGGGCTGAACCACGGCCCAAATGGTCTGAGGGATTTCCCTCACCATGGGCCATTGGAGTATGGGCCATAAAGGCATAGACCATGGACCCCAGCTGACCAGCGAAGAGGGAAAAATGGTGGCGGGTCCAGCCTCAAGGGCACCGGGCGCGCCGTTCAGCCTCAATCTCCGACGGTATGATAGGCTCATTTCTTTTGGGGCGTTCTCTCTCTATGCTCTATGCAAGCCTGGGATTGGTTTTTTCTCGGGGAGGGTAGCGTTGTCTCACCTTTTGGTCCAGCAAGTCAAGCTACCCCAGACTACTGGACTGCATTTGTACGTGCACTTTTGAGGAAGAGACCAGATTATGGGTTCTGGAGAGACACAGAGACACAGAGACAGGGAGAAGAAATACTCGCTAATTTTATCCCACGTTATTTTTTGTCTTTGCGTTGCTGGGAGCCTGTGTTCCTGGAAGTCTGGGAGTGAGACTCAGACACCTTCCTCGTGTCTTGTCGAATGAGAGGTTGTGGTTTTTTGGTTCGCTATTGCGTACAGTCAAGCACTGGTGCTAAGGTGAAGTCTAAGTGAAGGGAATTATCCCACTCGGTCGGGCCATAGTATGTGATTCCACCCGATTTCTTTAACTTTGCGCAAGTGTAGGTTCACCGTCCCCAGAGGTTGGACTAGGCACCATCCACTCGCCTACTAATTAGCACCCGGGGAAGGCGCGACACCCCCTCTTACTGAGCAGGCAGAGAAGTATCCCACTCAAACCGCAGTCTTTTAACCAGTGCCGACGCCAAGAACCATCCCGATCTATGTGAACCTCGAGATCCTGCGACACGGTACCTGTATCGAAGACCAGCTGATCAGGATGTCTCCCCTAGAGTGTCCCTGTGGAGTTCGCTTCGCCACGCTTGATGCTTCCCTTCTCATGCCCTCCCGTCTGAGGAAACAGCGGATGGAACAGCAACGGTTATGCCGAACTATGTGGGGTCGGGAAGAGGTTTGGATGGGATGGGATGAGAGTAGAAGGATGAGAGCTCGAGGAGTCGAGGGGTGTGAAACACACACGTGTTCGCGGCTCGTCCTTCGTCCTTTCGCGGCTGACTCTAGAGAGCGCGTCGGTTCGGCGCCGCGGCTACTCTGTTTCCCGGATCGGAGAACAGATGCCGCCGGTGTTTGATTCTAACTTGCCCTTTCCAAATCACTAATAAATATCCCCGAATGCCAAGACCGCGGCTCCTCGTGAGCTTACATGAGAACCTTCAGCTCGTGAAGAGCAGTCTGAGTCTGAGACTCTGCGTTATCCAGGCGAGCGTTCCAGACCTCGGGTAGATTCTTTTCACCACCGGTAGTCTGGGCCCTTCGAACCCAGGAGAATGGTTAACAAACGCAGTGACTCCCGTCCTGCAGCCTTAACGGGCCCTTCAAGCGACTCTCACCTGAAATGCACTGTCGCTCACGCACTCTAGAAAAGAAAGGAAAGATAAGAGAAGTGTGGGAGAACGTGCTTCCTCAGAGGGAGCCTATTGGATTGGAGCTAGAGTTAGACGCAGTGTGTCTTGGATTTAAGCGAGATGGTCGAAGTTCTAGCTATGGGAAAGACAAGCAATAACGCTAACATTTGCCGAAGACGCTTCGTTGGTGTTTTTTTTTTCTCTGTTTGGACGCCTCGAGCGTGGGCAGATGAAACTTGTTATGGCTTGTGGCTGATGAGTGGCTTGTTCACGGTTGAACTTTCGACTCCCCCATCTTCAACGGCGTTAGGGTGTGAGAGTATTATCCGATTCTGTGAAAGATCGTGAGGTTTTTGAGTGCGGTGATCATCGTCTTCATCATGGAGACGGACTGGGGGCACTTTTGCTTGGAGAAGTAGGCGAGGAAATAGGCACCCTCGTCAAGGTTCGATAGCACAATCCTTTGGCCCACAGAATCCTCCATACATGAGTCGAACATCATGAATCCCTCACTTGTCGAAGAAGCGGCAAATTTCTCAGCGTCATAATCCATGATCTTCCCCAGTATTACTGAACGAATGTGAACCGTCGTCCTAAGTAAAACGAAGGAAGAAAGTATCGCGGAGCCACTTCCAAAAGTCGTCTCGCTCGTCAGCGCCAAAACTTCTCGAGGACGAATTTAGGACCTTGGTAAGCAAGCCACCGCCACGAAAACTGACTCGAGTTCTTCTCGCGATGGCGCACTTCATCCCGTCGGCGTCTACCGGTTCTCGAGAAGGTAAGGCTTCGGAAAGTGGGCAGTCTGAAGAGGAAGTGTTATTCACCGAGGACGAAGCAGACGAACCTGAAATCAAGGACGAGCTCGAAATTTTTGTCGACACGCCTAACCGGGAGAGGTGGTCGGATGTGGTTTTGGAGGCGCGAAAGCACATGCGATGCCACCTTAAACATCCAGGACGGGTTCGCGACGGCGGGAGAGTGTGCATCTTGGTGGACTCTTCTTCATCGGACGAAGAACGCGAGAATAAGCTTCCAGTCCGTCCAGAACCAAAACCAGCAGAACCCACATTCACCATCTTCACCCAACTGCCGAAAGAGCTTCGGGATACCATACTCCTCACGGCCGTCGACCCCATCACCATCAAAGGCTGGATCAAAATCGACCTCGAGTGGCGGCGCGGGCCCCAAGCACACTTCCCCCTCCGTCGAATCAGGTCCTGGGCCGCCATACCCCTCTACGCCGTCAGCCGGGAAACCAGAATGCTGGCGGCCACGGTCTTCGGCGCCCCGGACCCGCGGACCTTTCCGTTCAGCCCCGCTCGGGACGCTGTGGAGCTTGTGTGGGATGGGTCCATGCTCCCCACCTCGTGGAGGCGGGCGGAAGACTACAGGCTGGCCGGGCCCGTTATCACGGGTCCGTGTGGTGGAGATGGAGATGTAGGCCGGGAGGAGAAGAAGCTTGTCAATGTTGACATGGAATGGGCCATGCCTAGGGAGACGCGTGAACGGGTGCAGACTGTGATTGTCGACGGGCGTTATGCGAGGTTTGATTTTGGGCTGAGGGATGGGGTCAAGGGGCCATGGGGCCTCGTGTTTGGGTTGGTGAAGGGGTTCTTTGGCGAGGTGAGGGTGTTGGGGGTGAGGTTGTGGGACTTGGATGGTGAGGGCTTTGAGGGGGGCTTTGACGCGGTGAAGGGTGAGGCGCTTTACAGGGTCGACCAGATGGACTTTTTTGATGGTTTAGAGGAGGTCTGGTCTGAGGCTGATGCAGGGACTGGGGCTGAGGATGAAGGGGGTGAAGGAGGAGCTGCGTTCCCAAGGTTGAGATTTCTGAGAGTGTTGCCAGAGATCCCTAGGCGGGGAAGGAGGCAGATGTTTAGGTTTAGAAAGGTAAGGGGAAGTCATTTCCTGGTTCTAGGTCGAGGAGACACCCCGACAGCTGGGCCTTGACTTGATCATGATGTCTCGCGGCCATATGTCGATCGAGAGAAGCGATGTATGGCCTGCTTAGAGCTGTGGACTCCTATGAGTCTCTGAAGCCCTGCTTTAACAATTACAACACATCATCAAGTATGATGATCCCTCGGTTGGTAGCTTTCTGGTGTGCAACGTGTGACCCGGTGATGCTATGGAAACAACAGGGGTTGAATCTTACCTGAAATTTGAGAAAAATACATCTCCTCATGAGACGCCTCGGAAATGACCAGACATAGGCTTGGAGCAAAGAAAACTGGCCGTTATTAGTGTTTCGCCCCCTGGTTATAAGTTCATTGACACCGATTTCCTAGGTAACATTTTCTCCCAACGCCATGCTGATGCTGTTCCAAAACATGCACCGGTAGAATCGTGGCATCTTGCTCTTTCCAACCCAGAATGACTATCCCACCTCGCTCGTCATTTTTCGAGCCTCGATAGCCACTCCTCAGGAGACCTATCCATCGTCCGTCGAAAATCATCGCTTAGTCTCAAGCTTGATGTCGGAACATCCACGTCGAATAAGCTCATTCTAGGCCGAGGAGATCCATTTTCAGATGTGCTTGTCTGAACAGTTGACTCTGTTTGCTTGCTGATCTGGTGAGAAGGCGGGTTGACTTCGAGAATACCGTGGGGCGAGGTTATGTCTGAGTCGGCCGGCGCACCTTCAGGGTCGAGGTTGTGTGCCTGGCGGACCATCCGGCTCGTCTCGTTCCTACGCGCTTGCTGTCTCTCCCTTCGGTCTCTCCGTTGACGGTAAACCGACGAACGTCCCATCTTGATGAGTGCCATCTGATAAAGAGGTCTCAGCGTTGCTATCGACGCTGCCACGATGCCAATACCCGGCTTGACTGTGCTCCATATTGCAAAGTTGGACGTTTCGTCTGCAGGATGAACAATCACGTTAGCGTCATTCAATGCTGGGCGGTGTGGGAGCTAAAGAATGAGCTTACAAAGAAAGTCCTGGCCGTCGAGTAAGGTCGGGATGTAGAACGCTCTAACAATGGTGGCAGTGCTTCCTCTGCATCAAAAGATGTCAGCTTTGCCTAGCCCTCACCCCGGAATACTGCAGCCTTCAACCTCTCACACTTACATAGCGGCTAGTCCTAGAATACAAACCACCACGATCTTCGTCCCGATGGGAAGATTCATGGATCTGACGATGAACCATGGAAGAGCACCGAAAATGAAGTCTGCACTCGTGTTGATGACCGTCGCCGCAATCGTCATGATGTAAATAACCCGCGAAGGCCAGCATTTCTCCGGCGTTCTTGGCCCTTCCTCCCAGTACGTGGGCACTGGTCTACACTGGAACACCACCATGAAGAGGTATGTTGTGCCGAAGACAACTGTCCCGACCATAAGAGCTCGAATTATCCATATGTGCGGCCGGTCGAGTGCGACTCGGAGGAGGAAGTAGCCGACGGAGATCTTGAGGATGCATGTTGAGACGACGTTGAGTAACTCGAGGATCCACCATAGCTTGGAAGCCACGTTATTACGGGGAAAAAGTTCGATGGAAGGTTATGCTGACTGACCAGCAACATGGTTCTTCTCTCACTGGCGGTGATCTCGGTGTCGACCCGCCCGATCCCATGTTTTCCTCCGTAAACCTGCAGCACTAGATATGCGGTGAAGATAACCTTCATCTCGTTAATAATTGCAAGGCTTTCGATATCAAGGACTGTTTGACTAACTAGGAGAAAGACCATAATCTTGTCGTCAATACCGAATGACCGCACCAAGACCGTTCGGCAATACACGCGTAGACTGACGGCTAGCCAGGTTAGGAGGAGGAACGCCGAGGCAGTGGCGACGATTTGGACACTCTTGTCCGCCATCGCGACGGTAATGACGCCTTGGATTCCATTGAGAGTCGCCTTGACTTGCGGCAGCGAAGATGAAGCTGAGTATGGAAGAAATTTAAACCACCAACGGAGACGGGCCTAGCCACCGAACGCCGTTTTATCAACACCAGCATAATTCAAATCGCAAAATCGCCTTGTCTTCGAAGATCATTTTCGGTCTGATCGTCACGAGATGAGATAGATGTCACAGATGTTAAGCAGACTTCTGAGATCGATGTCCGTATAGCGATTCAGCGAATAGGATTGTGAGCTTTGACTTGGTCACCCCTTGAGGGTCACGACGAAACTTTTGCAGGGGAGCCTGTCTGATCTTACTTGGGCAGAGGTAAACATTCTTGTAGGCAAACCTCTGGGTAGTCGCACGTTTTGATAACTATTAGTTCGTTGATGACTTAACTCTAAAGTGCGATCATGCGGGAAAGATGGCAAAATCATCTGCGTTGTAGGAAGTCTAGATTTGGCATCAAAGAGGCAATGCCGACGAATATGCGTATGGTCGATCAGTTCCAAGAGACATTCAGTTGCGTTGTGAAGCTAATCTCGCTACGACAGCTGACCGGTGCACGCAGTTATCTGCCAAGTGACGTCGATACTCGGCCCTCGTCCAATATCCTCTCGATTGCAGACCCCAAGCTATGTCTTGTGAATTATGGCCCCAGTCAAGTTGCTGATCACTCATCAAGATAGAACAAGTTCAGTCTGTGTCCCGGTCTCTGAGTTTACTACTTTATCAACATTACAGAATCTCATCTTGAAGCTGCCGACAGTGCATCCAAGACAGCTATTGCTGCTTCATCCCAGTTCACAACTCTATATCGGCAGATTTTCTGCTTTTGAGTTCAAACATGATGTGACATGAACCTTGGGCCTCAACATTCTGGCGAACCACTTTCCATCATCGCACGTGGAACTTAGTTGTACCCAATCATTTAGTTGACGGAACTCTACAGCCTCACTTCTCGGAAAGTGTTCCAAGCCAAGTATCTCGCATCACTGAGAGTGGCTAGATCCGAGTCTCAGGAAGACGTCGGAAACCCCACTTTCGTGATGGACAAGGGACCTTATAGTAGAGGAAAGTGCCAATAAGTAAAGTTGACTTACATGACCAGGGCGCAGTAGCAAGTCCGGAGCCATTATTGTCAAATCTTTGTTGTCTTTTATCACAGTAGACGCGGAAGCGAAACATGTTTTCCAGGAGTCTCCTAGAGTTCAAGGTAACTTCATGACAGCATCTGATCAAAGGCAGAATGTTGAAGTCTTAGTCAATTGCGTACAAGGAGATTCGTGTAAGATGTATCATTCCCTACACTTTGCCCTTTTATCTCGCTATAGATTACTTTACATCTAGGGTCTAGGGGTAATCCATTTACATATTGGATGGAGTAATGAACGTATTCGCTTTCGCTTCTGAAAACGGACAAGTCACCACACCCCTGGCCTTGATCACTTCAATATCCGACATCATCTCATTCTTCCCCTTTTCCCTTTGGGGTTCAGGTCCAATCGTCATCAAGTCATATCCTTGTGGGAAGTACCGGTTTCCCCGCTCGCCCGGCACCTTTCCACCGACCGCTTTGACCAGCCATGCACCAGGACCCCAGGTCGACCACGTCGTAGGCCGCATGTACCAAGGCTGCAAGCCTTTCCGTCCAAAGTTGTAGAGCTTTGTCTCGGGGTTTGGGGCTTCGTCGACGATCTTGACTGCGGATGAGTCGGGGCGTGGAAGAGCAAGATGTCGAAGACCGAGCTTTCTCAGGTTGCGCACAAGGGATAGAAAGGTAGACAGGAGGAGCCCAGGAGATTCGAGACTGGAGGGCGCACTCTGGTTAGTAAAGTTGCTATGGTAAGAAGTCGTTCGGGTAAACTTACTTGAGACTTAGTCGGACTACGTCGTCCAGATCCGCCCCGAGTGACTTCCTCAAACCTGCCCGTAGGAAGCCCGGTAACGAAGACAAGGCCGAGTCGACATAGACTCTGACGTATTGGTCATTTGTCGCCACCGGCTTACAAACTTCTTCTTCGTATCGAACTGTCCAGTCTTTGAGCTCCGTTGCAAAGTGCAACCCGTCCTTCCAGCCGTCTCTAAATGAGGGAAGAAGGTCGCAGGGAATGCCCATGTCTTCTCCTAGGTTCTTGTGAAAGATACCTAAAGCACATATTTCGACTTTCGTCAGTTTGCGCCATTCGTCCCTATCCACCACGTTGAGTATCTCGACAAGACCGTCGCCAAGGGTGTGAAGTAGGTCGGGGTCAGTGATCTTGTTTGCGCGGCGGTATCGAGCATGTCTGCAGAAACACCACGCGTTAGGAACAAACAGACACACTCTGATAAATAGGTCTGGGACTCATAGACGTACAGAAAGTTCATCCTTGCCACAGACATCGCGTATCGATCTGAGTCTCTTGCTTTGGACTGAACTTCTCTAAGAAGAATTTCCGTGTCGATTGATCGTTTTCCCGCGTTCCGCTTGTTGTTCTGGCCTGTTACTGCAAAGAGTCTGGACATTGACGGAATACTTCCAGCCTACTTAGACATCTGGCGTCAGTTCGGTCTAGAGTCGCTTTGACTTGGACTAGTGTGCGGAGAGAAGCATCAAACCACCTTGAGAAGAGCTAGCTTTCGAGCCTTGGAGAAGGCGTATGGGAACTCGAGTTCTTGTAGCTGGGTAATGATGTCGTGGGACTCTTTGATGGTCATGCTCGACAACTCGCGCCCACCCATAGTGAACGGAGCTTCGATGTGCATTTTCCGACGATAACGTAAATGTTTAACAGATAGTAAATAGCTGACAATAACAACAATGACTGCTGTCGCAGCAATCCATGGTGGGATTTTGCTGATCTGAGAACTGGGAATCATGAAAAACATGGCACGCGTTAGAGCTCGCTAGAAGGTACAATTTGACGCATGAGCACATCTCTGCGACCATGGAAAGCCTTGATGTCGACAAGGGAGCATGGCAATTATACGATATCAGAATGGATCGTAGGAAGCTGTAAATGTGCCGAAAGGAGTAGTCCAGCCGAGGTCCGGGAGCTGCCCGTATCATTGTGGATAAGCACCTGGTAGATTTCGGCTCTTTGTGGGTCATCAGATTCAACAGAAAACGCCTGTGTTGAGCAGAGAATTGTATCTGGAGTCTATGACCAGCGAAATGGTCGAAAAGTTTGCGCGTGTTATTATTTCGGACCGCCATGGCCAGCACTTTTGTTGACTGAGCACTAATGAAGACGGACTTGTGATAATGTGCGAAACGCATGACGATTCGGACTAACTCTTACTAGTCGCTCACTCGGTTCTGCTGAATTGTCTTCATAATTACTAAGGTATGTTGAGTAGATATAGTCTCCTAACTTCTAAGCCTGCTGACAGCGAGTGAACATGTACAATCTTCTCAAGTTGCTCCTCAAGATAATCCCTGGGTCTTGCCTGCCTCTACACCGCTCATGATTGCGGCTTGATCAGCCCGATGCTGCTCAACAGTGGCCTGTCACTGACGGCAACCAGATACGCCGTCGTAGAACCCTCATTGATGTGCTGAATCTTGGACCATGCAGGCACGGCAAACGTGTCTCGAGAAGTCCACTTGAATACCACACGGGGTCCCGTAGGTGGTTCAACGATGGTCCGGCCTTGGCCTTCATAGCAGTGGTACATGAACGAAGCTTGCTCGCGAGCCTCTTTTGTTGTGTGGTTGCCGTCGATACGCTCTGCCTGCGCGCCAAGGATGGGTGATAGAGGCTTGCCGTGACTTGTGTAGTGGTGGATGGCATAGGGGCCTTCTTGGGCCTTGAGCTCGGCTTCGACTTGGTCCCACGGGTGTCTCCACTCACACGTTTCTGTGAAGCTGCTGGCTGTCAATGACTTACTCATTATCGATGAACTAGGTACTTTAGGATGGACTTACACGCTGGGGTAGCGGCTCTCGTGATATTGCTCCGCAAAGTGTACTGGAGTGAATCTGAAGAGCGGTAGGTTGAGTGCATCGAGCCAGATAACCGGGGCATCGCTCTCGTTTCCATGGTCGTGCCAGTGCCATGTCGGTGTCACGACAACATCACCGCGCCTCAGGGGCATCTTCTTTCCCTCAACAGCTGTGAAACCCTCGCCATCAATGATGAATCTGAGTGCGAACGCGATATGCCTGTGCGCAGGGGCAGTCTCGCCAGGGTTGACGATCTGAAGTCCACCGTAGATGGTGTCTGTTGTGTAAGGGGATTCTGCGATACCAAGTGAGTACGGTGAAGGTTGTCAAAATGACATCAGTGACGCTTACCCATATTGGGGTTGACCAGCATCAGCACTCTCCTCTCGGCCTGCTTCTCGCCGACCATCTCTGCGGCCTTGTGAAGAAGAGGGAGGCTGTCGGCGTACTTCCACATGTGAGGCTTGGCGACGGGTGCCGGAGTAGGTGGGACCATCACGTTCATCTTGGACCACAAAGGCTCCATGTGTTGTGATGGTAGCTCTTCCAGGTAGTCGTTCATGGCCTTGGCCCTGTTGTCGTCCTCATGAGGGGAGTCCATTGCGAATATCTCCTTAGGGGTCTGCGGCGGGAGCTGGTCTCAGTGCCTTGTGGCTGTGCTTGGTATTGATATCCGTGTAGACAGCAGTCGGGATATATCCGCGGATTCTATGATGAAAGACGTGATTTTCGAGATGAAGTTGGATGTTGAAGGGACATTCGAAGGAAGTTATCAAGGCCCGTTTCCCCGTTATCCCCGGACTATCGACCCCCCTTGCCCGCAGCTATGCAGCGGAAGCGCCACGCGGGACGGGATTCGATTTGGCAATTGAGGCAATCCCGAGTTCCGATGTATCACACAGCTCCCCGCGCTCCAACCGCGGAACCATCTCTGATTGGCCAATTCGGGGCTTCTCCAATTGAGGGGCTCGATGATGCACAACTCGGAGCACACTCTTAAGGAGCCGAGATAATCTGGGAACAGCTTCATGCGGCTTATTATTACCAAGGAGGAAACACAGCATTTTGGAGAGATTTCTATTTCGAGACACACTTTCAAACACCATGTCGTGGAACCGTCTCATTCGCTTTGTCGATGACAACGACGTCGAGCATTTTGGCGAACCTGAGGTGCAAGACGAAACAGAGATCACATCGCTTCTTGACAAGAGCGGCTTGTGGGCTACTGTTTACGATGGTGCCAGCCCCGTCTCAACCCTGGCCAAGGGCGAGCGGGTGCACGTCAAGGCCCTGAGACCGCTTCTGAGACCAAAGGACGTCCCGATCATTCGGTGTATTGGCCTGAACTATGTTAAGCACAGTATTACAACCCTCCCCGGCTTGGCACTATTGAAGATAGCTGACTTGAGTTGCGTACAGTCAAGGAGGGCGGCAGGACACCGCCCCCATTTCCTTCACTTTTCATCAAGCCGGCGACATCAGTCGCTGCATGGAATGAAGACGTGCCGATCCCCAAGGTTGCACAGGATGGTACCGTCGATTACGAGGGTGAACTAGTAAGTGACAGATCTTCGAGGAGGACTTCTGATAGGAGTCGCTAACAAAACCAGGCCTTCGTGATTGGCAAATCGGGCAAGAACATCCCCAAGGAAAAGGCGCTGGAGTACGTCGCCGGCTACCTCACCGCAAACGATGTCTCGGCGAGAGCTTGGCAAAGAGACCCCGCCAAGGCTGGCGGTGTACCTCAGTGGTGCTTCAGCAAAGGCTTCGACAAGTTTGCCCCCTTCAGCCCGGTGCTGGTCTCTCCGGCGGTGGTGGGAAACGCCAGCGACCTCTTGCTGCAGACTTTTGTCAACGGCGAGGAGAGACAGCATGAGAGCACCGGCGATTTGCTGTTTGGTGTGGAAGAGATTGTGAGCTTTCTCAGTCAGGGAACAACGTTGGAGGCTGGAACAGTAGTGTTGACTGGTACGCCGTCTGGTGTTGCTATGGGCATGAAGCCGCCCAAGTATTTGGTTGACGGGGATGTGGTGGAGGTGAGGATAAGTAAGCTGGGAGGTGTGAAGAACAAGATGGTGTTTGAGTAGGAAATAGTCACGAATGAAATGATTTGTCATATTTGAACCAGAGCATGAGAGGCGCAATGGCCGGGTATTTTGTAGTTGAATGTAGGTGGTGGTGACATTGACGGAGGAGAGCTTTCATAAACTTCCGGGCATGCTGTTAAGCCAAGAAAAATCGTTGATGTCAAACGTGATTGCGTCCATATCAAATGCTGCATCCTGAGTCAAGTAGGGAAAGGGCATATCAAAGGTTTCCTGCTGCTCATTGGTGATGCTTGGCACTGCAGCGTTGGTTTCCGAGTTCGGGAGAGCAGCCGGCTGTGGTTGCTGATCCTGGAACATCTTCGTCGAGAGGATCTGGAGTGCCGCGGCACACCTCCGCGGAGAAGGCCCTAGGTTCTCGTGGTCGTGGAGCAGACCCATTGCCTGGTTCCACGATCGGGAGATGTCGAGCGAAGAAAAGACCGCGGGTCGGAGTCTTGCTGCGATGAGGACCGTGGCAGCTGTGTAGATATAGAACACGCGATACCACCAGGCTGGAAGAAGACCGAGGGTGCCGTCATGTTGCTGAAACTGTACGATGAATGAGATGAGACTTTGCGCGGCTTCAACGCAGACCATTGCGCATTGCTGAACGACCCGAGATGAGAGATCGTCGTGAGCCTGGGAGGTTTCTGGGCACTGAGAAAGGCAGAACCGAGTGAGCATGGGTCTGAGGAGGAGCATGCGTGCATGAAGTAGCCTAGGGATATGTCAGTCATGGCTCAATGATTGACCAGGTTGGCTTAGAGCCGACCTTTAGTACGCAAGTACCGATACTGACCTGATACGCAGGATTACCGCCTGTCTGCGAAAGACCTCATCCAGAGTAGTCTCAGGCTCAGCCATAGTCAGGAAGCTAGGTAGGCTCTTCTCCCATTTCGTCAACTGCTGATCAAGCTGTAGAGCTTTCCCAAGATCTAGCTCTGGTCTTCCGAGAGTACGCTGAGTCGTGCTTCCTGTGCCGTTCGGGTAAGTAGGCGACTTTAGGGGTGATGCTGATGAGTAGAAGGCGAGAACTGCGTGGTTGATAACCTCATAGAGCTCGAGCGACTTGTGGAAAAATGCTTGGTACCGAAGCTTGTGAAGTTGAATGGCGCCTAGCTGTACTCCATCGACGCTGGTGACATTGGTATCCGGGATCGAAGGCAATATCACACTTGACGCCAGCTGGTCTGAGATCATCGCTGGACGTCCATGGGTGATGGCGATCATTCTAGTCATCAAGTTAGAGGAGGAAGGCGCACGTGATACGGTCTTCAAGAGGCACTTACCTGTCCATCAGGATACATCCATGCCATATCCTCTTGACGAGATCCCTTTCGGGCTCATTTGAGAGTTCCGATGCCGTCTCTGGCAAGTGTAGCCCAAGGCCCTGCGCGATTCTCACGGCGGACCCGACAATCATCCATGTCTGGTGAGGATTATTTGTACTTTGCAGGTACTGGCTCATAATCAGCAGACACTGAATCAGCTCGATGGAGCCAGTATCCCAAAGGCTCAGCTGGAGCAAGTCCTGCGCACGAGTGAAGTAACCCTGGCTGGATGAATCCCTCTGATCCGGAGGCAGTGACTCGATCAACTGCGTAGAGAGTGCGAATACGATGTTGAGGATGCTCACAAAGATGCGTTCATCAGCATCGAGCGAGGTACCGGCAAAGAGCGCTCGATATGAGTGCTCGAATCTCTGTCGGTCTAGGAAAGGATACAACGGATCAACGTAGTACCAGTAGAGGTCCGTCAAGTGATCAGCTTGCTTCCGGGCTGGCAGGACATAGTCAGCTTGCCCTCCTACACCAGAGCCATTGAGAGGAAGTGTCGAGCGGAAGAGCGAGCTTCTCACACTCCTATTCTCCGTCGAAGAGCCCAGCCTCGCATCAATAGCAGCTTTGATCTGGTTCGTGAAAGACCCAGCGCTACTACTGCCAAAGTACTCGCCCGTCGCCATACCATCCTCGCGAACCGTGGTCATGGAGTCAACAACCGACGGGCTGGCATCGGATGGTGTGATTGGGTGCCGCTCAACACGACCTCGTCTTGTAAGGTCTGGCCCCGAGGACGTGGTCGATTTGGGCGTCACACTCGGAGCCGGGCGAGAGATAGGAGGCATCAGAGGCTGCGCGAAATTGGTCTCGGGCGTGTGGACGATCTTGGGCATTGCCCTTTCGGGATTGCCTGGACTTGCATCTGCAGGTTTATTACCACCCGAGAACGACTTCTCGGCCTCGGAGGTGTAGGTGCAGCCGTTTCTCAGATCAGTCCTCTTCCAGCAGTTGCCGCACGCTATGTTTCGCTGTCAGCCGTGGCACGGTCAGAAACGCATACATTGCGCAGGTAGTTCGTCAACCAGATGTTCTGGAAGTTTCCTAGCACGATCCTAATTGACTCCTGTCTGACCTCGCGAGCCAAGACTCTCAAAGCTGCAGGTCCTTCGCCGTGGAGCCTTCACCGATAACTCACCTGGGCGTGCTCCATCACACTTGACTTTCCTCCTCCGACATGCTTCACATGCCACATCAATCTTGATCCGCTTTGGCTTCGGCTCCATTGTTTTCTCCCTTCCCTCCCGCCGGGCGCAAGGCGCGGGGGTAAGATGGCTCTTCCGCCAGAGACTGGAGTCTCTCCCCAGACGAGACAAAGCTCGGAATGACGGACGACTTATCTCGGAAGCCGCAATGGCCTGGGAAATCTAGATTTAGATCATGGATCTCGGATTGACTTCGGTCGAGTTAGATAGACAAAGATTGCGGAGAGTGAGCAGAGTTCGGGATGAAATGTTTGGATGGAGAAAGGTTGAAAGTCTGGGGAAGCCACCGAGTTCCGAAGCCTACTGAAGAACTCCTCGCGACCACAACAGAGAGCAATGAAGCGTGGGCCGGAAGGTGGCACCGACGGGAAGCGGAAAGCGGATCGAATTATGATTTGTTCAAACGGACAAGTTCCGAGTCATGGCCCCCCATCTTACCCCAGCCTCTTTGTCCAGCAACTCGACAACTCTCATTCTCTGCTTATTTTCTCATCTGCTCCCATTGCACAGCTCCGTCAACCGCATGCTGCCAAGGCGGCCGAAACTTGACAAAAATCTCCGATTCAGGTCGCAGCTCGGTGCTGCATCCGACATCCGTCAGCCGTCAGCCTCACTTGGCTACGTGTTACCACGGAGGGGAGACACTGCTTACCCGCTCTCCAACAAACTCGTCCGGATGAGAACGTATCGCCCCTTAGCGGATGCGGGGGTTGTCCACAGCGGGGTCCCACAAGTGCGACAGAATGACTTTTCTTTTGGAGAGCCACTTGAGGTGTCGGCTAACGTGAAGTTGGCGATGAGCTCGCTCCCTGAGACTACATGGACAGATTGAGTCTCAAACTTTGCAATCTGCCGCGAGAGCCAAGTCAATAATGACTCTGAATTCTTGCGTATCCTAGAAAGAGAGAGTCTTACTGTCTGGTGCGACCCACCTGCGCCTTGGCTGCAATGATTACAAAAACAGGAGAAGACAGTCAGAGGACCCGACGAAGTCTGCATCTGAATGCCGCCGCATAGGCAAGAGCCGCGAAGAGAGGTAGACATGCTTCTGGCGGTACTGAAAAGAAGTCTTGTAAAAGTTCACAAAGTAAAGCAGTCTGCCAAATTAAGTACGTTGGCTGAGGGCTGTCTCCGGTGGCCGCCACTTGCACACTCCAGACCGGACGCGGAGCCTCACAAGACTTCAATTGCCTATCACCACGTGGAACGAAAACCCTGCTGGAACGCGTAATTGGCTCTTTCGGGTGAGTTGGGATGCATTCCGAGACAACGGGACGCTAAGCAGAAGCGACAGTAGGCGAACTTGGCAGCTGACATTCGAATTGAAGTCTGCCACTCAGCTCCCATCAGATGTAGTAGCCGTGAGGGCAAAATGCGTAATCAACGGTACTGGATCACAGATGCTTAGCTGGATGGAATTGAGAGTCACTGATATTATGGAAAGACTCGAGGTGTGGACAAGAAACTTGACTATCGATTGCAATACTAACACGCTCGCAACTACGTAAAATAGGCTTTCATCGACTTGGGGTGGGGGGTTGGTTGGTCTGTCATCTTAGACCTTCCTGTCCGCAATGTTTTCAACTTCAACAAACTCGTCGTCAACCTTCTCACTTCTGACGCCACTGCTGCCAAAGCTATGGTTCTTGCCGTCAAAGACCTCAGCAATCTGCTCGAGCGAGCGTCCCTTAGTCTCGGGGAAGAGCAGCCAGACCAACAGCAGGAGGATGGCCAAGATGACGCAGAAGACGATGTAGTACTTCCAACCCAAGTTAGCCATTCCAATGGGGTTACAGAATTGTCCGATAATGAGACCGACAAATGTCGATCCTAAGGACATTGTCAAACCCCTTCCACGCAGAGTGTACTGGAAGATCTCGACAGGGTACGAGAGCAAGAGGGGAGACCAGGCGATATCGTAGAAGAAATAGTAAATGAAAATAAACGCCACCACGGCGTAGCCAGCCCGCTCGTCCTTGGTGTTGGTAAAGACGCTGGTAAGGATGGTCCAGATGATGTAGCATCCGAGCATACCAGCGGTCGAAATAAGGAAGAGCTTCCGGCGGCCGATGCGGTCAACCATCATAGCACCGGCAAACACGGCCGCAAACCAGTTGAAGACCTGGAGCAGGCCATTGATAAGGGCCTGGTCCTTGGTTTCGGTGATTCCGACAGTGTTGAGAACCAGCGTGAGGTAGTAAGAGATGACTCCGGAACCAGACCATTGGGCCCCGAGACCGGTGATGACAGCAATAAGCGTACGGCGGCGGTTGGGTGCTGTCTTGACGAGGTCGAGATATGAAGACTCGCGCAGCGCCTCGGTCTCGAGACGAACGTTCTCCTCAATCTCCTTTACCTCGTATTCAACAAGTGGCGAAGAAGTATCGCCGCCGGCGTGGTAGCGAGTGAGGATCTCTCGGGCTTGTTCGGTCTTGCCGTGGGCAATGAGCCATCTGGGAGACTCGGGCACAAAGTAGAAGAAGGCGAACTGAATCGCAGGGAGAGCACCCTGCAAGATGGACGGGATTCTCCAACTCCATGTTGAGGTCAGACGGAATGTGCCGTAGGTTGACCAAGCCGCTAAGATTGCCCCGAAGAACTGCAGTCGATGTCAGCTGAAGTCTCACAACAGATTATCACAGAGGCCTAGCTGAACAGACTTACAAAGAATGTGTTATAGAGACTCGAGATCTTGCCTCGCTGAGTCGGGTAGGCAAGCTCGGTCACAAGAATCGGTGCCGGCTGCGCAATGAAGGCAGTCGCGGCGCCGAGGAGCCATCGTGCGACGATGAACATGGGCAAGCTGGTACTTGCGCCCTGGAGGGCGGCGCCAACGAGGAGCAGGAAGAACCCAATCCACATGGGCACTTTTCTGCCGTACTTGTCTGCCAGGTATGTAGTTGGGATAAGCCCCATGATCTTGCCGATGGGATACACAGCGTTCATCGTTCCGAGTACGGATGGTGTCGGGCTACCAAAGTATCCGCGCCACTGCTTGATGGTCTGCAGACCGTTCATCATGGCACCTGGTTCCAAGTGTTAGGCTAACATTCTACAAGTCTTACACCGAGCAGTGACATACCATCGAAGCCGACCGAGGCCGACGACAACATTGGAACCAATAGAGTTAGGTTCAACAGAAGCAAGTGCTTGGTGCGATACCATGGTGCAGGGTTTTCGGGCAGGACCTTGAGCCGATGTTAGAGTTCCTGATCACATAGCTTCTGACTTGCATCGTCTGTTATCAACGCCGGCATGTGGAAGGAGAAACTCACTGCGAGCAAGTCAGACCCGACGGCCTGTGCAGCCGTCTTCTTGGCCGGCTTTGACTTGAGGAAGCCCATCTTGAATTGGTTGTGGTCGGGCTACACTGAGATTGTACCGGAAGGTTGTTGGTTTCTTCAATGACCACCGTTGCAATCGACTTTGAAAGCAGTGAAGTCGCCGAGCCGGGATCAACTCGAAGCCATTAGGGTCAAGTCGGAGGAGATCTCAGAGATATATGCAAAAGTCAAAAGAGACACTGTCAAGAGCCGGAATGGAGGAGTTCCCACGCAATCAACCCCCCCTGTGTACCCCAGTCGACCCCGTAAAATGTCTGCGGTTTCCCCATGGGCTCCACGGTGGATTCTTCCCCAAGTTCATCGTTAGCTTGGATGGCTGACCCATCGTGTCGGGTGAGGGACACTGTCACGGAACTCGGGAGTCGGATGGCAGGTCACGTCGACCAGACTAGACGAACGCTAGATGACTAGACCTGGCTTAGGGGTTAAGATGGATAACGCCGCTGGCAACAGAAGCGACGACGATGAGGTGTCATGGTCAACCTGACAAAAGTCTTACCTAGCTTACACCGACGGCAAGCCCCCCCGACATGGGTGGCACTGGAACGCTCACCTGGGCGCTCACCGAGAGACTCAACGGGAAGAGTCCCCGAGCGCAAAAGTCTCAAGGCTAAGCAGACTCTATGACATGCAGACAAAGCGAGTCATAAGTGAGCTTCCACGCTCCCCGAGGCCATTGCGTCGGTATCTGAAACGGTTCTGCGGGGGTCGGTGATCAATGCTGCACGATAATTAAACTCGCGATCCCCAGACAGGGCCGACCATCCTGCCTCCCCCTCACATTTCCCGTCGCTCGTCTCCCCGACACGAGAAATGCTTCCGAACAACGAGGTTTCCAGGAGTCATCTATCGTCGCAATGGACCCACCGCCGAAGAGGATGAGAATGGACATCGGTCGGGGCTTCCCCGATATGGGCATGGCGGCCGTCACCGGCGGATCGCCTCCTGGCCGCTCCTCCGGCGTCGATCACGCGCATCTCGAGCAAGCTGATCCTAGGATACCGAAGCAGAGGACTTGGTCGCGCGCGTCGTCCGCCTGCCAGACGTGCCGCGGCCGCAAGACCAAATGCGACAACGAGAGGCCGATATGCGGCTACTGTAGGAGGGTCGGGGCAACTTGCACATATATCGAGGACTCGGCTCCGGCAACGTCATTGTAAGTTTACTTTACTTTATACGGACGTGGAGCCTCGAGGCCCATGTCTGATCGGGGGTTCGGGATACACTTCGCGGGAGATGGCTGCCGGTTGAACCGGTGGGCACTATATCGGACTGATACTAATGGAGTGTGGATTGCTTTCGTCAGATGTCAAGGTGTAGGACCACGTTTGCTAGGAGCAATAGAGAACTTGGCCAACCTCATTCAACGCAACGAGGAGAACTTTCGCGCTATTCCGCAACTTAGCCGCGACCTGTCCCGTGACTCAAGCGACTATCCGGACAGCCCAACCTTCCAAGGTGGACGTCAAGATGGTCTCCTGTCCGGACAAGACGGGAGCTCTGCGGATGGGGCCAAGAAGTCCACTCATCCTTCGTTATCGGATACAGCAGGCTTGGACTCCGTGCTGGAGTGGCCAATCTTTCCTAAACCGGTACCTTTCGCGATAGACCCCTTCAGCCACGCTTCCCCACGCGGGGAAGTTTTTTCCCCCAGATCCCCCCCGGCTATGGAGTTCTACGAGCTATCCCGGCTGGTAGACTTGTACTTGACCAATGTTCATCCCATGAATCCCGTCGTCGATGGGCAGATGCTTCGCCAGATGCTAAAGCAAGTTGCGGAAAACGGGCCCGACTGGTCGGCGTCCACCTGCATCGTTGCGCTCTCCTGTGCCCTTGGCGCCATATCCCAGAGACCCGGGCAGAGGACACCAAGCGGAACCCCTCGTGGGTACTCGGTGGAGCCCAACCGTCATCTCGCATCGAGGTATTGGTCAGTCGCCGAGAAACGGCTCGGTTTTTCCATGGGATCACCTGGATGGGAGTCTGTACAATGCTTATGCCTTGCAGGGTAAGACGGCTCCTCCCGCGTATTTGAAATGGCATGTCTCTTGGCCAGTAAGGCTGACTAGTACGACAGAATATGGCACATGTACAACATGGATCCCTTACAGGCGTGGAAATGTTTCAGTATGGCGAGTAACACCTGGTACACCACCTCGCTCACGAACAAGTTTGTATCCTCTTGGCACTGCTTGGATTCCCCTTGGCTGACATTAGTCTCAGGCTGACCATGCCGGCTGGTAAGGCCGAGACCCCTGAATATCCTCAGTCACTCTCATTGGAGCAGATTCTTTACTTCACTTGCTTCAAGTCTGAAAGGTATGCTCAGTCCCGAACTCACTCCGGTAGACCACTTGATCATTGGCTAAAACCTAGTTGCAGTGAGTTGGCGTTTGAGCTATCTCTCCCCGGCTCCATCCTCGCCGGAGTGGATTACCCATACAGCTTGCCTACTCCACCAACACTCGGTGTCATGAGCCTGGACAACAAGGCCCTTATGATGGAGCAACGATCCTGGTACTACTACTTAGCAGAGATCTCCGCAAGGCACCTCATAAACCGCATCACGCAAGCCCAGAAACGGTGCCCACCACACCCGACTGAGCACGGCATTGACCGCATGCTCGAAGTGTTCGAGGTGTTTGATGCTCAGCTATCGGACTGGTATGAGTCACTACCTCCTCCGATATCATTTCAAATACCCAGCGGAGACATTGCTCCCCTGGGCGATGACCTGTGTCAAATGCTTCGTGGAAGGTACTTGGCGATAAGGGAGCTTTTATGCAGACCCTTCGTCCGCTTGGCGTCCACCATCTCCATTGCGCTCACGGTATCGGAGCACATGGTTGCCAGGGTCGCAGAGATTGCTTCGAGAGGGTTGCAGTATTGCCTGTTCAGGATACAGGCTACGTCTTCTACGCCGCACCATGGGCTTTGGTTACAACTGAGAGGATTTGTGACCTGTTCTCTAATATTGACGGCCGCAGAGCGTGCGCAAAGCATCCCGTCATTGAACATGCCAACCAAGGTGTCATATCCTCAGAATTGGAAGCGGACTATTTTTGCTCAGAAGGAAATTCTGTCAAATTGTTGGGAATTTGAGGAAGGAGGCATAAGCGACTGCGCCAGAGTCTTGGACTGGGCGCTTGCAAAGTTTACGGTTTGAGCCTACTTATGCTAATGCTCGAAGTACAAAGAACCCCTATGAAGAAATACCACAGAAGATGTATTTAGAGTAAGATGGGAGCGATTGTGTCAAGCGTCTGCAGAGCGCTTAGAGAAGGTGGCAACGTTATCGGTCCTTCAACGGCCACGTTAGTACGCTAGACGCTATGGCAACTGACACGGTCGTTCCCCGATGTTTTGAACAACAATGTATATATGTCAAAGTCAACTCAGTATCATAAGTTCAATCGGGGAGAGAGATTAACTTCTTCACTTGGCGTCTGTTCAGCCGAGTAATGCGCGAGACTCGGGAGCCGCTCGGCGTGTAGAGGATTCCATTGGGCGCTTCACCACAGTCCGAACATCAGACACCGTTACTAAGTTTTAGTCGAACCTTGATCATAGGACCGAAAAGCCGAATAGGTGCAAGACGCGGTGTATACTCCCGGGAATGCAGAATTGACGCGGCACCCGATACCGAACATGCCAAGCTTGACATGTAGCGGCAAGGTTTGCCCAACGTAACGACGGCTCTCTCGGGGCGGATGGCCGAGTTTTCAGTCAGCAACCCCTTGTTTGAAGTTTACCGACTGTATCGGGCATTCTCCCCGCCTGCATTCGATCGGGGTTTGTCCCCGTCTGCAGGTTCGGGGAGGTTTAGTTGCACTCCGGAGGTCGCAGCCTCATTGGCCTCGATGAGGAAGGTAGCTTTCGGTGTCACCACTAGTCCTGGCCCTGAGAAAGATGCATCTTGTTCTCTCAAGTGGCTTGTAAAGGTTGAGCTTTGTCTGCGCCATGCTGACGTGTCTCATGTTTTCGGTCTATCAAAACCGTTAGAGGCGCACGGTCACTGATGTGACACCTGTCAGGTTCATGGTGGCCATTGATCGAACAGAAGTCCGAAAGACTCGCCGACTACTTTGGTTCATATTTAAGTAGGTGAAGCAAGCGTTCCTTTACCCTCTTACAATGCTTGTGAACCCGACGTGCGGATGTTGTTGACTCCAGCGTTGGTGATCACGCCGGGTACAATAGGTGACACCTACTCCCACTAATTGCTCAACGTAAAGAATTCTAACACAGATCTGCGCTCGCCAACATTGAGATATCTAAATACAGGAGCATCACTTAAAGTACGTGTACGTTGCTTCGTACTTCAACCGATTACTTAGGCAACAACATCGCGGAGGCAGGAAGTCTGCCAGGCACTCCAAGAAAACGGTTGTACAACAGAGCCGTTATACCCAATGTCGATGCCTGTCTGAACAGTCTCAAGGTCTCCAAGAGGTGTCACTTCCCAGCCTTCAGCAAGCGGCCCATCTTCGGGGTTTACAATGAAAGACAACCACAAGTCCTGCATCTCTTCGCTGACTGCGTACTCGAACGCTGTGGAATTTTGACGCGCAATGTCATGGGTCCCGAAAATAAGAGGAAGTTCAGCGGAATGGAAGGCACCCTGCCCCCCAGGCATGATGTTGGTGAAATTTGAAGAATACATGTAGCGGTAGGTCTTGAGGCCAGCCAAGTTTCGCAGGGCGGTCTCGTAGTGTGCTGGACAACCGAACAGATTGTCAGGAACTACGTCTGATCCATTTGTTGGAGGGCCGGTGGAACTACCGGCGAAGTTCCATTCATCCCTGGTCGAGCCAACAATTGAGGGCTTCCCGATAATAAGGTCAGTATGGCTGCTGCATGCTTGGCTGGGACTGACACTTACGCCTTTCGCAACTCTCCCATCCAAAGTCCTATTTTCGTAGTCGGAGAACTTCGTATTTTCGTCAATGATAACGTTGAACGTCAAATCACCAGCTTGGTTGAGGTACTCTTGTATCTTCCGAAAAGGGACCTCTCTCAAGCAGCCAAGCTCGTCCTCTTGACATCCGAACGCGGCTGCCAAGGAGGTAAAGTTGCCATGTACTGTATCGGTACTTCCGATCGGGATAAAGGGTGCTCCCGAATCTTTGATGAAGCCAATGGCAATAGGATCATCGGGGTAGGCGTACTGATAATAGGAAACCGATGCGGCTCCAGCACTTTGGCCCCAGAGAACGATACGTTCGGGATCGCCGCCAAACTCTGCGATATTGTCCCGCACCCATTCAGTGGCTGATCGCTGGTCAAGAAGTCCTAGGTTCTGTTGCGTGAGGTTCAGACCAGCAGCATTTGGGTACCCCCAAACTCCCAGGCGATAGCTTTCAAACACGTCAGCGAGAATTCCGGCAGGATGAGAGAGAGAGATTACTTGATGGCAACAACAATGTGCTTCTGGCTTCTTTGTACCCATCGGGTTGGGGTTTGGTAGGCAATATCGTTGCTTCCCTATTACACCTTTGTTAAACCCACACGCGCTTACATAAGTTTCGTGACCGTGGCAACGTGACAGGGAAGTACGATACCTCAGTAAAGCCACCGCCATGAATCCAGATAACAACTGGCAGAGCTTCCTTAGACTCAGTTGGAGTCCAGATATTAAGAGTCAAACAATCCTCGCTGGTGCTGTTGGGTCGAATCAAGAACTCGGCAGACCATGCGCCTCCGCCGCGGGGCGGATCCGTCTGCGGACAAGATGGACGCCGTACCGAGGCGTCTAGAGTTCCGAAAGACTCTTTGGGCAAAGCTGGAAGCCATCTACGTTCTCCGATTGGTGATTTGGCGTAGGGAATTCCGTAGAACTGCGCGACTTCTGGCGCTTCTGCGTCTTGGAAGCCAGTGACTATGCCCTGTTTTGTTTCTACGCGCGGGCCAGGTAGTGCGAGAGTACCGGATATGAAGAGGCTGCTCAACGCCAGAGAAGCGACTAGAGGAAGTGGGGCCCAGGTCTGCATCTTGAGATTTGGAGGGGAGAGGGGAGGGGGCTCCAGATTGCGTTGAGGGATGGGAGAGTGGAATCTCAACCCCATTGACTTTAGGGATCTAGAGCTCATACATATGGACCTGTAAGTCCGAATTCGCTGGAATATGTATGCAAGGCCGTTACATCTCGCCTACGCCTCCGCGTATTCGGATGCGGGGAAGACTTAGACTAGTGAAAGCCGAGTGTGGAGTTGACGATGGTTGGCTGGTAGTTGACGAGAGAATTCAATGTTACCCCGGAGAAAGAGGAGGCTCGGTTAGTATCTCGGCATGAGAATGATGACGATCGACCTGTTGTCCACCCCGCAATCGGGATGGATTCTACCGGAGCCCACGGGGAACGGTCAGCCAAACAGATAAGTTCAACGAAGGCCCACGATGATGACGTTTGGAATGAATAGAACCAAAGAATAGGGGTAACATTCTAACTCGAGACCATGGACCTGAGAATACCTGGAGCAGGATAATTGGGCACTGTGTTTTAGGTGGTCTCTGACTTGTCTAAGCAACTCCACTGAGCAATTTTCGCTGTCCCACTCGGCTTCACTCAGGGTGGAGACAATTCATAGTTAATCGACCGTAGAACCCAAACCGTCTAGCTCGAATCGAAGACTTCCGAGGGACTCACTCAAATCACGAATGATATGACTGAGTGCAATATCCATGGATCTTAATCACCAGTTTCATCTCAGAGTATATAGTCTGAATTTAGTCGAATCTCTTCCAAGCTGATTGCCCACTCCTCATGCGGCCGCCCTGACCACCAAGCCTAAACAGAGCCCGTCCCCATAAAGGCCACCTGACCCCACCCAGAGGTCAAGGAGGTTGCGGGATCACTTTGAGCCCCAGACAGCTATCAAGTAAGCTATCAGTCGAAAGACTTGTATGGCCTTCAAAGACCAGTTGATGATATGTAGTCTGGCTTAGATTATGATTGAATTCTGGTCAGGTTGCTTATTCAATGGCCAAAGCAGGATGAGGCCGTGCGCATGGTCCGTCGCATATGACAGAGCCTTTGCATGAACAACTAACTCGGGGCTGTTGTTGACCGTTTGACAATCGGAGATGGTATACTCGTTGCTACTATCTTTGCGTCGTTGGTCTTTATCTGGGCATGTGCTTGCACAAATACTTAGCTTGGTTGAAGTTTCGCACTCAGATATGTAAAATACTTCTGAAGCGAATAGTTCAACAAGAGATAATGCTCAGCATCCTCTATTGGATAGATTATGTATATTGTTGTACCATCTTCCAATGAGACTGCGTGGCGGAGACCTAGCCGAGCTAAGCAATAAGGGACAACTACGCTACAGGGACGTCTGCTTGGCTATTGGCCGCTTTATATGCATAGGGTTATAAGCAGCTGAAGCGCGTAGTTACGACGGAGGAACATGACGCTCTAGATTGTCCCTCGAACTCCTTGAGGGAGTCTTCTAGATGCCTCACTCAATAAGGAACCATCCATCTTAGGACTGCGACTGTCTTCAGTGTAAGAGAGAACAGTCAAAGATCAGCGCAGCATAAGGAACTGGAGCTATGAAACAACAGAGTGATACACGACCATCGGATTGAACAGAACAGGCAAAAACCTCTCCAAATACTAGTGATGGCAAGGCATGACCACAGAATCTGAGAAAATGGACATGTTAGTCAAGCCAGAGAGACGTGTCTCAGCGGCAACAAACCCCGCGCACGGGGCAATCACGTCACCCTCGGGGTTTATTTTCCCAACATAGTCTTTAATTATCGAGGAAAGTCTTGTCTGATGCAAGCCCTGCCACATCCATGGTACCAAGAAACTCAGCAGAATGGATTTAATCCTGCTATTGCAGTCCTCTCATGGGGTAAATGTTTTTCAGATGGCGAATGGCTCCTGGTTCGTTATCCACCCCCTTCCTCGCCATCATTGAGACCTCCCACATTACTTTGATAAGCGGCGTGCCGTGTTCCTTCCTCGAGGAGCGTATTAAGAAGGCGCAGTCGTCTTCAGTGTCAGTCTGTCAGACTGGAGAACTCTACTTGGATGAATAATACCGTAGAGACAGGTAACTCAACAAGACGAGATGATGGTACATGTATTCAAGGAACTAGAGAAACCGCTATATTTTATCCCTGTAGACTACTATGGAAATGTACTGCGCTCTATGTTCTTGGCAATGACTGCGTTAGGCAGGTCGGTATCTCTCTTTTGATTAGTGGCGTTATGCCGTTCGTTGTGTGAGGCTCTCAAGGAAGCTATGATCAGCATCACGGTGCACAAAACTCATTGCTCTAAGGCGCCAATGCCCATCTCCCGCCATCAGAGCCTGCTATAGAAGGGCTGACTTTACTATGGGGATGGAGCCAACTCAGCGAGGCACTGTGCTATCTATAAATGCCGGTCACGCCCCTCCTTCCGCAAGGAGACTCTGGCCCGGGCGTTTAATGCCATCTTTCTGTTGTTGGAAGTGCCCTTTGCGTGCTTTAACTACGATATTAACAATGCGAATGTAGACGGGAGTGTTCTGCTTCAGGGAGGTCAAACAACAAAATAGGAAGCGTCGAACGATGAGGTCGCAATAGTAAGTGGAGATGCTCCATCTCGGTCGGGAGACCTTGGTCACATATGAGTGAGCATTGCTGTCACCGTCGAACCACCTTCTCAGCTTGGTACATGATGTGATGTATTTCGTATTGATACCATCATGATGTTGCCCCTATACTCGGAATATATAAGAAGCCAGTGTAGTCATCTACTAAGACTTCAATATTCTCTGACAACAAGCCTTTCATATAATCGCTAATCATTACTCACTACTTTTTAAACCCTCGCTTCACCATCACCATGAAGGTCTCTATGATTCTCGGCTTTGCGTCTATCGCTGCCGCCCTGCCCGCCGTAATCGCTCCAGCTGAGACGCGCAACGTCGTTGTGAGCGACACGTCAGTGGTAAACGAACACTCCGCCCAGCCCCTCGAGAATGCAACCATTGCCCCAGTTCTGATGACAAGGGAGGACTTTGAAAGAGTCGTCTCTTGGCCTAGCACATCTGTCATTGGCGGTGGCACTAGCTTCCAGTATAAGGCAGAGCCCCTGGGAAACGACCAGTTCAAGATCACCTTCTACCACAGCGCCCCGTTCAGCAATCTCACCTTCAAGTACACCGTCTACGCAGGTGATGGAATCATTGCCAGTGAGACCCTGTCGGCCGGAACGAGCTCCAAGTCTGTGCAAGTCAGCCGTATCGGCGAGAGCTTCCGCATCGTTATTCAGTCGGTTTAAACCATTAACGGCTCTCTGGATTATCGAGCAGTGGGACCAACCACAATCGAATACGATACGACAAGATACAGAAGCGATTGCTGGGTGGACTTACGAATGTGGGCGAGAAACATCGATAAATTTGGAGTGGCTGTTTGCAATCACCAGGTCAATCCGCATGCAAACTCTCGAGGCTGTGATATTGGCGTAACTCTGGACGCAGGACGATTGTAGTTTACATAACAGATAGACGATAACAAGTCGAAATCTGAGAGTACACACTGCTCTACAGTACATTACCTCAACTCCTTTCTCAGAACCATCCTAGCGTCGCCACCGTGATCAAGGGAATGTGTGCACGCACAAATTTGCTCCCGACTGCTTCCGCTTCTATTCATCCACAACTCTGATTTGCCATAACGAAGGTCTTCTTATTTGAAAGACTGCGAAACGTTGATTATCACACTGTGCGCTCTATCTGTTTGAAAATTGCCAACATTCAGTTGGCATTCTTGCCGTCGTTCATAGGCTATCTGGCATTGTCTACCGGTTAATAGGACAACGAGTTCTAGTTTTAGCTGTAAAGACCACCAATGAAGGTACCATGGGGGTCTATTCGTGTAAAATTTTCAGGGGAGAGTCCACAAATATCCATGTGCGGAAAGATTTCCGTGGATACGAGTACTTTGGACGTTCATGTAATATGAAGGCTGGTGTGTTCGGTACTGATTAGTGCACGATTCGCGCTTACGTACGTACGTCAAACTCAAGTGAGCGCATCGGCTAGGTACGTACAGGTACCACTGCATTGGTGACATGGTGAAGGCAATCCTCAAGAGTCTATCTTCAATTTCTCCAGTCCAGTCTGCCTCCCACAGATTGTTATCAAGATTCAGTCATTGACTTAGTAGCTCAAGGTTGACCGAAATCAAGCTTCAGGCTTCACATCTACATGGTAATTCAAGCCCCCCCCCCCCAAACACTCTCCTCTGTCCCAGTGTAGAAGTAAGCTTCCGGATGTGACGAAATGCTGATGATGCCATGAATTAGACGACAATTGGTCCTGTTCTCGCTACATGCTGTTCTTATTCTTCGAAATCGGGCAGACTGCAGTGTAGTTGTCAACTAAAGCTCCGGGACTTTTGTTTCAGGGACTTGAGAGCCTACTTTCAAGAACAGGCTGTAGTGTCACAACATGTGATAGTGTAGCCTCCACTGCCACAGAGAACCTTGTCGGGTTTACATTTTCCGCCGTTGAAGCCCTCGGTGCCGGGTGATTGAGATGTGCAAGCAGCTTGTGTGTTGGTGACTGCGGACAGAAGCGCGATGACAGTCGTGATAATTTGACTTCGAAACATCATGATGGCCGGAAACAACTACAATTTGTTCAACTTTGGTAAGGCAAAGGCCGTGGGCCAACAGTCGGAGCAGTGACTTACTTATACCTGTGTGCCCCTCAAAAATATGCTACCAAATGAAATGGGGGCTTGATGCCACCTCGGGACACCGGAGCCAAGTCGAAGCGAAGCTCCGTCGATGCTTGGGTCCACACTACATGGCATAGACGGCGCGGTGCTCTTCTAAATTCCCGGGGTTCGCAGTGGCTTCAGCTTGACAAAGGTTCTGTGAGGTTATCTGGTTTAAAAGTCATGTGAGCTACTCGAAGTTTGCGCTACTACAGTTCGAATTGTGCTCTATTAACCCCTCGAAAATGCCCATGAGCTTGACAACCACGTTCATCCATTCAATCGTGCGAGTCCAAGTTCAAGTCATGCGATTCCGGTTTCTCATGTAAGGTACCCTTGACAAGACCCTTTCATCGCGGAACTCAGTGTTATCCTGGTGTGAGAGCAGATCTTAGAGTTGAGGGTACTGAAGGTCGCTACGGTCTCTCTTAATCGCCGCGACGCCGCTGTTGATTCAATTAGAGTATGGGGCTGTTAGGCATTCTTCTTGGCGCTGCAACCCACCATATCCAGGCTTGGGCTAATAACGCATCGTAATCTACGAGGAACTTTATTTTACCCTTGCTCCTGGCACCAGGGATCATAATTGTATTGTTACACATGGACGCTGTTCTAACATTCGGGGTTACTTGCCAACAAGCTGTCCTCACCTGTAAACATCGGACCAACAATAGTCAGTGAACATTTAGTGTGAGCTTGACTGAGAGCATGAGGGGGCCACCGTTGCCAGAAAGCTTCTTTCCACGATTTGGTATTTGTGGAAATCCGATGAGCATTTCAGGCGAGACATTGATTGGTCTCGGGGAGCGAGTGAAGCCCTTCAATGTCGTGTTGCTGCGGTCGATAACTGAAATCACAGCACAAATATTGAGCTTAACGCCCATTTGTGCGGAAGGTAAATATATATATCGGGAAACTAGCTTAAATTATGACCGATCTTCTCTTCTTAGCCTTCGATTGAATATGACTCACTCAGCTCCTCGCCGCGGCGGTGCTGGGCGCGCCTTCCACACATGAATGATGACGCCGTATATTCTCACCCATACGCATACACCATGAGTTAAAACCCTTCATATCCCCCATCGACTCCACGCCTGTTACCAGCACAGCAGGTGCCCGTCTAGGTCGACGGTTCAGATCAAACCATCCCGTAGTGGTGGAATGGTTGGTGGTTGATAATCAATTCACCAACCAGCCTTCTCGACGACAGGCTCAGCGTATACGAGTACCTGAGTTCGAATCCCAGCATGAGCACCAAGAGATGTGGCCACCAGTTCAGCAGCGGGGGTCGGATTCTTTTTCTTACCTTTTGAACTTGCTGAATACTAAATTAGTTGATTTAGCATGTGGATGTCCTTAATTCGGGAGAGAGGCATCGGAAGTAACTTTCAATATTACAGACCGCATAAGTGTCGCGGAAGACCAAGCTGCTTCATGATTCGAGATGCCCAGATTTCAATACTTATTTATCATGAGAGTGTTGTAAATTTGGTTCTATGACTTCCGCTCTATGTACACTTTTGGCCTTTCAATGCTGTCGTCTCCTAAACCCTGCATCGAAAATGTGCGCGGGAATCCCGCATAATTCATATGGAGCTTGAACCTAGGGGCACTTGGGGAGAATACGATGGCTTTATAAATACCTAGCTAGTCGCCTCACGAGACTGATTACGAGAGTTGTCTAGGGAAACAAGCTATCGTGACAATATACCAAGGTGTTTGTGGCAACAAACAACACGCGACCGCATAGTTGCAAGCTTTGTTGAGAGAAATGTGGTGCTCTCTCACGAATAAGTTGCTTTTGGAGCTTGGCTGGTTGAAAACCTGTCATATGTTGCCAACATTCATCACAATCTAGAGCAAGCAAAGCAAAGGAAGCTGTTGCGACGGGATGGAGCAGACCGATAGCAGACTTGCTGGGTGATCGTTCATGAAGAAGCTTAGAAACAAAACATACAATGAATAATGGACGATATTGTCATGAAACCAATCTTTGATATACCATATTATATTGTACGTTGCTCCTGTCATTACATCCCATCATCCAAACATGACAGCCCCTTTGTCCTCCATCCCAAAAACCCCCCATTCCTAAAAGTATTAACACAAAAAAAGTATGAGCAAAGCCTCTATAGCCGCTCTATCCACCCAAATAACACACAATCTAATGTCCCCAACCTCCCAAACACATCTACCTCCCAAACAAACTGAACCTCAGCTTCCCCTTTTTTGGACCCGAGCTGTGCCCACTCATCGGCCGATCATCGTAGCTCATAATACTCGACGCCGGTCTCGGCACCGTCCGGGGCGGACTATTCTGATACATCTGCTGCTGACTCTGCTGCGGCATCATCTGCTGCTGGTGCTGCTGCTGAGGCGGCGCATAGTCCCCGCGCAGAGCCCTCTCGACATCCAGGTGCTGCCGCTCATACTCGTCGTGCTTCCCCTTTGCATCAACGAAGCGCTGCTCAGCTAGGCGCCGACGCTCCTGCAGAAGACTAAGCTCCTCATCGTACTGCGCCATTTGGCCCTGGGCTTCGTCCATGAGGCGGTGGTACTCGAGCATCTTGCGCTGGAGAGGCTCGAGAACGCTCTTTGAGATGCTGGGGCTGTTGACGCGGCTGATGTCGCTCAGGACGCTCTCGTTAACAGCCGGCGGGGACGGGGGGCGGAGACCGCCCGCCGGGTTGGGCATATGCTGTTGCTGCTGCTGTTGCTGTAATTGCTGAGAAGGAAGTCTATCTCTAGGAGAATGCTGGCTTCCGGGCGGCTCGCGGGGTGACGCGCCGCCGCTCATCTGCGGCGGATCCGGGGCTCCCGGGGCGCGACTTCCGGTGGATGACTGGCGGCGGGCGTGGCGCTCTGTGCGGCGGCGGGAGTAGCCGCCCGCACCTGCCGCTGCTGCTGCCGCGTCCTTTGACGGGCTCCATTCGTCGGGGTTCTCGCCCATGTAGGGCGGCAGCTGGGAGTTGACTGGCGGGGGCTGGGAGCGGCGGTTCTGGGAGGCGTTTGCGGCGGCTGGGGGTGCACGAGGGCCTGCGGCGCGGGGTTGGCCTCCGTTGCGACCGTTTGTTGGGATTACGCGCTGCTGCATTGCGGTTAGATGGTTTTTTTGGTTCCGATGCGGGTTGTGTATGTGCGTGTGTGCGTGCGTGTGTGCTGTGGTTGTGATTTTGTGTGTAGGGGGTTTAGGGGAGGGCGGTTTCAAAAGCCGCCCTTTGGTGAGATGAGTTGGAGTGAGTGAGTTTGGGAGTGAAAGTGAGACGGAGTGAGGTGAGTTGGGTGAAGTGAGTTCTTGAGTGCTGGGGTGAGAAAGATAAGGGGGGGGTGGGTGGTTGAGGTGTAATGAAATTAGGCGTGGCTGGTGCGTGTTTCGCCGAGCCATTGCTTTTTTTTCTCTTCTCAATCCGATCGATCCCTCTTTCAGAATTTCTCCTATTGAACTTTCATCTGTAAACTCACCTGTTGATGGGGCGCTTGCGCGAGCACAGCGTCATGCAGCGCAGCGTCTGAGCTGGCCCGCGGATCTTCACCGCCGCTGGGCCCGGTAGTGAAGCGGGAATCGTCGTCGAGGGAAGGCGAACGGGGTCTTCGATACCGGCCGTTCCTACCACCCTCGCCGCGAGATTGACGTTGTTGCGAACTAGATGGGTCGCTGTGGTTGCCGCTGTTGTTGTCGTATTGCTGGCCGTACTCGACGAAGTCGCCGGGGAAGTGGATGGGCGGCGAGCCCTGGGTGTGTTGCGGCTGTTGAAGTCCCATGGCCATGATGGCAAACGAGACGGGGTCGACGTCTCTTGCGGCGGCGGGGTTGCGTTGGGGCGGAATGGTTGTGGAGTTGGTGGTTGGCTGGTGAGTGAGGTTGGTGATGTGCGAATAGAGTTGACGTTGGGTTTTAGTGTTTGACAGATTTGACGTGAAGTGAGATCGATCTTGAAAAGACAATTCAAGATGAACTACTAAGGTAGGGGGGCAGTGACCGTTGGGAACCGTTGGAAAGTGAGGAGCGGTCTGTCTCTCTATGTCTGTGTCTGTGTCTCAACTCAGACGAAGCCAACACACAGAAGAAAAAGCGCGGTTGCAAGATCTCGCCAGACACGGAAGCTAACGGGAGGAAGGGAAAAATGGCTGCTATCCGAATCTAAAGGAGGAAAAAAGAAGAACGGACAGTGAGCACATACAAATTTCTCAATGCCCCCGAACGGAAGAATTTGGGCTCTCGGACATTTCAGGGTTTGACAACTCTGGTGAGTTTGTAAAGATTCAGAGTGGCTGGGACGGGGAAGAGCACTAACAAATTCCCACGTCCACTTAAATCGCACCACATTTAATTACGTGCAGCGCTGCTGTGGTGTCGCCCAGCTCGGCGGGGCGCCCATCTTCACTCGCCTTCGGGTGTCGACAATTCAGTGGCTGGGGGTCCACTCACCTTCAACTTTGCGGATACTCGCACGCTCACCTGCTGCGCCCAAACATCGCCCAACCTCCGCCATTGTCGATTCGTCTGCCCACATCACCGATAACTGCGGGATTCATACACTCTCGGGACCCGGGAAGCTCCAATCAGGCGGAATGAGTGGGATGTATCCTCAGTTCCCAGTTTCGCGAATCGCTGGGAGTTGGTTCCGGGGTGCCGTGCCGAGTGGACAATGCTGCCCTGTTCCGTTTTTAGATGGCTGCAGTCTTTAACAGACGAATCATTAAAGGAAAAGGACGTGTCGTCGACTGTTTCGAGAGTATCCGCCTGCCCCTTTTCCCTCTTTCACGGTCGTTCTTGGATGCTTCATGACATGTTTTTGGTCTCTTCTGAGTCCTCATGGGTCTGCAGCGTACCTGTCCCGGGGAAATTACCCCAGCCATTCCAATAAACCGTGGATCTCTGGCAGGAGACGAACTGCAGGTCACACACAGGTGGACATGGAGTCGCTCGCAGCAACCTTGAGTATGCCAGCGGTCCCTCCTCTTACCTTCAAGCTCCAAATTGTCGAGGACAGCTTCCAAAATCCCAGGCTGCCACAGAGGCAGGCGCGATCCACTCCGGCCCTGCCGCACCTTCAGCTGCCAAACCACCAAGCTCCCCCGGTATCCACTTTCCCGGCCCTGTGGAGGAGAACCCCCGGAAGCGCCGCCCGATGTGGGGCCTAGGTCTCCACCATTAATGCCAGCGGCTCTGCAGCACCCTCCTCGAATAGTGACCGGTCGAGCAGTACCTGATGCGATGCGCCACTCCTGAGCTATCGTGACCCATGTGTTCTCAGCGACTGTCATCATTGCTGCGGCTCTTTTCCGGACAGTGGCCAATTCAAATAGCGACGGGTCCGGTGTCCATAGCTCAGGTAGATCTTACATTTGTCCCACGATCACGGCGAACGTGGATGCGTAACATCGGGCAAATGAGGGAAGTCGCCTGGAAGCAGGGTGCGGTCCCTAGGCACTGGGGATACGACATGGTACAATTGAGATAAGTACAGTTTCGATTGCCAAAGGAGTACGAGAGACTCCCATTCAAGCAGATTAATCATGTCTTAGGCACATAAATCCCATAACCCCCATCATCAGCAAATTGATAAAGCTGGCCCTCGAAATCGAAAGTCACAGTCCGATCCTCCTCCAAATTCTTCAGGAAGTCAACCAATTCTTTGTTGCCGCTCATCTCGGCACTGACAGCCGCTGTCGGATACTTGCCTGGGTGCCGAAAGTCGGCCTTACTACCGACTGATAGCAAGCACTTGACCATCTCCAGATGACCCGCCAGGCAGGCGAGCTCAAGCGGCGTCTCAAGACCTCTCGCCCACGTGTTGGGATTTGCGCCCTCCTTTGCCAAGTACTTGACCGTATTCATGTGTCCCTCGCCCGCAGCCCAACTCAGGGGTGTTCGCATGTGGATCTGCTGCGTTCTTTCCAGCTCGGCCTTGCGGTTCTTAGACTGATCGAGGAAAGCTCTTACGCGGGAGGTCATCCCGCGCCTGGCAGCGTCAAAGATGTCTCGGCAGTGACGATCTCCTGCGGCCGTGATAATTGCGGATATCACTCCGTCTTGGTGATTGGGAGCGTAGTCACGCGATTCCTTCTCGGGACGGGGTGTCATGATTTCCGGGACGTCGATTGACAGTCCCTGTTCGAGACAAAGCCGAACGCAGTCACGGTTGCTACCGTAGCCTGCAGCCCAGAGGAGACTCCCGTACTGCCCTTTCACGGCTTTAATGTCCGCACCCTCCTTTAGCAACAGTCTGAAGGCCTCCAACTTCCCAGCAGCCGCTGCCGCATGTAGTGGTGTTCCGATTTTACCCTGGTTGAGATTAACATATGCTCCGTAGCTCAGCAGTAACTTGATGCATTCCAATCGCCCACCATACGCCGCACATTGAAGTGGCGTCGCCAGGTCTGCGACTTCGTTGTGATTGTGATCAGATCCAATGTCGGCTGATATCCAGTGTGGCTTCTTCTTCAGAATCACTTCCATAACGGCTGCGTCGCCCTCCATGGCTGCACATTGCAAGAGGCTGCCCGATCTTCCGCTGACGTGGAAAAGACTTGCGCCTTGATCCATAAAGAATTCCATCGTCTCAGGGTCTTTAGCCTTGGAAATGCAGAAAATCGACGGGGTATCACCGATCCAATCGGCGCTATCAACCTTTCCGCCTCGTTTGATGATGAGGTCCATAGACTCTTTGGATCTCTGCAGAGCCCCATAATGGAGAGCAGAGCGGTTTCCGCTACTGAAGCCATTAGGGTCATGGCCAGCGTCTAGAAGACGTTGGACAACTCGCCAGAGGTTCCAGTGTGTTGCATGGTGCAGCGGGCGATTGATATGGTGGCCGTCTAGCAGGACTTGTTTCGAAGCCGGTCGATAGTTGTTGATAATTTTGCCGCCATCTTTAATGTGCACCTCCCATGCATATCCCTCAACCGGCGCTGCCGGCCCATGACGGCCAGTAATGCGGTGCCAGTTGACATAAGCGGCATCATCGCGATGAAACAGGCTAAACACTAGGTCATCAAGAGGGAGATTGCCACGATCAAACTCAGGATTCGCCTCTCTCGCGTGATGGGTCCAATGGAGGGCGGAGTACTGCAGGAAAGGAACCGCCTCCAAGGTGTGTGGTCCAAAGTCACTGACATTATTCTGATCCAGTAAACATGCGACGCCTTTCGCTGCCAGTAGTAGGTTCCCTTGCCCATGCGTGGTGTAGAAAGCGGATGCTGGCCCATAGCGCAAGTGGTCGGAGACGAGATATTCCTTGACTGAGGCATGAGCAAGTCTCAGTTCTTGCTTGTTTTTGGTTCCGCTGACGCTGACAGAGACCGATACCAAGCTCGAACAGAGAGATAGCAACTGCTTCAAGTAGACTCTGTTTGGTTTCTTCTGTGTTCGGCGATGGTTAGTGGTAGAAATTCTGACCATATCCATGACTTCATCAACTAGTAGAGGTCTACGCGAGAATGCCAGCGCTATCAGAACCTCCCGAACTCGCATGGCGGACACGGCATCTAGATTGGTGAGTAGCCTTTCGTATGTCGACGGCAAGTCAGTTGGCAAAGAATCGAGAATCTCGTCGACTTGGCTAGAATCGACGCAATGCTCCAAAGTGTCCAAATGGCACTGTACATAGCGGAACCTTTGATACCCAGGGTTAGTTCAGATCCCGCGTTTGGCAATTGCGCAGAAGACCTACATCCCCTTAGCCTTCTCTCTCAGCCGAGCTTCGACTTTGGTCCGTTCTTCATCTGGCCATTCTCGCATTTGTTGCGATGTATTGATTCTTTGTTGAATGTAAGCTGCAATGTCCTCGTCGAGCTTCTTACCCTCTAAACGAAGCTCTTGTGTACGTTTCCGGGCTGACAGAGTTTCCTTGATATCCTGCTCCCTACGGCTCAGGACCACCAGGTGGAGGTTAGGGACAGACTCCAGCGTTCCGAGCATGTTGAGTAGCAATTTTCGCTCCGAACATTCATCCAAAGCATCAACAACGAAGAAGACCTTTGGAAAACAGCCCATTGCAGCCACTGTTGCTTCCAAAAGCTCTCCTGGCAGAGGCTGTTGGCCATGATCTTTCGAGCATCGAGTACGGAGACCAGCCAGAAGATCAAAGGCTTCGGATGATTTGCTCGCTAGCTGGGCAAGGCATGCTCGCAGAAATGACTGAGCCTCTTGCTGCGACTTGCTGGCGAAGTCAAAGTAAGAGTAAACGACAGCTTCTGCGGGTGTTGAACTCTCGTTCAGCAATGTCGTAACTATCGTCGAGCTCATCACCGTTTTCCCGGCTCCCGGCATGCCTGACAACCACAAACAACCTGGGTTCAATCTCCAGTGCTCGTATTCAGGTGTATTCAACAACCATTCGCCGGTACCAGGTTGCCACTTAAGGATTGCATTTTGCAGGTTCTTCCAGACGTCTGGCGGATTCAGCCAAGCAAACATAGCTTTACTTGCTTCGGTTTGGGCGAGTTGCTTCAACTCAGAACCTTGCGCATCTAGGATGCGTCGGATATCCAACACAGTGGCCCTGTTTAAGTCAGTCTTTGGCTTCGAGCCCCAGGATTGGCCTCTTACATGGATTGCGTCTGTATAGCGAAGCCAATTTCTGTCTTGATGGCGTTGATATTGGAGAGTCGACGATCAATTTTTCCCTTCCGAAAAGGCATTGTCATCGACCTATCGTCTTCGAGAAGCTTCCGAATTGCGGTTATGTCGTTTGCGCAGTTCGCCAAGGGGCCATCCTTCTCCAGTAGACTACGGAGAGCTCGAGCATGTCCTGGCTTCATTTCATCGGCTAAGTCTTTGTCTGAGACGGCATCCATCAGCTGTCCCAGAATGCGGACAAGGTCGGCCATCTCCCTTTGGACGCAGTTGCGAGTGTCCTTGGCATCTCTTATGGTTGTATAGACGTTGTAGACTTCAGATGTTACTTTGAGCGATAGCTCAATCAGCTGCAAGATGGCAGCGGTAGAGCCGACTGCTTCCATGGTGTTGCTCGTGAACTTGCGACAATTGTGAGAGCCTTGGGTTGTAGAGACTATGGCGTCTGGGGGGGAAAGGTTCGACTTTTATATTCCGGTCCTTGCCAAATGCTAAGTCAACCTCGTTTGGCTGCCTAATCATTAGAGGAGAACAGATGTACACTCCGCTGATGGCTGAGCATCCGACTGCAGGTGGTATGGGGACACAACATGATGAAGTGTGCAATGCAATAGTGGACTTCCTATGCGATATTAAATTCAGAGGTAAGAATAGCTTCCTGCGCCTCTCTACGGAACGCAGATAGGCTAAATTCAGGCTGGCAGGCTGAGGTTTTTGCAGCACCCATGCAGCTGATGTCTTGGAGGTGCACATGTAGGTATCATTTGAGCCATCACCCTCTCCCGTCTAGTTGCAACGCACTCCTGAGCTGAAAAAAACTTGCATCGAATCCAAGCAGGCTGTAGTCAATGGTGTGTTGGTAGCCTGAGCATTCGTGCCGCATCTTGAGTAGTAATCCATGGCATGTAGCGGCCTAAAGAGATCTGAACAAGCCTGATCATCGGTTAGCTTCCATTGATGTCCTTCATGATATGGATTTCTCTCAACAAGTTGCTTTAGGAGATGAAGAAATGGATGGAGGGTTAAGACTGCCTAATCTCGTTGTGTCCAGGTTCTATCGGGTTTCAACATCCTCGGGATTGAGACATAAACATTGATAGGCCTGCTCGTGAAGGGTAGGTAGGTAAGATAGATTATGGAAGAAATAAAATAGTGTCACGGATACTCTATGTTGTCCAAGGTAAGATGGACCCGGCGGGTTACCCGCAGCTTCCTTCCCCATGCAGATGCTTCTCGCTTCACCTACCGCACCTTCCCGCATGGATGCGAACACTGCTGGCGATTTGGACCCGACAGGAAGGATGGGTGGATAGATCACGTGCGCTAGTCTTCTTCGGGCGTTGCTAACATGGAACCTGTGGAAGCCAATGGTCGAACGCCCCACTATCATCGCGTCGCGTAAGGCACCTTCCTTGAAGTTCCCGGTCGTAGTTTCCGCACCGAACTCAATACCTAGCTTGATCCTCTTACGTCAGCAGCACCGCCCGGATGGGAGCAGGAACGACTGTGGAGAGAGCACCCGCACCTGCACTCAACAGAGCAGAAACCAAAGGCCAAAGCTCCTCCCGCGACCGAAGCTGCCCAGCACCGCACGCCTCGTCTTCTTCTCATTTCACCTCAAAAACGTCGCCGAGTCAATCACTCTGCTTTTTGAACCGCACAATTGGCTGCAATCTCTCCCCGTTCGTCCTCCACCATTTTCGCGAATCGATTGGCTTTCCAACACATCGATCATCATTGATATTGAACGATTTCGACTGGCGCAAGCCAACCATCCACGCCATCCGAGCGCGCAAACGCCTCGACCATCACCCGATATCTTCTAAATCAAATCCCTCCATCATGGCTCGATTGGCCGAATCTCCCGCACCGCCTAACGGCACCCAGTCGGTCAAGATACCCCAGACCACGAAGAACGGCGCATTCAACACCTTCCTCTCATCACCTGGTAAACCCTCCGGTTCACAGTCGCCGCATCCGAATAAGCGCATCAAGAGCCTTGCGCCTACTGGAACCCCCCGGTCGGATATTTCGCGATCCCGTTCGCCGCCTTCGCAAAATCCTTCTCCGCGTCTGCCAGTGAGCCCTTCCCCGCGCAAGGCTTTGAGCGATACCGCCGACGACGTGGATATTGCCGACCGTAGCACGCCCGCCGATACCGTTACTGCCGCTGCTCCCACCGAGACCCCAGAGCCGACCTCGTCCACTGCCCCAGTCACTGCCATGGAGGCTACTTCCGACGCTGAAGCATCCGGTTCTACACCAGAACCTAGTGCGCCCCGGACTGGTGTTGTGTCCTCTGTTCGCAAGACACTTTCCACCGTGGTCAACAATATAACTGGGCAGCGCACTGGTACCACAACTGTCACATCAACTTTTGAACAAACCATTGTGAGCCGCAAGCGGAGCAGAGAACCCGATGTAGAGGAAAGCCCTGTTCCTGCCGATAAGGAGGCCGACGAAGAGATTGAGGCTGCCAATGGCACTGAAGGCAACACCACTATCCAGCTCGGAACCCAATTTGAAGCTGAAGTTGAGGCCGAGGAGATTCGCGCAAAGAGCCCCGTCAAGGAGGCAGTGCAAGGTAAGCTAGATGGACTTTTGACAGGAATTAACACTGACTCGTTCCAGTGGCTTCTCCTGCTGCAGAGGATGCTGAGATCAACGTTGCCACGTCTACTGACAACGCCGACACTGTGGAGGCTGCTCCTACCGAGAATGCCGCTTCAAATGCTGCGGACAACGAGGACGTGGAGATGGACGATCCCCAGAATGGCATTTTCGCATTCGACAAGATCCTTGGACACCGCCGTGACCCGAACGACAAGACCCTCTTTCAAATGCACATCAACTGGAAGCACGACGATCCCACGTGGGAAACTGAACAGACCATTCACGAGGATGCCGAAGAGGCACTCTTTGCCTACTGGGACAGCCTCAAGGGTGGCAGGCTCGGTGCCATGGTCGACAAGAACCTATGGCACGCCCTCAGGGTCGAGAAGCACAAGCAAAAGCCTTCTGGCGCAGTTCAGCTCTACGTTTGCTGGATTGGTTCGCCTGAGCGATCATGGGAGCCCGAGAAGCAGGTTGAAGTGTACGCTCGCCAGCATGTTGAGAACTATTGGAGGTCCAAGGGCGGACGAGAGAAATGCATCAAGGCCGTCGCCATGCCTGTCAAGAAAGGACGCGGCCGCCCTCGTAAGAACAATGCTGCCGAGTCAGATGTCGAGATTGAGGTCTTGAAGGAGGCTATCAAGGAGCCCAAGCCGAGAGCTAGACCCGGACGCAAGCAGAAGCGTGACGAAGTCGAAGCCGAGGAGCCACAGCCTGAGAAGGCGGTAGAAGTAGCCGTTGCAGAGGACAAGCCTGAGCCTGCTGCCAAGGAGCAGTCTGAGGCTGACGAAGAGCCTCCCAAGAAGCGTGGCCGCGGCCGTCCTCGCAAGTCTCTTGTATGAAGTTGTGATGACGACGATGGACTCCTGTGGTAGATTTGATGGCGGATGCTAGATACAACAACTCAACAGCAAGATCGTGGTGAAAGCGACAAAGCTGAGACTTGTTTCGAAAAAGAGATATCTGAGATGGGACAATTGGCCTGGGCAATTTTAAGGATTTGTTATGTATTATACGCCGTGCTCTTTTTTTTTTTTTGTGCTCGTAGCTATGACGGTTCTCACCAGGTATCAATGGAACGATTTGGCTTCAAAGTACGCATTGATTCGACTGGGTTGCCCCGACATGATGGATGGATGGTCTGGGCTATGGGAGAGAAGATTCTCTTTAGAAAACTAAGGGAGATTTCCAATAACTGATATCAATGACTACCCGTTAATTCCTGTCCTGTGAATGAGACCTGGATGGTAGCGGCAGAGTGAAATGTACAAGCAAGCTGGTATCGCGCCAATCACCGCCTCCTCTCCTGTTTCCCCTCCAACCTTGGTGGCAGAGATACACCCCCTCGAGTAGGTAGATGCTGTTCACAAACTATGATGTATATATGGCTTCTCAGGTAACCTACTAATTGTGGACGAGATGTATGAACTCGTTGCTCCAGGCAGTCCGAAGTAAGGTGAGGGCATGTTATCGTCTGAAGCAACCCGCCGCCCAATAATTTCAATCCAATCACTTTACTGCTATATTTTTGGTTCAAATATGCAAGAAAAACATAAGGGTGTGGATAAGGTCGTGTTCCTGTTCTTCTGGTTTGCTATTGATTGCCAAACAATTGCTTTCTGGGTCTTTTCCAAGATCTTTTGATCTCCTGACCATTTTGTCTACCTTCTCACTCACAACACTCTATTTGTAGAGGTTACCCGTTGCATATGTGAGCTGAACAGGAGAATCTCGACTTTGAATCATTTCCAACGTTCTGAAATGAAAGAGTTGGGTGAGGGATTAAGATAACCCAGCTAATGTGCCGCAGCTCGTTAAAACATCCGTCAAACACGGTGAGGGTTCTCTGCCTGGAATAATGATACGATCTACATCAAATTAGACGTTAACAACATGGCTTACGGTAAGCACTTGGTGGAAGTGTTGCTCGTTACAGGACCTACTTTCACAGTGCAAGACATCGGCAGAAATAGGTTTACTATCAGACAAATCATCTAGCCGTAAGACAAGACGGGAAGAACCATTAGACGGAAACGCACACAATCAGGCCATGTTCGTAGTGAAACCATAGAAAAAAAATACAAAGTAGATTGAAGAGATGAAACTCCTTTTCTGGGTGACCCGATCTTGGCCAGTTGATATCTCCCATAAGTACAACAATATATATCTCATCCCCAAACAAAGCGGTATCATTGAAAGAAAGTGTTCTTGCCAAACCAAGTCCCAATTCGCTCATTGCAATCCTGAACTCCTGACATTACTGACATTGGCAGTTTCATTCTGCGAACTTGGTCCACATCATCTACTCATCGGCGCATAGTCCGCAGGATTATAAGCATAAGCCTGCCCATACGACGGATACGCCTGCGGACCCTTGACTCTGTGCTGCGCCGCCTCTGCCGCCTTGGCATGCGCATCCCCGCGGTGCTCCTCCTGCGTCTCCGGGTGTGTGGGCAACTCGGACGAGAAACCCTTGTGATCAAGCGCGGGGCTGGCGTACCCGCTGCTCGCCTCGGACGACGCCATGCTCGTCGGCCGCGAGCTCTGTTGCGATGGGCTCGGCTGACCCTGAGACCATCGCCATGAGTTTGGGTCGGGGGAGAGTTGTGATTGTTGCGACATGGAGTCACGATCGCCCTGTAGGCCCGGAGATGGCTGCGGGGGTTGGAGATTGTTAGAGGATTGCTGCGGGTGGTAGAAGTTTCCGGGGAGTTCGGCGATGAAGGATGTTTGAGGTGGTGCGCTGTGCTGGGAGTAGAGCTCCGACGGTTGATTCTGGTGTGCGCCATAGCTGCCCTGCGAGCCAGGGCGGAAATGTTGCATCGATACCGGTCTTGGGACTTGATAGGGTGTTGTCGGCGACTTGGATTCCGGCCTCGGGCTGCAGTCGGGGCGCTGGTTGAATGACGGGGAATGCGCGCCGGACATGCCTGTGCTGGTGCGGTCGGCCGGGTTGATGGTCGTGAGTTTCCCGTCTGTGATCATGGCCTGCAGCACGCCGGCGTCGAGCAGCTCTGCCTTTTTGATGATCCTAGACACCATTTCCTTGCTCGCCGTCTTGAGCTGCGCCTTGACAAAGTTGACCATGGTGATGTTGCAGCGGATCTCGATATCCTCGCGCAGATACAGTCCATCAGCTGGGACACCGAGCCCGGACATGCCGATTTCGGGCGGCTGGGGCGGTTCGACGCCGGGTTGGTTGCCGTCGATTTTGTACTTGATCCGGATGTCGATGTTCATGGGCGCGTAGGTATGTGTCTGCAAGCCCCAGGGCATATCGTGGAAGCAGCCGTTGAAGCTGATCTTGCCGGAACCCATCTTGCCGATGCCCGGGATGTACTGGATGCGCTCGGTGATTTCGTACCATGTTGAGTAGTACTCGTCGGAGGCGGCATCGCGGGGCGCCTTGATGGGTTTGTGGTCGAGGACGAGGGGGTTGAGGGTGATGACCTCGGAGTGGGAATGGAGGATATCGATACCGAGCTGGCGGGGGATGAAGCCCGGGATTGGGGTGACAGTCGTGTAGACCTCTTTCTTGCGAAGCATCTGTGCGGTTTTGTGTCGTCGCTCTCTTGGGTATCTCGGAGTTATCGTCGATTCGGAGGCTCGATGCGATTGCGATACTATGGGTCGTGAGGATTCAATGGTGTAGAAGTTTGGTTGAAAAGCTGGCTTCTGTCAGATGGCCGGGGGGACATGTGCCAAAAGAAAGGAGACGTAAAAGCTGACGACCCAAACAACAAAAAGCTTCTTGGTGCTGACACTGACGGAGGTGCGCCGCGCGAAGGATGGTGGTCAAGAAGAAAGCCAACCTGCTTAAGGTAAAGCCAAGCCATGGCAGCGCAAGACCTCAGCCCCCCGGGCCGGGACCCTTCCAGTCGCTAGCTCCGAGTTGAGAATGGATATTCGCAAAAAGCATGGCTGCGGTGCTTGGGGTCGCTTGGTGCGTGGTGCTTGGTGGGAAACGCAAAACCACATGCAGGTTCGCTGGGATGTGCTTGGATGCGTGGGATGGTCTGGTGGGCGTCTCACGTCATCTGGGCGTTCGGGAGGGGCAGCTGGAGGCTTCCTGGAGACTGACGGGGACGGGCGTGGAATCCACGGGTGCTGATGATCCGCCTCCGGCGCCACGCTTTATTTTGTGCCTTTGGGTCTTTTGGGGGGGCATTTTTAGGTGCCGTCCCATCGTTGAGACAGGGAGTGCAGGCGGGCTCAGTGAACTTCGGAAGCCTAAACTCGGCACAGCCAGCGTCCTCAGGGAAGCTCGTAGTGACAGAAGCCCGCTAAGCTCGGGCTAAGCGAGGCGAAGGATCACTAGAGCAGCTCCATTCATGCGTATCAGCCAATGAGAGACGTTTGACTGTGGTCCGGAGTGTCTGGCTTCCGTTGCCGACTTAGGTAAGCAATTTTTTACCTCTGATTCGCCGTCGCACCTCCCTGGTTCCTCAGGTTCGTCGGCGGGCGGGGCTCCCCCACCAGCTTCCTCCGCTCTCCGCCGTCGCTGTTCATCCGTCCTCTCCATCCCTGACTTTCTGGCTGTCAGCAAGCACCGTCAAACAAGAACGACAGGGTTTTCCGAGACATTCCCAGGAGCTGGTAGTGGCACAATGGCACCCAAGCTCCCCCTAGCTATCCACAGTCTTTCAGCTCTTTTTCTACTTTGGCAGCTGAATACCACAATGTCGTCCCCTTGAAGCCATTCCCAGCTGGCAGCGACAACAAACCACCCCCTGATCTTCCACGATCTTCACTTTTACCAGGAGTCTTTCAAGTCTTGGGGCGTCCCAGTTCAAGGTCTGAGACGACGGCCATGTCCGGACACGACAGTGACGACCTAGCAAACTCGGATCGTCTTCCTTCGGCCCCGACTAAGCCTCCCAGAAGCGCCAGGTTCCACCATCGCGGCACCACTGACCGCCATCTTGAGTTTGGGCCGTTGAACTCTGGGAGGGGCGCCGGGTGAGGCAGCGGGCGTCGTCGCCGTGAACGGCTTTGAACCTCTTTGTGCGTTTTCGATCGACAATGAGCTCGTCGACTTTCTTCAGAAGCTTGGCCTTTTGACGTGTCGCCGCCAGTGGACGTTCAATGAACGTCTCACATTGTGGATGCCGCTGACTGCTGCATCTTGCAACGACGCTCGACAAAGCTGGGCTTCGGAATCGCCATCGTCCTCCCGGAACATCACCCGAATGACCACCTCGGAATAACTTACGGCATTGCGAACAAGCGAGTTTGACTTTCCATAGCCTATGGTAATAGGCATTGGCAACATTCGAGGCACACGGTCACATATAATCGTTTGTGGTCACCTCTTCTCTCCCAAGTGCGATGCGAAGGGACAATAAAGTTCCGAATCGTCTCTTCGGTGGTATTTATGCTTACCAAGAAGCGGCAGAGGATCGAGTCGACCTTGGACATCGCCAAGCGGCGCTGCTGTTGAGGTCGCATCACAGCGGAGCGCATTTGTCATCGAGCCAGCCCCTTTCGGGCAGCTGCATGCGACACCTTGTTCCGCTGTGCAGGTGCTGCAGTCGAGATTCGATATCTCTGGGGTCTCAACGCAATGCGCTACGTCTGCGTCACTGCGTGTACGGAGTATCCTCACGGAGCACGGCAGTACGGAGTAGTACGACCTCCCTCTCTCGGCCGAAGATGCAGCCCTTCACCACCAAAGCCGCAGAAGCCGCCCGCCGCGCCAAGATTGTTCCTGTCCCCCAATGCCACATGGCCAGTGTCATGTCTCAGAGGGCTTTTGGGATGTATCCGTACGGTGTGGGTTGCTGACCTGCAAGTTCCACCGAGGTAATTGTTTCACGCCTCGTCCACCTCTCTGCAGCGTCTGCAGCGTCCGACTGCAGCGTAACCTCGGGATATCGACATGTTTTACCGCGGGTGGATTGCAGAGACGATCTGCCAGCACGATTCAACCGATGGCAACATGAGTACCCGCGGTTATCATCAACTGCTCTAGCGCCTGTTGGTTGCGTTCCAGGCACCCGATACATCAATCCTATGGCGTCTCCCTTACAGAAACTCATGCATTTACTGCAACTTGCAGTCAAGCTGAACCAAAGAAATGTCAAAGATTCCATGGCTGTGCCGGTAAAATGGTTTCCCGGCCCTGCACCGCTGCCATACAGCCGAACATGGGACGAATAGAATTGGAAGGACATTAACTTTCGATAATCACCGACACTGGACGAACATTCAACCTGGGAGCACCATCTCCGTCCAGATGTTCATTCTCGTGGTGGCCTCTTGGAATTCGAACATTCGATCTGCCGAACATTGAGACTTCACCTCGTGATCAAAGAAGGGTTTGAAAAGGAGCCTCTTCGAGTTTATTCGAGTCTTAGACACAAATATTCAAAACTAAGTTAGGCCGGCGGGATAGTAGTCTATCCCAACCTGACGGACTGGCAGCCCTTTCGTTTCAAGCTTCCGCGTCACCAACTTCAATGAGGGCGGCTGGCCTTCCACTCACTTCATTCCGTATCCTTGACTCGCTCGAGTAAACCAACGGCTCCCGTTCCGAGTTTCTCTTCCAGTTTCCACAGACCGGCACTATTGCGGAAGGCTCGGTTTCTCGGAGAGCAAGGGCTTGAAGTGCGCTAGAGGCTCCGCATCACGTTGCAGCAGTGCGTTGAGTCTACGACTCTACGCGTACGCTGGCAGTTCAACCTCACTTGCCGATCCCAGTTGCCGAAGACAAAATGCCCTAGCTTTCTTGGCACTGTTGATACCCCTCGAGATTGCAACTCAACAGGCCTCATTGGCTCTACTGAGCGAGTCGGGACCTGCACGTGGAGCCTCCGACGAGCCAAAGTGGGTGTCTTCCCCAGGATTGCGGGGGCGGGCAGGGCGGAGAACCTGGGGGAATCATCTCGAGGCGGCGTTCATTTGGAGATTGAGACTTAACAGGCGAACATTACTCGAGAATGATGAGTTTTCGAGATCTTCGTATCTTTCTTGTTCGTGGTGTTCTAAGTGAGCTTCAAAGACTATCTGCTTGATGCCATCATGGCAGTGCTGATCTCCCGCATCGATGCTGCAATGGTCGTGTCCCGGCATCTTTGATACAACCCAGTCCACAATTGGAGGAGTAAGGGACAATCTTCTCAGGAAGAGATGCGTCCAATACAACCTCGATGGATGGCGTATCCCTACCCCGCAGGCAATCCCACTCTGATGGAGCCCTAAACAAGGAGGGTGCGGCAACGCCAAAGATGCAGCTCTGGTCCCCAATAGAGTCGTGCCCGGTAAATGCTTGGGATGCTTGGGGGTTGAGCTAGGGACATGGGTACGGCATTTTGACCAGGTTGTATTCTTTGCCAACGTCTACGAGGTACTGTTGGATTTAAATAGACGACCACGGTCCTCTTCTCAGTAAATGTTGGCAACTCATCCCTCGAGTATCCGGTCTGACTTTGACGACTGTAGGCCAGTATCTCAGAAACGCACTCTGAGCTTCCAACTGTAAGCTTGGGAGAGTCGCCTTGAGGTTCACTTGACCTTCTCTCGGGTTTAGTAAGACGTTGCCTGAACTAGTAAATATCTCAACCTTCATCATGTCTACGGAGAAGGAGGTTCCTCGGGGCACTCACGTCGAGGGCACCGAGGACCACGCTATCAGTGCTGCTCCCGTCCATGACAGTATTCACAATGCAGCTGGAAAGGGCCAGCTTGCTACCGACAAGTGAGTAGCCTCATGTTCGCTTCCAATGTCTATCGCGCTTGATACTAACTACGCCTCAACAGATATGGCCACTCCCTCGTCGAATTCGACCCGGTCGCGGTACGAAAGCTACGGTGGAAGCTCGACTTACATACCATTCCTACCGTAGCATTACTGTATCTCTTCTGCTTCATCGACCGTGCTAATATTGGTAAGTCATACCATCGAATCCCGTCATGCCCCGACTGGTCCTATGTTTGCTTACACCCCATCCCCAGGTAACGCAAGAATCGCCGGCCTCGACAAAGACCTCGAACTCAAAGGCTACGACTACAACATGATCCTCTCCGTCTTCTACATCTCCTATATCCTCTTCGAGATCCCCGCCACAATCGCCTGCAAAGCAATGGGCCCCGGCTGGTTCCTCCCCATCACCACTCTCTTCTTCGGCATCGTCTCCATTTGCACCGCCTTCGTCCAGGACCGCGCCGCCATCTGCGGCGTCCGCTTCCTTCTCGGCATCTTCGAGGCCGGCATGCTCCCCGGCATCGCATACTACCTCTCCAGATGGTACCAGCGCGCCGAGTTGACGTTCCGCCTGTCACTCTACATGGTCATGGCACCCCTCGCCGGCGCGTTCGGCGGCCTGCTCGCATCCGCGATCCTCACACTCGACTCCTTTGGCAGTCTGCACCGCTGGCGTATGATTTTCGCCATCGAGGGCATCGTCACTGTCGTTCTGGCCATCATCTCCTTCTGGACTCTTACCGACAGACCCGAGACGGCAAGGTGGTTGACGCAAGAGGAGAAGGACCTCTGCATCGCCCGCGTGAAGTCGGAGCGCGTCGGTGCCACGGAGGTGATTGACAAGATTGATAAGACGAAGCTGAAGCGCGGTATGCTCAACCCCGTCACCCTCGAGATCGCCGTAATCTTCCTCTTCAACAACATCACGGTGCAAGGCTTGGCCTTCTTCCTCCCTACTATTGTCAGCAACATTTACCCGACCTTTTCGACGGTCCAGAAGCAGCTGTACAGCGTGCCACCCTACGTTGTTGGCGCGTTCTTCACGGTGGCCTTCCCCGGGTTGAGTTGGTACCTTGACAGAAGGCAGGTTCTCATCGCGATGAGCGCGCCGATGGTGATGACGGGGTATATCATGTTCCTCGCGTCAAAGGTAGCTCGCGTGCGTTACGGAGCGACGTTCCTCATTGCCAGTTCCGCCATGGTTATGGGCCCCATGTCCAACGCCCACATCAGCGCTAACGTCGTGAGCGATACGGCGCGAAGCAGTGCCATCGGTCTCAACGTAAGTTACACCCTTCCCCTCTTCTACCCCTGAACATCCAACCAGACACAAAAGCTAACACTCTTCCCAACACAGGTCATGTTCGGCAACATCGGCGGTCTCATCTCAACATGGTCCTACCTCTCCTGGGACGCGCCCGACTTCCACATCGGCAACGGTCTCAATCTCGGCGCGGCGAGCATGATTTTCATCCTGGCTACCGCGGCGTGGTTTTGGATGAAGTGGGACAATAAGCGCCGCGACGATCGGAGTATCGAGGAGGAGCTTGCTGGGTACTCGGAGCAGGAGATCCGGGATTTGGATTGGAAGCACCCTGCTTTCCGGTGGAGGACCTAAATTTCCACTGGCGCTTTGGGTTGGAGTGGAATGGATTGAGATATATGTACGGTGGCTGACTCCCGGCTTGATATACATACCCGCGGAGGGTTAGATGGAGGGTGATCATGAAATGCTACATGACTTATGATAATGAAAGGATATCGCGCTTTGCTATACCAGTGTGACCACGCGGCACTAATACCTACCCCGTAGGTCATGGAAAATATTGTCTTCCGAGCTCGGAACCTTAGTCTTGATAAACTGGCTCAGGGAGCATGGAGAATATTGTACGGCGAGATAAGTGGCCGATGGGCTCTGATCTTGGTCGGCCCTACCCCTGACTATTCCACCTTGATACTCTGGGTGTACATGATTTTAGGTCATCGCGAAGACTGCCTTACTCGGGGTGCGCATGTCAAGCCACTCAAGGGCACGACAACATGTCTCGAATGGCTAACTTCACATATGCAATGCCTATCAGAGATGGAGACCTTACGACAACAAGAGCCACTTCCCAATTTCCCTGCTCTGCTGATTCATCAGGTCCACCTTTGACGCCAATTTCTGCTGCAGCGGATGGGGGAACAAGCTTTACTCTGATGGCGACTTGGGTGGGTCTGAACTCGTGTTATGAGAGTGAACACAGTTGAGGAAACATATGGGAAGGAAATGCTACACCCAGCACGGGAGCAAAGCCATCGCCCAACAGTTCCAATCGAGCTGAAACGTAACACGATATTGTCCACAGGGTTTGTAACATGGGCGTTATCCACATCTAGTACGTGTATTCAAAAGCGCAGGGTTTCCTATCGAGTACGGAACAGCGATAGAGTATCTGTTTTTGAGGGGTGTAGTCTTTGCATCTAACTGCCGTAAATCAGAGTCGATTGGCGGATGTGATTGAAAATAATATCAATACCGCCTAGTCTCATATTCCCTCATAGACCTATTCTCTCGCCAATCCGCACTGGACAGCGCCATAAGACATCGAATGAGCCATGGAATGTTCATTCCTTGAATCCCAACTCCCTATGGCGTTTGTTGCTGCTCGTAGTACCGGCACTCAAGCCGCGTACCCGAAAGATGCATTGAATTCTCACCTGTGATCACATGCTCTTTCAACGTTTCGCGCCGCCGTCATCTGTAGCTACTGTGCTCTTGGGCTAGCTCCGGAAATGTCGTCGCGAGGTCGCGTATAACAGACATCATCATTGGGCAATCATATGGAAAACAACCCCTGTTGTCCCAAACCCAACTGGACTGCACGGCGATTCGACCGTTGCTCGCAAGAATGGAATGCCAAGATGTCCAATCCTCATCAACTCATCAATCAGCAGCTTTCTAACCACAGGGTCGGGACCTCCAGGGGTCGCTTGACTTGCCAGACAACGGTCGCTCACCTCGCAGTTGAAATTGACTTTGACAGAAACGTCTACTCGACCGGCATTGAGATCAGGACCTACCCGTCTACTTTACTTCAGCATCAGTGAGCGGCACGCAGGATAGGCCGGACCTTCGCCAGACACACGTCCAGCACGCACCACACCAACGCAGGCCATAGCTCCGATCAAACCATGAGATCCCTGTTCCGCGGGGCATTGTGCCTGAGATACCCGAACTCCGAGCTCCCCGCTCCCCGCACCGCAGATTACAGTCGCGGATCCGAAGGGCCCTGAGACTGGTAGCGATTGGCTTACATCCGGAACATTTATGTCTTCGCTTGGTCGTTGGCGGACTTTTTGACAAGCTTTTAGCCGTCGTTGATCTTATCTTGCGGCTGATTTGAACGCATTGTCCATCCCAAATATCGGAAAGTCTGTCAACTCACTAGTTCGGAATGTGGGCTGTTCTCATCAGTTGGAAGAATCCCAAGCGTGGGGTCACTATCAGATATGAAGAGAGAAGTGACGTTGTTAATAGATTACGACTAGTTGAATCAACTTCTGACAGACTGAACTTTCGTTTCGCGATGCTGAGAAACCCTAGCATCAAGATGTTAATCTCCCAGATCCCCTACGCTAACGCAGGGGAAATGCCCTACAACAGGGTCTTTAGGTTTGCCCCTGACTACAACCTCTGGGGCACCTCAATCAGGCTGCCCTGTCGAGTCGCATTTGACAAAGCCCCCGCTGGCTGGCGAGACCTCGAGCGATGGATACTTCACACTCGAGACACCACTGTGGACGACAACCTTTCCTGTTATGCAACCTTCAGACGAAAGGATGGGAAAGTGGCCTGTTGCTACCCTCCCTTTTGATTCCTCCACTTAGCCGTCACAGGGAGCGGAATCCCCATAAGCTTGAGCTTATTGTCGAGGCTCGTCGCCTCGTTTTCCTCGCTTGTCACTTTCACTCATCCAGCGAGTGGCCAGTCTCGTAGAGTTTGTCGAACCTGGACATCACTCACAATTTGTTTGGACTGCTGTCTTAGCATTGTTTATCCGTCCTGGCTGTGAACAGTGCTTTCGTCTCACAGGCCTCAATCCGGCCGAGGTGTGCTCGCTAATTTGCTGGTCATCGGTTGCAATGATTCCGCCGGCGCTTTCACGTTAGCACAGCCCGGCCGAGTCAGGTATCACTTATGGGGTCATTATATAGCGTGAATGCCACCTCTAGAATCACGCGCGCTTACACTTGTCGCGCCTGTCAGTCATGCTGTTTCGTACCCGTGTCTCTGGCTCAACAGCATGCACACCAACTTGGCATTCGGGATCGGCCTTTTGCCAAGATGCGCCGAGTAAACTGTTCGCGCATCATGCTGGGCACACAAATCCTGGGCACTTGAAGGCATCATGGTTTCATTGGTGTGCGAAGGAACATAATATTCACTCTTTTAAGGAATACCTGACATTTGTTAGCGATACCCGTATCAAAATGGCGTGATGGGACATGATGCACTAAGCAGAGTGTACATTCTGATCGGACAACCCCTGGATTGAAGATATTCTGCTCGATCATAGCGCGGGACGTTTGAATGAACGTCCCTCGACACGGGAGCGAGCGTCACCTAAGCCCACGATGGCGCGCAGAAGATCCAGAAAACGGGCTTCATCCCGCAAACCCAATGGCGTAGGGGCATTTCAACGGGAGCCAAAATAAATAGGATAAGCCACGCGAAGGTTTGCTGAATTCCGAGGAAACGTTTTCCCTTGTGGGAGGCCGAGAAGAGGTTGCGAGGTGGGCGCGAATCGGAGGGGACAACAACCGAATCCCAAGGCCCGCTAGGGTGCTTCAAAAGTCGCTTTGAGCACTCATGTTAGGCAACTGGACGACGCAGCATACTTGGCACTAATACGGCCTGTGGCAATGGCTGGCCTCTCTTGGATGTCCGTGGTACTGTGGGAGCTGGGCAAAGTAAAACAGGATCTCAACACCAATGTCTAGTCTTTTCGAATGCGAAGAGGCAAGGAGGGCTGCACGAAACGAATTAGACCGCCGACCTGCAGTTCTTGAGGACGGGTGTCTGAACTGCCATCCGTTCCTTTTTGAACAGGATGGTGCCACCATTTCGATGTCCATTTGTATGTAGCATCACCTAACAGCAGGAGATGACTAACCCAAAGGCTAGCCTGTTGTGGCTGTGGACAATTTTTTAAGCTTCTCGGGAGCATGGCTGTTTTGAGTAAGGACATTTTTGGGCAGAAGAAACGCCCATCAGACGAGTCATGGATGTAGCCATGTTGCAAGTCGGCACGAGTAACCATGTGGCCAAAGGTGCCCCAAGAAGACGGTCGAGAAAGGGATCAAAAGACTAGGCGAGGCGGGAAAGGATGGTCACCATTTCCAAAGAGAGTTCGAAGTCCGAGACGTGAAGTTGTGACGTCTGGTAGGGTGCCGTCGGCGGCTCTGTTCAAGCAAACCATGACCCATCAACATGTTCGGACTCCCTTCTCTGCCCTACTGAATCGCGGCCAGGGGAAGGGGGAAAAGATGAGCTGCCGACAGGGAGACCCGAGGATGTGATTCGCGGGCTGTGTAGCTACTCTGATACCCTGCACCTCAATGCATCGTCTGTGCAGATAGACAATCAGGGAAATCCTTCCTTCGTCCCAACGTTATCAAGGTTCGAAACAAGAAGCACAGCGACTCGGCGACCGCCCCAAAACACTCTAGAAAGTCTATCATCCGGAAGTTTCAACCTCCATCGCTGGCCCGCCTTCGTGCTTCCTGTTGGATAGCCCCCCCACCAGGGGCCTCATCTCATGATTTTGCTTCGTGAAGTTGGGGCCGGTCTGGATAATGTGCGTCTCGCCGTTTGGACTTATAAGACCAGACGCCCGCCCGGTCGATTATACCAACATTACTTGCTTCTGCACTGGATCTGGATTCGGACAATAGGACAATATCGTCAACAGCAGCGAACGGTCATTACTCGCCCTCGGACAGGCTCCAACAACTTTAATTTCAACTATATACAATCTTTTTCGAATAATCGTAAATCACCACCAACCGTCAAAATGAAGGCCTACGCTGTTGTCCTGTCCCTCGCTACCCTGGCCGTCGCCCAGATGAACGGAGGAGCCGCTCCCGTTCCCGCTCCCGCCCCGGCGGCCGGAGATACCCCCGCTTGCGCCGAGGCGAAGATTCTGGCTGGTGGCATTGCCTTGAACATTGAGGTTCAGCAGCAGGAGGTCAACGGTGTCAATGCCGTCATGCAGGCACTTCAGGCCAACCCTCCCAACCCCCAGCAGTTCCAGACCGCCAAGTCCAACCTCCTGTCCTTTGTCAGCGACGGTATCCAGGTCAGACAGGCCAATCAGCTTATCGCTCCCTCCGGCAACATGGCCACCCAGGGACTCGCTGTTGTAAGTAGTCATGACTTCTATGACCTTCTAGATACGTGTGTTAATATCAGGCCTAGGTCGCCAATGCGCAGCTCTCTGAGTTGCAAAAGGTTGCTGGTCTTACCGGCAATCCAGCACAAGATATGCCCGTGGTCCAGTCACTCATGATGGATTTCTCTGGCGGTATCAAGAAGAACATGGAGAATCAGCAAATGGTATGTTAAACGCCCTCTCACGGCCTCATATCGGCGCTAACCCACAACCCCAGGCCGTTCAGGGCGCTTGCTAGAGAACTTCAGTTCAGTTGGTCGACATGTTTGGAAGCGGTGCACGGGGAACAGCTTATGGGCAACGGCGTTTAGCGGCTTTGTCCCACTTACTTCTTTAATCATTTAAATCATGGGAGCTGGGCGGTTGGGACTTTGGCGAAGTTGATCCTCGCTGGGCCTTCATTCGGAACGAGTTTGCCTGTTAGGTTTACTTGAATACCAGTCATCCGACAACTTTCTTAGTTGCACATCTTTCAGCCGGATCCAGGCCGCTGCTTCTTATTAGAATACGACCACTTGCTGATGAGCATCAAGAACGTGGTCTAAGAAATGCTTAACCGTGCTCGCGTCGCCGTGACTGCGCGAGTATAAGACTGTATAATCAGTAAGACTGGTATACTTGCATGGATTATTGACCAGACAGGTTGACAGCCTGGGTGAAACGATCAGCAGCCGTTGCAGATCACAGCATTGGGCCAGTGGTGTTATCCTCTCCGGTGCATACTGTGACATTAGAAGTTTGAACTAATAGACTGCTATTACAATTACTACAAAAGTACACAAATGCTCGCACATATTTCCCCCCCGCCAGAAAAGGCCTCGCTCACAACGTTTAGGCGATGAAAATACCGTCCAACTCACAAAATTCCATGTTCTATACCGGCCTCCATCGTTTTGAAGCCGAAGTCTCTGCTGCTAGTGCTTTCTCGTCGTAGGATACAGTAACTACATCGGTACGAACAGTGCCCCTGTCCTCGGGCCGACTTAGCTGGCTGCCGATAGATGCAGCTGTTTGAGGTTGTGGTCTCCCTTCCCTGGGAAAGATGTTCTCTTGGCTGTCCCCTTCAACGATGGTAAATCCGAGGTCATCTCGGGGCTTTGCTCTCGCTTTGCGTTGGCCTAGTTCATATTCGTAGTTTCCATACACGCGCGAGGGGCGATAGTTACTTGGTGCTGATCCCGTATTGTTCTCAGAGGATTTAGCCGTTGGCCTCGATGCTCTTGCAGATGAGAAGGGATTTCGTTTGAGGATCAGCTCTAGGAGCGGGTGTAAGACAGGGATAGAGCTTGCAATAATGATGGTGCTGCCTTCGATCCTGTAAACTCTAGTCAGAAGGGTTTGATCACCGCCACGGCTGCGACTCTGCAGAACCGAGACGCCGACTGCGACTTACACGGTCCAGACTACTAAGTCAGGTGTCTCGTCTATATGAATGTAACACGTTCAGTCAGCCAGCTGGTACCTTGGATATCTCGTGGAGAGAGGCCTTACATGAGTAATCTTCGCTAGCGAGGAGCGGAAGGCGTGTTGTTTTGTAAATGGCGACAACGCCGGAGCTGTTATGGAATCCTGTCAACCACACTAGCGAAGTAAGAGAGAACACAGCCACGATAGTGAAATGCTTACATGGCGCCAATGCCAAGAGCACAAGATAATGCAATTTTTTTCTTCAATGCCATTTGCAGGCGGAGCAGGACGATGGCCGGATACACAGCTAGGTAGACATCAACGAATGCCGAAAATGCTGCACCTCGAATCAATTTCTGATCCATACTTCAGTCTCATACGACTTACTGCCAGCATAAATGGAGAAATTGATGAGAATTTCCGGGCTGAAGCAGGTCCCCTCAATAGAGAAGTCCCATAATGAGCTCGTTGGTGTGTACCGTCCTATCAGAAGCCCAACAGTCACAAAAAGTGTCAACTGATACCATATCGCCATCCACCACAGGAACCACTTGTGGTATGCACCAGGGTTCATCAATCGTGTCAAGAGCGATACTACCGCCAGTTTAGGTAGACCAAATGACATGATGCCGGGGCATTGAGCAGCGGTCGTCCATAACATTCCATCTTCTTGTTGCTCCAAGGTGAGTAGTTCGAGATGTTTGCCAATACCGGAGTATACTGCAAGTGTCGAAAGCGAAGTGGAAATGTAACCACACACCTGCTATTATCAGAAAATGTCCGAAGGGGCAGTGTGAAGAGTATTGCAAGGCGCACCAGCCCAGCAATGACAAAATAATCGTCGCTGTGAAACTTCCTCATGATCTTCCACCTGACAACCACTCTGCCAAGGACAAATATCGTGCTCAAAGCGGTGAAGATCCAGCAAACTGTGATGATGCCTGGACCTTTGTCTTGGGCCTTCCAGGCATCGGAGCCCTTTTCTAGACCTGACATGGTGGGTTGTATTCTAGCAGTGTGCGGTGAAGACCTCGGCGCATGCGAAATAAAGAACGGGGGAAACGGGCACGAACCATGGAACACGAGTGTGGCTCGAATATTTGGGAAGCAGACTGTGGGATCGCCTGAGTTTATCACGAGGAGTATTTCCTTGATGGCCTCTTCAGAGCCTGACTGCGGAAGCAGCTCCTGTTCCCCTTGCAACAGTTCGATTTATCTACTCTCCACGTCATATTACAAACATGAAAGAATGATTCAAAGGGCCCCCAGAGGTTGATTCAAGATATGTAGGCAGGGAAGGGTAATGATTGCCACGGTCGTCTTGCAAGGGACGAGTAGGTGGTGTTGGAAGTGAGCACAGAACCTGATGGTGTTGGAAGATGACAGGCGATTGGAGATAATGTCCAGCCCCTGCCCTATGTGCATTTCCGTTTTCATGCTTTGGTCCTTACCTCCATTATCGAGTGCAGTTTCCCAGTCCTGATCTGGCCGAGTCATCAGGTCGAGCAAACTGGGGTGCTTGCCAAACATCCTGAAGGGATCCAGCACACGCCATAAAGGATTCGACAAGGATGGCTGGCAAATAGTTGTGCCGAGCAATCAATTTGTTCATTCGACCAACATACAAATTTTCAGTCCATCAAAGAAAGGCACTGATCCCTGTATTAACTCCCTAGCCGAGCACCGGGGTAAGCTCTGATCGCAGCCTGTTCCTACTTAGGGACTAAAGCGGAGTTGAGTGATGTTGGTAAAGGCACAGTACTGAAGTAATACGAGATTGAAGGCTCCCGTACATCCTGTAGAGCGGGCAATAATGAGATGGTATAGTCAAGGCGAAAGGGGGACTGGAAGATAAAATATCAGTGACAACTTCCCATGCCCCGATTTCACTTGCGGTACACATGCTGTCTGGCTGATCAAGAGCTGCAGCCAAGATTGCCAGAACCCAGCCGGATGCTCATCCCTGACCCGGTTCCATTGTCCTCTCTACCGACATGCATTGGTGGAAAGATCTTGCGTTGCCACCAATGCAGACTACTATCTCCCATGATTATAATTGGTTGTTATTACCTGGCATGTTGGTCTAGACAAATGATGCGAGTGTTTGCTTGCTCAAAGACCACTACCACAGCATCGCCCCCTGCTCGGGCTTTCTGGAGACCCTCCCGCCATGACCATCAGGTGAGCTTTGAATGTGCGCTAAGTATGGTTATAGAAACTTGTTCATACCAGGCGTTGCACAAAAGAAAATGTTCGCTTCTCTTAGTTCTTCATTGGGTCCATCCTCGGACCTTGAAACGGCAAATACGACGTATCATGTGGGCAAAGGCATTACGCAAATAATTCTCACTAATGATATCTCTTGATTTATTTTCAAGCCATAGAACCAGGCGATGACGGCGCATTTACGTGCCAAGTAGTAGCGATTGATACTGCTGCTAAGGGTCCATGGCCCGATTGCGTGCGTTTTCGCAAAGGTGAAGCATGCGCCATCTTTAGCTAACCTCATGTATTGTCGAAAATATGAGATTCTGTGACTGGGTAGAAGTTCAATCAGTCTTTCGGTTATGCAAGCCATGGCTTTTCATCCCACCTAAGACAAATCTTGTCAGGTAAGCACTCAATCAACAGAATCATGAACACAAGCACAACAGCCATTAAGCTACACGCGCGGGGAAGTGTGAGAGCGCATGAAGGGAGTGACCCTTGATAACGCCATCTCTTCCGACGAGGGTGATATGCGAATGAGCCCTGTCTCACTTGCAGCTTGACCATTGAGGCATATTTGCTTTGGGCAGGAGAGACTCCGGTCTCTGGTCGAGTATCACGACAAGTTTGATACGGTTCCTACGAGCAAGCGAAGATCTGAAGACCTATTAAGAATGGCTGACGAGGCTGAAACTGAGACTTATTTTGCTACTAATACTTGGCTGAAGGTTTTCGACCCTGTCGTAGCTTGCTACTCGCGTTCTGGTAGGTGCTACAGGAAAGATAACTTACGCCGCAGTCATTAGAATGGTCATTTACATGTAAAGTATTGAGAGTGCGTGATAAGAACTTCCCGGGGAACGAGCTCCGAGTCCCTCATATATCTTGATACTCCACGACTGTATGAGCTCGAACATGTAATCACAAGTAATCAAGTCAATCACAGTAAAATTGACGTCCCAGGTCTGTTCAGGAGTCAGGAGGTCGTGGAAATGTAGGTATAACGAGCCGCTCGATTGTGCTAAGTCCAGAAGCGATCTGGGCTTTTTGAAACTGTTGATACATCATATTCTCTCACACACCGAGTCTGTGACACGAGACGGGCACATGAGTCGTCAGTGAACGCCAAGATCGCCAACTTTCGGACTTAAGGCGAGAAACGCCGTTGGCAAAAAGTGGCCTTTGAACCCCACTTTTGCTGAAGAATCAACCCATCGGCCCCCCTCAGATCATGCTGTGTTTGTGCCGGAATCCACATCGACGATGCCGCCGCACACAAGGAGTAGAACAGGGTGCCTCACATGCCGGTAAGATATAATACCCCGTGAAGAAAGGGATCTTGGTATTAACGACCGTGGCAGAGATGAGGGCTACAAATGTGATGAAGCAAAGCCTCACTGCGGCCGCTGCGTCCGACTGGGCAAAACATGTAAGGGGTACGGGCTAAGAGTGAGATGGAAGTCGGCCGATGACCCCAAAGACGGCGGGAGAGTTACAAAGAAGAGAGGATCAAAGCCCAAAGATACTGTTGGATATCGCAAAGTGACGCCGCCTTCAAGCGATGAACAGCCCGCGACGCCTAGCTCCAGCTCAATGACGGTGACTTCGACTTCAAGCCCAGACAGTCTCATCCGGAATCCGTCATATTTATCGCCAGATATCTCGCCGATGAACCGCTACTTAATACATCATTGGAACGGATCACTGGCTAGTGTGATATCCATGGCATCCGGCGTACAAAACCCTTTCCTTGTCCACCTCACGCCAATGATGCTCCGCTCCACGGCCCTGCTCTTCTCAATCTCTTCCATGGCGGCAGGCCACCTCGCCATCCTCCGGAATGATGGCAACCTCAGGACGCTATCGTCACGACACATGCTCGTCGCCTTATCATCGCTACGGGAGTCGATCCAAACCGAGAACCCCGAGCTCTCCCTAGCCACAATCTTGATGCTCCAAATCTCGGACCGACTCTTCAACACGGACAGTCAGATTGACCACCTGGCTGGAGCCAAAGCAGTCATCATGCACTCAGGGGGCCCGGCGAACTGGAACACTTCGAGCGCGCAGTTTCTGCTCAGTCTTTGCTTCTACCACGACGTCATGTCATCCATCTCCCGCGCATCGAAGCCACTGCTAAGCATGACGAATGTGGCGCCTCTCGAGGGCCTACACAGCCTGGCCAAGCTGACTTCCGTCGTTTCCCTCGTCAGTACCATCAGCGAAATGCAAGGACAAAGCGGCGAAGAGCACCAGAAGAGGGGATACGGCATCAAACGAAGCTTGGAGGCAGTCGACTTCTCTGATGAAGGAGATCCAGACATTGAGCACACGATCCAAGCCTACAAACACGCGGCAATCGTCTACCTCTATCGAGTTTGGGACGACGGGAAAATCTCCACAAAACCCTATTACGCGGAGCAGTGCATCTACCATCTCTTGAAGGTGCCCATCACGTCATCCTTTGTCTCTGCTCATGCGTGGCCCTTATGGACTGGTGGCTGCGAATCCGTCGAGACTCGCCTACGTCGAATGGTTCTTGTTAGGATCAGGGAGATGTATCAAAATAGGCAACTGCCCTCTCTTCAACGAGTGCAAGAAGACATGGAAGAAGTGTGGCAGGTAAAGGATGCACAGAGGCTGCAGTTCGGAACGGAAAATGTTGATTGCTGCAAGATGATTCTGCATACGCGTCATCGAGAGGCAGACTTGGTCTAGCATTGCTCATGACGAGCTATCTACCATTACCCCGACCTCCAACTCATATTGTTTCCTCACTTCCGTTTGGGTGTAGGTGAAGACTGTCCAAGCCCAAGACACGAAGCAATCTTGAAGAAGACGTCCGTGTTGTCGTACACACCGGCAAACGTCTCTTGGCACGGCCCCATAGCAAAGACGGGCACATCAGTCAGGGAATGAACACCGGACGAAGACGACGTCGGGATTGTACCGGGAACAAAGAAACCATCCTCGCCGTCCTCGGGGTTCGCAACGTACCCATCCTCACCGCTAACCGCCACCCGACGAGGCGACTCGTGGAGCTGGTAGTTCTCATTCCGGTCGGGGTTGGCACCAAACGCAGGCGCAATAGCGTACCGCGGGCTCCAGTTAGAAGGGAAGTTGGGCCCGGTACCGTACTCAATGCCATCGGGCCGGGAGACGGTGTACTGCGACAGGCCGGAACGCTCATAGATGCCAATCGCGTCGCGCTTCTTGCGGTCTGTGTCCTGCGCGGCGAGGTACTTTGTATCAGCGACGCCAAAGACGTCGAAGCCGTGGCCGTGATCAGCCGTCACCACGATGAGCGTGTTCTCGAGCTCCCCGGCCTCACTGAGCTTCTTCACCGTTGCGCGAATGGTGTCGTCGAATTCGAGGAGGTCGCCGAGGGCTCTGTCGTAGTCTAGCGCGTGCATTTGCTTGTCGATCGAGGCTCCCTCTGACATGAGGAAGAAACCTGTGTCGTTGCTGCGCTCGAGGAGGATATCGACGGCTTTGAGGGTCATATCCTTCAGGCCCGGGAGATCGAGTGGCGCGGAGCCGTCTCCGGAGGGATGGGTCTTGAGTTCGGCGATGTTGTCTTTGAAGATCTTTCTGTCGAGCCAGACGGGAAGATGAGAGGTGGAAAAGACGCCTAGGGCAGGGGAATCGACGGGCGCTTCGCGGAGGGACGTGGCGTTCCAACTCACGGAGTAGCCTTGCTTGCGGAACTCTTCGTAGTAGTCCTTGCCCTCGTATGACGTTGCTCCGGGGAGGAAGGTTGAGGCACCACCGCCAAAGTAGACATCGGGACCGGGATGGCTGCTCCAAGAGTAATTCGTCATGCCATTCAGGGCTTGGTCGATCAGTGAGCCGGCGTTGGATCTAGATCTGCTGTGGCCAGTCAATGCTGCTGGTGTGGCATCGTCAAGGGCAGCTGTCGTTACGGCACCCCAAGCAGATCCCTACGGAGATGTTAGCTACCAAAAGATGGTCTTCACTTCCTGAAAGGTGACTCACCCAGACGCGAACAACCATCTCAACGATCGTCTCGACCTTGGGGTCGTCAAAGTCATCGGCCGACGAGTCGGAGTACACACTATAAGGCAATCAATATTCGGTTTCTTTCGCAAGTCGTTCGTTCGTGTACGCACCCCATGGAGTCTGATGTGCCCTTGTGGCCAGAATACAGCGCAGACGCAGAGTTGGCGCTATCAGTGATGAAGCTGTCGACGGAGTGTGTCTGCTCTCAAGTTAGCACCCCAACACGGCCGATGTCGCCGTCTTGCCTTCGCCAAGAACAAACTCACCATCTGATGTCCCAAGATGGGGAACTGATCCATCTGCATCCTCGACTGATACTTTCCATTGACGCTCTTATGACCCAACAGGCGTGCAGCCGTAATCATATTCGTCGTCATGCCATCGCCAATGAACAAAATCACATTCTTGGCCTTCTTCTCCTCAGCAAGAGGCCGGACCAACCACTCCGCCAGTGTCTTCTTCGTACCATTGTAATAGTTGAGCTCAACCGTGTAGTTCCCCGGCTCATACAGCGACAAGTGACGGTACGCCTTGGACGCAACATTCACCACAGACGCATTCCCCGCATCCTGCGCAAACAGATCCTCATACCACGAGAAAGCCCACGTCTCAAGCTCAGGCTCCTCCTCGATCCCGAAGAACTCGGTAACAGGTTTACTTTCGGGTACGCTGTTACTCGCAATCGTGAGCGTGAACTCTGGGTCGGGAACGCCGTCGTTGAAGGCCTCGGTCCCGTTCACCGGCGCGTGAATCTCGACGCGTATGTCAAAGTTTTGGCCGGGGAGGAAATGGGCTTGGTCGGGCGGGAAAACGCATCCGAGGTCTGGGCAGGCGCCGAGACGTTGGAAGGTTTGGGCGAGGGTGGCCAAGGGCGCGGACGCCAAGAGGACCAGGGCGAGGGCGGACATCGTGGGATGCTACGGCGGAGGGGGAGCACAGTCCACGAGGTAAAGGCCAAGATCGGATGAACGTTGGATTGGCAATGGAGGCCGTCTTCATGGAGGGGTGGTCTACGATCATATACACAAGCCAAGACATCGTGGGCCGTCGGTTTAAACCTCCTCATCCACGATCACGCGTCTAACTCAACATAGAAGGTCCAAGGAATTGCCGTGCAAAGTTCTTCCCACATTCCTGGGGCCAGCATGAATGGAGTTGGGGAAGGAAGCGCGTCGGCGGGGGCCCGGTTCAGTCATCACAGCAACAGGAAACCGAACTTATCACGACGATTGGGGTCGGCGTTGTCCGAGGAAGCACTGACCGACCTCCCACGAGGTGGGGGAAGCCAAGCATCGATGGCAGAAGGGCTCTTGGCTTGCAGCTTCATTGCTGCGTACCCCGCTTCATTGACGATTTCCCCTCACAAGCTAACGATAAGCACGCGACCTATTTCCTGGTCTGTCGGGGACATTCATGAGGGATTCTGCGGTGATGTTGTAGAGCTCGTTGGTGTTGTTGGTGATGAGTGGAGGTTCATCGCGCGGGGAATATGACCCTTCGTTGCACCGGGCATGAGACTTCCCGAATGGACTGCGGGAGGTAACATCGTTGGAGAAGCCAATGCGGTGCGTTCCCTTTGTGTATAGATGACATACGTGTATAGATGACATACTTGGAAATACGTAACGGTTGGGTAAATATGCTCAAAATAATGAGATCTAGCGAAGTAAGAAGCGAAAAGCGAAGCTCTGCTTTCCATGCTGTGCCTAGAAAGCCCATAAGACACATCAAAACTCAATGCCTGGAGCCCACGTGCTCACGATTCTGAAGGGAGACGCCAGTCTGACAGGTTGACGGCTCAGAAAGTTCATCCAACTGAAAACTTTGAAGCGCCAAGAAGGGGTTCTTTGCAGCGATAACGCTATGCCCTGATTCATGCTCAACGTCCGCGATGCCAAGAGTAGCGCCGTTTGCCAAGAATCTGGTATCTGTTGTTTGCGAAATAAACAAATAGCGCAAGTGAAATTGTTCGGTTCCTTGTGTGATGCGTATCATGTGATTTATCAAACGAGCGGAACGTCCGGGCTGATGTGAGGAATGCGCAGAACATAACGGCTTGGCCCGGGGCCGATACTTTCGTGACCTGACAGACCAACAACGAGAGCCACTTCACTTGAATGCAGCAAACGTCTCATCCGTGACAAACCCAACCATCGTCTTCAACCCAATCCTTGCAGCATCCAGACAATCCCCCGCCAACAGCTCTTCCCCAAGTGCTGCGTATGCCTCAGCCGACCATTTCAATGCCCTGATAACTTCGAAAGTCGTCACCGCCTGCGTATCCTTATACATCCACAACCTCCCATCCCTCACAGGCTCGAAGAAGCCAAAGTTGCGAAACACCTCACTCCCCCACTTGGCGACCTTGTTCCACTGCTTTCTTGTGTGCCATACTTCCACGAGCCACATTGTCGGCCAGACGAGCATTAACCGTGGTAAAGCGAGATTGTCGTAGACTTCCTTTTCGTGAAGAGCAGAGAGCTTGTTTGTAAGTTTCTCGACCTGCCGGATCGTCGCATCAGGGTAGAATTTGGTAGGACGCTTTGTCCTGATTAGCGCCTCGATCTCCGCAAGAGCAGTGTTCCTCTTCTGATGCAATTCGGTTGCGGACTTGGCTTCGCCGGCGCAAAGGGCACAGCTACACATGAAACCCCAGCTACGGCGGAACTGCGGCATGCGAAGTAGATATGCCGCCTTGGGAGGCAGGTAAATGTGCGTGATCTCCGTGCCTGCGGGAATATCGACAGTAGCCGTGGCAATGAGCATATCTCCAATGAAGGACCTGTTGGCATTGGGAAGGCACGCGTGGTTGGCGTAGGCTGAGTACACCCAGAGCCCGCGCGACATGCCCTGCTTCCACATATCCCACTCCGGATTCGCGGCCTGTGCCGACACCTGCGCGCCGCTGAAGCAGTTCTTGCGGCGGATGGACTCGAGAAGGAAGACGTCAATCACAGGATTGCCATCGATGAGGGTGCCTTCTTGACCGCTGCGCTTGTAGGACCCTCCGTGGAGGTCGAGAACCTTGTTATGAATAGTGGGATTATCTGCGCAGAGCTCCACCAGCTGGGCATATGCTGCGGCTGCATTGTGTTCTGGGTTAAATTCGTTCGGGACGCTGGTTGCTCTTTCTGCGAAGATGATTTCGCCGGCCTTGATGTCTTCTGCGGCGAAGAGACCCCGACCGTGGTGTGGTGAGTCTCTGACTTCAGTCCGTGATAAGAAGCTTGCTCTATCAATTTGGATGTTCTTTGAGGTGACGTCCGCTGTCATGCTTGCCAGATCATAATTGCCTTTTTCTTCTTCGAGCCTCGCTAAGCACCTCTCGTATTCCTTGCGAATACTAGTGGCCTCGGGCATAAGTTCCAGAGCCGCCTCGAAGTGTTGCTTGCCAGTGTGGAAATCAGTGAGTCCATAAGCTGCCTTGCCGGCAAGGAAGTGTGATTTCCATTTTAAAGATCCGCCTATAGACGAGAAGGCATCTGATAGCGCGCCGTCAAAACACTTGAGGGTAAGATTGATACCTGCCCGTTTCAACAGAATATCATCCCGAAAGGAGGTGTTTTCTGTTGGTGCTAGCTCGAGAGCTCTGGTATAACTATAAAACGAATGTAAGAAGAGGTTGGATAAGAGAAAGAGGTCGGTAGCTTAGTCTTACTTTGCTGCTGCTAAGGGAAGGTTCTTGGAGATGAATGCTCGATCCCCAGTACCCTTCCAGTCCGCTGCACTTTCGGACTCTGGCACCGCCCTGAATGCCTCCGGGATAAATGCATCATCTGGACCTTGCCGAAGAAGCAAGATGTCTGATGGATGGTCAATGCAAAGCATGAAATCGTTGTCGCCGTTGAATCGATAGTACGGTTCCTTCACGAGCACTACTGAGCCTTCCGGGATAGACTGCAGGAGTGTAGAGTTACCCTGGTTATAAAGAGCCATCTTGTCGACGCTGCTGTGCTGATCTTCGACGATGGTAATCGTCCCGGCACCCGAGTAAGCCTGTGCAATTGTCCTGAGGATGAGGTACTTGTCTTCATGGCGATTCTCCACCAGGAGCTCGTCAAGGCGCATCTAGATACGGTTAGCCGTTTGCGAGATTGCCTCGAGCCTGGATGAATCGCTGACCGGCGAGAGATCCTCAACAGACTTCACAGACGGCGGGTAAGACAGTGCTAGGACTACTTTCTTCACCATTCGTGGCCCATTCTGCTGCCCAGACCTTCGTTGCTGCTCGACATAATCGTTGTGCGTGCTGACGAGCGCTCCTCTCGATATGCGCGTGGGAGGGGGCTTCCCAGAATGGGCCTCGGCCTTTTGCAAGAATTCTAGAGAAACATCGGGATCAACATCGGTGAGGATCTCCTCGACTCCAATTTGGAGGTTAAAGTCGATAGTGTTGAGTGTTGGATGTGTGGGGTTTAAGGTATCGGTGTCGGCATCTACATCTCCATTGCGCCTCTGTTCTAAACCCATGTTGGTCGAATTTCAGAGTATGATCTTTAAACTAGTGCGATATTGGGCAAATGCCACTGCTTTCGAGAACCTTGGTATCTCTTGAGGAGTTGTAACCTTGGTTAGCCTAAGCATAGGACAGGTTGGAGTATCTGAATGCCCTTATAGGGACCTGGAGACAAAGGAACATACTTTCAAGTCTCCTTCCGAGTTAGGTGTCATCTTGTCGTGCTCCGCTGGCCTACGTTACCGATTGAGACCGGTAAGGCGGGAGCAAACGCAGTGTGTTTTGGAGGCCGGCTCTCAATCAGGAGAGGACCTAATATGGCACCAATGACAGGCGGCCTCATAAGCTCTGGACCCGGCGTGCCGTGCCGGGTGGACCTGGTTTTCGGAGGGTGTGAGTCCGCATTCCCCCCAAAATCATGGGTAGGACCGTATAAGCGAGCCCAGATCTCGTTTGGAACCGCCTTCACCCTATTGGCCGTCAATAATGCAAGTCAAACCATTGATGGCAATGGACCGTCTGAAAGAGCCTCAATGGAGACGACACCTGTGCCTTGTTTGTGTGACAGACCGTGACTAGGAATCCAACCAGTGACAGAAAGAGTGTTCCATTTGTTCCCTTGACCTGTTGTTGAGGAGATCTACACACAAACGATTTGATCAGCTGAGACAGTTGCAACATCCGCTAAAGTTCCTAGGTTCCATCCTTCCATGTCGTCTCAAAGCAAGTCTCGTTAAGGCATCTTTATGGTTCCCGACAGCCCCATTCCCAGTTTCGCCCATCGCATGTCGGTTGTTTCAAGCATACCCTTACTAGTATCGCACCTTCCATCAGAAAGAAAGCATCCGACGAGGATCAAGAATCTGTCCCACGTTCTGCTGCACTGCCTTAAAGCGCATATAGCCGCAGGATTCGCTCTCGAGGTGGTTGATGGCCGCTGCGAGGGTGGTGAACTCACGACCGCAACGATGGTTCGGGCAGTGGTAGAGCTTCTGCTGATGAATGGGGGAGTTGAGATGCTGATTGAGGCCCTTGAGGGTTGAAAAGGCGCGGTGGCAGAGATAACACTCCTAGGCGTCGATGTGGTAGTTGTAGGTTCGGTCAGTGGCAGTGTAGGTGGGAGATGCGTGCCACTCTAGGAGCTTCTTGGAGATGACCCCGTTGGGGTCGCGTGCGCGGACGGCCTGGTAGAGCTTGTCGCGGTCAAGAGGGGCACTGGGACAGGCACCTCGCTCGAGGTGGTGGATGAGACCGGTGGCGGTGTCGCTGGTCTGCCTGCAGAAGGGGCACTGTATGTCGCTGCTGGCGCGATGAACACTGGAGTTCAAGTGCTGATTGCCATAAGTGGGGATGCTAAAGAACGAGAATGAATGGGAATGACTTACCTGCCGGATATTGTTTTGGTTGTTGAAATAGCGGTCGCAGGGATCGCAGTAATTGTGGTACTCGACCTCGTGCTCGCGGAGATCTTGCTCGTCGTGGAACCGATCGTTACAATCATTGCATTCATATCGACCTTTAGAAGGCTCGGGCTGATCGTCGTAATCCCAATGGCCCAGTGCGTTCATGTGTTGCTGCATTGCATGCTCGCTGCCGAACGTGCGGTCGCAGGTGTCGCACTCCCAGCAGCCCTCCCAGTGGTTCCACATTTTGATACTGTGCTTGGTAACAAGAAGATACTTTTTGTGTCCCAGTCGGTTGGCAGGAGTCGCGAAAGCGTGTCGGATAGGCTGGAAGAACAGCAGTGAAGCTGAAGGGGTTGAGTGATACGGAGGAGCGGTGTCGGAGATAGTACTCTACCCCACGTGGCTCGACAAAGAGAACGCGCTTGCTTGAGACGAGGAAAGAAATTGAGAGATTCGTGGATGTTGAACCGAAGAAAATGTTGCGACGGCGAGTTGCTCGGCGTCGGGTTGTGACGGGCGGTGAGCTGGGGCGGGGAGGTTGGAGCGGACGGAAGGTGCGCCTGGATGTCCGAGATCAGCACGGGAAGGAAGGAGTTGAGGTGGGTGTGGGAAGGCGCTGGCCGAGTGGACTTGCAACACACAGACGGAGGAAGGTGCGGTATGCTGGACCCTGCCGTGACTGCCTCACGCCGTACCTTTCTTTGGTGGTGTTTACCTAAGCATTTCTTGTGGCGGAGGGGTTGTTTCAGACCCGATGCCACTCTCTTCCAAGGTCTTGGGAGGTGCCCTGAGTGGTGATAGCACTTAACGAGATTAAATATGGTGTTATCACGACACGTCAGTAGTCCGCGGGCAGCTGAGAAGGTTCCACGCCTTTTTTAGAATGTCCACGTAATTTCGTCGATTATTCCAACAACACTTCTAGAAACACCAGAAACATTTCACGGTCGTTCGGACTCACCTCAGGCCGAGACAAGAACACGATTGCTTGAAACGCCGTTGACCAGTCTTGGACCATGAAGCTAAACCCAAGCGAGCGCCTTTCTGACAACATCATCCAGTTCCTCAGGCTCAATCTCGAGCAACTCATTATCTATTCCGTCCAAGACAGATCTGCGGGCTCCATCCTCACAAAGCTGAGCCACGAGAAAACCAACATGTGCCCCTTTGTAGTGCCCCTTTGTAGTGCCCCTTTGTAGTCACCATTCTGCACCTTGATCTTGCCTTGCCGCCTGGCTTCTTGAGTGCTGACTGTAGCAGTATCCCATTCCGTGTTCGTCAGTCTCTCCAACACCGCGAGGATTGCTCGTTGAGAGGTCGTTGGAGCAGAGAGCCTGACATATCGGTTCTTCGTTTCTTCAGGATGCTTGAAAACAGCTGCGATAGGCTTGCCAGTCTTGCCGATGCTCATAGCGGTGAAAAGCTCATTCCCGGAGTCGTATATCGTGGCTGAGTGGTTCTTGAGGTCGAAACCAAAGTCTGGGAACAATGCCATCGACTAAAACCGACATTAGTTGCCGAGTCTCACATTATAATGGAAGGAGAGACTTACCCTGTCTAGGAGCGGTCCATTCCAAAACGAGGTCCAGGTGAAAGCACTCTTCTCCTTGGCCATTTCTTCCAATAGGTTTTGCGCCTGTGCCTTCTTTCCCAGAATAGCGCGGTACTCTGGTACATCGATGGGTCCCTTGGAGGTCCCAATGTCGCTGGGAATGAGCCTCTTTACACCTGACTTCGCTGCAGCATTGATCACATCAATCTGCCTATCAAAGACAGCGTGACGCAAGTCGCATCGCACGGCATCTTGTCCTGTGAACACTCCCTGTAGCGACTCGGGACTGAAGTCGGTGACGGCTACTCTCACTTGTGGTGGACAGGATTTTCCCTCACTCGTGTACATGACATCTGTTACCGTGAAGTTGGCGTCCAGGAGAGCTGGAAGAGCACGGCGACCGATGCTACCGGTAGCCTGTATGTGGATGGAGAGTCAGGACTTTCGGATCGACGGTCGGTGATGGAGTTGCGAAGATATTAGTTGAGGACTTACGCCTACTACCGCGACGTTTTCGATTGGAGACATGGTCTCAAAAGCTTTTCTCATGAATATCTCACTTAGATTAAAGCTTACTAGCTAAAAGTATGCATCTGAGCTATGCCTTACAGTTGCAGAAGCTGCTTCTTATGCGCCGGGCACACGTGTTGGCGCATATGAAGTGCCAACGTTATCACGCTCCCTAATTTGAATCCAGAGATAATGGATTTCTCAGCAAATACCTACTAGACAGGGTTGAAATACATTTTCCTGGTCGTGATTGAACGCTATTTTTGAACAGGAAGGAGCAAAACTTGCGGACATGTCTTTGGCCGCTGTCGTAGTCCGCGAACACGGACTCGGGCTCGGGCATTGGTCCCGATCATCCGTCTGGTGATACTATACACTTTATCGAATTCTCAAAGATCAGCCGACGTCTAATTCATAAGCAACAGGTATTACTGGATCGATGTTTCTTACTGATGCTTGGAGGTTGCAACATGCAATATTCGACTGATTTATCTTATTCCGGTGCTGAGTGCCTTGTAGGTATGTCGAGGTTCAGTTACAACTTAGCGGGAAGGTCATTAGAGGAAGATTAAGGTAGTTTACAGCATCTCTACTCTGTAAGTATGCCTGAAGCAGTTCTCGCTCAATACCGATGCTGAAATCTCAAGTTTGCAGGTGACCTCAGAATGGCCACCAAGGTCATGGACTTCCAGATGGGGGTTGAGAGACATACTTGAGCAGGTCTCAATAATGAGAAATCGGTAAACATGTATCAAATTTGTACCATCACTAGAGTGGCGGGCTTTGGTCTCGAAGACTAGATGCCTTAGGACGTATTAAGTAAAGATAACGGGATAAGTCGCTACTCTAGCTCGAGGAGTCGTAGATATCGCTTTTGTCAGAGGATACCCACCTTATGGGATACCTTATGCACACAGTGACGTAAGGTACTTACGTACGACGTCCAGTCTCGATCATCTATAAAGGATATGCTAGTGTAGATCGAAGGAACGTTTAAGCCATAAGACCAAATAGCTTGGGAGGCTTGGGGTTGAAGCCACGAACTCATTAGTCTTTTTTGCTATTCGTTGGGCTGACGCTTAATGATACAAAGCCAATAGCCCAGTATCACCACGACTAGAACAGTTCCTGCCAGGAAATTTTTGCAGTCATATTTCATTACATATACCCAAGAATAAAACTATAATGAAGAACTCTGTTGAAGACTTGCATGTAGTGTCCGAGAATCTGGTGGATATTGAGATATCTGTCAGTGTCAGGTTCGCCAGTAGCCACATGGGTGCTTCGGAACGGACCGTGAAAGTGTTATGAGAAGCAGTAAAAATCACCAAGCGACAAATCTTAGAGATTAGCAAGAGATTTCTATAATTTGAGTTTCAAAGTAGTCCAACGACTAAGTTGCAATGTTTCATGTGCACTCAGTGGCACTCGGCCATTCCGACGTTGCTGGGACATCATATGCCGCTCGATCTTCCCATCCTGCAGGGAGCGTTGAGGCTGCCGTATGAAATAGAGATATAATTCTACTAGGCCAACACTCGAGTTACAATCCTTCAACGACGGTATGTGTCGAGTCTGTATGGCACGCCGTAGTAATCGGGCAAGGCACAAGTCGACTTTGGCTCGAGAGCGAAGCAACTGACGACCCGTGGCGTTTCCGGTTCGCTGGCAAGACAGAAAAGTCTCTTGTATCCGCCATTGTTGGTAATGCTCAATGCTGGAATGGTGAGAGACATGTCGCCGGGGGGCACTGTTGCTGTATACTTCTTGGAGGCGCTGTCAAAGTTGACTGCTACGCTGTATTCTTTGTCTTTATCGGTGGTGATGCTGTCGGATTGGCATCGTGTTTGAGCAACGGCAGCCAAGGGAAGGCTGAGAAGAAGTCCGAGGGTCGAGAGTGTAGGTATACGCATTGTGGCTTGTCTTTGAGGTCTCGAGAAAATAATTATGGGAGTCAATGGTCGTTGTTATTTGTTTCGTTGATTTTCGTGTAGGCCTTCTCGGAATCCTTTATGTCCCGATTTATTAGGTAGTCGTCAGTTGCCTTAAGAGTGATGATCTTAAACCTCAAGGGCTCCACACGTTCCTGACGTTGTCTAAGTCAGTGTACTCCGTAGCCCCTGAGGTGTTTGGAATAACATAACTTGAACTCTATATTGATTAAGTTTCTCGAAACGATGGTGATCAACAGGGCGCACTGACGGCATTTTCGTAATTCAATCCGACTGCCCAGCATGCGAACCCGAATAATCCGCGATCAATGCGATAATGGAGACGTAGACGAGTCATGTTGCTAAAAATCGAGTTGAACATATGGCTGGCCTCGGCATTCCGGAGTTATACGACAGAATTCTAGTTCGAGTCCGCCTCATTTAACTTGAGAGGTGGGTACAACGGGTCAAGCGGCGAGCAGCTCATACGGGTCCAGGTGACACCGCTCGGTCACTACGGAGTAGAATGTCGCACTATCACAACTCCTTGAATCGCAACCCGCAACTCAATCAGTTAGTGAGCGTTGCAGGCTCAGCAGCTTTCAACGGAAGGCTGTAATGAGTGGTTTGGTATGGTCAGACCTGGAAACAACTTCTAGTCCCCAAAGCAATTTGTCTAGCCTCACTCTTCCGGCGCGTATACCCATTTTTGTAGCTGTCATTTTGTAGCTGTTTTAATGCCTGGATCGACTTGTGCTCATCTTGCAATGAGGAATCCCCAAGCAAGCGGAATTGCCCAGGGCTTGCCATGTGGGGAACTGGCAGACACAGTTCTATGATCACTACGTCGGATTTGAGAGGCGCAGTTGTCAGAAATCCAACCCTCACTGGGTGTCGGATGCTGAAGCCGAGATTCCGATCTTCAATGTCTCTACGGACGTTTCCGGAAAACACGAGGTTCGCATATGTGCTTTCAGTAACACTGAAATCTTGCAGATCGATCGGATCGGTAAGACTTGTAGAGCCCTCGCAGTTGACCGATTTTATCACGCAGGGCTCGGCCACAACACATGCACGGAGGAACCCAGCCACCATCGGCCGACATAAGTCTTGTTTTCTGTCCCGCATCCGGAACCGAAAGTGGAGACGGATGTCCCCGCTGTCAGGAATGCTCGCCCGGGGCAACCCGAAGCACCCGGGCTTAAGAATGATCTTGCATGTGGTGTACCCAAGCTCTCATTCGGGAGCAAAGTATGATAGATGGCACTTCAGTAGCCCATATTCCATGTTCCTCACAGTCTACAAGAGAGGATGCTAGAGGCTCAAGTGGCGATTGTCCACTTTGGGGACTGCACATGTGCTCTGGGGCCTGGAATATCTAATGGGGCATCTTATCCCTGAGCCTCCCCATCTGCCGCTGTGGCTTGATGGCACTACCTCGCTAAACTCTTTGGCTGACACTAACAAGAGATGTGCTGAAGCGCCCGTCAAGAGTGCCATTTGCACAGACAGCCAGGCTTTGCCCGTGGCGTCAATAAAGATGCCTCTCAGGCACGGATGGGTTTCTCCGCCCTCTAGCAGTCCCCGTCACCCTATAGGAACTTGTTCCTTCGATCCGTTGATAGGTACGGCGATGACGGTCCACGGTTGCCCTGATTGGGTCTTCCCCAAACGACGGCACTGGTATGCAACGCGATGCCCATTCCGGCGGTGTTGAGAATAAGAGCGCATCTGTGCGTAGGCCTAGATCGACAGCCCAGACTTTCACTGCTATTAGCTAGGAGCAAGACGAACAATGAGATGTCAAGCCACAATTAGCCAAGGCCTTGCAAGAGAGCTGATGTTGCGATGCGGTCCCTGCATCTGCCGTGGTGCGTCGATGCAAGCTTGGGACGGTAGTCTCCTCAATGATGGAAGAGCTGGGCGAACGGCGAGCTGTGGCGTCGGTCCATCATCCATGTATGCTTCCCCTCTTGTTGATCGCGGGAGACATACTTTAAATCATCCTTCCGCCCAGTGTTTTTACCTTGTTCCTGGATTCATTGTTGCACGTCAACGGTTACCGGTGGGAGGGACCCTGAATAGCTACGTCTCCTTGAGCCTCAGTTCGCCAAGACAGAGCCCTCCAACATGCATCCATTCCGCATTACTTCTCTACTGCTGCTGAGCCTTGGCGGCCTTGGGGTGGCTGCCAAGTCGCTCAGCTTGGAAGGCATTCCCAGTTGTGCTGTAAGTTGTTCACATCACTTTTGTGCCAAGGAAGCATCTTGCTGACGATCATCAATCCCAGATCACCTGCATGGTCAAAGCCCTTCCTGCAACGACCTGCTCTCCTACCGACGGCGCGTGCCTCTGCGTCGATCCCAAGTTCAACGCCGCAGTACAACCCTGTATTCAATCAACATGCACGATCCAAGAGAGTCTAGGTGAGTCAGCTCGGAATCACTCTTTCAACAGCAAATGCTGACAACATACTAGTTGTCACCAATGCAACCTGGTCGAACTGCGGTTTCCCGTACAGTAACCAGACTTCCAACATCCATTGGATCAGTGGAGTTGTCACTGTCATTGCTGTCATATTCATCATGATGAGGATGGCTACGAAGATCGCAAAGCTCTCTGCCTGGGGCGCGGACGACACTGTCATCATCATTGCTTTTGTGAGTTGACAGTCACTCACCTTGCCTCTCCACGCCTCCTGACTCTCTACTAGGCGTTGTTCATTGGGTTCTATGCTGAACTCTTTTACTGTGAGTTGGCCACGATCAGATCAACTGGTGCTTGGAGGCTGATACAATCTTCGCAGTCGTTAGAGCAGGACTCGGGAAAGATATCTGGACTTTGCATGACTACGAGATTACCTATTTTCTCAAGGTAAGTTGGATTGCCATTCTGAAGCACACTTGACAGGGCACTAAGCGCGTCGCAGCTCCTCTTTGTCCTCGAATTCTTCTATATCATCGGTCTGGGCGTCGTTAAGGCGTCCATCCTTTTCTTCTTCCTGAAGATCTTCCCCAATCGAAGCTTCCGTCGCATCTTGTGGTTCATGCAGATCCTCAACATGCTTGTGGTGCTGTCCTATGTGATTCTATGCTTCGCGCAATGCCAACCGTTCTCCCACTTCTGGAACGGATGGGATGGCGCACACGAAGGCCACTGCGTCGACTTGAACAGGATTGGACTGAGCCACGTCTCACTCAATATCACCCTCGACATTATTATGCTTATTCTACCTATCACGCAGATCTATAAGCTTCAATTGAACAGGAAGAAGAAGACTGGTGTCATGGCCATGTTCTTGGTCGGTGTGTTGTAAGTTCAAGTGCCCAGCCATCCCAATCATGTATCGTCGACTAATCCGGTATGAAGCCTCACTATCGTCAGCATCCTGCGCATCAAGACACTCATCGCATTTGCAACCTCGCTGAATACCACCGCAGACTCAGTAGCTGTCGTCCTCTGGGCCTATGTGGAGCTGGGAGTCGGCATCGTAGTCGCGTGTATGCCTAGCGTCTGGCAGCTGCTGAAGACTCTGCCGTCCAAGGTGATTCAGCTGTCGACGACGCTGGCATCCAATATTAGTCACTCAGGCACTCGCACCCGGCCCAGTTCGCAGATCTTCCTTGATAAACAGAGCCCGACCAAGCAGTCGTTCAGGGAGACTGCATCAACTCAGGCTGCTTCGACATCAGCGCCATCAATTTCGAGTCATTGAAACATTTTTTCACTGTTGGACTGAGTAAAAGAAGTCATTTTGTTTTTGAGATCATGGAAGCCTTTGGTGCGTTGAGATGAGATTCCAACCGGCGCACAATTTGGTGCTTGGAAATGATACCCGGCAATGACGTGGCGTAACCTGCCTGCATTGATTATTAGGCCATGACGAGCTTTCTCCATCAAATCGTGTTCACCACGATTAAGATCTGTGAACATCGTGTGAGTTATGCCCGTTGCCACTAACAGCATATGCGATATACGCCCCGAGATCTCAGGTGAAGTCACAGGTGCTTTAGATTTTACATCGAAAGTTGAAGTGGCCTTCGCAATGCTGCGTCGACGACGCTGTGGGTAACAGGGATGAGCGCTAGATGCTCCGGGCGAAGGAGTGCTGGCGACGTGTCCGCGCGCTCCATTGTATGCCTTACCACTCCATATCAGATGTCGGGCAAAGTAATTGGCCAATGAATTGGTTCAATTGAAAGTTCATCAACTTGAAATTGCCATCCACGTGTATTGAAATCCGTGAAGTCAGGGATGTGGGAGTCATCACAACGCGGTGCTGCATGAGTGGTCGGGATGAGATCATGCAGTGAACCCAATTGATCGCCGGCAACCCCGTGCCGTGAGTCAACCAGCTCTTTGGGTTTGTCTCGGGCGAATGGGATAAGCGGAAACAGAATGTACTCGGTAGTGACTGGGAACACCTTTCAGTTACATAAGTTCATCCAGTGTGAATCATCTGCCATGATATGTACGATTCACGGGGACTATTCGCAACCATGAGGCCCATTATCTCTTCCAGGCCGATCAACAAACCCTCGGAAAGGCATTGAATTGTGTACCCGGGCGATGTGAAGTAGAGGCCCTACGCATTACCCAACGTGGTCACTGGTGTAGCTTGTCAGCCTACCAGGTAACACAGCACGCGCTGCGCCCTCATCATCGCCAAGCATGACTCACTCCCCATCTGCCACTTGGTCCCCAATCAGCAGCCGTTGCAGACCACCATCAGGACCCTTGAACACCCCCGAGTTGGACTAACACTAAGCTTTCGGGAGCGTTCTGCAGGCCGGCTACAGGGGTGGCCGAAGGCGCCTACGCGTTACAGCCTACGCCAGGCCCAACTCACTCGTCGTAGGCCAACATCATCAGTTTCGCCCTTGACCTCCAGGAAATCTGTCCAGATATACATATATCTCTTCTGTTCGCCGACGTTCTATCTGTCTCATCTCACAACCATCGTCTTCGAACGGCCTCAAGTCACCGCCCGCGCCCTTAAGTCGACCCCCTTGTCGACCCACCTTACCTCACTTCTACGCCCTTCCTAGGACACGCCTCCGTCCCGGTCCCTCACTTACACCACCACACGAAAAACCTAACCGGACACACCCCGCGTATAAAAGCGACCTTCTGCCCAGTATGGGTCTAAGACTTCATAGCAGCAGCGATGCCCTAGATCTAGATCTCACCCAGCGGTACCTGTCCCCCGGCCCCTCGCAGGTCAGCAGGCCGCGACCCCACGCCCACTACAACGGCGCCTACTTCCACCCCGACGGCTCCATCGCCCTGACCCGGGAGCTCGCCGACCACAAGCTCCCTCTCCTCGATCTCATTCTCACAGCCAACCATCAGAAACGGGCCCGCCGGCACCGACAGACACGTCGGGGCCAGACTCCCCGCTCTTCACGGCAATGGCGCACTGACGAGACGGCCGAGGGCCGCAACCTAGCCTATAGTGGCCACAGGATCCCCGGCGAGCACCGTCGGACGCCGTCCTTGGAGAGAGAGGATGCCTTCCGGGACCCGCGCACCACAAAGGCCCTGCTCTACCCCGAAGATGCACCTGATATTGCAGCGCTGTACCGTATGGGCCTTCTCTACGATGATGAGCACCTCCGTGGTTCTGCGTTCGGTCTCGATGTCATTGACCGGTACTCAGAGCCTGAGTACACCATGCGCCCAGCCAAGCGAGCGTGCAAGTCCAAGACCCAGCAAATCCCGTACGACGATGATGTGCAACTCGCCCTCGATCTATCGTTGGCCGAACTCGGCCGAGACGAATCTTTTGCCCAATTTCTTTGCTCCCCGGATCTAGACGAGCTCCCTTCGAGCGATAAGTCTGACAGCAGCAGCACTTACAGCGCACGACTCGCGCCCCTGCAGTTTGTCTCCGAGCTCTTGGGGTCGCCGGACTATTTTAGCGACAACACGCCTGAGCTGACAACGGATTCCGCATCTGATTCTTCTTTCTCTTTCAAATATTCTTCTGAAGACGAGATTACTTCCGCAAAAACCCGCCAAATTTTGATGACAAAAAATGATGGAATTACCCAGGAGCTTGACAGTACCTGGATGATATCGGGTGACGGCTCGTAGCAAGTCCCCAAGGATCCCCGCGTGCCACTTGGATCTCGACTGCGATTCTTTTGTCGAGGCACTCGCGCCCACAAAATGGACTGGCCCTCATTTAGCCCGGCATCTCCGGGAGTCGGTGCTCGCGGTTTGGTTCCCATGTAGCATATTCTGTTGCATCTCAGGAGTTATGGGAAGACAGATGTGTGCTCGTGTAGGAATGACACTGAGCTCGCTGTCTTTGATTTTTCATGTTGTCTGTATCTCATCACTTTACGGAGTATTAGCTTGGTATTCGTTTCATGTCGAATAGAACAATACAAACCTTGAAACCTTGGCTTAGGACACCCGCGACCCTCCTCGTGGTGTCACTCATTGCCGATAATTCCAACGAGAGATAAGCCTTTGACATGTTCCCATTTCCATTTAGACCTGTCCTGAAACAGTGAAACCACTGAGAATGTAAGTCTTACAACGTCTAGCTTTAGTCGCACGCTTGATCAACCCACGCAGCAGAACTTCATCTGGATCTTGGAGGCTGAAGTAGATTGAGACGTGGACGGATTACTCAACACGTGAGTAAACAACCAGTTCCGGGCTAGCTGTAGACCAGAAGCCGAAGTGAAAGACGCTGCTAAGCTTTACGGAATTACGGGAGTGATTCAATACCGACTTCACCGCTGACCGGGACCCTCGCGATTGTATGCCTGAGTCGCTGAAAGCACGAAGGTTTATTTAGAGCCGGAATTGAGCGAAAAAAAAATGAACCTGATACTAGCAGCTGTTCCATCAGCGTACTCCGTACGGAGTACTCCGAACACAAATCCCCAAAGGGCCCATCTCGCCTAGGCATTGCCTATTTTATGGATGACAAGAGTCATGCATCGTCTTTCTGGGGCTAGCAAAAAGCTTAGCATAAGTGTAAATATATGAAGCTAGTCCTAATTTCTTCTGGTTAACAACGTCTTGGGCTATTACTAGGTATGCGTCTGACTGAATTTCTGTATTGGATTAGTACAGGTAATCATATGTAATTGCAAGACACATTTCTACATTAGGCGAATACTTCTTCACGAAAACGAGGAGACCTTTCGTATTTTCGGCTTCACGGAAGATCACTACTTTTAGTTTTCGCTGAACATTAACGGACAAAATTCCACCCACCCTCGGACAGCCTCAAACACCCAGTCGTACTTTCTTCAATCGCATGTGAGAAGCATTTACCCTGCAGAGTACCCACGCATAAGTTGCTAGTCTAGAAGTGGCGGAACGTAATCATACGGTCGACACTAGAGTCTAGCCCTCTCAGGACTGCAAAGAACAGCGGGACGACCCCACGAGGCCGACGATAGCTGCACGCTTTGAACAAGGTTCATGATATTGGTTCTGGAGAAATCTACAGTTAGTCAGACTCAAGAATGTTCTGTGTCTTCATATGTAGGGAAGAAATTGATGTTCCACAAACAGCCAGAGAGACATCTCGGTTTCGGGTCCTCGGCAACATTTGTGCCATTTCCATCTCAATCTCACGATAGCTTCGAACTGTAAACCGAGGTGCTATCAATTTGCATGGTTTGTCCAGTGCTGTATTCAGCCATATATTCCGGCGCATCCGTCTCAAGTCGAGTATAAAGCCTCTCCAGATGCCATGATGGAGTTACTCTTCTTGCCAGACAACCCATCAGTCTTCTCATACGCTCTTTCTCACTCACACCCACACTCACTCATCTTCACTCTTTACATCAGATTCTAGGTTCAATAATCAAACACTATGCACTTCCAACTCATTCAGTCCGCGGCTCTATTGGCCGCTGTCCTCCCGACAGCCCTCGCAGCCATTCCCTCTCCTGACTTGGAGCGCCGGGCCGAGTGGACCACCACCACTCAAGACATCGAGCTCTCCGAACTGGGAACCATCGAGTTGTACTCGCAGAACGATAACCCCGCCAACGTGGTTCAGAGAGAGCTCGAGGCGCGAAGCTCCGCGTCTGCCTTTGTCTGCAGAGGCCGTCGCCCCCTGCCCCGCAGCGGAGGGAAGGTATGAGCTTCTTTTCCAGTTTCTGCCCGATTGAGAATCGTGAAATACTAACATCCAGACAGTGGCTGTACCGTGAGGCCACCTGTGACCGCACCGGCACCGACGTGAACACGTTCAAAGTGAGCTAGTCTGCATCACGCACCGAAGAAATTACGCTAATGGGCTTCAGGTCTCCTGCATGGCCGAGAACTCCCACGCAGATATCCTCTACCGCCTTCCCGGCGCCTGTGGCAAGAATCAGTGGTGCGTTGAGTTCCACGGTTATAACGAGATCGGCCAGAGCGCCTGGGACGTCACCTGTGTCGACAAGCCCAACATTCACACCTGGGTGGCCAACACCTTCTCGAACCCGGGCCAGGTCACCACCTGCAGCGCCGGATGGAACAACAACGGCAAGCGCAACCTCAAGGCTACCTTTGAGGTCGACGTCATGGACGCTGGTGGCATCAACCGTATCAATCCCAGAGAGATTTACTATCAGATTGGTGGTAAGCGCATTGGTGTCTCCCGGGATGGTGACTCTGAAGTCGGTTCGGGATCTGTCATCATTCCTCCCGGTGGATCTATCCAGGCCTGCGTCACCGCGTACTCAGGACAGATTATCAATATGCTTGGGGCTCTTACTTCCCTTGTGTCGCTTTAGACCCTTAGCACGCTTGACCGGCAATGCCATGCTACGCGCAGGACTGCCTGGGAGGCTTAGGTTTCTCGAAAGATTGGGGTCCTGTTATATAGATCAGCACAGTCATTACCGAATAATTGGTTGTTAGTAATTTAGATACGCTTAATTCAATCAATCTGGTTCCCTCACTTCATCAGAAACTCGGAAAAATACAGAGCGAAATGTTGAAATATAGTGTTTGTCGGCGAATCGATGTATTCGGGGAGACATGGTTTTGCATCAATGTAGCCTAAGGGAGATCATTTCTGAATCGTGCGCCATGATCCTCGCATTGAGAACCAAAGAGTGACGCGGAATTTTGTATTTACGTTGGGTGATTACTTATTAACTTTTCATCAAAGAATACGTACAAATGGAATAATGTGGCGGGAGATAGAAAACTATTACCGCCTACTGCTCAGCCACGGAGCTGTAGAAATCTCATTAGAACCTTGGACACCATCCACCAAGCTATGTATTGGTAGTCACGTCTTTGGACCACAGGTTCCAGAAACAAACAGGATACTCGATCATAGCAGCAGCATCGAAGGGTGGTGGAAAGACGGGATCATCCAACTTCCCATCCCCGTCCTTCAATTTGTAGCACTCGTAGTTGTTGATCAGGGCGGCGCGGAAGTCTCGGATCCACCGCTTCATATCTTCTGCTTCACTGTCGCTGATGGTGTAGTGCTTCAATTTGCTGTCGACACCGATCTCGGCGTAGCCCATTGCGATGCAGTTCTGATAGGTGATTAGTGATCTGTTTGATGAAAAGATATGGGGATGGCAGGGGCTTCGTAAACTCACATTGTCATACCACATGCGTGCTGCTTTGCTTTCGCAGGCTTCTTGGTTCATGTACGTGACACCATTGCCCTGTGGTAAGAAAAGCACAATCAGCATTACGACTCAGTTTATCAAGATTGAACAGGTGCAAGCACTCACAGTGGGAACAACCTTCTGATCGGCGGATGTGACGAGAAACTTGTACTCTCTCTTGTTGGCTGTCTTCATAGAGCGGATGAGTGCGAATTCTCTCTGCGAGGTACGTTATTAGTGACATGGACTGGATGCTTTGGTATTTGCAAGGATAGAGCAAACTTACGAATTTGCTGAAGACATTGGTCGCCATCATCTCAATCATATCGTTCACCCACTCAGAGCTCAACCAGGCGCCATCGTCAAAATGATGCAGTATGTAATCCCTCATGCCCTCTTCGCCAACTCGTGGAATTGTGTCCCCATTGATCACGGAATTCAGTGCAGTTTTACAGTGATTCGAGATGCGAGAGAACATACTGCTGTAATTGTCTTTCAAGTTCTGCTGGAGCCCGGCGGCATCGACTTCAGGCACGTTTTCAGCGGTCGTGGCTGCAATAGCAATAACACCGGCGAACAGCGTCATGGGGTTGACAAACTTGCCGAGGACACCCGCTCCTGTACTCCCTGGCAGAGCGTCTGATATGGTGCCGCCAACGCCAGCAAGGCTCGTGAAAAGACCGACCAGCATGTTGAGAATGGTATTGGTGTCGTCCTTGGGCGTGCCGAACTTGTCCACAATAGTAGTAATGTCACTCCCCAGAGCGGTGACGCTGTCGTTGACCATCATGCCCCAGAACTTGAACATGCCATCATGCATGTTGGCAATCTGCATATGCACATAGAACGCCTCAGGAGGGTTGTACTCGGAGCAACTCTTGGCAGGGCCAGCGCAAGAACTGAAGATATCTCCACAAGTAACCTGCGTATTGAGAACTTTTGCGAGGTAGTTTGTGGACCAGGTTCCCGGACTGTTTGTCTCGAACCACTTCGCTAGGCTGGCACCGGCACCTGATTTTTCCCAAGTATTCTTGAGCGTCAGCTGCGTTGTTCCGAGAAACGGGTATGCGCAGATTCCCTCCGGAACTTCGTCGTTACCGCTGTCGGGATCTTCAGGTCTCACGGGTAGATCTGGATCGACAACGCCCTCGGGATCATCGCCCTCGACATTGCTCAGACCACAGGCGGGGCTGAAGGATGTCTCGGCGATGTTGTTGATGGACTCGAGGACGTAATGCTCGTCCGCTCGGAAGTCGCCTGACAGGTCCGTGTAGAAGAGACATGTTCCGGCAGCGAGACCGGCGTACGCCATCTCTGTCTGTTGACGCCAGTGGAACGCAGAACCTAGTGGTCTGCTGGCATCTTCGCCTTCGTTATACCAGACCCAAGTATCGCCCGAGAACTTCTCAATCCACAGGAGGTCGTCTCTTCCGTCGCCATTGACGTCAGCAAAGCGAAGCATGGCTCTGTCGTGGCCCTCGGCAACCTTGATCTGCCCAACCACTTTGAAGCGTCCATCGTCCTGATGCAGGAGTCCGGTGATAAATCCATCAGGGCGGAGACAAAGAAAGTCAGCTCTCTTGTTGCCAGTCAAATCTGCGAAGCGTACAGCCACTGGTATTGTTAGCATCAAACTATTTTTGAATGCGATAGCGTGGACTTCCATAGTAAACTTACAGTCGTTGATTCCAACACCTCTTTTCTCGTGACAGGGGAGGCTGGGCACGTCGCTGATTTCGGTGAATTGCCAAGACTTCGTCTTAGGGTACTCGTTGATGAATACTCTCAACTTGTTGGTGTTGGGGTTGACGTGGATAATATCGCATGCACCATCACCGTCCCAGTCAGCGAGGTGCAAGTCCAGCCGGTGCATGGCTGTAGGCGGTGTCCAGATGACACCTGGACTCCAGTCCCAGAAGCCTTCAGCGTCGTTATCGGCGATGGCCTTCTTCCCTCGATTCTCAAAGAGTTCCATCTTACCATTGGACCATGTCCATACGTAGTCTGAGCGGCCATCAGCGTGACCAACCATGTTGCAGTACTTGTTGCCGTCCATCTTGAGCTTGGAGGCGCCTCCGCCAGTGTTCTTCCAAGCGCGCATCTTGAAGCTGTGCATGCCGTTGCTGAGCTTCACATGCTCGAGGAATATGTAGTCTTTGAGCGAGAGGTTGCCGAAGGATGATGAACCACCGTAGATCCGGGCAAAGTGAACGCGTTTGCGGAGATCGGTCTCTTCCTTGGTGATGTAGCCGGGAACACCCTTGTGCGTGGGCCCAGTGCCTTCTTTCTCAAAGAAGCCTTGACGCCAGGCGACGTTAAGACCATCGCCCTCTTTCTTCTTCTTGCAAGAGCGGCTGTTCGTGAAAGTAGTTGTAGCGCCTGTCTTGTCCGTCCAAAGCCAGTCGTCGCGACCCTGATCATACTGTTAGCTTCAACTCGTTTGTGTAGTAAGACAATGACTTACGTCTCCGTTGATATCATGAAACTGAACGCCCTTGATATCTCTTCTGTACTGATCAGTCCAGCGTACACCCAAAGCCTGCCAGTACTTGGGCTTGTCCTCCACCCATCCGTTTCGCCAGGCAGTCACAGTGCCTAGCTTGTCGATGACAAGGTAGTCGCCCCTTCCATCGCCGTCAATATCGGCCATGCGCACGTTGTCTCTGCTGGATGTTTCGGTGCTCTTGATCAGACCTAGATGGTAGAATGTCGGCGGCCTCACTCCTCTGCTGCCATCTCCATTGTTGATAGAGAGGTATGCGTTGCCCTTTTCATCAATACAGACCATATCGTCGAGGCCGTCGCCATTCATATCAATGAAGTGTTGACTGCCCGCATCGCAGTACATGCCAGGGTCAAAATCAGTCGAAAGCTTCGTGAACTCTCCTTTTCCATCTCCGGAATTGGACCTGAGCCACGTTAGTCTTGAAGAAGTTCGGACACGAAACAGAAGGATGCAACTCACCAAACAGCAAAGGTATTCTTTGCAGTGCCGGTTTTGACCCACGCAACAAAGTCATCGTACTTGTCTGAGAAGAGTCGAGCGAATCGCCACTGGTCACGATCCCACTCGCTTTCGGTCGTTGACCAGATGATCTACTGCAGTTAGCTCAATCCACCAGCTTAATGGCAGGGCATGGTCGCATCACTTACCCCCATCTCCTCGCTGTAATGACGATAGACATCATCATCGTTGCCAGTACCTCTCTGTGTTTTACCGCCCGGATTGAGGCCTGAGCCAGAAACCTTGTCGCAAACGGGATCAGCCACTTCAAAGTTGGTCGACGGCGGCATGACCTGCCCGAGGGCGACTGCCTTGAGGATGGCTCTGTAGAAGATGTATGCCATCTTACGATGCCCTTCATCCTTGAGAAGTTATGTTAGTGATACATAGCCAATGATATGAGCCGGAAGCAGACCTACATTGGGATGCGTATGTGGATCCTCCTTGTCTTTGTAGTCCGCCCACTTAGGTTCTGCCTCTCGCGCTCGTATCCAGCCATGTTGAGGCCCTTCTTGTGGATCCATATCAGCCAGCACAATGCATCTACCGTCCGCCGCTCGGTCATTGACCAGTCGTCGATACTCCTGGTTCATGCCAATGCGGTTAACCTTGCCAGCTTCGTCTGAAGTATCAAGAAGAGTCGATAACATGACACAAGCATTTCCCATGTCCTCGGAGTTCCAGATATCATTGAGCATATCATTCATGCGACCATATACGCCGCCTGGGTCTATGGTTCGCACTGCGTCGTTCGTACCTCCGTTGATAATGATAATGTTTGCCTGTTTTAATGATCAGTAAGTAGGTGTATGATAACACCACAGCTGCCACAAACCTTGTATCCCAGCGCGTGCTGAAGTCGGGTTCGAATCTCGGTTAAGATATCTCCAGGGTTCGCTTCGTGATCCTGATCTGATGCATTAGCCAGAATATCACGATGCTCAGCTACTAGTAAGCTCACATTGTCTTTCATGGTCCCGGAGTTTCGGCCTCCAACCATGTCAACCTCGAAGCCATCAAATCGAAGAGCATCCCTCAGAGGCTTTCTCAGACTACCAATTGTCAGCTTAATTACTTACTAGAGTCAAAAAGCTAAATTAACATACCCGTTGCCATTCGATGACCCGACACCGCTCATGATGGATGCACCAAGCGGCAAGATTCGCAAATCAGGCTTTTCTGCTCGCTCCGACACAACGGGTTCAAAGTCGGCGAAAGGGTGAGTATTAGAGATTGGGAAGTCATCGTTGCGGGGATCGTAGTTTGCAGGTAACGCAGCACTCAGCCCGCCTAGGCTGGAGCCTGCGAGCAATAGTCCCAACCAATGCATCGTGAAAGTTAACGAAAGTAAGATGATGACCAGAAGAAAATGGTCCCAGCAGACTGAAGGCGTTACTATATGTCTCTTCTCATCAAAGCCTGAGATCAAGTCGTTCGACTGTCTTCGACATCGTGAAGACCCTGAGCTCCAGTCACTTACACCGGCTGGTTTCCTGCTGCCTGGCTAATCCACACGTTAGACTTAAATTTTAAGATTGAAGAACCAGAGTTTACTAGCCTAGACCCGGTAGAGTTTCCCCTTCGAGCACCTGTCAGCTTCGCATCGTGCAATGGCAGGGTCTGCAATCCGGATTACCCACTGTATCAAAGCCCATGGTAAGCGGTAGCAAGTGGGGGCTGCACGTCGGAAGGATTCTTCAAATGTCAGAGCAATAACATGTCCATGCTTGATCCTCCTCTTCCCGCGATCATGATCCTTCGAACATCGGCATCCTCGGAAAGGGTCATATCTGGATGTCACTGTGGGGGCTCTCCAAGTACGAAAATACTGTTGTCGGAGTAAGGTCCGTGAGAATGGTAGCACCTCGCGAGCCGGCAGGGATGGAATTGAGCCAAGCCGTACGGCCCGTTGCGCTTGGCAGAGTCCGAGTTTGACAGGGACCGGCAATAGCATGGGGGCGCCATTATAGTTGCTGCCTGCGGTGCTTTCCCACCTACCAAATCAGGTGATAGGCTCAAGACATCATTTTGTTCGAGAAGGATTTTCTTTCATCTTGAGCGTCTAGATTTGATAGCTCGGAAAGCGATTTCTTTCTTTGTCTGATGTGCCATCGCTGCCCACACAGTCAGTCTCGCCTTCACCATTCAATACCTAGGTACCTGGTCAAGTCTGGGCTAGATTGCTCGCCTGCCAATGTCACTGAAATCAATTCATTCTGACAAGGTATGACCCGTCGCACTGGAGAGAATCTAGTGGAACTTACGAAATTCCGTCTTATTTGCTAAGTTTCGACGCGATGCTACCGAACTAAGTTACCTACTAAGTACAATGCAGTAAGGAAATAGCCCTTGTCTCGATCTGGAATTCACAACTCCATAATTCAACATGAACTTATGTCGACCTGGCAAAAGTAGTCGGGTTGTGCCGTACCCCGAGAGCAAATCACCTGTATTCCGATGATAGGGCATCCAATCGCAGCTTACCTACTGCAGAACCAATCCATCCCCCGAACCAAGCTCAACGAAATCATAATCTGGCACTTTACCCTGCATTCTTGCTTCTTCAGCTTCGACAGCCTGTTGAAGGGTATACCGCGTACGCAAAAGTAAAGGAGCGATGAGCCCGCCACCCTTCTTGGCTTCGTCGTGTGTCGCAACCCAGTACCGAGCTCCAGTCTCTGCGACAGCTTGAATGCCATTCAGAGCTCCCAAGTTTAATTGTTTCGTCATCCAAATTCGTACATCATGAAGACCATGAAGTAAAGCCAATGTTGAGAGCCCGGAATTGCGGACGCATTCCAGGTCTGCTGCTTGTATACCATGAGGGGAGTATAAAATTGTCTCCGGGTTTGCCGTGTCAAAGACGATCATAATTGCTGAGTGGTAATACAACGCGTTCCCTTCGGTGATGACACGCCCAATGCCGACCCAAGGGGGAATGCCGGAAATACTCAGATCAGACTTCCAATCTTTGGTTTCGGAGGAGAATGCAGGAGTGGTGGTGACGGAAGAAAAGTGACCCCATGACTTGATGAGGTCAGCAGCTTTATCGGTAGCAAACACTGGCGTTGACTTGGGGAGCTCTTCGAGCGTCATCTGGTGACAATGATCGGTGAATTCGTGCGAAATGACGACGACGTCGATGTATGACTTATCAGTGACTTTTGGCTTGTCTGAGTCGGCTTCAAACCCGGCGAGAATCGAGTTGAGTTGGTCCATGGTCTTCAAGCTGGATTCGACAACGTGCCACTGTGTAGAAAACCATGACGCGACGTCGGATTGCGGCCCCTGCAACCACGGGTCGATGAGGACATTGAAGTGCTTTCGACCGGGAGGCGGGGCCAGTGACGGGGGATATGGCAACTGAATGAGCCATGTGGTGTCGGCATTTAGGTGGACGAGGACGGGCCGTTGAGCCCTCAGCGCTCCCAGCCAACCGGCTCGGTCGCTTACTTGGATCGTCACCGGTGCCTGTAATGTTTGCGATCTGTCTTGAATAGCCATCGGAATATCGCTAGATCTGAGTTTCGTGGTAGAAGGTTGAGGTTTAAATGTTCAAGATGCGGTTTTGATGAGGTGTGTCCGGCGCAATGGTCCCAGTTAACGTTGGATTAATGTCCTAAATAGGAAATAGCATGACGTAGTCGAGTCGCTCCGCCCCGGTGATCCGTTTCCAACTGTACTACCAATATCGTATCGTATTGCTAGCAGTCCTAATTCGTCACCGGCTCTGTTGCCTGTCTGCCAGAGTGGCGAAGAGGACAGCTTTACTCTATTACGCATCTACCTGATTTCCGTGACGATCTGCACAATTTTTAGAACCATCTCTGATACCTTACACTTGTGACTACAGTCGCGACTCCAACAAGCTATGCTCGCTCTCGGACTCTCTTGAGAACCTCATCGCACGGACTTGATAGTGACCATCAAGGGGTGCTTCTCCCAGAGAATGTAGGCCCTTTGGTCTGACCAATTCTCACTCTCCTGGCAAAGACTGAGGTCAAAGCTCCAGAGCGTTTTGGCCAGAATGAGCCTCATTTTGTGCCAAGCGAGACTAAGATCAAGAACACTGCGGTCAGCGGACTAGAGGTCCTACACATCAGAGATGCCAGAGAACTTACTTGATTCCAATGCAGTTACGAGGGCCAATTGAGAATGGCTGCACCACATCTTTCGTGTTTGGCTCATAGTCTGGGCCAGGAATCCACCGCTCAGGAATGAATGCTTCGGGATCCTTGAAGTTGCGGGGCGAATGGTTCGCAGGGAACTGCGGGACTGAGACGCGAGTCTGGAATGGGAAGTTAGAAAAGGTCATGTAGGGAACAAGGGCTTGTATCGAAGAAATGCTCACCTTCTCAGGAATCCAGTGTCCTGCAACAGCGCTGCCACCCTCTGGAACTTCCCTCCAGACTCCAACAGGGACTGGGGGATACCAGCGTAGAGCCTCATTGAGGACGGCAGTCATGTACGGCAACGCAGAAAGTCTCTGAATGTCCAAATCATCTTCAGATTCGACATCTCGGATCTCGCTCACAACACGAGCCAGCTTGTCGGGGTTCCGAAGCAATAGATACGTGACACCACTGAGAATCGTTGCCGTGGTTTCGGATCCAGCGACCATAAAAACCGACGCATTGTTATACATATCAAACTTGTCAATCTGTTTGCCTTCGGGCTGACTGAGGACCAGTTTCCAAATATCGGCCTGGTCGGTTTCCCTTTCAAGCCTGCGGTCGACTCGCTCAATAGCATGCTTAAAGTGCATGTCGGCGGCCTTCTTGAGCTTTGGCGGCGTGATCATGCGGACGACGGTGCCGAGCCATGTCCACTCACGACCGACTTGGGCAATCGCGTTGTTCTTCAAGTTGTCAAAAATATTGGCGACCCATTCCGAGTACTCCGAGTTGGCAAGGAGACCAAGTGATTCCCCGAACGCAAGCTCGGCCATGATATCGAATGTCGTCAAGTTATACAGCTTGACCATGTCAAACTTGGCGTCTGCGTCTGTCTTGATGCCACGGCGGATGTTCGCCATGAGCTGATCCACGTACGACAAAATGAGGGGAGCCTGCGCCTTCAGGCTTCTTTCCGAGAACGCTGGGGAAAATACTCTTCGGAGGCGACTGTGGTCGGAGTCGGGCAATGTCGTGATCAGATTGCGGTGACCATTGGGATCGGTTCCGTACATGCGCGGATCTTTGGGGAAGCTCTTCTTGCCTCCCGTCTTGTGGGCATAGATGTCCTTCCAGGCTTGCCCGTTGATAATGCTGAGTCTCGAAGCTCCGATCCTTACAACGTCGCCGTATTGGGCGTGCAGAGAGCTGAGCCAGGGGAGCATTGCTCCTTTCGTCTGCACCGCCATATATGGTATGTTTGAGCAGCGGGCATAGAGTGGACCAGGGAATTTGGCAAGAGGATGGAAGTATGCATTGTATACGGACTTGATAAAGAACCAAACAGGAATCTATAATAAGGGATTTCAGTTCTTGTTCTTAAGATGCATGTACCACACAGCCAGGAGTTAACTTACAAGAACCAATGCTGCAACGAACATTTGCGCTCGACTTGTCTCTGCCAAAATGTCTAAAATCTTGGCCGAAAAGGTCGGCCAATCGGCCAGAGTCTTTCTTGAATCGAATTCCATGTCTTTTGATTGAGATGAACTGTTGTTGACCTCCCCCATAATCCAGATGGAAGTGATCGTAGCATACCATTTATATTAGCATTCTATCATCTCAGTGAGGGAGCTAAGTGTCAGCCACTAGGAGACTTGCCAAAGTCCGTGACAAAGCGTTTTGTGATCGTCAAAACTCCGCTGGGTACTAATTTCAGCCTTCCAACCCCGAATACTAGCATATTGTAACGGCATTGGCAACGGAATGCATGATCCGGCCGTAGGATCGTCGGTGCCCCACTGCTTTCGGAGTGGGGTTCGGAGCGGACTGAAAAGGGCCCACTCCCGACCAGATTTCGGAACAACTTTCCCGGAACCCCGGATAAATGTTCATTTCCGGGCGTCCGCACAGTACAGGACAGCGTGCCTCTTTTCGCAACGGGAGCCATTTTGTTGTGCGCCGGATTGAGCCCTATGAACTCTCGCCCTTCCCGGTCCCCGGTGCATGGTTGTTCTTGCATCCATGTAGTTGCAGCGTAAGGTCTTCACCGAGTACCTAGCATCTGTAGTAATGGAGGGCTTCGGTCTCTTAGAAAGTAAGAATGTATATTCAAATACAATTAACCCATGTATTCCATGATTTCTATGCAGTAATGTACATCCTGCCGATCATCCCAGAGGACCGGGATGATAGATCGCAGCCTCTAAGCCCTTGCGTACCTCCAGAGCCTCACAGGGCAGCTGGAAATACCAAGTCTCCTCGTTGCTCTTCACTGGACCTCTCGGTCATACTCTCCAAGAAAGACCACGCAGAAGTTTCTAGATTGGGAAAATGGCCCCGGCCAACGCCGATGTATGAAAACGGCGGCACCCCTTCAGCCTCTAATGCTTGTGCCCACATCTGTCTGTTGACTGGTGTTGTTTCTTGGGGGTTCAACGGGCCCAGTGGATGATCTCCATTCCGTACAAAATTGTCCACACGTGCTCGTAGCTCGACGATGTATTCTGGAGACTCTCCGGGGAAGCCAGATCTTGTGAGCAGATCCAATCTCTTCGACCACGCCCGGAGTACGAAATGCGCCAGAGTTGCGCAGGACTTGTCGGCAACATTGAAGAGCCCGGGCCGAAACCGGTAAAAGATTTCAATCTTTTCCCAGGCACGCTGTGCAATAGGTCCTTCGAGTCTTTGCCCCAACAACACCACGACGTAAAGTAGTACATCGTACTGGAAGTTGAAATCGGCGAACCAGAGGAACCCTGTATCTTCTGAAGAAGAGTAAAGAAACGCCGTGTGCTCAAGCATTGAAACAGCCCACATGAAAGCATTGTCCTCTCCGCTCTGAATCACAGCGTCAGGTCTAGGTCCATCGCTAAGGCTCTTGATCAAGTGCCGTTTCTGTGTGAGAAGAGCTGCAATCAGCCCCTGAGCCATGACGTGGACTTGCCCAGCGTGGGGGTTGCATCTGTTGTCCAAGATGTGCTGAAGATTCTGTTCCAACAGCTCGAAATGAGTAAGATAGTAGCTCATCTGCTGCTCTCTTGTACCCCCTGCCACTGGAGGAGCACCAGCGGACTCATTCAGCTCACCCATCATCTTGACGGGTTCAAGGCCGGGCGTATCAACAAGGAACTTGGTAATCTTGTGCCTAACCAAACACAAAACCATCTCCGAGGGTCCGTCGCGATCCGGTGTTGGTTGCATCGCGGCCGGAAAGATGTCCGCATCGTTCAAGTTGCTCGGCTCTTTGGCATCCCAGTCCCGAGGGAGCAGCGAGTGACCAAAGCCGGAGAATAAAGCAAACTTTGCGTCGAGTGATACCAGCTGCCACCATACCCTGCGCCTCATCTCTGATTCAAAGGGCCTGAGGCCAAGCACGTCTCCATCTCGGTGGAGACCCATCTTTTGTGCAATCCGTATGACAGTGCCGCTGAAGACCCACGAGCTGTGGCGGTCGTATCGGTCTTGCAATGAGTACTGCCAATAACGTCAGCACATTCCGCCAACTTTTTGGGATGCAGGGTCATAGTTACCGTACTTACCAAGTACAGACAGAGTGACTGTAGAATGATTAGATCGTTAGTCCGCATGAAGTCAAGGCGCCTCATTGTTTGACGGATGCCAGCAGAGAAGGACGCCACTGCAGCTTCTTTGGACTGCTTCAGCGCGACTAAGCATTCCTCCTCAGACATGGCAACTACTGCCATCAGAAAGATGGACAGCAACAGCACCATGATGTTTTCTGGCAGATCTTGAGTACCATTCGTAGCTTCCACGACATAGGGCTGAAAGCTGTGAACATGAATAACCTTTGTGAAAGGATTAACTCGATCAAGGAAAATCTGCCACAGCTTAAAGACGAGGGCGGCGCCGGGCCACGCATCGAAGACTGAGGAACCAGAGGCGTCCTCCCCAAGAAGAAGATCTGCGTTTGGATCGGAAGGCCTGCTGCCAAGTGGGCTGTGGCGTTCATTCTCGTCTAGGCTGATGAGTTCATCCATGGCTCGGAGCTGCAGTGAGGTATGTCATGTCAGTGGTTTGGTGAGGAAAGATATGTGTAGACAATGACATACCTCTTCATTAACCAACCCCAGGAGGTAGTTGTCCATAAAAGCGAGCTTGCCATTTGGATCTTCTATCAGCTTTCCTTCCGGGGTCCATTTGGAGACCGGGGAAGGATCCGCCGGACTTTGAGACTGCGACGTCTTGGGCGTGGTAACAGTGTTCGGAGAAGCGTTTGAGGCTGATGCTTGGCCACTCAAGAGCTGCTCGCAACGGGCTAGACGTGCTTTGAGAGCCTGATTGTAAGGCTTCCTGCCTCGTGGAGGAGCTGGCGTCCCAGGAATGCATTGGCTGGATGACTAGGAAGTATCTCATCAGCCTCAAGCCCTCCCATACGTGAAGCAACCCGACGGAACGCGACATACCCTAATGCAGTTTGCACAGGGGAACACCCGGCTGTACTCGACTTTCCGCTTCTGGCACGCAACACAGGCAATGAGGCGCCGAGCGGAACCTGGCTGGTCACTGTCGGGAGACATCGAATCCAGCCCCGAGGCTCCGGATGGGAAGGTGGCCATATTTCCTGTGCGAGAGAAGGGCCGAGAATCCCAGCGGGCCCGAAGGAACGGCCGGCGCTGTAGGGCGAAAGGGGGAACTATAAGACTGGCCGGGAAGAAGGTGTGACGTGGAGCTTTTTCCCTTCGGAAGATGGGGAGGGCTGCATATGTGTCGTAGACACGGGAGTGAAAAGATGGTACCGCCTCCTTTTAATTCGCTCTGTACAGAGTTTCTGTCCTTCGGTATCGAAAGTTTGTCCGACGATCCGCAAACCCATGTTTCACTAACTAGCGCTGTGCGCAACTGCTGAGTTGCCCCCGCTTACCCAGGCCTGTTTAGATAGTGCAATACGAGTGTCGGATTAAAAGTCAAAGCTGAACGGCCTAGCGGCAACATGCTTATCGCTAAGGTAGTACAGATGGGCAGACGCACACCTCTTCGCGACTGATGGCATTGTCTCTTGAAACATATGGTTTAGTGTATGACGGCAGCAGCCTATTGTTTGGTTTAGGTGCACGAGCTCAAGGTTAACGGGAACGTTGCACCTCTCCTGTACTGTGATGTGGAGTCTTTGCTCTTCGCTCAATGTTAACTCCATGGATCTTGGTATCAACTTGAGTTCACCTAGCAGTGTTCCATATATCATGTCAAAATCTAGAGGAACGGATGTCTTGGCAAGCTGTACCCTTCGATGTTGCCGAGAGCCGAGCAGATCTCGGGAAGTGGAAATATAAACGGAATACTGATAAGTTGCCCAACCACGCAATATCGCGGAGACACGGAAGTCCCACCTACATCGATCTCGACTTTTCTCCGACCACGGTCAGCCTATGGAGTAAAATTCTATTGCTCATTAATATCCATTGGAACTGATGTATCAGCGACACCAAAAGGATAAATTATCATGCATTCATGGGCATCCCCACATGATAAGCATTGCTGGGTGGAGCCTCCCAGGATGATTCAACGCCTATCTTCGAGTGTAGAAGTTTCGCGGCCCTATTAAACCGGCAGCCCAGAATTCACTCAGTGTGGTTTATACAACATTGATGGCTATTCTCACTAGTCCGCGGGATAGAGGGAAAGTTGTCATGCCATCTTACCTAAAGTATGTACTTAGTGGAAGAAACATTCAATATTACTGCGCTTTGTACTTGTATACTTCAATGAGAGTAGTCACAGCGAAAATATGATCGCTCACAATATTTGATATTCAAATCGAAGTTCAAAACAAAATACCAGACACGCTTTTACTTGCTCTCATTATAAGCTAGTCACAAGTTATGCTTTGTTGAAAATCATCGATCAGCAATGGAAACTTGGCTTTGACAAACTCTATCATACCTAAATCAAATCTAACCTTCGTTCTATCTAGAAAATACCACGAATCGACCTGCGGGGGCAGTAAAACGCCACTGCCAGGTTGCCGCCTCGTTGTCACTCGGAACAGACACTTATTTGGTTCGTCCATCAGCACTGAGCCGCATCTTCTTTACACAATGACACATGCGTTCAACCTCGTCTTCAAACGTACCGTTGCCCTCGGGGGTGGGAGCATGAACTTGGTCATCCTGGAGCTTATCGGCGGAGGAAAAGTCCCAACCGGAGCCAAGGATTTTGTTCAATGCATCGTCTGAGAAGCAGCTGCATGATGGATGACAGTAAGAACAAAGCTTCTTGAACAGTCGATAGTCCTCAATCTTTCCAAAACACTTTGGATCAGTCTGAGAAGCACGTTTGCAGCTGACGGTTTCCTGCTCCAGACGGCTAATCTCCTTATTGCACTTGGCACAAGTGCGGACGATGAAGGTAGTGATACACATGGCGAAGTGTGTAAGTTCGACAATTGGGTACTAGGGATAGGGGCGAGTGATTAGACTTACTTGTAAGTCTATCGTGAGGAAGTCGTGGTATTGTATTGAGAAAAGCGTGAATGATGATGGTAATGGCGGTTAGGAGTAAAGTCTCAGTGGCACTTGTTCAGGCTTCAATGTTTGGAACTATATAGACTTCGATCGAGTTTGGAGGCTTTGTGCCTCAATAATGTCCACTACTTGGCATGGACATTGTTCCAGCATTTGTTTTGCACCTTGTAATTTCATTTTTTTTGTTGAGGTAATAGGACAACAGGATTGGCTCACTCAGGTCCGATTATCAAAGTCAAACAACACGTGCACTGAATAGTGATTCTTTATCTCTAACACAAAGAACTTTTGATTGAGGGTTATCAATTCGCAGGCCAAGGCTATGTTCAGTAGAAAGGAAAGAGTATATACAGCACTCATATGGTATCATTTACGTTGTGCGAATCAAGCAAAAAAGATACCCTCAACATTCCGACTCTCTATCTAGTACCCAGCGAAACGCTTAAGAGTACCAGTTGTTGGGGGTCCACTTGACCTGTTGAGGTTATTAGTGTGTGTTTTGAGTAGGGCCATCTAGATTGTGTTCGACTTACGTAGCTGGCGTCAATCTTCTTCAGGTCGGGGACACCGAGGTTGCCGGCGTCGATGGCGATCTCGTGCTTGAGGAGCTGGATAGCCTTCTCGACACCCTCCTGGCCGAAGATGTTGGAGAACATAATGGGACGGCCGAGACCAACAGCCTTAACACCGAGGGAGAGGAGCTTGAGAACATCAGCGCCGTAGCGGACACCACCGTCGGCGTAGACCTCGATCTTCTGGAAGATTTCGGGGTCCTTCTCGTAGATCTCGAGAGCAACCTCGAGAGAAGAAGGGGAGCCGTCGAGCTGGCGACCACCGTGGTTGGAGAGGATAATGGCGGGGACCTTGTTCTCGATGGCGGCCTCGGCGTCCTCAACGGTCATGATGCCCTTGATGAGGATGGGAAGGTCGGTCATGTTAGAGAGCTTGCGGTACTCGTTCCAGGTGATGAGGGAGTAGTCGGAGTCGGCGGAGCCGACAGCGAAGCGCGCAGCACGGTGACGGTTGCCATCGGCGGCGGAGTCGACGGTGTAGACGATGCCGTTGGCGCCGGAGGCCTTGATGCGGTCGAAGAGGACCTGGGTGGCGGTGTCGTTGGTGGTGAGGTACACCTGCTGGAAGGCGACCTGGCCCTCGGCCTTGACCTCAGCGATCTGCTCAATGGTCTTGGCGGCGTAGAGGGCGGGCATGTAGAGGATGTTCTCCGCAGCAGCGGCCCTCATCAGGTTGAGCTCAGCATCAGCGTGAGCGTAATCAGCGCGGGCAGCAGGGCTGATGAAGATGGGAGCAGAGAAGTTGTGTCCCAGGATGGTGGTGCTGCGCGAGTCAGCGATCTACAATAAAGCCAGAAACCCAGCAATGAGGGTTCGTCTAAATAGAAAGCTCGAAGCTCGGACTTACTTGAGGGTAGACTCAATGTTGGTGATGTCAACCATGGTGCGAGGGCGGAGGCGGTAGCGTCCGAAGACCTCAAGGTTGTTGCGGTAAGACCATTCGCCAGCGGCACCGTTGCGGTAGTAGGTGTAGTTCTTGATGGGGAGGTAGTTGCGAGCGGCGTACTCGAAGTCAGGAAGGCCGACCATCTGGGTGAGGTTGGGCAGAGCACCAACGGCGAGGTCACCAAGGGCAAGCTCGATACCGGTATCCGGCTCGTTCAGGAACGGGCGAGTGGCGGCGGCGCCGGCCGCGAGGGCGGAGATGAGAGCAGCACGCATCTTGTCAGATAATGAGTGAATGTGGGTGAGTGATGACGGTGAGCACGTATGTGTTGAGTCTCAAAGCCAAATCACTGGCGAAAGCGGACGGTCCCATGAGCCTTATTTATCATGACCACGACAATACCACTCGACGTCAACTTTTTCTTCTCTAAGCTCCCCCCTCCCCTATACTGCAAGTTTCTTGGCATCACTCCGAGCCTCCTTGCTCATATCCGCATTCGGTTCGAGGAGCGGGCCAAGCGGTTGCTACCCAAGGTCTACATGTTTAGAGGTATTAATCCCAATGGGCTCCATGACGTGCGCCATGGGTGTCGTTGAGCACCAGGAGACATCAGCAGGAACGGGGACGGCGGCCCCGTTTTCCAATGAAGAGATGCTGGTGGGAGCTCTTCTCTAAGTCTCTGCGCATGATGTCCCCGACACTGAGGGATGGCTGCATCCAGGGAAGGTCGGTCTTGGCGGACGGGCTGTCTCGATTCTTTCGGACAAGTCGGGTGGCACTCTGTAGTCCCAGGAAACTTGGACAAGCGGGTCTAGAGGAAAATCCAGGCCCCAAATCCGGAAGCTTGACTTGGGCCTGTTATGAGAGAATGACGGTGGGATAGCAACGATGGTTCAAACTCAGATAAACGACGTCGACCCGCTGCCAAGCTGAATGGTGCTGCAATGCCTCCCTGATCCGGGGAGAAGCCCGTTATCAGATCTAGTAGGGTGGACCAGCGAGTGCCGTTAACGACCCAAGAACTGGCGTATCAAGTTGATGGGTGAGTGACGGGATGGAGCTAGTTTCACGTTTTTTTACCTTCTCTTCTTCTGCCTTCCTGTCTGTGCTCCTCCCTCGGTTCCCCTCTGCAGACTCCAGAAAAAGAGCATCCACTAGCGGTTGGCTGACAAGGATAGAGCGGGTAACTGACTCGCCCTGGAATGAGATTTGGTAGCTTAATAAGGCGCTATCATGGCTGAATAATAACGGAGCCAAGTTAAGGAGCCAAGTCGTTGCACGGGGGGTGGGCGATGCTCCTAGCGAGCACATGACAGCAGCCCAGCCAGCGGGATGGGGCTTGGACAAGCGCGCGGGTGGTGACAACGTGAATGGAGACTGCAACGCTCTTCGGAAGCGAAGGTCCCAGAGGTCTGGATTGCAATTGTTGGCCCGGTCCTGGGAGAAACCCACGTCACGGACAGACTCCTGTCCCCGATCGAGGGACATTTGGGGGCTTTTACACTTACAGAAGTTCGGTCGACTTCCGACGTCCAGGCATCGTGAGAATTAGGAAGTTGGAAACAGGACGATTCCCAGCATCCCTCATTTCCTTCCGATGTCAACTCGCCCACGTGTCTTTGGAGATTCCTGATTCTTCGTCCCAGGTTCCCAGTGCACTGGCTCTACGGGCATTGATTTTTTCTCTGATCTCCCTTAATTGTTTGTTTGTTGTTTACGCTTGAGAGCGCATTATGCTTGAATCGTCCGGTGTCTGAAAACCATTTGTTCGCTTTCTTCTTCAGAAACAGGGATAAGCCTCCCGCTAGAGACACAAAAAGGGAGGTGGCATCTCCCATCACATTCCAATGCTACCTACCACATCTGCGCATGACATATCCTGGAAGCGAGATTTCGCTCAAGAGCTTCCTCCGGTTCGGTCCCTCCTTCTCTTTCTTGAAATGGGTCTGACGCAAGTCGAGAAGGAGTTGAGAAGAAAATTCTGACACTCAACTTGCTCAACTACATCCCACTAGAATATAGTTCCCGCAGTTTCCATCGCGAAAATTTCCGATACCTCGACCAGGGGTCCCATTTAGGCGTTGTCGAGTAACAGCACCCGTCCCTCGGACTTATGACCGGCCGTACTCACGAAACCTCGGATCCGTGTGGGAGCTCCTCGAAATTCCGGAAACAGTTTGCTGCCGGCGGTGGCAACCGAACACGACGCAGGCCGTGGCGGAGCCTTAAGGTCTAGGGAAAAGTCAGTCGTTCATCACGAATGTTTTCGTACGCCACATAGAGAAAATCGCCGCGCTTCGCCAAGGACTCTTGGACTCCGTGAAAGCCGTCAATTGCAACGGTGAGGCAGTCGATGACAATGCATTCTCGGTCTTGGTAACCGATAGCAACACAGACAATGGCCTCTAGCCCCATACTACTCCCTGGTCTCTCGGTGACTGAGCTGTGGCCCGTGGGTGTGGGTAAGGACTCAAGGAGAGACGTCTTGCGATGTTAATCTCGACGGAAACCTTAAGGTGCTGGGTTCTGGCTCCAGTCGTGACTTATGGGGCGCTGGTTCGTCTGAAAAGTTTTGCGGATACGCGCGGTAAGAACCCGGGTTGTCAGGATCACTCCGTTCTTGTCTTCTGCAGACCGACTTTCTCCATGTCAACTTAGACTGAGCAATGCCCGTTCTCCAGACTCCGGCATCATCTTGGTTAGGAATACTACTACACCTAAGCACTGCCCATGCTCGCTAGGAAATCATTCTTGTCGTCAATTTGGAATGTGTTATACCTGGGTTTTCATCACTCAAAATACTACAAAGATTCCCGGAATTTACACGATATATTGATCAGGCCCATGTTGCATGCGTCATGCGCCGCAACCTCAAGGCCCCTCTCAAGCAGGTTTCTGGAAGGTGGGAGTGCGTCGGGACCAACAAATTCTTCTGATCAAGACGATTGGAAGCCTCGTGAATGCAGGAACCACCACGGGGTGCCTGACTTGATCATCCGGATTATGTCTCCCGCTCGGGACCTTATTAAGCGCCCGCATCAAATACCGGCACTGCATGGGGAGCCCGGACTGCATCCAATGCTTTAAGCAGCTTACATGTCGGGTGCCAGAGTCCGACTTCGGCTCACAACCTGAATCCATTCCCAAGTCCGAACTCGAGGCGTCGATAACGTTTTGCGAGCCGAAAGATCTCGGACAACACCCGATAGCCCGAACAGCCTTCTACAGCTCATCGTGGTGCTGAGTGTTGACCAAATAAGTGGAAGAACGGTTCCTTGTCGGATATGAACCGGGCCTGATAGTGGACCGTAGGCCTCTTTACTTGCGATAGTAAGGTATATCCGTCGTAAAAGACCCAGATTCCCACCAACTCGCCGACTCCTCACCGACCGGAACGCACCTGCACCCTCCGCTAAACGAATGCGGCAACCCGTTTGTTGATAACGAATCCCTCTTACTGAAGAAGGTAGGTGAACCTCGCGAGCACGGATTGTGCAATGGTCCAGAGTTCAATGCCTGCTCTGCACCTTGCTTGCCCTGCACGCCTTCATCAAAGGCCAAACCACGCGTGTGGGCAAGGTGGGATTTTCGTGTCCACACCAATGAAACCTGCAAGGGATGCCAGATATTGATCTGCAATCTGGCCCAAGAACCCGACCACTTAAAGTCTACATCACTCCATTTTTTAACATGCTCGGTCAGGGCAGCTCCGGGGTAGGATTCCTTTTTAGAGTCCGCCTTGGAGCGCTGCACCAGCACCATTCAGAAGGTTAATTCGGCCCTGCGATTTAACTGTAACTAAATCCTTATTCTTGGTTGTAGTGATGGCACTCTGTAGTTGTCCTTGCGCAGGTTTCACCCGGGCCCCGCGACCTGCACTGCTTGGCGAAATGAATAGCTGAGAATAGGGCGGGCAGCGTCGCAGATTGAAATGATTTTGGGCAACTTTTGCCTATTCTTAGTTGATGAGTACGGTCGCAGGCTGAACCTAAGCAACCCACCGCCGCCGACATAAACATGAGTGCGATTTATCTATGTTGCCTACCTCTAAGCATCACTATGAACAGATCATGCTAGCGGTTCCAATATTTTCAAGGACCCGTGGCAGTTTAGAATATGTTGATAAGTCAATTCTCGCAATAAGATCAGCCTTGCATGTGTCAAAGAGAATTGTGCATTGCGCATAACTGTGATAGACTTCGCTAATTTTCGTCTGAGCTCCCCGGCACAGAAAGAAAGACGTTGAGAGCCTCAATACATCCATCTCGCAACATCTCAGCCCTCCTGAGGAAATACCATATTGCAGTGATGCTTTCGCTTGTGGGATAGCTCAGCTTGACATACGGAAGGAGCTGCGTGGTTTAGCCATCACCCGGATTCTACAATGCCGGCACAAGTACCAGTCAATATCAATGACCCTCCCACGTCGCTACTGGGGGGGGGGGGGGGGGGCTATCAAGCATGGTTCCTGAGTCACAGGAATTTCGGCCTTCTATCAGCCAAGTGAAGACAGGTATCTCACTATGCGGTCTTGTTGCCTGGAATGATGGGCTTTGAAATTGTCTTTCTCGATCCCACGTACACACGTACATGATGGGAATCCGTTGTAGTCTGAGGTTAGAAGGCTCAAGCAGTGCGAAATTCTACCTCTACTGTAAATTGCATGGAGCTGCATTGAGCTTCTTGCCAACGAATACATAGTTCTTGCCTCTTGTTTCTCGTGAGTTGCTGTGCCCTGACGGCTAATCTACCTACTCCAATGGGGCCTGAGGCAAGCAAACAACGTTGACCCATTGCCAATTGGCACCGGTTCCAGTAGGTTGAGCCTGACAATTCTTGACATCTGAAGCTGGAAACTGCTGCAAAGTAAGAATAGTATCAGTTACAAGGACTCTTCCGTTGCGGCTATGTCTCATCCAACTCCAGATAGCCGAAAACTCTCAAAACACTAATTAAATTGATCAATTATCTAGTTGACTTTACGCATTGACTGCTACTCTTTCCGAGGGAGGATGGAAGGCTTATAAGAATGAATTTCAACCCCAATATATGCAGGCGAGGTTCCGATAAAGACTTGATACGCAAGTAATTTTGCGTATGAAACTATCGAGTAGGGGGCACAAGTCTGTCTTGGCTCGATCTTTCTGTATGTTGACCAACGTTCTTACTTAGTTCAAAGGGTTAACAGATGATCTAAAGGGTTCTTAGAGAGCTTCCCCGAGGAACATCTATCGAAGGAGTTATCATGCCAGACATCGAGAATAAGACCTTTGCAAAAAGTCAACCAGCGTCGATTACCACTAAAGTACCATTAATACGGCCACCTTACCTTATATAATAAATCGTAGAAAATATTCCATCCAATTATTTGAGCTCTATGATGTCAACATCCCTTTGGAAAAGACACGTCGCTCCAAATTCCCAAGCTGAGCATTTGAGTACTAGCTCCTATAGCTGGGAATGCGCTTTCTCAACAAGCTGTACAAGCTGTACAAGCTGCACAAGCTGGTAATTGAAGCTTTCGCTAAATCAAAGCTCAATTTTTGCTACTTCTGAGTTGGAATGAGGCGATGACGTATCAGTCGTGTGCACATGTAGAGCCACCAGCATTTTCATATCCTACGATATGTCGACCAAACTTCAAAGACCTAAGGATTTCGGGCAAGTGATACGTAATTACTGGATGAACAATTCTCGAATACCATTGATGAAAGTTCAGGGCGCCGTTCTAAATGCTTAACCCTTATTTTTATTTATTTATTTTACAAAAAGGAAAAAAGAAAAAAAAAAGGAAAAAAAAAAAAAGAAAAAAAACTTAATATGTATGTCGAAGTCGGTTCGTACGGTAGCTATCATCGAATCTGTCCAGAACCAAAGACTCGTGTTGAGCAGACTGAAGGGAGTTGAGCCCTTGAGTCGCTGACTGGGTACCTCGATGGAGCAAATACTCGGGTAGACGAACCAGACCACCATCCTTCCCGGCCGTGGCTCGTTAGCTGCGGCGCGGCACTCGCGGTAAATTACCTTCTTGCCCCATTTTTCCACTTTGCGCTGACTTCAGCAAACATCAACGATATTCTGTTTCATGGGAGCCTGATGTCGAAAGCTAGTTGACCGTCAAACCTCAACATCCCCAAACGCCTTTGCGACTATCGATCTCCATTGGTAACTCCACGAAAACATTTCATGAGTGCCAACGATGTCTCTATTGCGCCTCCCGATTGAGCTGCAGCAGCGCATCATCTCGGAAACGATTCCTGAGTCGATCGAGAACGTTGCAGTCACCTGTAGGGCATTATACGACGCGAGTGAGAGATACTTAGAGCAGCACAACAGTCTCCGAAAGCGATTCCGGCATTTTTCATTTTCTACCTTCAATACCAGGTTCGTTGCTGTGTGATGAGGAAAACCGATGATGCAACTCGTTTGCGCTGGCATACCTAAGCTGACAATAGCGTTGACCCACAGCTCTGGAACTTGGGATAATATTACCGCGAAGACTAGGATTTTTGTTCGTCATGGCATCGACCTCCTCATGAGCATCATACACAATCCAAGAATTGCTCGATATATCGAGACAGCTGATCTCAAAGCTGGTTTCGGCCGTGATAACTTGATGTGGGATGATAATCACGTTTCACACCAACCAGAAAACACAAGGCGCTCGCCACGGCTCACGAAAGGTGAAGACATCAAAGCACTTCAGCAATTTCTGCGTGAATCTCCTTATCTGAAACAGATCGGCGAACACCCCGATTTCTGGGAGGATATGATTCTGGAGGAGACTTATGGTCATGCCGAGATACTCCTACTCAGCCTATTGACCAACGTGCGGGAGCTTGCTCTGCCCACTGGCTGGCGGAAAGTTGGGCTACGGGGACAAGACTTAAGCGGAACTGGAAGAGATTTTGCAGTTTGGCGGGTGCTTGATCAAATTGTGTATTGTGCCAACGATCCTGGCTTCAAAGGTGCGGGACTCTCGAAGCTAGAGATTCTTCGACCATTCGCTGGCTCCGGTTACAATTGCAGGAACTCAATGACCTTGAACACACCCTTCTTGGCCCTCGAGTCTCTTCGGGAGGCATATATCGGAGGTTGCGTCGCCCTTGAAGACGGCTATACAGGCTTGATGTTTTCACCAGAGTACTCGAGCTATAGCCCACGTCTAGAAAAGCTGGAGTTGGTGGGTTGCACGTTTGAGGCATGGGAAATGCGTGTTTTGCTCTCCCGCATGCCCAACCTGAAGTATTTCCGTTTTGCATACGAGGCGAAGTGGGACGCATGTGGCATGAACTACGACTCTGGCGAGATCCTCAATACCATCATGGAGTGCACCGGCGAGACACTGGAGCAGCTTTCAGTGTGGGTGATGACGAAGTGGGGATCAATGGGGAGTACGCTCACCGACATGAGGGGATTCAAACGCCTCAGATCACTCGAGATTGATGGCGCCATGCTCATGGGGCCAGAATTTCGCAAAGATCATATAGAGGAGTCTAAGGGCGATTTCAATGACGCACCGCTCACCTCGCCGATTGACGAGATGGCTGCGCCTCGTCTGGTGGACCTGCTTCCTCCATCTCTCGAATCGCTTCGAATTCTAGCGGAAGAAGAAGAAGATGATGATGATGAACGATCTCCTGCGCAGTTGGCAAAATGCTTCAGAGCCTTGTTTGATGGGCTTTCTCAACGCAGACAAGACAGGCTACCGAGGTTGAGGGAGATAGTGCTTGAAGTATTGGAAGACGATCTAGATATCAACCTTTTGAAGGAGATAGAAGCCAAGGGGGCCACGGTCCTCTTGCAAGAGGCAACACAACTCCAGCCAGACTTTGTTCACGATTTTTACGATCGCTTTGGAGTCACTGCTGAGAGGGCAGATGTCGAAGAAGAGGAAGATGATGAAAATGACGACGAATGGGAAGAAAGTGAGGATGAGGACAACAACGGCGAATTCGGGGACAGCGAAGAAGATGATAGCGAATAAGAGGCGAAAGAATAAGGAAACGTCGAAGAAGAATAGGCAACGGGTTACGGAGTTGTCAATGTGTAGAAATAAGGATAGTTGACAAGCCTCGTGGGAGGTAAGTAAGCACCTTAACAAAACTCATGACCAACGAAATGCCTCCAGCAGTAATAGCGGTGGGTCTGGATGGACCAAGAACCCACGTCTGTGAATTCCACCACTTCAACCAGCACGTTAAAGCAATTGCGTATCGAGCTTTGGCCGGATTAATACACCCCGAGAAAGCAAGTTGTAGACGGTGGCTAAGATGTTTCGTTCTCCACACTTCCGACGACTGTGGACGGAAGCGAGCTGCACCCCAGAGTAAGCAAGAGGGAGGGGTACGGCATTAACCCCTTGACTAGGTTAACGGGCTTGGAGGAATCAGGACGTCCGTAGATACGCGTATTCGTTATGGCTAGAACCCGCTAGCGACAAACATCATTGAATGTCAGGCAGATATTTGGTTGGATCTCGTACCTGTTACGAACGTAAAGACTGCATGTGCCGACTTTCGTGCAAGCACCGGGTTTACTCCACATCTGATTGATGATGTAGTTTGAACTAGGTTAGTCGAACTAGTCCGGAAGCCCGATGGTGTGCTCTTTTCCCAACCGTAATGAGCTGCGATTGGATGTTACCGCCTGTTGTTATCCAGGTGATATTAACAACACGGTCCGACTTCGTCGTCAATCACACCGAGGAGACTGCCGAATATCCTTTGGCCCACTATGTCTCGACTGCAAGTTTCGTGCCTAGCACTATCTCGACAAGTCAATCCCTCGAACGTTCGCCATGCCGTTGATCTATTTAACGATTCATCAAGTCCTTTCCTTCGTAGTTGCTTGAGGGGCCCAGCCAAACCGCGACTAGATCAACTTCGAGCGAACTTGTCCTCACAATGGTCACATCCCGCCATGTAGTCGGCTTCTTTGCCCTATCTCTTACTGGTTGCGAGGCCATCCAACCCTCAAATTGCACTTTATCCCCAGACCACTTCCTCCATCCACCATCCCGAGAGCGTCCAAAGTTCAGATACTGGCTTCCCGACGCCAGTGTAAACGCCGAGACTGTGGAAGCAGACATCAGAGCATCCGGTGATATTGGAGCTGGGGGCGTAGAGTTCCTGCCATTCTATAACTATGGAGGAGAACTTGGACCAGCCCCAGCCGGGGTCAATTGGTCTACTTACGGCTTTGGTACACCAGCTCATCTCAATCTTTTCATAGCAGCCTTGAAGGCCCACAAGCAGGCTGAATTAGTCATGGACTTTTCACTTGGACCGAATCAGGGACAAGGTATTCCGGCTCACCCTGATGATGAGGGGCTGCAGTGGGACTTGGTACGTACATTTAGACTCCCAACATCTTAAGGCTGGGCACAATTGAGTTGATGTGACCAAGCACTCAACGCAGGTTTCCATCAGTCCATCCGTTGCCAGCCGTGGCGTTTTCAACGGAACCATTCCCGGCTGGGGAGACGGAAGATTGGTCGCTGCCGTGTCTACTGCAGTGGTATCTCGAGCGAATGTTTCTTACAACGTGACTGGCGTTCCTGGGGTCACCAGCCCGACGACTGTGGCTTACGAGGATCTTGTTTTGCAAGATGGATCTCTCACGGACATAACCTCAAACGTTTCCGGCAATGGCATATTAACTTGGGAGCTCCCTGTTTCCTTGACGAATAGATCTGACCACGAGTTGTTCTTCTTCTATGAAACGCTCTCTCACAACCACAATGTTCACTTCCCGTCCAATACGACGGCTACCATCTGGGACAACGGTTCCTACGTCGTGGATCACTACAGCGCCCGAGGCGCTCAGACAGTGAAAGCTTTTTGGGAGCAACATCTGCTCACTGACGAACTTAGAGGACTTCTGAGAGATGTTGGTAATCATGGTATGCCCTGTTCGAATCGATTGGTAGCCTTCTCAGCTAACCGCGTTGGGAACGCAGGATGGGAGGATAGTATCGAGATTCGCTCAAATACTTCTTGGACCCGCACACTTCCAACACGGTTCAAAGAGTTGTTCGCATATGATTTGAGACCATACCTGCCTCTCATCATTTTCGGTAACAACAATATCAATCTCCAGAACACATCCCCTGGTACCATACGCTGTACCTTGAACCGACCGGATCAGGGACAGGGTTACGTCAATGACTATCGTAAGACTTTGGCAGCGGGATATCAGGAATACCTCACCACCCTTTCGCAGTGGCTCAAGAGCCTAGGAGTCAAAGGACTTTCATCCCAACCATCCTACAACCTCCCCATGGATATGGAGGCTTCCATCCCATATGTCGACGCTCCAGAGTGTGAACCAATTCGTCATTCATGGGCAATCATATACTGGCAACTATCCTCAGACAACTTGGCCTGGATACACAGCTTTCATCTATTACGTCTCAGATCTTTACTCACCGAAAAGACCAGATTGGGACAATGGTCTCCAGGCAGCCATGGATTACATGTCGCGGCTGCAGCATGTTCAGCAACTGGGGGTCCCACGCACCGACATCGCATTCTATAACAAGCAGTCTGCTACTGATCCAAATCTAGAAACGGTGTACACATCCGAAGACTTGGTTGATGCAGGTATGTGACATCTTTATTGGAATTGAGCCGTAGATCTGCCACTAACATCGCGTAGGTTGGTCTTACACATACCTATCACCAGACAACTTTGACCTGCCCCAGGCATATGTCGACGACGGTAATCTCGCACCAGAAGATGCAGCTTATCAAGCCATGGTCATCCTTGGTTCTCAGAATTTGACGCAGCTCTCAATCGCCAAGCTGAAGAGCTTCACAGAAGCTGGCTTGCCAATAATCGTAGCTGGTTCAGCTCCTGGGCTCTACGCCTCAGAGTCGCAGATCATTTCTGAAAAAGACTCTTTCCACGATGAGTTGATCGACCTTCTGAACCAGAAGAATGTATATCACGTTGCAGAGGGCCAAATTTCGCAGAAGCTGCGCGACCTGAACCTTGAGCCACGAGTTGGCGTGCGAACGAACGGCACGTGGTATTCTACATGGAGGGATGACAAAGCAAGCGGCATCTCTTACGCCTACGTATTTGGTGACTTGGTTGCAGCAACAGGCGAGGTGGTAGTACAGTCGAAGAATACTCCCTACTTCTTGGATCTCTGGACGGGAGCCCGTCAACCGGTTCTCAACTACCGGACTGACGGATCTACGACAACTATCCCGCTCCAACTCGCAGCGAATCAAACCAAGATCATAGCGTTTGCTGCCAAAACCATGCGCGGTCTTGCGACTCCAGCCTTTCATGCTACGGAGGTTTCATCGAACGTCATTGGCTACGCTCCAGTGGGTGATGGCTTTGAACTACACGTCGCTGCTTCCTCGAATCCAGGGCTCATCAGGCTATCAAACGCCTCGGAGACCCCTCTCCATAGCCATGTGCCTGAAGCCTTCGAGTTGAAGTCATGGACACTGGTTCTTGAGCATTGAGAAGCCCCAGAAAACGTCAGCGATGCAACGATCACAGCTGTCAAGAGAAATACGACTCATCAACTCGACAAATTAGTCTCATGGAATGAGCTTCCCGCCGCAACAAACACTTCTGGGGTTGGCTACTACCACACGAACTTTACCTGGCCGCCAGTAGCATCGACCATCGGCAGTGCGAATGGCACGTCCTTTGGTGCCTACCTCAATTTCCCGCCTGTGCTGGATGCGATCACGGTCTACGTCAACGGCGCAAGACTGCCCCCTTTGGACTTTGCCAGTCCGTTTGCTGATGCCACGTCATACCTGGTGGATGGAAACAATCAGGTTGTCGCTGTTGTGCCGGGCACGATGTGGAACTACCTTCGCAGTATTTTACCCGAGATTAGGAGCTCTGGGCGGGAGTTTTCGTCATTGGCTGCTCTTCCTAAGACTGACAACGGGTTGGTTGGCGTGGTCACCGTTGTGCCTTTTGAGCCCTTCCACCTGAAAGCTTACCTATAGCCCTTTGGCATCTCTATGGCGGACTTTCATGTACTCACGGACCTACTGGATCACGAAAATGGTCGACCAGGTGTGAGAACACCCGAAAGATCTCTACCAGTTGCTTGAACACATGCATTGCTTACATATACGTATGTGAAAAATCGATTACCCGAGATTCTGCTCAACGCCAGTAGTCATCACCATGCGTAACTGCCATTTCGTTTTCTTGTTAGTGCCGAAGTACGTCGTCCCGTTGACTTAATTTGAGAGCAATTGTCGTCAGTTTTCTTCTCTATCGATACGCAAGGCATACTGCATTCAGTCTTACGCCAGTGGTAAATCACGACTCTCGCTTGATTGATTCCGTCATAGCCCCGCGTACCCGGTTTATGCACAGCCTATTCTGGGTTATACGACGGCATACGCGTACTGCCAAGGAAATATTCGCGTACAGCGGCATCACTGCGTTCGGTCGCTTTCGATAACATGTACTTTCTTGTAGGCAGGTATTGAAGGAATGGACCTCGCGATATCAACCACTGCACCGAACTTACTTTACGCGGCTCCGGAAGCTTGTAGGCAATCGACCTCAAAGAACTCATGGTTGGCACATTTTTGCGTAGAAACATTACGGGGAGGTTGCCGTATTTCATCCGTCGATAAATGTATTCTACCCCTCTCTAAGATGACAGCCAATCAAACCGTCAGTAATACGCGTGTTTAACTAAGACGTCAACCGCCCAGCCACATTTCGAGCTTCTTTGAAGCCCGTTATTGCCACGTCATATTTGGCAACGTCATATGACGGCGCAGTTCACATTCAACTCTCGCGTCGACCTCGAATCAATTTTTTTGGCAGTACTCCATGTCCTGCGAGCTCGGAGCGGGCCCGGAGAGCCTTGCCGGACGGCGTTAATCACGATGGTGGGAACGAGTTAGCTAGGTCTGGGAAGATGCGCCGTGTTATTCTCATGAAACCCTCTTCTCAGAACGAAGGGATGAATCTGACTTGTTAGAACCATCGATGCAATCGCTTTTTCTGTGGACCAGATGCAGATGCAGGTCCTCATTATTGAAGTCGCATTCTGTGCTACGGTGATCCTTGGGTTGTAAGTGAGTAACTTCGCCTCCTAAGGTAAAGAACCTTACGAATACGCGTATGACATGTCAACATTTCCATCCCAGGCAAAATACTCCGGCTCTCATATAATGACATCAGGCTTTGTGTGGTGATCTCTAAACGGAGTAGTGTACATGATGGGCCTACTGGCAAGGCAGGACCTTACAAGATGCGTGGCTCAGAAACCCAGACCCTTCTGCGCCCGGGGGGCAACTAGATCACTCACTCGATATCCGCGCCTATGCGAGCAGTGTAGATCGTAACCGGACAACATGTCGTGCTCAAGGGGCCGCAATATGCCCGGCCCGACGTCGATGTGAATGTTATGATATCAGGGCGTTTTGTCGATACCCCGCAGCGGTTGAAAGCGAAAGCGAGAATGCTTGTTGAATGTGTGGAAAAGTCAAAATAGGTTGTTTGCAAGTGAACATGCTTGATTGAATGATAGAGTCTTAGAGAGACTAGGCATATAAGACATGTCTTAGTCTTAACCAGATAAGCTCACCTATCTCTCTTCCATGAGAAGGCAACAGAGTTGTTTCCGATTGAGAAGTCGAGATGAAGCTCTCCTCTTTCTTAGCTGTTGTTAGCCTCCTCTTTGTGTCCTCCACGGATGCTGTTCTTAGCAAAGCCCATGTCAGGTCCACCAATGCCACTCAAGATCTGATAAGATGGGATGAACACTCACTCTTTGTCCGAGGGGAACGTATTGTCATCTTGTCCGGCGAGTTCCACCCATGGCGTATCCCTTCGCCAGGCCTCTGGTTAGACGTACTCCAGAAGATCAAGGCGCTAGGTTACAATGCAGTCTCATTCTACGTCAACTGGGCCTTGCTTGAGGGCAAACCGGGTGAGGTTCGTATGGAAAATGCGTTTGATCTACAACCTTTCATCGACGCCGCAGTCGAAGCTGGACTCTATCTCATCGCACGACCTGGTCCCTACATCAACTCTGAGCTCTCTGGGGGCGGATTTCCCGGCTGGCTACAGCGCAACAAGGGCGAACTGAGATCAATGGCCCCAGACTACACCAACGCCACCGAGAACTACATTTCGAGCGTCCTTCGCGTCATTTCGGCGGCTCAGATCACCAACGGCGGGCCCATCATCCTCGTTCAGCCAGAGAATGAGTATAGTCTAGCGGTTGGAACTGCCAATCTGGTCGAGTCAACTAAGCTCTTGGATCCGAACTACATGGTGTTCATGGAAGACCAATTTAGACGAAATAGTATCGTAGTCCCACTGATTGGCAATGACGCCGTGCCTCTGGGTAATTGGGCACCTGGATCTGGGAAAGGGGAGTTAGACATCTACGCGCATGATGCGTACCCTTTCTACAAAGGATGTAAGTTCTTCCTTAACCAGACCGCGTCAGTCTCCGATCTCGTCCACTCACTAAACGACTTCAGGCGATCACCCTACGGACTGGACGGATCTCACTGCTCTGAGCTTGACATACACATACCAAAATCATCTGCAACAAAGTCCAAGCAGTCCTTATGCCGTATTGGAGTACCAAGGAGGTGCTCCTGATCCATGGTAGGTTCTCCTTACATGACAGTCTCTTCTATCGACGCATGTGCTGATAGATCAAAGGGGAGGCGTTGGTCTGGACAAGTGTGCAGCAAAGATCAATCAGGACTTCACCCGCGTTTTTGTGAAAGAGCTTGTGTCTCGCTCAATCAAGATACTCAACATCTACATGGTATGTTTTCACAGATGCATATTCTAGCTTATCAATAACTTTGCGAACAGACATTTGGTGGGACAAATTGGGGAAACATGGGTCACTCAGAGGGCTACACATCCTACGATCACGGTGCTTCCATCAGAGAGAACCGCGGTATTGATCGAGAGAAGTACAGCGAGGCCAAGATCCAAGCACACTTCCTTCATTCTTCCGAGGCCTATCTCACGGCAATCCCTCAAAACGCCACGTCTACCGAGTTTGTCAGTACGCCAGACCTGCGAGTCGTTCCCATTGTAGGAGAAAAGACTCGTTTCTACGTGTTGCGTCATACCGATTACACCTCACTCAACCGCACAGCCTACAAGCTTAATGTGCCAACCTCTGCCGGCAACATCTCCATCCCCTTGCTGGGCGGTGAGCTATCTCTCCATGGGCGCGACTCCAAGATCCATGTCACGGATCATGATATCGGCGGTATCAACTTGATCTACTCGACAGCGGATATCTTCACCTGGAAAAAGTACGGAAGTAAAGTATTGCTCATCTTGTACGGGGGCGCCGGCGAAGAGCATGAGTTTGCCGTGCCATCCTCATTGGAGAAGCCACGTTTTGAAGGCAGCAACGCAACGACGCGCAATTACGGCAGCTTCAGAGCCGTTCACTGGAAAGTCCAAGAAAGGAAGCAGGTTGTACGTTTCAACAACTTCGAGGTCCATCTTCTATGGCGGAACGATGCTTACCGACACTGGATACTTGACCTTCCGAACGCTGAGAATGGGATGATTAGACCTACTCAAGGCAAGTCGTCAATCATTGCAAAGGGGCCCTATCTTTTACGGAATGCGACTTTTGCGGATGGTGTCCTTCACTTGACGGGAGACATCAACGCTACTACAACTCTCGAAGTTCTGGGAGGGGTTCCTTTGGATAGCACGCTTACCTTCAACAATGTCCCCCTTTCAAATGTTCAAAGGAAGAATGGCAGGCTCCAAGCTGAGGTCGTGTTCGAGAGCCCGACTTTCAACCTGCCGGTCTTGTCTGAACTTGAATGGCATTCAATCGATTCGCTCCCGGAGGTATCTAACAGCTACGACGATTCTGCCTGGCCCAAAGCAACTCTGGAGCGCAGCAACAATCCTCGAAGGCTGACAACACCAACATCACTCTACTGTAGTGACTATGGCTTCCATGGCGGTTCGCTTATCTACCGAGGTCACTTCACCGCATCCGGCAACGAATCATTCTTCAATGTGACAACAGCTGGCGGATTTGCCTACAGTCACTCTGTCTGGGTCAACGAGACCTTCCTCGGGTCCTTTGCTGGAGATTCTCATACTGCCAACTCAACGCAAGTATTCAATCTGACAAGTCTGAAACTCGTAGGCCCTTCTGTGTTCACTGTTGTCATCGACCACATGGGCATGAGCATGAACTTCTGGGCGCGGTCCGACTGGATGAAGCTCCCGCGCGGCATTGTTGACTTTTCTCTCGGTGGTCATAAACAGTCCGACGTAACATGGAAGCTAACCGGCAACTTGGGGGCCGAAGACTATATTGACAAGACGCGTGGTCCGTTGAATGAGGGTGCGTTCTATGCGGAACGTCAAGGCTATCATCTTCCAGGAGCGCCCACGTCTGACTGGGCTTCGGTAACACCGTTCGAGGGTACCAAGAACTCTGGGGTCGCTTTCTACAAGACAGAGTTCCCCTTGGATATGCCGATCGGCTACGACATCCCCTTGAGCTTTGTCATCTCGAATGTGACGGCTTCAACTGGGGAGGCAAGCCTCTTCCGCGCGCAGCTTTTTGTCAACGGATATCAATTTGGTAAATACGGTGAGTGAATCTCCTCCATCCATCTCACTATCGTACCCGTGCATAAATCTAATGTCCTTGCAGTCAACTACCTCGGCCCGCAAACGCACTTCCCGGTACCCGAGGGCATCCTCAACTACAACGGCAATAATACCGTCGCGCTCACTCTCTGGGCTTTGGATAGGTCAGGTGCACGCGTCGGAGGATTTGAGTTGGCAGCGGATCACATCGTTCAGTCAGGCTACCGAAAGCCTGGGCAGACGGCTCAACCGTCATGGGTAGAGAGGATCGGGGCTTACTAAGGAGGTTTCTTCTCGAAATTTCCTGCTATTCAATTCGATAATGTACATTACCCATTTCCTTTCTCTGGCCTGTTTCGGCAGCTTCTAAACCTACACTCATCTCCACGGGACTGCTAGAGAGCCCAATCAGTCTTTCGGCTTCTTCGGAGATCGTTGAAATAGGCACACAACTTATATCGCGAAATAAATCGTAGCCATTAACTACCCTGGGAATGATCGACGAGCTGAAAACGATTGCATGTGGTGTTGAGGCGCAGCCGTTGTCGATTGCATCTATTCAAGACACCAACCGGCTCCGGAGAACGGACATAAAACAGGGCGAGCAAATCTGCCTTGCGCGCCCTTTCCGGGCATGTCAATCATGTCGCGCATGACCCCAAACCTCCTCTCTCGGGCGGTGTGCATACCATTGGCTTTCCAGACGCTAAACTTGATTCTCTTACCGCAGCTTTGGCGCCGTGGGATTGAGCGCTCGACTAGGTGAATCTGGGCTTAGCGGCGCGGAATCTGCGCCGCTGTCAAGGTTCACAAGCGACTTGGCAGGCAGGTTGTGAGATGTTATGCGTGACCCTTGCATTCCCGCTCTAGACCAAAGATAAATGCCTGATTACCGTCCATGTTCCATCAACTTCGCAAGGTAAAGCCCGGTAAACCATATCAACATACAGAATTGCAACATGTCGTCCGTATTTGAAGACCCCTGGCCAAAGGACAGGATCAGGAGTTCGCTTCGAGCCGCCGCAGCCGTAAGTGACCTGGAGTACTTGATCAAGGGATGTATGTGTCTGATCCTAATGACTGTGCAGGGCCATATCCAAATCATTGAGATTTTCCTGAAACTCATACCGTACTTCAAACATGATGATGCGGGTGGTATCCATGACGAAGCTCTAGCATATTCAGAATGGCGCTATGTGAATTACATCCGCTACTTACGCATCTTCGGCGTTGCGCCACATGACTATCCACCCCCATGGTGAGTTTCCATGATTAGACCAGCGTCCATTTGTCAACTCTAAACAGCCGGTACTTGTAGGGACGTTGCCATCATCTGGTACTGCCATCTTCTATCCCCTGGCAAATTCCACCGGTATCTTTGGGATGGAAAGTATCGCAGCTACGGCCTGAACCATCATCACTTCCCAATCAAGCGTCTACTAGACCTCTATAACTCGGGTACATGGTCCGACAAAAAGGCTCAGAAGAAATGGGAACTTTACAACAAGAGAAACGATAGTCCGAGGCTACCCTTCCAGCTATGGCGTTACCCACCGTGGGAGCCCGAGCGAAAGTCAAAGCTTCTTTCACCTTTTTCGAACAAGCAGCCATGTCTGCAGATTAAAGCTGACCCGGCGATCATGATGCATGATTTTGGTCGTGAAATTGCCTGGTGTACTATCATGGGCAAAAAACAATGGGATCTGTCTGAGTGGACGGATGTGAGGATCGGGAAGAGGCGGGAAGTCTGTAACAAAAATAACCTACACAGCAGAGATGGAGAACTGTGTCAGTTGGCACCCTGGCCTACTCTCGATGATCTACGAGACACTCTGAACAGCCAGGTTGCGTTTTGGAAGACGATAATCTTGGCAAGAGACAGTGATGCTTCCTTTGCCACGAGTCTCGGCCGCTCAACTGACGATTACGAACGATTCATCAAGTTGCTTGGACGGCCTGCCGAGGGAACCTTTACTTCCCGCCCTCTTGAGTATGACATGGACACGATCTTCCGATCCAAGTCAGGAACCCACTTGTTGAGGAGCCGCTGCATTGTGCCTCCGACCCTGGCTATCGATCTTCTTTGGCATACGCACCGGCTTTATCCGGGATGTTACTGGGTGTGGAGCTTCAGCGTCGCAAGGAGGCTTATCGACTACGAGCACATCACATCGACTGCTGCAGCAGGCATATTCCTCAAAGACACGAGGGTTGAGTGGACGAAGAAGTATGGCACAGGTTGTCCTAAAGATCTCGTTGTGAATGAGCTGGGAGGAGACGGCTACGTGCCCGATGCTGCTGCGGTTCCACCAGGCCACCCTGCCAAAGTTAAGGCAAAGTTCGTGCTTGGCGGCACCAATCCTATCAGGAAGAGAAAGAGACGAACTAAAGGCGAGTATTTCGTCTTCGATGGGGTCTATGTGTCTTTTGATAGTGGTGATTGTGGTGGGGGGGATGGAGGCGGTGGCGGCGGAGACGGAGGTTGCGGTGGTGATGGCGGAGGCGGAGGCGGAGGCGGTGATGGAGGAGGATAGAACATTAGAATTGACCTGCACATGTTGAAGCAGCGGTTGTCTGAGATGTAATACCATCATTTCTATGATCAAGATCTAGGTCGTCGCAGTGCCGATGCCATAGGTTTCAAGCCAGTGTGTGTTTGTTGAAGAAGTCCATGATGTATGAAGACGCATTATAGGATGCCGGACCATCTCCGTGCTCCTTGTTATCGGCATTCTCCCCAGTGTACGGCCAACTGTGATCCACATCATGCTCATAGACGTGAGTAACGAGGCCCTTCTTGTCGCCTGAGCCCCAGCGATACATTTGCGCACGCGAAGTGATATTCTTCTCGCACGCCTTCTCGTTGAGACCATCACGAAGAGCCCATTCGGTCACCCAGTGAAATACGTCAGGCAAGCAGGCGCCTCGGCGACTGGGGTTACCTTCGTAAGGAATGGTTCCATCGATTCCACCATGGAACTCAATGAGGGGGATGTTGGACCGCCCTGGGTTGCAGGGGATGTCGACGGTCTTGGGATTGCAACCCTCTGCGCCCTCGATGTAATATGAGCCAGAGACAGGCGCGAAAGCAGCGAAGCGCGTTGAAAGCTCGTTGTGGCAGGCAGCATAGTTGACAAAGCCACCGCCATTGGATTTTCCAGTCATGAAAACGCGGTTCGTGTCGATGCAGTATATCTTTTCAAGATCGTCTAAAACATTACTGGTATACTCGATGTCGTTTCTCTTGGTGATATTTGGAGTGCCTTCCCACCGTTCCTACTATCACATTAGCACGTCTCGTGTGCTTCCGCTAAAAAGGCTACTCACCTCATATCCGCGGAGATAAACCACAATGTGGTCGACATTGAAGTATGGAGTTTCTAGTCGGTCGAGATCTCGCTGCGACTCTGGTGTCCTGGTTCCACCATGGTAGGAGAAGATGATCGGGTTATTGGACTTTATGGAGTACTTTGGGGGTAAAAACAAGAGATAGTCTCTCGACCGGCCCTCTTTGTCGGTGTAAGGAATCGTGTATTCGTTGCCAGGTGCGCGACCCTTCGGCAGGGCCTTAGTGCATTGAGCAGTTGCTGTCTCACTCCTCTCTTGTGTCGTCAAAGCTGCCATGACCGACGCCGACGTGCTGAGAGCTAGCGTCAAAAAGCGGGAAGAAACCATGATTAATTCTTTCCTGACGATTGTAGCGATGTTGAAATGGACGAGAGAACCCTCCTATCATCAACGAAGAACGCTGACATTATAATCATCCGAGGTTTGCCGTGAGAACCTCTGTGCTTTATACAGACAATCGCGGATCACAACAGCCGGAGTAGGATCAGCGCTACCCGGGACTAATTGTCACTAAAGCCTTCCGGGTCTCACCATGTGCCGGTAGAAATTACGAGAACACGGGGTGATCAGCGTCGGGCGTAAGCACGTTTCCGTCAGGATCACTAGGCACCGACTTAAATCCCCCTTCAGGACCTAGGGGATCCTCCAAAACTGGAAACTGGTTCCTTTTTAGGGCACCGTGTCGTGCGTGTGCTGGGCTTACTGACCGGAGAAGACTTCAACCCCCCGGGATTAGACCGCAAAGGATGGAGAAGAAAGTCTACTCCCCGCCTGCGCCGCGCGCTTCGGATCTCAAATGAAGGGACGAACTCGGGAATACGGCATACTTCCACGAGAGCACGCTTCAACGGTTGAAAGACGCTACAACTCCGATCCCGCCGCGTCTGTGAAGACTCCCGTTGTTTGCATGCTAGGCAGTTCATGCGATGACGGATCAACCGCTAAAATTGTTCACTCCAGAACTTTGCAGACATAATAACAAGGGACCTAGCCCGCTATCGCTAGGGAAGCCTTTCGTTTGCCGTCATCCGAACACGCCACTGCCCGTTGGTCATGTCGTTTAGTTGTCAGCGACTCGAGCTGGCCCGAGCGTCTCAGCTCCAGGCGCTCCGCCCGTCCAAGTGTGCAAGTCAAGAAGCGCAGTAAGGGAGAAGCAGTCGCCTCTGCAATTGGGGCGCTCTCTCGTATTTCCGAAACTTCAGTAAAGTTCTACTAACTAGAATGAATACAATCAAACATTTGTGGATTTTACCGTCGATTTAAACTTGCCCAGCATATTCGGAAACATACCGTGAGGAAAAGCTTAATTCGGATGAATTGGCAATGCCGGGTCATTTTTACCTGATTCAGCACCCCGTTGTAGTTGAAAAAACTCCGCTCCGCAACAAACTAGACCTAGCTTTGCGCGGAGTTGAACAGTCGCTAAAGGTCCATGATCAAATTTACCAAATACGATGGACGTATAAATTCTCGATGATATTTAAGTTTGTTTAGTTGATTAATCCAAACTCTACTCAAGCAGGCCCAATCCAGCATTACAGCATTTTATGCTTGACGGCAGAGACCAAAACAACGGATAATGGGTGACACCATGAAAGCTTGGCAGTATTCTGCCATCAACAACAAGCTCGAGGATTCACTTATTTTCAACAACTTAGCGCCCATGCCAAGCTCCTCAGACTTGAGAAAAGACGAGCTGATTATCAAGGTCATCAGCGTATCTCTCAACCCGGCAGACTTTAAAGTTCCCGAATCAACTTTCATCGGACGCCTGATGGTCGCGCGCCCTGCCACACCCGCCATGGACTTTTGCGGCCGCGTCGTGGCTACACATCCCTCTAACTCTAGCTTCCAAGTCGGACAGCTTGTTTTCGGGGGGTACGCTGGTGTCGGCCAAAGAGGCACATTGGCAGAGTACATCGTCATCTCAGGAGCACACTGTGCACCCCTCCCGGATGGCATAGATCCTGATCAAGGCGCGGCGGTTGGCACAGCAGCGACAACAGCCTGGCAGTCTCTGATGCCAGATGCACTGAAAACTGGTGGCAAAGTGTTCATCAACGGAGGGAGTGGCGGCACAGGCACATGGGCTATTCAACTGGCGAAAGCCTTGGGCGTTGAGGTTGTGACCACGTGCTCCACCAAGAATATCGATCTCTGCCGACAGCTTGGCGCGGATGAAGTCGTTGACTACACGAAAGAAGATATCTTATCCAACTTGAAGGATCGGGGAAAGGTCTTTGATCTGATCATCGACAACGTTGGTAGCTGTTCTGAGCTGTACGACAACAGCAGCGCCATCTTGAAGCCAAACGGAACTTTCGTTATGGTGGGCGTTGGAGAAAGTCTCACGCTTTCGGGATCATTCTCAATGTTGAGCAAGATCATTTACTCAAAGACCTTGGGTGGAGAACGATTCTATTTCGTTCGCATGCAGAACACCGCGGACTATTTTCGACGTATCGGCGAGTTGATGGTTGAGGGAGAGACCAACGCGGTGGTTGATTCGACGTTCGGCTTCGAGCAGGTGCCGGATGCTTACAGGAGATTGCGGGAGGGACATGCCAAGGGCAAGATCATTGTTCATGTTTCGAAATCTAGTGGCAGTAGCACTGCGGAGTGATCTAACTACATGTACAAACGTAATGGTTAGCTCTGAGTCGCAATGCAGTCGCAAAGTCTGCTCCGTGCAATAAGTGATGTGGTTGAAATTAGCACATCATCAATTCCGGAGCGATGTCTATGCACTATGCAACCTAAACCATATGCAGCCTACCCTGCAAATACTTTAACCTGGACCGTGAAACAGACTCTTTCAAGTTCGCTGAATGTATTTGTGACTTGTCGCTTCTAACAGCGTTGCGCCTTTGTTGTTTATAAGCACATAACTATTTGTAATGTTAGCCCCTATTTGGGAGCCATGCTGATCCGCTGTTCCCCCCGCATTAGCCGAAGAATTCTCCTTCGAAAGATGGAGATGTCTAGTACGGAGTACTCCGTATTTCAATTACCGACATCACTGCACGAGAATGCAACCAAATCCTGATGCCTTCTAGAAGCATTCGCAATGGGCTGAAGACGGAGTCGTCATTCCATCTTCTAAGCCACTGCGACCAACTGCTGAATCCGAGTACATCCCGCGCAAAGTCCCATGTCAGCCCGGCGTGCTTCGGTCGGTACCCGGGTCCGCCGTACGGTGAGTGACTCAGGGCGCCGCGGGGTGTCAGCATCCAATCATACGACGCTCTGTCCGAGGACTTTCCAAAGTTCCAAATCCGACGACAAGGTGGCAGATGCTAGTTTTCCGAGGCTTAGTTTACGACCTTGGCTAGATGCTGAGCCTCGATCATGGAGATCTTCATCTTCTCGGAGACGACGGAACTCTGGGCATCCAAATTCTCACCATTATAGCAGACATATAAAATCCATCTCGAGTCGCCATAACAGAAACAATGTTCGACATTCTTAGCAATCATATCGCCTTACATCTCAAACCGCGCTTCTCCTGGTTAGTTCGAGCTTCACAAGCTCAATTTCCGATCGCGATGTCTCTCTCCCTCGCCCAGACCTGCATCCCTAGCACATTCAGTCCAGTCCTTTATGGGGCCGAAATCCTGTCTCTCGAGGCAAACTTGGTCACCAACTACAGCGCCTCGGTCCCTGCGGCATTTCGATACACCTCCCCGGCTGTCGAACTGAAGAACGCAACTTTTTGCAATGTTACTATCACGTATACGCACCCGGGCCAGAACGACAAGCTCGTCACCGAGGCATGGCTTCCGGAGACCTGGAACGAGCGCTTCATGGCCGTGGGCGGAGGAGGATGGGTTGCTGGCCGCTTCTTCTTAAGCTACAATGCGATGAATGGAGCTATCGCGGAAGGCTTTGCTACCATCACGACGGATGCCGGCCTCGGGTCTGCGAATGAGCCTAGTCCGTGGGCGTTGAACAGTCCTGGCAACGTCAATCTGTACAACCTGCAGAACTTGGCATCCGTTTCTCTCAAGGACGAGGTAATTACCAGCCATAGTCCCAACTCAATCTTTTGGAGACTGAGAGACCATCTGCTAACGATACTTCAGGCTATCATCGGCAAGTCTTTGATCAAGAGCTACTACAGCCAAGACCCTCAGTACTCCTATTGGGCTGGCTGTTCTCAGGGTGGACGACAAGGCCTCATGCTCGCTCAGCGCTACCCCGATATCTACGATGGTATTGTAGCGGGCGCCCCGGCCATCAACTGGAATAAGCTAGTGACTTTCGTCTACTGGCCCCATCAAGTCATGAATGAGCTCGGCGCGTTCCCGTACCCTTGCGAATTCGATGCCATTGTGAACACAGCAACTTCCGAGTGCGACCCTCTTGATGGTGTCACGGACGGGGTCATCTCCGATATCGAGGCCTGTTTCAAGTCCTTTGACCCTTTCTCACTTGTCGGCCAACCAATTACCTGCGCCCAGAAGAACGGAACCCAGCAGATCGTCTCCGAGGCTGCTGCAACGGTTGTCAATGCTACGTGGCACGGTCACGTCACCGCGGATGGCAAGCGGCCGTATCACGGTATCCTGCCTGGGGCCGACTTTACGGGCAACAAGCCGACATCCTACAACCAGCCCGGCATTGCGATGACGAGCTGCAGTGAGAAGGGCTGCGTCGATGAGCCGTCCAACCTAGGCACCGCGTGGCTCAAGCTTTTTGTTGCCAAGAACGAGACCTTTGACTTGACGACCATGAGCCGTGAGGAGTATGATGCGCTCGTATACTCTGGTCGACAGCAATATGAGTCGATGGTCGAGACCGCCGACCCCGACTTGAGGCAGTTCAAGGCAACCGGGGGCAAAATGGTGACTTTTCACGGTTTGGTACGCATACATCACCAAAACTCCGCACCAGGTCATTGGAAAGCTAACATTATGTCTGCAGGCTGACAATATCATCCCGCCCGGCGGCACTGAAGACTACTACAAGGCTGTGAACGAAGTCATCCCCGATATTCAGGACTTCTACCGCTACTTCGAGGCCCCCGGTCTGGGTCACTGCTTCGGGGGCGTGAGCGGCACCCCGACTGGCCTCTTTGAGCAACTGCGCAACTGGGTTGAGAACGGCACCGCCCCAGACCAGACGCCCATTCAGATTTCTGTTGGCAATGCGACGCACGACCGTATTCTGTGCCCATACCCCCAGAAGTCCGTCTTCAATGACGGCTGTGGAGATGCTTCGAAGGCAGAGTGCTGGTCTTGCTCTGACAGCCCCGGGACGGCCAACACCACCAAGAGGGCTGCACCAATGTTCCAGGGGCTCTGATAGTGCCGTACAAATGATGGCAGGGGCTTAAAAAACACTTGTCTCTGTACATTCATCACAGGGCTCCTTTTCATCAGAGAAACTCGCGATGAGAACGTATTTTTCGATTCTTTCATGTACATTAAACATAATACATGTATACTTATTCTAAAGTATACAACCTTCGGTCGTCAACTCTCAAATCTCACTGAGATTTCCTCAAAATCATCCACTCATTTTTACCTATGCTGTATCCATCATCTCCTCTTCCTTCAGCATTGAATTCGGCCATTCGAGCCATTCTTTCCAGTAAGTCCCAAGGTGATCTGAAGTTGCTCTTATGAGAAACTCTCCAGAGGTACCAACGGCCCAGTAGTCTCTTGCCCAGTGTAATAGCACAGCATAGTAAGACAACAAAACCAGAGCTTCCGGGCGTCGTTGTTGGAGAAGTTTGATGTACTCCTGTGACACTCGAACCGGCCATTCCTGAATGACAACAAGCCTTCGACTCTCCTCAGACCGCACAGAATCGAAAAGATACTGCAGGATCTTGACAACATCTATGTAGATATCTCTTGTTTGTTCGTTCATCTCATTTTCATTCAGTCGTTGAAGCAAGCTATCACACTCGGTGCCATGAAGGACTTGTGTGCCGGTCTCCATAGAATATGCCGCATTGTGCGGGAGAAGCTTCTGCATAAGGAAATGGAATTTGCCCATGGCTTCCGCAACAATGCTACGGATTCCATGGTGCAGAGTGATGCATTGGACAAGTCTGTCAAGCACGGTTGGTATCGAGGTTGCAGCGGCGAAGGCTTCGAAGAGAGTTTGTTGACCGAGCAGTAAGGTGAAGCAGAACAGCGCCATGACGTTGCCTTCGGTAACTTGCAGGCCCCCGATATCTAAATGGCCTATGGCTCTCGTCTGGAGGCTCATTGCCTGCGTGAGGTAAAGCGCCTTTGAGTCTTCATCGTTCGCGACTGTGCTCTTGTAGGCAGCAGTGAAGGCCAGTGCCTGATCCATCAAGTATGGAGCCTTCAAGGCTTCAGTGTACGTCAGACGCAACAAGGGCCCAATCTCTGACTGCAGACCGATAAGAACTTCCGTTAGAGTGCCCTTGAAGAACAGGAGTAGGTCGAAATGGAATAAGCTGAAGCGTTCCGAGAAGAAGTCATCCGTCAATTCCGAGAGATCTAATGACGTAGTGACTTCAATTGAATCCAGCAACGCGTAGGGCGGCTGCAAACGGGGCCCAGAGGTAATCGAGGATTGAGGGCTTGGAGCCTGGGGCGTTGACAGGTGTACCGGTGTATGAGAAGGTGGCGTCGGTAAATTGCTGACCAGCTCTCGGTAAGAGCATTCTCTTCCCGCGGTTTTACACCTGATGCAGATTGGTTGCGATTCATCGCACTTGACCTTTCGCTCTTTGCATTCTTTGCACCCGAGGCGAGACTTTCTGTGCTTTGGCATTGTGGATATAAGACCGGTTCGGATTTGATCAAAGGCTAAAGCGAGCGTTCGTATCGCGACGCTCTGAGATTATGTGATTCGGGACCGAGTGAGAGTCCAGATGAAAGAAGCCAGATAGAAAAGAAAGTTTGGCAGTGTATTTTTTCCGAGCCTGAGATCGGAAAGAGAAGAGCATGTTTGGGCAAGATGGGCACAAGAGACATAAGAGGCGAGGTGAAGAGAGCTTGAGGTCGGTTATGGCATCGTATTGGCGTATTAATTCATGGGGTTTGAAACTCCGGCCAATCGCATTCATCTCTGTCCGACGGCATACCCACAATGAATTAGCCGCTAGTTAGATTTATGCTTCATATCCCTCCAAGCTCGGCCGCAGACGGCACAACTCGTGTCAGGTTGCCGTGAAAGTGGAAAGAAAAATCTCCCGAGACCGAGTATCTATGGGATTAGGTGAGAACCTCAGGGGGACCAGTTCAAGCTGTGTTGAAGGCATACCCAAGTTGACTTCCATGCTCTCTGTGTGAAATCTCAATTGTTCGAAGCGAGTGACTGAGGAGTGAAAAGCGACGAGAGTGAGATGAAAATGAGGTGCATTGAAGTCTGTGCACGGCAAGACGCCTCTACGTAGTAGGACCATTCAAGGCTAGCGCCCAATGGACCCCACCAACCGGTGTTCAGCCGAGTTGCCCCGCCGCTCCGCGCCGCGTCCCGCAGCCTTGCAGCTCGCAGGAAATTTTCTTGACAAGAGCTTCTGCAGTAGGCGGGCGCAAAAACTCCACCTGCATTGTACGGACGATGAGAACGTCTGCCACCTCAATCCGAACATGGCGACCGATGATGCTCCTCAACCGTCTGGCAGCCCTCCCGCGAGGCAGCCAGCTGATCTCCCAACCGGCGACAAGCCGTCAGTTTCATCAGAGTTCCGCGCAGAGAGCTCAGCCCAGCCCGGTTCTGCGGTGGAAAAATTACAGGAGGGCCGACGTGGCGACAGGCGCGACGAGAACAGGCGCGGCGGCAAGTCGCGTGGGCCGAAGCGGAAACACGATGTCGGTCGCTCAGCATGGAGGTAAGCTTTATTCAACCTGGACCTTGCCAATTGACTTGTCTTTGTGTTTGCAACTCGCGCCAACGATGTCTAACCAGGTAATAGCCGAGAGGCCACGGACAAGCGCGGACGCAATTCCGAGTACCAAGAGTTCAAGCGCAGAAAGGTAGACAAGGACGGCAACCCCGAAACTACCGATAACCCTTTCACCGCCGAAGAGATCGCCGCCGAGGGACGCAAGCCGAAGCGAAAGGTTGCCGTCATGGTCGGATACTCCGGCACGGGTTATAAGGGCATGCAGATCAACAACGAGGAAAAGACAATCGAGGGAGACCTCTTCAAGGCCTTCGTTGCCGCGGGTGCCATCTCAAAGGCCAATGCCGACGACCACAAGAAGTCTAGTCTTGTCCGATGCGCGAGAACCGACAAGGGCGTCCACGCAGCTGGCAACGTCATCAGCTTGAAGCTCATTATCGAAGATGAGGATATCGTCGAGAAGATCAACGCTGCCCTGCCTGATCAGATCCGTGTTTGGGGCATTCAGCGCACCAACAACTCCTTCAGCTGCTACCAGACTTGCGACTCTAGATGGTACGAGTACCTAATGCCGACGTACTGCCTGCTTCCCCCTCACCCAGACAGCTGGCTGTGGAAGCAGCTGGTCGAGGCCGCGAAGGAGAAGGGCTACTACGAGGAGTTCCAGAAGAAGCTTGCCGATGTGGAGGGATACTGGAGAAAGGTTGACGAGGAGGACATCAAGCCAATTCTCGACAAACTCGATCCCGAGACCAAGGCCAAGGTGATGGAGAGAATACACGCCGATGAGGATTCGACCGCACAGGCAGACGATGCCAAGCCGGCCCCCGAGACGAAGACCGAAGAGGCAACAGCCGAGCCTGCCACCATCGAGGACAGTAAGACTCCCGCAGAAGTTCCCGAGGGAAGCGTCAAGCCCAGGAACCGCGACCTCACCCCCCTCGACTTTGCCCTGCGCGACATCAAGGCCGCCTACATCGCCGCCAAGAGGCGTTACCGCGTTACCCCCGAGCGTCTCGCCCAGCTCCAAGAGGCTCTGAACATGTACTGTGGCACAATCAACTTCCACAACTATACCGTCCAGAAGAGCTTCAAGGACCCGTCAGCCAAGCGTCACATCAAGTCCTTCAAGGTCAACATGCAGCCGATCCAGATCCGCGACACCGAATGGGTCTCCACAAAGGTCCACGGTCAAAGTTTCATGATGCACCAGATCCGCAAGATGGTCGGCATGGCTTCTCTCGTCGTGCGCTGTGCCACCCCGCTGGAGCGCATCAAGGAGAGTTACGGCCCCACGAGGATCGCGATTCCCAAGGCTCCTGGTTTGGGTCTTCTCTTGGAGCGACCCGTTTTCGACGCCTACAACAAGCGTGCGGCGGATAACTTTGGCAAGGAGACGATTGACTTTACAAAGTACGACGAGAAGTTGCAGGTCTTCAAGGATAAGCAGATTTACCAGCGTATCTTTGAGGTCGAAGAGCAGGAAAATACGTATGTGACACCCTTCCCTTCCTACCTTACCCAACATCGACTGACCATACCTTCAGCTTCCACATCTTCTTCCAGCAGGTGGATAACTTCAAGTCCGACTACTTCCTGTGGCTCACGGCTGGGGGCATCGAGGCTGGTGGAGTACGAACCGGAAAGGAAGAGAAGGGAGCCAAGACTCTCGAGGCGGAGCTTGGTGATGAGGATGAGGATCCCCTCAACGGTGACGGTTAGATCAGCCAGAGTAAGTGATGGTGTCACTGGTTGTTGAGGGTCAGGGTGTACGGGGCAGCGGCGACTGCTCGTAAAAATGAAATGATAGAATTAAAAAAGCATAAAACTTCCTTTTCCGCCCTTTGTAAACGGGTATCAGCGTTACCTCCCTCGGGACATTTTGTATTCGACCCAGGGATCCCCAATCCAAACGCCATTGCATGCAAATCGTGGGTTTCGCCCTCATCCCCAAAGACTTTTAGTCGATTCAAGATCCCATCCCTCACGCAGCACCACCAGCCCCATTCGGTGCTGTCGGAGCAGCAGGCGGCGGAGCAGCAACAGCTGCACCACCTTCGCCAGACGCAGCATCAGGGCGACCCATCGGCACCCACTTGCCCTCCGCCGCCGCAGCGAGCCCAGCGAACCGGGTCTCCTGGATGGCGTTGAGAAGCTCCGCGCACCGGACCACGTCGGCCTGGAGCTTGTCCGCTTGAATGCGCGCGTCGCCTTCTCCCTGGCCTAGTTTACCGAACAGCCAAAGTTCCTTGAGACGACGACTGAGGGCGAGGAGGTCCTTGATTGATGTGTGCTGCGGGCTCATAGTTAGCAGCCGTGCAATGTTTACATTCGCGCAGGCAGGCGCAATCTCGGGAGCGCGCCTGGCTGTCCGGATTCTGTGAGGGCTTCCGATTGGAAGTGGTGGCATACGAGTCCTTCGAATTCCATCTGCATCGACATGCCCGTCACGGCGACAGTCTGCGGCTCAGCGTTCTTGCGCTCTCCTTCAGCTTGGATGGTCGCGAGCATTGTGAGCATACGGAAGCGGGAGAGGACATCCGCGATGAGGCGGTTGTGCGTGTCGAGTAGATTTGATGAGTCTCGTGAGGTATCCATTGTGTGCGAGTTCGTGTGGTGTCGAGATGTGTAAGAGGTACGTTGGCGGATGGCGACGATAAGGTGAGATGAACTTTGAGGTCAGAGCTTCTGCCGTGGAGCGTCTTGAAGTTCGTTGGTGGGGCGGTCGGGGGTTCCTCGGTGTACTATGCCGGCCCTCTTACCGAGACTCCCACCGGTAACCCTCGGTGAGCTACAAAGGAACACCAAGCGGCGACGTGAAAAGAAAGCAGCTTATGAGCATGTACGTTGGCACAATGAAAGAGGTGGAAAACAGACAATCTTGTTATTGACTGGCCAATAATTCCGAACAACTCGATTGAAATCCTGGCCCAAGGAATCCCTCTAAGCAGCGAGCTTTGGCTGGCCAGCGCTCTTTATCGAACAAAATATCGCACAACAATGGCAGCCGATTCAAGTTCATGACCTCTTGCATCGCTCCAAATACAAAGTCGTATATTCTGCACTGTGAAGCTTTGTATAAAGTTGGGGAGTTTTCAGGAAAGAATCTTTTCTCATGGATTCCCACCTTGCATAAATACATTCTGAAAACAGTATCATAGCCCGCATCGAAAAGAATACCAGCACTAAAATACTCAACTAAGCATCATCTGCCCTGAAACGCCACGGCACAACAACATGACTTCTGGTATTATCAACCCGAATGGCCTTTTTCTTGACTTCTATGTCATGAACGGCATACCTGAGCTCGGCGAGGACGATGGCAAAACCAGCCTCTCGCTCCAAGTTCTTGAAAACAACATGACTTTTTGCGCCATCCTTATGAATTTCAAAGAGGGCCAGCCTCCAACAGGCATTCCACGTCAACTATACGTACAAATCGGAAAGTCCTAAAGTACTGAACGCCTCATAGTAACTGCTGCACTCACCAGGCTGGCCCAAATCGTCCTTCCTTCTCTCGTTCCGGAGATCTGGGGTCGTGGATATACTCGGATGAAAGACGGTACGAAAATCTCTTATGTTCTTTCTCAGTTTTACCCAGATACCTGTCCGCTGGACACAGTATGGGGTGTGTCATAGACGACGAGAATCGAGGAAATGTTATTGGGGACTTGTTCGAGGCCATGTCAAAACTGCGCTGCCTCTCATTGAAGAAGCTGACCTTTGAGCAATGGCAATATTTCAGGAATACCCCATTCGAGACGAAAATTACCGAGTATCCTATTCTCTGCGGTGGTTCATCTTATGGGTATCATACTGACTTTGCTTCTTTCTTGCAGAATAACCTCTGGCCCAGAAACACAGGCTCCGCGGTGAACACAAAGCCCGATGGGACTTTGGTTGTCAGTGTACCCGCTACAACAGTGGAATACTTTGGGTTCGCCGAGACAAACTTGGACTTACTGACGCAGAGCTCAGTCTTGTGCCACAATGACTTGGAGCCCCGTAATCTTGTCGTCGAGAAAATATCCACCGAGCGTGGTGAAGAGTTCAAACTTATGGCCATACTCAACTGGGATCAAGCAGGCTTCTAACTCTTCCCCTTTGAGGTTGCTCAAAAGGACTCACATCTGGGCTTCCAGAACTTCAACTGGGATTGGTACGACCCGTATCGGCAACTTGCCGGTCATCATCTCTTCGCCACTCTAGGATATCCAATTTGTTCGAAACTTATCCGGTGCCTGATGGCTGTCAATGCTTGTCGCCAGGCTCATCTGGCAACGAATACCGATGGCACAGCACAAATGTTGTGGCTGGATAAGGAAGGCCTTACGTTCTCTACACTCGCTGAAGAAGGATGGGTGAAAATGCACTCCTTTTTCAATTTCGCGTCCGATAATAATTCAGAAATTGGGTGTGCCTAAGAGTGCCACGACTCGCACTCGCGAGCTCACGCGGGCATGAGGGTATGAGGGCATGAGTTTCGAATGACCATGTACATAATCTCGGTTCAATTGGCAAACTTGTCTATCTCTGCGTGCGACGCAGGGTTCATGTGGGACTAACATGGGAAGTTTTTGTCTTAGTGCCCGATGTAATAATTCCAGGACACCTGGATTTTATCAAAACCTGTGGGAAAAAGTGTGTAAACCTAGAAGTTGGTATTTTGATATTAAAGTACAGCAGCGTTGTTACGTGAGTACATGTACGTTCTTAACTCAGGTCTGTCACGAGGTGGCGAAGAGCCAGGCGGAGGGTCGGAGGGTCGGGCCTTAAGTCCAGGTCCAGTCGGGGGATTAGCGCTTACATGTACTCCGTAAGGTACCTACCTACTCTTCCCGCATTCGCGAAGACAAACGAGAGACTCTGTGACTTCAACCCATTAATTCTCCCGAGACATGAATCATCTGCTACGATTTGTAGTATCTCACAGTTCTAACCTCAAACTTCAACTCCAAGTGTCTGCACACAATCTTCGAGAGAGCAAAAATGGCCTACCCTCCGTTAGCTGCGAAACCTCCCTCGGATGTACCAGTAGACGTCATATCTCAATGTCAACCCAGTGCCAGTCGACGTCGAGACAAACCCCAACTTTCCTGCAACAGTTGTCGACGCCGCAAGTAGGTCTATATTTCCACTCGCTGTTGAATTTGACCCTGGCTCACATATCACTATCTAAGAATTCGATGTGATCGTCAACGTCCCTGCCGAACCTGTTCTTCGAGGAGCCAGGCATGTGTCTATCAAGAGACGACCGGGACTACCATACCTCGAAAACTCCCATCAGGTGACACTGTCAGCATAACTCTACAAGATCGTCTAGTCCATCTCGAGCAGTTGGTGACGATGTTGGGGTCGTCGGAGACGGCATTGAGCCTAGTCGATACACCTGAAAGTCTTCCTACACCGATTGATGACCATTCGGAGACGGGAAGTATGCGGCTGAGTGCTTCGGAACATCAATATGTCGGAAGTGACCACTGGTCGGCGATCATGGAGAGCATCGCAGATTTGAAGGACCATTTCAACCGAGAGGAGCAATCGAAACTCGCAGAAAGTCCGGCTTTGACATCAGGAGATTATTGCTTTGACAACCCGGATGCTTTGACAGACACTCGAAAGTGGGGGCGCCCCTTGCTTCTGTATGGATGCCAACCTGCAACTTCGAGGTCAGAAATCTTATCCGCGCTGCCTCCGAAGAATGCAGTGGACCGCTACATATCCCGGTATTTCAACCGCTTGGATCTTGTCTCTTCATGTAAAGTCTTGAGTCCTTATTCATTTGAAGTCGAGCTGAGTGCCTTGAATGTCTTAAGTTCTTTGCTAATGCACAGCAGCGTCTGTTCACGGACCAACGTTTCTCAGAGAGGTGACAACGGAATCCCTCTATTTGTCAGGGTCAAATAAGCTGACCGCGATCATGTCAACAGTACGAAGAGTTCTGGCGCAATCCTGACGATGCATCCCCAATGTGGATCGGCCTTCTTTTCAGCATGATTTGCCTTGCTGTCATTGCATCAGACTCTTCACCCGACGTATCTGAGCATGCCCATCAACAACTGCAGATCGACTTGTATCGTGAGAAACTGGTACAATGTCTGGTGATGGGAGAGTACACTCAAGGTGGCGACTATGCGCTAGAGACGTTCATGAACTACGTCTACGTCGAATTCCGGATACACGATGATGCTCAGAAGGACATTTGGTTCTTGCTGGGACTCGAGATGAACCTAGCCAAGCGTATGGGCTATCACAGAGATCCGAAACATTTCCCGGACATCACCCCACTCAAGGCAGAGATGAGGCGCAGAGTATGGGCAACTGTCTTACTAGGCGACATCCTGATCTCAGGTCAGATGGGAATGCCCCGCATGGTACGAGATGGCGAGTTTGACACAGCTGAGCCTCGAAATCTGAACGACGAAGACATGAACGAAGAAATGGCGAGTCTACCACCACCGAGGCCAGAGACTGAGCACACAACAGCCCTAGGGATCATTGCCCGAAGGAGACTTCTGATCGCCCTTGGGACTATCTCCGACCTTACGGCATCCCTCAGCCCATGCAGTTACGCGGACATAATGCGATTTGACGGAACTCTTGAGAAAGCATACAGCAGCATGCCTCCACCACTACATATGAAATCAATGGCGTCTAGCGTCACTGACCCCCCTCAAGTAATCATGGCCCGCCTGTTCCTTCGCCATATGTTCTGTAAGGGAAAAATCATGCTACATCGCCGGTTTCTCTTTACAAAGGCGGCCGTTGAGACTAAAGACGCGACCTCATACTCAAGAACGGCCTGCCTTGATGCAGCTCTCGGGATGTTACACATTCAGCAGATCCTTGACGAAGAAACCTGTCCTGGTGGTCAGCTGTTCATGATGCACTGGCGGATAGGCTCGATTATGAATCACCACTTCCTGACAGCCACCATGGTTCTCTGCTCTCTTATTCATCGGAAACAGACCCTGAACCAAGAGGATGAGGTAGTGGCTGCTTTAAGGATAGCTCGCAGCGTATGGATGAGAAAGGCCGATGGTTCGGCTGAAGCGGAAAAGGCCGTACAAGCAGTCAGCATTGTTCTTGCACGAACCGGAGGTCCAAGGTTTGATACTGCCCTCTTAGCCGATCGACATGGTCCAATGGCGTCTCAGGGAGATGATTTCCTTGGAGGCTTTGTGGGAGACCAAGCAACGTTCGAGCAAACCTTCTTGGTCGAAGCCTTTATGTCAGATGAAAACGAGAAAGGTGAGTGCTGAACTGAAGCGGACATGGAACTAGAGCATTTGAATAGCTAATGTCTTCCAGGCATGGAAGCTTCCGCACCTGTCACACCCAATAACGACGACTTGTCAATGGGGACACTTTATAGCGAACAAACTGGAGAGCCATTCGACCATGAGGAGCCAACCCTGAATGAATGGATGTTTATGAGTGACCAAGGACAGTATCAGGAATAAAGCATTGCTGAAAACTAGGTGGATTCTGAAATAGTAGATAACTGGGTCAATTATCACGCATGCCATCTTAGATGCGGAATGGTTGTTGCAGAACTTCCGATGACTCTTTATTGTCATGACCGTGTTCAACTCCTCCTTGTACTTTTCGTCATCCTTACTAATGGCCTTTTCCCCTACTCTCACTTTCCTGGCCTCCTTCAAGATCTTCGGAGCTTAGAATATCTCCACATCGACCAGTGGTTTGTTTCACATGACAGTGCAGAAGACACAGAGCGCTCCAGGATAGCACCCATCGGCCGGCCTGAATCTCAGTTAGATACACCTCCCAGCGGTTTTGATGGTCTTGAAATACCTACCAGACACCACAGCAGAAGCCATCGTGATCGATACAGCCTCCTCGCAGATGCATTTGTTCCTGACTTTGGTCGGAATGCTGTTCCACCAGGGCAGCGGAAGAGGCAGGTTGAGTATCCTGCGGAGCAGGCTGTTGTTCGTTTTCGCCTGCCATTTGGTAGATATAATTGGAGGTAATAGAATGTGAATTGTCTATTCTTGAGGCTTCGATATTCATGTTATTGACGCTTTTCCGAGAGTGAGAAGTGGAGGAGAGAACATGCTTACAGGAGGGTGCTTTGAGGCTTTGTCAAAATGGCGTTCCGATTTGAGGTGTTTGGTGAATAGCAGTCGGCTTCTAAAGTGAATCGGAAGTTTTATCAGGAGAAGCTTCTGATTACATTAACTGTCACAAGAGACCTGGAGAAGATTCCCAAGCAAAGCGGGTGTTTCTAGGCCCGAAGGCGGTGTTGCTTGCCGTAGCATGAGGGTTGAGTAGTTCCTTCCTCCTTCCCTCAGCTTCCCTACTTGGTCACATGTCCCGTGGATCAAGGTAAATTTCACAGGAGGAAAGAAGCAGTGGACTTGGGTTTCGGATGAGAAAGTGCGGTAAAGGCGGCTGAATAACGGAAGGTGTGAGTAGTTTTGGCCAGTACAGGCAGGATCTCACGTAAGGGTAGACACAAACTGAAGGAGCACGGGAATACCCAGAAAGGAGACATGACGAAAGTTAGCCAGTATAAAGTTGCCTTCTTAGGATCTCGGGAGATGTCTTGAGTCACAGCACTTGGCGCTCTATAATCATGTTGTTAAATCGATACAGACTCGCTGCCTCCATAAATTATCTCCATTGGCTTCACCCCCGGCTGAATCGTTCTTGTAGTCTTTAATCGTCCGTTTTCGACGTATGAAGATCTGGATTGACAGATACCATACTATCAAGCAAGTCTTCATACTTGGAGTCCTACTTCAATTATCATAAATCTCATGAATGTAACATACCTGCGGTCAAGAATATTTCACAGTACTGCGTAAATGTGGCTCAATCGTCGGGCAAGACCGAGTGGGGCTGTGTCCTTGGTCGCTAAATCCTTCGAGAGCTGATCAGCTGACAGGCGTGTCAGCACCGCGTTGTTCAAAAGAAAGCACCAGATGCCTAAACCAGTGACCGAGAATCGAATTTGGCCATCGAAATTAATATGCTCCGAGAATAGTCAATATCTCCTGCAGACCTCTCACTCCTATCTAAGCGCGCGTGAGCCGGCCAAATAAGATAGCAACGCCAGCGATATCAAATCACCCCCTCGCTGCGACACGAGCATGTCCACTGCAGTAGATCAGCATGACTTACCCCACGAAGGTGCACGTTATCCGACCAAGTATCGCCGCAACTTTCCGAGATCGAAGAATGGCTGCTTGACATGCCGCACGAGGCGGAAGAAGTGTGACGAACGCAGGCCCTGCTGCACATCCTGCACCCGCACCAGACGAGAATGCATTTGGCCTGTTTCCACAGAAGATGCGGCAGGCAAAGACACCCACGACGGCCTGTCAAACCAAAACGCCACTTCAGAGAGCACTGGATCATCTCAGCGCCCAACGACCCTGCTTAGTGGCCCCGGAGCAGCCGTTCTGGCAACAACATCTGTCTCGGGGGGTTTCAAGGACTCATCTTCGTTGCGTGCATCTCTGACATTTGGGACCCTTTCGAATCTGACCAGTACTTCGAGGCCGCTGTATGATCAATATTTCGATATGACGGCGGAGCTACTGGCTCGTGGGTCGAGTGCAGATGGTAATCCGTTCATAACCTATGTGCTGCCTTTAGCAGTCTCTGATGGTCTGGTCATGGACTCCGTTCTCGCTATCGGAGGAGCCCACATGGCTGTTTTGGAGCCCGATCGGCCACAATTAGAGGTTATGAAACGAAGACACTATGCCCGACTGCTGGAGGGACTCCAAAAAGCACTCTTTGCCGACACAGCATGCCCTTTTGGCGAAAGCGACCACGACAAGAAGCTTTACATTCTTTTACTTCTCATCCTGCTCTGCGTTTTCGAGGTAAGATACCTATCTACTTCTCTCGGAGTGTAGTGCATCCGACTAATTCTGACCAGGGAGTTCAAGGTGATCATTCCGGTGCCGTTTATCATCACATCCGTGCCAGTCGTCACTATGTGATGGACCTGGTAGCTGAAACCTACAAGCCATCATCATCAAAGAGTACCGGGCACATTCTTGGTTTTCTCTTGGAGATATACGCCATGTTTGCCCTGAAGTTGTCAGTTACTCCACGAGGCTTGCAAGAGGACAACCCGGTCATGTTGGACCCTTTCCTTGGGTCATTGGAGTTCCTGAGTCAGTATAGATCTCGAGGGTTCATGCTTGGGTTTGGACATGGCCTTTTTGCCATGATACCAGAAATTTCAAGCCTTCTCGAGAAGCGCCGCATAGAAGAGCTGCGCAAATCCAAATCTGATGATCTTTTTGAGTCATACAAGTCACTCTTAGAGAAATTGGACTCATTGGACCCATCATCCGATTTCCTCGAAGGCGAAGATGCCTGTCCTCACTACCAACAGTCATCGGCCGTCGCTATCTACCGTACCGCCCTAGTTCTTATTCTCCACTCTACCTTCCACGAAGATCTCTACAAGAATGCGGACCTCATTGCTGAAGTTGAGCTTCGGATAGACAAGATACTGCCTCTCTGCTGGGCTGTCTACGCCAGCAAGTCACCGCTGCGGAGAATGATGCTATGGCCAGGGTCGATCTTGGCATCCTGTTGCAGGAAACCAGAGCACGTCCATGCTTTCCGACTGGGGCTGAATTCAAATCCACGATCGCCGGGTGGTGTCAGACAAGCGGCCAAGGCCGTTGAAATATTATGGAAAGATGATGATCCCAGAGCGTATGGGCCTCGGGGGTTAAACATGGTGATGAAGAAGCACGGTCTTAGTTTTAGTATGTGTTGAGTGAGAGAGTAGAGTGACTCGGGTTAGCAGTCTAACACGACAAGTACATACCTTATCTAATGACTGTTGGACTAAAGCAATAACACGCAATTTCTACGATGTCGAAGGTGTATTTCAGTGGTTCACCGATGAAGCAACGATTCAAGTGCTCTGACTGATGGCAGTATCTCTAATCATTTCTACTAAGACTGAAGAACAGGTATCGCAAGTCATAAAGGTATCATCACAACGCATTCCAATCCACAATCCGTGGTTTGAGTTTAACATCCACCACCGCCACCGCCGCCGCCGCCATCACCGCCGCCTCCACCTCCACCTCCACCTCCACCACCGCTATCACAACCACCTCCTCCATGGTGACCGCCTCCTCCGTGGTGTCCTCCACCGCCGCCATCACCGCCCCAGCCGAAGCCTGCGGCGCTTGCTCCCGTGTAGCCGCCATGATAACCACCGTGATGTCCGTGGCTTCTCCGATTTCCACCACTGGAATGATGGCTGTAGCCTGGCATTGAGCCGTAGTGTGGTGTGGCGCCCATGGCTGGCCGTGGTGCGTATTCTGAGCCGTTGTACGTGTGCTTCTTCGAACGAAAAGGAATACACATCTTGAGTGTTGAGAAACAAGATGTGTGCAGAACTTGCTTTAGAAGTTTGACTTTCATAAGTTGTTTTCGTAGAGATCTCTCTGTGTTCAAAGGCGTGATAGGGTGTGCTTATTGATATTCCCTTTGATTGAGAAGATGTGCTTGATGAGGTTGATACTTGTTGATGCAGATGGTGACAGAAGGAGAGGACCGAGGGCTTAAGTAGGGGGGTTGCGAAGCATCGAGTCATTACAGATAAGGTAAGTTCAAATTTCCTGTCTATTCTGCCAGTGTACCTGCCTAGGGGCGAAACACACGCTTTGGTGGAAGCCGCGATCACAGGCAAGTCTGCCTTCCAGAAAGCTTCTAGCGGCGCGAAGGATCATGAGTTGACCAGGGTGAGCTCATTAAACTCCGAATAAGCGAATCGCAGGGTCCTGAAAGCTGTCACCTAAATCAGCCTCGCACTGCGCTACCTTCTGCCCCCTGGAATTTCCGCAAAGAGGTAAGACGATGTACAATGTTAGTATTCGATCATCTGACCGGAGGGAGTGGATTCACGGGGCTGTTCCGCATTGTGGAGTTCTGCGGATTCCTGGGGGCGAGCTAGCCGGGGCGGGGCCGGATCGGCGTCGTTGGCGAATGACGTAGCTTCAGTAGCATAGCCGGGCACTGGGGCGCAGCGCACACAGCCTGGGCATTCAGCCCATGATATTCAGCCGCACTCTCAGACACTGCGTCAATTATTTTGATCTGCCCAGCACACATCAGTAATACTGCCACGTGGGAGTGAGATAACTCGTCATGTTGAACGATTCGCGGCCTTCCGCGGCATGCTTTGCATTGCGGGACTCGAGATAACACTGGAGCCTGGCTCATCGGACATAGACGTTAGCAACCAAGAGTAGCGTTATGCATTTTTATCATGTCAAGCAAGCACGTCTAAGAATGGACTTGGAAACAGGGTGAAGTCTGCCTTGTTGTTGTTCGCGAGAAACCAACGTGAGTGTGGTGTCTACCAACGTTAATGTTGCCTCATCAAAATATCGAAAGGAAATGAGCAAATATCGAGCGAAGCACGTAGTTAAACAGATCAAAATTGCCATCCAACAATCGTTATTTGTTTTCCCAAGCGGAAGAGATATCAATTACATGTACCCAACTTCATGCAGCTCCCAGGACTTTCACCCATGTCGCGTCAATCATCCCTTGTTCGCGGCACGATCCACGAAATAATCACGAGATGGGAACGCCATCCCGGTCTCTCTCTATCCTTGGCTTCTTAGGCGTACTGGAGTCGGGCGAGAGCTTATCTTTCATTGTCTGTATAAGGCTTTCTGTGCGAGACAGATCTCCGTTTTCGCGCCGCTGCTCTTTCTCGGCTTTGCGCTCGGCCATTTTTGCTGCTTTGATATCGGCGGGGCCGGGTTCGAACGCTGGGCCGGGGCCGTTATGTGGAGGTCTTTTGTTAGATGCCTCCATGCCTGCGGTGAACGGAATGCCAGACATATTGTAGGTGGGCTCTAGTGTAGTCAAATTTTGAAGAATGCTGTTGTACCTCTCGGTTGCAGAAAATCCTTGATGGAGATTCCAGGTTAATGATTTTTAATGCCCGATGTTGAGTTGGCTGTTTCGTTCCGAGTCGTTGCGTTTGATAAAAGACGAAGGTTGCAAAGTGGCAAGGTTTTCGGCTCAGAAACACATCATGGAATGGGAGTCCCACGCTTTTGTCCGAAATTACTCGGCGACCCCAAGACTGTTCCCCAAGATTTGGTACAATAGTCTCAAATGTTGAAGCATTCTTGTCGGCGGGATCGGCGGTATGGCACTGAATCAAAGGTGCGCCACCATGCACCGCCAAGAAAATCTACGTATTTATGTGACGCGAACGGAGTCAGCATCTACGGCGTACGCAATACTGTATCAACTTGCTCTGCGTGCCTAATTGAGATCAAGACTGAAATGCATAGCCATGAACAAACGGCAATGGTCACAATCTATTGTGTCGACTTTAGCATCAAGCTCAATCAAAGTATGTTGTCTTGACGCCCTTAATGACCTCAAGATCATTGACCAGGTTGTCGCCATTGGACTGGCTCGTGGCGCCAATATTTTTGATGATCCTTTCTCTCACCCATTCCCCCGCCTTCACTGGCTTACCATCACTTCCAAGTACCGCGCCTTCAGTGAGGCCAAGTTTCTGTAGGAGGGGAGATTCCTTGATCGGTATAAGGTCTGTGTCATCTTCTATCCGAACCATGTAGATCACCCCCAGACGATCAATGTGCGCTTGGTCTTTCGGTGGAGCGACCACTCTGTGGATGCTGGACTTCAGATAGCCATCTACGGAAGGGTCAGTGATCACGATGTTTGGGATCTTTAATCACCGCCCCACTTACTCGTGAGGAATTGCAATGCATCGGCAATATTGACAGTAAGCGCATCCGTCTGTGGTCGTACCCACTTCCATGTCCCATCATTTGTGAGGACCTGAAGTGCAGCAACAGGTTGTCGGAAAAGCAAGGTCAAACTACCCATATCCGAATGTCTTGATTCCCTCTGTCAGTATCGGTCACATGTTTGACTTTCCTCATGAATCGATCAGAAATCCAATTTACTGGAGAAATTCTTACCCCTTCAACCAAACACCACCAAGCTTTCGGTTATCCTCTTCACTTCTCGCGTAGTACTTCATGTAGCGGAGATGGTCACCGCTAGACTTCTCATATCGATGCTTCTTAACGAACCACTCTTCGTCTTCGAGGCCAAGTGCCAAGGCGAATATGACTAGAAGTTTCCTCACGATTCTGTCGTTGACGTACCGGGAAAATCTCTCGATTGTTGCCAAGTTTTCTTTCACTACGTTGGGATGTGGTTGCGATGCATGCTCGGGGATGAACTTAGGGATATTGTATATCTCAAAATTGTCCCGAATACCAGGGATCAGCTCCCGGGTCCCCGGGGGTTTCCAACCATTGAAGTTGCCGGCCTCGAGTGCTGCTCTAAACGGTTGCTTGTATTCGTTTGGTAAGCCAAGAACGGTGGAAGCTAGAGCATACTGTTGGTCGATATCTTCCCGGCTGAGTCCGTGATTGATGACGTAAAAGAAGCCTGGATGATGGTACATCAGTTATCAACTCTGTCCAATGAATGTGATAAAAAGGTTTAGGTGTAAACATGAACGGTGGCGGTACCTATCTGTTCAATCGCTCTCGCGAATTCTTCTGCAAGCTCTTGTTTTCCCCCAGGCTTGTCAAACTTGGATAGGTCTAAGGCCACCAGATCTGCCCAATCCAGTTGCTCAGTTGTCTCAGGAGCTTGAACGTAAGGAACTGAAGCTGTCTGTGAGATCGAGGTTGTCATTGTGGCAAAGAAAGAGAGAGGAGAGGCTTGCACTTCCGTGACAGCCTGCTCCACCAAGAATGGCCAGTCTTTGAATTGATATAGTACCTGCAAGGTCTGATGAACAGTGTGGTATATACATAGGATTGCGCGCAGCACGCACCCCATATATCTCACCTTTGAAAGTCCTGCGGTTCAAGGTTCCAAGCACAGCATTGGTAATCCTTAGGCTCCTACTATTATGTCTGTAGACCTCACAATGATGACATGCAGGCTCTGTGTATGGGTGTTGCGTGGTATTGGCCTGGATTATTTGGAAACAGAGCAAAGCCGATGTCGGGATGCTACAACCAGATCACGAATACTGAGGCTTTCCGTTGAATGTTTACAAATGTGCCGTCTTATCTAAAAGTTGGCCCTTGACAGAGGATGCATCGCTGTGGGGCCGAGGCATTCGTCAGGATGGACACAAATGAGGCAATCTGCTAAAAGTGTGTGCGTCGAGGCGTCTCCGGGAGATGGCACCGAAAGAGAAGGCTCTCGGTGTCGCATGGACTATCTTTGCAGTCTTGAAGCCCATTCCGATATCAATTTAAATTTTGTGGTCAACAAGAATTCGACGAGTGTGGGCTGAACCACGTCATGTCTCAAAACTACTCTTGATACTTACGAAGTTATAGAAACCCAGAACCCGTCAGAATGACAGCCGGCAATACCAATGAAAGCCTCCATACGGCCCCCGACGATGAACCTTTTACAACGACAGGAGGAGACGACAAATATGCACCTGAAACGTCCATCAATTTGGAAGCGATTGGAGAGGAAGCTCTTGCCATTGACCATATTGTTGAGAAGCGTGTGCTTCGGAAAATTGATCTTTTTCTGATGCCGGCCATGGTGATAGGTATGTATATGTACCTCTTACACAAAGCCCATGACTCCTCAATACCTACAGGCCAGTATGCTGACAAGGGGCGATGCGATCAAGGCTATGGGTTGGTATACTATGACAAGGTAAGCTCTTGAGAACCGTTCTCAAGTTCGAACACAACTCACAAAAACATGTAGGCAATTCTTGGAAGTGCTGCTCTATTCGGCATGACGGGTGACCTGCACCTGTCCGTAGTCGACACCTCTTTTACGCCACCAAAGACCGATACAACCAGACTGAGTTGGGCGACATCGATCTTCTATTTTGGCCAGCTGATTGGCTCGTACCCGATGACGTACTTGCTTCAACGCTTCAATACTAGATGGATGCTCGGCCCAGTTGTCATGATTTGGGCAGTCATTTGTGCTTCGACGGCGGGAGTGACCACTTGGCAAGGTCTCCTTGTTCAGCGCTTCTTTCTTGGTGAGTTCTTATCACTGAACCAATAATCGATGAGCTGCGATATGATGACAGGTTGCAGCTTAGACTGGCGGTCAACTAATGCTGTGATATAGGATTCACCGAGTCTATCATCCCAACAGCTTTCATGACTACTGTCAGCGGCTATTACACTCAAAGCGAACAAGCGCTCCGCCAGAGTTGGTGGTTTTCCGGAACGGGCTGGTTCACCATTATCGGAAGCGCCCTTAACTACGGGTTTGCTCAAATACAAGGGGGCTCCTTGAATTCATGGCAATACATCTATGTACTCGCTGGAGGTTTAACGTTCCTGTTTGGCATTTGGTGTTTCTTCCTTCCTAACTCTCCCCTGACCGCTTGGTTCCTCAGCCCGGAAGAGCGACTTGTCGCAGTTGAAAGGCTGCGTCAGGGACAGACTGGCGTGAAGAACCAAACTATCAAAATGAGTCAAATAACAGAAGCACTGCTGGATGTCAAGGTTTGGCTAGTTGCTTTGACAATGGCCTCAGGGTAATAGGACTCCGAAGAAGATTCTTCCATAGACGAACACTAACTAGTTATTAGGTATACGGTCAACGGGGCCGTGTCTGGGTTCGGCCCCCTCATTGTTTCAACATTCGGTTACTCGGCTTTGGACAGCATTCTCTTTCAGTTTCCGCTGGGTGCAATTTGCGCAATTGGTATTCCACTGGCTGGTTGGGTTTGCTCCAAGTATCGCAACATCCGGATCCCGGTGCTTATAGGCTGCACTTTACCTGTAATCGCAGGTTTCATCATTATATGGAAATCAGACTGGGGCTATCGACCGGTTGCGCCTGTTGTCGGGTACTCACTGATCGGCTTCTTTGGGCCTGTCGTCAGCTTAACGGTCACTCTGGGTGCCAGCAACGTTGCAGGAGAAACCAAGAAGAGTTATATGGCGTCTGCCGTATTTGTTGCATACTGCGTTGGGAACATTATCGGTCCTCAGCTTGTGAAAAGCGAGACTAAAGCGCAACATTACCCAGAGCTCTGGACGGGGTTGACTATATGGTACGTCAAAACTCGGTCTGGGTTATTAAAACTCTTCTAATAGCAATCTTCTAGCTACTGTATCACTATTCTGTCTGCATCGGGTCTTTATTTCATACTTTCGAGAGAAAATAGGAGGCGAGAGGCTCTGAACCTGGACGAATGTGAGCGAGATAGGCTCGCATTTAAGGACTTAACCGACAAGGAGAACAAGCACTTCAGATACGTTTTGTGATCGTCAAATTTCGACTCACACAGAGTTCTATGTTACATTTCATAATATTGTTGTATTTTTGAATTGATCTTACAAGTTTTCTCAAACATCATCACTGTCGATCGTTGCGGATTTGATCATGAATCGAGAGTTGAAAAAAACCGTTCATGTGAACATTTCTGTTCAAGACGAGATAGATGCAGTGATCACTTGAAAAGAAAATCGCCTTGCAGGCTAAGAGTCGCGTTAGTGCCTGCTCCTAATTCGGGTGAAAGAATTGAAACGTAACACGCGCACTCAATCCGGAGGAGAATCAAGTCCGCGTTGCGTTTTCTTCAGGGGCTGTGATGCAATCACCAACGGACCCCACCCTTATGGGCGGCGTTGGTAAGCTGCACATGTCGATTGAGGGATCTTATCACGACATGTCGGACCATGGCCGACATGAGCTGTTGTTGTAACCGATATCGCCAACGGAGACTCGGGAGGCAGTTCAATGTCCGAAGAGACAATTCAGATGGAACGCTGCGGAGGTGGAATTATGCTTCGGAACTACTTACCAACGCATATTGACGAATGTCGCTCTCAATTTCTCTTTCTCCAAGAATTCAGACCACCGCATAGCGACCTCGGATCTCTAAAATGCCTAAGAAAGTGAGAAGGGTGGCTGTTATTGGGGCCGGTCCGGCTGGGGCCATCGCAACGGACGCTCTGGTGAAGGAACAGGCGTTTGATGTTGTACGCGTCTTCGAACGGCGCGACCTGGCTGGAGGAACCTGGTGAGTAAAGCATCGAAAGACTTAACCTTCATGTCAATTGAGAATTCGAGCAAGATCTGACCTACGAGTCTGCAGGGTCTTTACTCCAGAACTGCCGCCCCGAATCCCGTCCTTGCGCGCCTTAGTCGAACAACGTGCAAATGCCTCCATCGAGATCCCTGGAGGCTTTCCTGCAGAGACGCCGAGATCTGAAAAGAATAACTCTCACCAATTCCGATACTCAGACACTGGTGTTCATGAGACGCTGCACAGCAATATCACACCTGCAGTCATGGCGTTTACGCAAGAGCCAATACCCCAGATCTTGTCCGACCGGACCCTGGCGCAATATGGCCCAGGCGCCCCATTCAGACATCGAGAACTTATTAGAGAATGGGTGGAAGGAATCTTTACTCGTGGGGGCCACGATAAGTTGGTCGAGTTCAGCACCACGGTTGAGCTTGCCGAAAAGAAAGGGGACCAGTGGGTTCTCACGCTGCGAAAGGTGGTGCCGGGAAAGTCAAAGGACTACTGGTGGCAAGAAAGCTTTGATGCGGTGATTGCGGCATCAGGTCATTTCTACTTGCCTTACATCCCCGATATCCCTGGTCTTGTCGAATTCGATGAAAAGTTCCCCGGCAGAATTAAGCACAGCAAGCATTTCCGTGACCCTGAAGAGTTCCGGGACAAGGTATGCTAGCGACCATTGACTTGACATTTCGAGGTCGGAGCTAATTTTCCACAGAAAGTCATTATTGTCGGAGGCTCTGTTTCTGCATTTGATGCGCTACACGACATTCGACTGGTCTCTCAAAAGCCAGTCATTGCATCTCTCAGAGAACCACTGGCCGCATTCGGGTGGGCGCCTTTCACCCACCCCGATATTGCCATCAAGCCACAGCTCATCAATTTCTGTCCTAAAAGTGGACATATCACGTTTAGTGACGGAAGTAGCGTGGATGGTGTCGATGCCGTCGTCTTTGCGACGGGTTATGACTTTAGCTTCCCATTTTTGCCCAAGCAGAAGGTGGAGAACAGGCGAGTTCCTGGACTTTACCAGCATGTCTTCAACACCAATGATCCCACCCTTGCATTCGTTGGAATGGTGAGCTTTCAGCACTACGTGTCTGGAGAACTGGTGACTGACTCACACGTAGGTAACTGGCGGCTTTACTTTTCGCGTCTTCGAGTGGCAGGCCGTCGCAGCAGCACGAGTCTTTGCGGGCCGCGCGAAGTTGCCCCCTCGACTTGAGCAGGAAAAGTGGGAAAAGGACAGGTTGGCGTACAAAGGCGACGGCGTTCCCTTCTTCACTCTGGCACCCGACTTTGAGCAATACTTTGAGGCATTGCGGGCAATCGCCGGTGAGCCTGCGCAGGGGACTACAGGCAGAGTTTTGCCAAAGTTCGACCCAAAGTGGCTCGAAGCGTTCTCAGAGGTTCTCGACGCCAGAATTGAGTGGTGGAAGAAAGAGACTAAGAAGGCTGAAGATCAATTGAAGCTTGCGTTCAAGTCGAAGCTGTAGAGACAAGAAAAATGGTATTATGCACTAGGTATTTAAGTGTTTTCAATCTTGTCGTCGTTTGAAGCCAAAACCGTATGTAAGCCCGTGGACAAAAGCTTCCGCAAGCGATGCAAGGTGCGTTGTTTGAGATTCCCCTTGAGACCAGCTCTCACTCTGCCTTCCGAGGTGTTAATCTCACGTTGAGAGGACCCTTTTTCCATAAGCCAAATAGCTGTTGATCTGTCCAGTTCTTGCTGTCGTCCGCAATTTGCATATCGAAGTTCCAAATGACTCTTGCAAGGATGACTCGCATCTCAGACATGGCCAGACTGTGAGAATCAAGTCAGTACTGTTTCATGTTCCACAAATTATTTAGGTTCACGTACTTCCGGCCGATGCAGTTTCGAGGACCAAAAGAGAATGGCTGAAGTGCCGCTCTATCATCATTCTCGAAGCGCGAATCTCCAAGCCACCTTTCAGGGATGAAAGAGTTGGGCTCTACGAAATACTTCTCGTTGTGGTACATGGGCCATTGAGAGACCATCACTCTCGTCTGTTTGGACTTGATTAGCAACACAATACCTGTAGACTCGGAAGAAACTTACACCAGCAGGCACGAATCTCTCGCAGATGTAGTCACCACCCGGCTTCACAACTCGAGTGAGGCCCATTGGAACGACTGGGTAGACGCGCATACTCTCGTCGAGTACTGCGAGCATGTAACGGAGTTTTTGACCGCTGAGAACGTCAATTTCTTGCTCCGAGCTGAATGAAGTGCGGACTTCTTGTGTCAATTTGGTCATGGCTCCGGGGTGCATGGTGAGGAAGTAAGTCACTCCCGAAAGCACTGATGCCGTCGTCTCTGAGCCGGCGATGATCAAAGTATCTGCAGTTTGCTCAATCTCCGGTTTTGACATTGCCTAAACAACAATTCTGTCAGTTTCGCTACCCTGATGTATGGAACACGATATAACAGAGGTTATGGGCCAGACTTACCAAGGGGCCTTCCTTCATCATCATAGACTGGACAAAGTCGGGCCTTGATTCCCCCAGTGCCATGCGACGTTGAACCTTCTCCTGGCTCATATCATTGTGGAACTTTGTCTTGTTCTTCAATTCTTTCGGAATCAACCACTTGGCAAATGGACGCGTAATCCAATACCTCTGGAACTGATTCCGCCATACACCAGCATGGATGTTGTCGAAAATGATCGACACCCAAGGGTGATAGTCCGAATTCTCAAGACAACCAAATGGCTCACCAAAAGCCAGATCTCCGATGATATCAAAGGTTGTCCAATTATACCAGGAAACCATGTTCAGCGCCTTTCCTCCGTCCTCGCAATTCTCATGAAGTCGCCGAATTAACAAGTCGATCTGCGTTTGGATGAGAGGTTGCTGATCGACCATAGCCTGGGCGGAGAATCCGTGGGCCAGAACGCGGCGAATACGTGCATGATCCTCGCGGCCAGAGTTGATGATGCTGTGAGGCTTGTATCTGGCGTTGACGGGGTCTTTGTAGTTCTCCATGCCACCGCCACCCTTGCTGTGGCCCATCAAGTCCTTGAAAGCGCGCGGATCGGCCCAGTCAATCGTGTCTGGGCCGAGCCTAACAACTGGTCCGTATTTGTTGTGAAGCTCTGCCAGTCTCTTGTGAGCTTTACCACTGGTGATCATTCGGCTGAGCGGGATCCGAGTAGCGGCATGGAGCTTCGGGCCAGGGTAGTCTTTGAGTGGGTGGAAGTAAATATTGTAGACCACCCTTGAGATCAGACGGAAAACCCCCTGTGTCGCCGATCAACATGTGACTTTCTAACATCAATGTAACAACTCCGCCAAGACTCACCAAAGCAGCGAGGACGATTGGCAAAGCGACTGCGAGCCGCACGTTACCTAAAGTTGAGATATCGTGTGGAATAATCATGGTGAATGTTGTAGCGTTGTTAGCAAATTGCCCGATGGTTGGCTAGTTGGTTCTGACAGGAAGTGAACTCTTTCTGCCCAATACTTTCCCATGATATTAGCGGGATGGTCAGCAGCTTATATCTGCCCGAATGCAGACGAACAACTTGTTTCCGGGTGCATGCTCGCCGAAGACGCGAAAGACACGTTTACGACCGGAGCCGAGCCCGCCCCGGGGATGAACGGTGTAACCTCCAGCCAATTGAAGCAGTGCGGCTTCCCGTCCGATGATCCCCAGTGACGTTGCACAGCGAAATGTCGAGGCGGGGGAGTAGTGTTTGTTGGGGGCTTGAGCGTAGAACGGCATTTGGGATGGTGGGACGGCGTTTCATGGCCACACACATCTGACGGCGCTGACCATGAGGGCGCGGATTTCGGGCTGCTGGAGGCTCCCGGATCATGGTCTAATGTATGCCTCGCCTAACTTGTTCTACGCGAGGACGCTGTTGAGTGTAGCGTTGGTACGAGCGAGGGTGCGAATGCGAATGCTGGAATACGATGGGTGAAAGTGGCAAGAACTGTTTTGAGACGGGCTTGCACTGATGTTGGCGCGAGTCGTTTAGATGACAGCTCCTTGCCCGCCAGACGCACATGGAGCTTGATGATCTTCAGGGTCACGTACCTACGAATACTCGCGCCCCCGAACGAGTGTTGCCGGCGTAGCGCGGAGTGCATATGCAAGGGCACGGCGCGGGGTTGGGAGAGATGGCAGACTCTCCGCCGGCAGGAATTGGAGATGTCTTCGGCCCCGAATATTCCCCTCCGTGGCACCGATGCCCGGATTGCTGCAGAGCCACGGTTTGTGGCAACGTTGCTGACAAGTGACTAAATCGGCAAGGTTGTGCCACATCAACAGAGTTATGTTCAGCTGAGGCGGCGTACAGGCTGATGCGCTAGAATTCGCGGCATCAGCGCTGAACAGCTGACATGTCGACACTTTGAAGAACGTTTACATGCTCGCATTGTGACTCTTCCTGGAGCACAGCCGACGCCGTTAGTCGTGAGAGACAATCGTGGACCACCGAACTTTCCTGGTTCTAAGGGCGAAATGCCCGCTGAAAAGCCCCACATGGAGGCAAACCATGTCAGGTTCCCAGAGCTTGTGGGCAACCGAATTCTCTTCTTACGTATTGGGCTGTGCGCACAATGACTTTCACCTAACTTAGAGACAGACTCAAGGTTCATCGGGGAGGTTCCTTCGGAAAGTGCGGGTTATCAGAAACCCCCCCGAACCCTTCAACGGACTTTGGACTATACACGATTAGTCTTGGTCGGGAAATCCATCCTTCAATTCTCAATCAAGGCCACCCGAGAATCTATGCCATATCTTCCCGCATCACTTGCCCAGTTTCAACTTTCAGCATCAGCCTCACTGAGGCGATATGGGCGCTTTGGCCAGTTGACCCCAGCAGGGAATGCTGCTGACTACACAGCATCAATAGACCCATGAGCTCTTCTCAACACTTAACAGCTTGGCGACACGTGATGAGACACTTCCAGATTCATCGCAATCTTAGGGGGTTTGCAATCCCAGGATACGAGGTCTCGAAAAGGAGTAGCCTCAGCAATACTCTACTGCTTCACCTTTCCATTGTCGGTCACTTGAGGTCAGAGTTCCAAGCCTCAGACTGCCGAAGAGTGAGAGACCTTTGAGGAACAATACGTCCCCGCCGCAATCACGCCTGGAGGATCTGAGTGACCGGGAACGCCGGCCGAAGCGTCATGGAGACTGCGTTCAAGCGCAAACCCCTGCCGGGCCCTCCGCCGGGTCCTCCGCTGCCCCCAAACTTTGACCCTTTTCCCCAACGTCAGCGCCCTCTCCGCGCCGCCCGATCGACGCCGAATATTCGGCAGTCTGTAGCAACATCAATCTACGATCCTCCGCCTGCCTATGAGGAGTTCCCTGGAGTCGACGCCAACGGGCGTCTGGCTTTCGCTGCTCCTACCCCAGATTTCGGACCCAGCAGGATTCCATCACCAGGTCCGGCAACCCCGGGATCACACTTTTCTCCCGCAATTCCTCCCGTCGCTGCCCATAAGGAGTATACAACTTATCGACCATCACCGCCACCTTCACTCGTGGGAGATAAAAATGCTTCGCCTACACCGACCCTTCAAGGACCATCCTTTCCTGGCCCCTCATCAGCCCAGACGTTCCCAGTGGCAGGCTACCGCCCTTCTCCATCGCCAACACCATCTAGCCCTGGATATTTCTTCCCTGGCCCTCCTATAACGGCAGAAACATTCCCATTAGCACATCGACCCCCCTTGTCTCCCAATTACCCCTTATCAGAAACCGCATTAACAAACTCCCAATCAACAGAAAAGACCTTCTGGCAGACAGCTCTAGACGAAACAAAGTATTTTGCGGGTGGGCTGATAAGTCATCCGTTTGAATATACCAAACACTACTCCATCCTCCGCCATTCAGGCGCCCTTGTATGGTACCGCGGCCCGTCAACCTCCGTCACCGTCACAGTCTTCTCTGACGCTCCTCTGCCACCTACGCGGACAATATGGCTCCAGCAAAAGGGCTTCTCAGGGAACATGGGCATGAACTTGAAGTCCCTCGTCGGCGCAAACACATCATGGCTCGATGTAACACCTTCCACGCAGGGGAAGCCAGCAGCCATGGCCGAAGGCGACGAAAGAGGTTGCCAGCGCGATATGAAGAAGTTTCTCAAGAAAGCGCCCAAGAATCTGGCGAAGCATGTGCCGAGGGAGACACACGTCGTGCGCATTCCTGCCGCTGCGGATGATGGGTACTTCCGGCTCGTGCTATGCGCTGAAGGCGGCGGGGATGGGAGCAAGAGGAAAGTTCTTTGCCCTAGTCCCGTCTTCCGCGTCGCGAGTACGTCAACGGATATGAGTGTTACCCGTGGCGCAAGCTTTGCCAGTATGCCACTGGAGCTTGGGATCAAGGCGGGCTCTGTCGTCGCGACGACTGTTGTCAATAAGTACATCGGACCAGCTGCCGCCGTAGTGCAGTCTAGAACGAAGAAGATCTCGCAAGCAAAGTTTGTCACAAAGCATGCTGCTCACATCGCATATGCCAAGTCGGGCATAGAAAAGTCCGGTATCAAGACGCATGTTACGGCATACGAGGAGCAATATGCCAGCACGAGAGGCGGAGGATACGATGCCTGGCAATCTGGTGAAGGTGGTTTCCAAGAGGCGCCTCCCGAAGTCATCGGTGCCGACTCCGGTCCTACCGACCCATTTCCAATCAAGTTTGACGGCAGAGTTGTTCGCGGTACAGGAAGGGGAGGCATGGAACTTGGTATCCCGACAGCGAATCTTGAGGGCGTACCCGAAGACGTGAGGATGCGAATGCGCGGCGTCTACTTTGGCTGGGCAAGAGTCGTTCCGCGCTCTGGATTGGAAGCGATATCGACAGACTGGCACGAGAGCATCATCACCGTCGGCCCTGCCCCGTACGCCACACCACGGGTAGCCGCCAAGAACGTCGCCACGGTACATATGATCCACGAATTTGGCGGCGCTCTCTTCCTCGACACGAAACTCAAGGTTCTTGTCATGGGCCAGTTGCGGGTGTCTGCGCCTCCTGTTGCTGGTTCCGAGGCTGCGCTCGAGGCCTACGGTGCGGATGTCTTACTTGCTGTGGCTAGTCTGAGTCGTGACAACTGGTGCCCGATCGAGACGCGGGAGCGGATGAGAACCATGCGGAGCGAAATGAGTCTGGCTGATCGATACGTTGAAACGAGGGAGAGAGTTCAAAAGCAGGTAGATCGCATACCGGTTCATTTGGCTGGTGTGAGAACGGAAGGGGCTACGTTGAGAGATCGGGCATATGGGAATGGAGGGATTTGGATCCCAAGATGATGCATGTGTTCACCTGGTGGGGGTGATTAGGATTCTCCTTGTGCCACATGTAGTATTCACTCCGTGCCCCTATAGATCGGGCATATAGACACTTTGAAACTAGACGTTTAATATTCTGCTTACCCACAACCTTTAGGTACCTTGCTGAACAGGCAGGTACCGACCGTCCTTTTAACAAGCGACGCTGCATAAATTGTCAACACATATACACTACAAGGTAGCCCATGGGGGTCCCGGCAATTCTATTCTTGTCACCGGCTAGGAGGCGTCCCCCTGGGTCAGGGGCCCAGGTTAGTCTGGCAAAGTAGTGGGAGGGTTAATGATCCAAGCATCAATATACACTCGACTGCAGGCTCCGACTTCAATTCCCAGCATGAGCACCAATGGATATAGCTACACCGGTGGTGAGCTATCTAATTATTTCGAGGCCTCTTCATAACCATGCAAGCAAATACCACTCTCGATGGGACAATACATTCACCAAATTACAATTTGAAGTCTCTGATCATTTCCTACTATCTCCGTGACGCCAGGTCTACATCAACCTGTCACGGTCTCGTGGCCAAATTCCTTCACACCGCTCTGAAATCTTTTCCCAGGACCATAGCTTGAATATCCATCACACAGGCAGTTCTTCATAGTCTTACTGTGGCAGGACGTTGTTCTCGATGACGTTCCAACAGTGATCGCAAAGTTCATGACTCTGAATATCATTGATCGTCTTGGCGACCTGTTTGAGAGAACAGTTAGCATCCTGATGGATCCGTCGTGTAGGACGATACTCTTGGAGACGAGCAGTTTAGAGAATGGTACTTACCTCATATAAGCAGCCAAGCTTCTCCTTTTTGCCAATCTGGCCTATGCCCTTTGTACCCACAACGTCAATCAGGCACTTGGCAGACGTGAAGCCGAGCTCAACTCCGCATCTCACAACGTGGCATCCGTCAATCACGAGGCTATCGTCCTCTTCGAGCAACTTCTGCTCGGCTTCATCGAGCTCAACCCATATGGCTTTCCCAGCCTCGCTCAAAACATCAATAACATCGGAGAGGAAGTCCAGAAAATCGTCCCAGATCCCCGGCACTGGAGCAGGTGCTGGCCTGGGTGAACGGGAAATATAATTTGGAGCAACGCCCATTAAGAGCGAAAGCATGGAGAGAAAAGCGAAAAGGGACATGCAGGCCCTCATCTTGCGTGTAGTACAACTGGTAGATTGTGCCACGTAGTCAAATGATGTTTGGTCCTGTCGCAAATCCAGGCCCATTTGCCCGAAAAATAGTCTTTTCTCATGGAAGAATCATCGCCTTTTATGTTAAAATTTTGCATCCTCTGTCCAAATCGATCGTGCGTTTGTCGTGCTTTAGAATGACCTATTTTGAGACCCGCGAGCCTTCAAACCCTCGTGAATAAAAAGCACCTCTCAACTCCAACATTTTTATCACGCGGAGCCGATATCTTCTATTTTTGCCCCAGCCTGCTTCTGAGCTGACTCTCCGAATGCGGGCTATTTCCCTTTGCACCGGCAGAGGTGGCTGTGCGGATCCTTCCCAAACGAGGCTGCGATGAACCAGATAGCTACCCGCCCATGTACTTGCATATAAGCGCCAGAGATGTTATGACAGCGCATACAGATTTCTGTTGGTTTCCGCTTTGGCGGCATGAAAAGTATAGTTGGGTGTTCTGAGCCATTGCAAGTCTTTTTCCAAAGACTCACAGTACACATTCTTCCGTCACTCTAGCAAATTAAGGCAATGCTCTGCTCTGGAGTCGCGCCGATAGCTCCACTGATCACTAATGCAATTATTAGTCTAACTTGGATTCTGTATCATGACGCCTTCGGATTTGACTCCACACCAAGCCTGCGTATAAGGCTGTGTGTCGTGTGAAGGTTGTGTGCACATGTACTCATGTGTACATCCGTGACACTGGCTAGATGCCTGCCTGCCATGCCGGCTATGTTACCGTAACCGAGGTACATTTTAGGGACTTTTAGTTATGTCCGTACATTCTGTGAGTAAGACGACGCTGGCTCGGGTTGGGTAGGTGCATGTGTGTTGGTTGATACCACACTTGCCCGCAGCAGCGGGCCCGGCCCTTCAAACTTGGGCAAAGCTAGACTTCCCAACAAGACCAACAAAACGATCATCAATTCAGCCATTATTCTTTGACCTCTTCAGGCTGTGACATCTATAATTAATTGCTCTATTTGCTAGTCCTGAGCCTTCTAATTTCCCAGGTTTCCCAAATCTCATTTCAAGACTTCTATGCATCTAATGTCTACTTAGTCTCTTCCAGAAGCAGCTACCTCGGTGATGGTGGCAACAACGTTTACATCCTCATGTATGCACGCACTACCATTTCTAAAGCACAAAAAGATAGAATCGAAACCAGAAAATGGGATGCAAATCAGGCGCAAAATGAATAGTGTGTGCGCAAGCTCTGAATGCCCACCTTACCCTGTCTGCTCCAAGGCTCTCGGTCACCACGAAAGTTTCCAAGCCCGAAGCTTAAGCAGTCACAAACTTGCTTCTTTGTCTCAATTTCCCGCCGTACTTGAAAAGAAGCCAGGGGATGGGTATCAGGGGCAGTGAGAGGAATGCAAATACGCTGCCAGCCCAGTGCACTCCCAATTTCTCATACATCTGAATGGTGAACAGGGGAAAGACGGCTCCCAAGGTGTATCGAAGAATGCCATTTGCGGCAAGGGCTAGAGAAAAAGATTAGTATTCTTTTCAACGAAAAAGGAGGTCTTCCATAATGAGGTAGATTAGCTCACCGGATGCCGCGGCTTTCTGGCCATAAAAGTCGACCATGTAGGTGATAACCGACAACTTGAGTGAGTTAGCCAAAGTCTCCGACCGAAATCAGGAGTTTCAGAACTCACAAATAGACAAAAAGCACCAAGCCCAAAAGGGATGCCAGCCGCAACCAAAGCAGCCCAGTGACCTCCACGGTGTGCTTCCCAGGCATACCAGAACAATCCCACAGGGAGAGCGACGCTACCAACAAGCGCTGCATACAGCCGCTGCTCTGGATATCCTTTGCCAGCCTGAATGGCGGGTACTCTGAACTTCGCATCGAGAAACGCAAAGACGAATGTAGCGAGGAAATATCCAATAATGATACTGAAGAAGCTCAATCCAACTTCCCTCAGATTAAATCCGTAGTACTTCTGGAGGACATAGGAACAGCTGCCGAAATAGCTGAAGATCATGGCATAGGCGAAAGCTGTGTAGATGGCAAGCGACGAAACAATGACCTCAGTCAGCAGCATCTTCGTCGGTCTCATTACCGCGGTCCGCACAATGCTGCCAAGTCGTACGAGAGTGATGGGTTCTTCTCCCGACTCTTTGCGCAGAATCCAGGCTTTTGATGTCTCCTTCATCAACATGGCGCCAACCCAGATCGGCGCGCCAACCATGAGGAGAACATATTGTGTCCATCTCCAGTTGTTATCTCTGTCGTTTAAGGTGTAAGCACCAGCCAAGGGCCCCAATGTTGGCCCCAGAAACGGGCCAAGAATATACAACAGTGATGCGCCACCCCCTTTGCCGAGTTCCCAAACGTCTGCAATGGTTCCGGCACCGACAGCGATACCGGCTGATCCCAGTGTCCCGGCTATGAAGCGACAGGCGAGGAGACCAGAGAAGGTAGTTACCGCCGACGCACCCCCGAGGAACGCGAGGAGAAATGTGCAGGACCCAGCGTAAATCCACTTGCGACCAATGACTTCGGAAAACGGTGCGATGAAGAGGGGGCCGATGGCGAGGCCGAGTGTGTAGAGCGTCAAAGGGAGGATAGACTTCGTGCGTGAGACGGAGAACTCTTGCATTATGAGACTTGTCGCGGGGACTGTTATTGAGGTTGCGAATGTGCTGTGAGATCTCTCATGTTAGATTCAAGAACAACCAAAGTGGGAGTTGGAGTCAAACCGACATCTCAAATGCTAAGAAGCATGGAATCGCCGTGTGAAAGAGCTTTGACGGAAAGCTCCAGTTCTTGGGATTTCTTGATTCGCGAGGGTCGTCCCATGAAAGCCGTTGTTGGTCACCATCTTTGAAGGAGGTGCTGTCCTCGCCGGCCTTTTTTTCAACATCTTCTTCTGGGCGGTCCATCACCGTAGGTTTAGTGGAAGATGCTTGGCTTGTTGTGCTCATTTCGTAGCGGTGATGGTGCCTTATGCAGACTTCTGCGGGTGTTTGAGATGAGGGGATGCTTGGCCTATCTACGACCCAATGCCACAGCCCTGGGACAAGTAAATCTATATACCAGGCAGGATCGGGATAAGATCTGTCGAGAGGATTGGGATATCGGCGTCTGGCGGTGTTGAACTCCGTGTCATTGATTACCTTTCCGGAATTCGGATGGCAGGTGGGCTTGACCAGCTGTTCATACTGAAGACTTCAAAGTTAAAAGAGCGGACGACCGACTCTTGTCAATGATTCATATCTCTTCGGTGTAAGCGCTACCTCAATTGTGGTTGCCATGCCCCTCGGCCTATGGGTATTGTGGTTGTTAAGGGATTACTGATCTCTTGTGACAAGGAATATACCGGTGGGATATCTAGCGGTGGGATGAAGCAATGAGAAGAGTCTGCAATGAAGTTGAGTTGAGAAATCGTGGCCCGAACATTGACTTTGAAAGTTGAAAGTCACGATACACAACTTTTGATTGTGAGAACTACAACTTTTCTTCTTTTTCTCTCAAGATCCTTTTCCAGACCATTGGACCCTTCGTAACAACCCGAGACCAGCATCGTGTGTATCTAACTGGAGCTTGTGAATTGGCATACCGTTACTGATTAGTGAACAGGTCCTCGGCTGGCGCAACGGGGCTAGTGTCCCAGGAATTCGCCAATCTAGACTCTGAAAGCAATGAGAAAATTGGATCATGTCTTTGGTGCATAGTAAGCAGCATAAGGATTTGGGGTCTGGTTGGCTCACGGCCCTAGTCTCGGCCGCTAAATGAGCTCACTGCCAACGTTGATGTCGTCTTACTAGTACGGCCAGGACCCGAGCTCGGAGCAAATTACATAAGTTGAAGACATGAAGAGCTCAGAATGTTTCTTCTCACAAATTTTCAGCCTGGGTCATAAGCGCAGAGCTGACTATGGCAGGCTTTCCTCAACAATTTTGGCATGTTGCTTTCTGCCTCCCCTTTATCACGTAATATCTACTTTCTGATCCTTACATGTAACCTGGGTGAGTTGCCGGTATTAGGAACTCCGGGTGTACGTTACTTGTGAACAATCGGTGCAATTCGGGTGTATGACGCAGACCGTAGAATCGAGGGAGATGAAGATTTTCAACGTCTCCTTAGCTGTTTAAAATTGGCTCCCTGTATCAAACTTCTATGCCACAACAACATCCCCAACTGACAGAGGCGCAATAGCTTTCGACAAGTCAGCGTCACGTTGAGGCTGCAGGCGCGACTGGACCTGGTTCGCAAATTCACTTTCCAACTGGCTAATCATCCCCACGATATCATAATCCCAGATCTTATGTGATCTTTCAGTGAGGTCTTTGAGACACTTGTCCCAGTCACACACAGTGTCTGGGTGGTTCCATTCGTAAATCTCGCAGGCATCGCGGCTGCTCCTCACCAACCACTTCCCACGAGGCGGGCGAACAATATCATAAGCCCGGAACATGGCTTCTAGAAGGTTGCTCTTGTCCACCTGCCTAGGACTTGGTAGATGTTGCAGTATTTTCGTGCCCTTGTGGAGAAGAGTGGCCAAAGCGAGGGCATCTTCGACGCCCATACCCGCGCCAGCTCCGTGATGAGGAGTGGAGGCATGAGCGGCATCCCCCGCAAGACAAAGCCTCCCTTTGACGAAAGTTGGAGCAGGATAGTCGTAAGTATCGAAGATGGCCCATTTGGTAACCTCATCTGGCAGCAAGTTGATGAGATTCTTGACCGTGGGGCCCCAGTCCTTGAATACTGCAACAACTTCTTTCCTCGAGGTGAGACTGGTCATTTTGGCGACTCCCTCGCCCATACTGTCCCAGTCCGTGGTATCATCTGCGAATGCCACGAAGTTGAGGATAGTACCAGCTGCCAACGGGAAATGCAGGACATGAGCTCGCGGCCCAGTGTGACAATGCTCGTTGAAAGCTTTGAAGCTTCCAATGGCGGCTACTGCACGATCCATGGGTATCAAAGCCCGGTAGGCAACTTTGTGGCTGGAATGAGGGTATGCGGCGGGACTGTCTGGTCCAAGAACCAACTGTCGGACTTTGGACTTGATGCCGTCGCATCCAATAACTTGTAAGCATCAGCAACAAGGACACTAGATATGTGGAATAGTATTCAAATCTGACATCAATGACTGGCAAGACTTACCTGCATCGGCGCTAGAGGTGGTGCCGTCCTGGAAGTGCAAGAGCACCTTCTCTCCCTCTTCTTGATCGGTCACATTCACCAATCTCTTACGGAATTCGACCACATCTTCGGGAATAAACTTGACCAGCTCGTCTAGGAGATGGGCGCGATGACACCCAATGAAACCCTCGTGTCCGATGTCAAGATTATATAGTGGCATGTCATCTTTTTCAGGGTGGGCTTCGTCCCAGTTGTATCCATCATTAAATCGGAGGAACTCCTCGGGCTCGTTTTCATTCTCGCCGTTGTGCGTGGCAACAGCGTCAACAGCTTTCTCAATGGAAGGGCTCAGCAGAGCCATGGCCTGCCTGGCGTTGGAGGTGAAGCCAATTCCGGCACCAATCTCGCGGAAGGAGCGTGACTGTTCGTATATCTTGACAGGAATGTTCCGCTCGAGCAAACCTAACGCCGTGATGAGACCTACTATACCACCGCCGACGATGGCAATCTCGAACTTGTCGTTGGTATTCGGCATTATTTTTTATAGATTGGTCAAATTAGCTGGATTGATATTCTAGGAGAATGTGATAGTCAATGGTCAACAGGTGTGAAGTGAGGAACACCGCGGAGGTATAATCTCCTTTTTAGGGGTCATTTTGCAGTCGAAGGCGCTTACTCATTTGATTGCACATGTGATGTCAACCTTTGAATCATGTTAGGTGCACGGCCTGAAACATCGGAGTTCGCGGTCTTCCTGTCCGGCGGATGATGACTTCATCCAAACATTGATGAGGGGAATGACGGCCTCTCCGACGGATTTCGGCGTTTGTACCGCCTTCGTGGCCCATTAACATCGTCACAACACTTTCGGTCGGAAGGGATGGAGATAGATCTGAAGTCCATCCAGAATTCCCCCTCAACAATGCGAGTATGCCATGTACAAATCTCAAGGCAGCTGATGCTGCCCGCCTTCAACTTAGTGATATACTCTAATGACTAGCAATTTGCCGTGTAGTATATTGCCTCCGAAAGCTAGACGCACTACGGTTGAAGTAAGGTAAGCGGCCAAGCTCAAAGCGAATGTGACGTGAAAGATCAATGTTGACATCCACCATTTTTCATTTGATCCCCGGATTCTTTAGCCTCCCATACCATGTTCCTCGATTAACAGGTCCATTATGGAGTCAGGCGTCGCCAAGACATCCTCATATCCAGATTGAGGCAGTTCTAGCTTTGAGATACCTTGGCAAAGTCCATTTACAGTCTTGAACTCTCCCAACGCTTCATCCATAGTCCTGATGTCATCTTCCAACGGCATACCACGTGATTGAAACCTGACCAGGGCTTCCCGACATAAATAAAGAGGCGCTGGTGTAAATGGGTGAATCTGACAAAGGTTGAAGTCGGAAAGTAAAATATTTGATAGGCGCATGATCTCTTTAGCTGCGGCTAGAGCTCGTTCCTCAAAGCCGACGACGAGATGATCGTACTCTGCAGTGGTATCGGGTGTTGTTGCGGCTACGTCAAACAACGACAATGAAGCCACATGAGCGATTATCCTAGCAAGAAATGTTACAGAACCGGTTCGATGAGATACGGGGAGGCTCTGCAGACGGGAGATTTGACGCGCGACAACTGAGTCTAGAAATATTTGGCGCTCCCAAAACTGAGCAGACGTATTACCACACTCATGCCCAGCCTTTGATCGATTCCTATGAGCTTGTATTTTTCCCGAAAATGAGATGGAGAGAATAAACTCCATGAACGGAGATTGCTTTGCCGGTGTCTGTAACTCTATTGCTTCTGAGAGAAAGGGAGAGACAGTTGGCGCTCGACTTTGAAATGCGTCTTCAGAACAGGGAAGCCGAGTATCGATCTGAAAACACCCATAGTCAGTCCAAATGATTGACGCCGCAGTTTCAATTAGATTTGAGAAGAAGTGTGCACATAAGAATGACAGATGGGGAAAGGGGACATACCTCAGATTCAGAGAACGTCCGAGGCAGATCATGGACCAAGCAAATGATAGTGTCCAAACACAATGACATCCAGAAAGTCCTTCTCTTCTCCTCATTCTTGACAAATAGTTCTGCATCTTTACCTAATCTTGAGGCTTTGTCGCAGCCTGCATCTATACTACCTAGGCGCATGAGTTGTACCAAGCGCATTGCTCGCCCTGTACTCACCCATGCACGATGGAACCCAACTTGCATCAGCTCATACAATGATATGAGAATCCACGCCTGTGTCTGTTTCAATAGACTCTCTTCTTTCTCCACTGGACTGTCAAGATAGTCCAGACTCCTGAGCCGTTCGAGTGCTTCGCGATACATGTTGTCGCTTAAGTGTTGGAACTGTGGCGAAAGCGAAGACGCCATTGCCCACATTGCATAATGTAAACATGTATGTGAAAGTTTCATCCTGTCTGACGCAGAACGGTCGTTTGGCGGTGGCCCTTTCTCGACTTCCTTCGACTTCCGAACGAACGAGGATTGGTGTAAGAAAGGTGTGAATGAGTGAACTCGGTCGAAGTAGAGTTGGTTACTGTATCTCATGTTCAGCGACAAGATGCCTTCCAGGCTACTGTGTCAGCAAGTCTCCTGGGATAGGTACTCACAGATCAGCCCTCATCAACGGCTCTATTTCTCGAAAGGCCGAGTCTGAAGGCCCCTCAATCATAGCAGTCGGATCTGCGCCCGCATATTGGAAGGTGTCCTCGGCAATGATAGATAGTGGAGTGAAGTCTACTGGTCCGGGTGTCTGAATCGGGATATCTGAACGACCCTGGTTGGTCAAGTCCACATCGGGGAGAGACGCGAAGAAGTCTGTAACACCAGACAAAGTTCCCTGGGGACTACCAACACCGGATTCATCAGGGTCTGAGCTTGAAGAAAACTCGTAGTCTCTTCTTGGGCCTTTCCTCCCTTCGGTAGAACCCTTTCCCCCACTTTTCGCAAGACGCCGTTCGAGAGTTGCTACATACACTCATCCTGTCAGTGTCTTGAGTAGAATCGCTGAAATGCGTCACTCCAATATATCGAGCCCTCTGATCCCGCAAAAAGAAGTTGCTTACTGACCGATTCTTGATTGTAGCACTTTGAGATGATCTCTCTTGGATAACTGAGGTGGGGCACTTCGGCAACGTACACCTGCACGAACACACCCGCCGCAAGGCTGCTTTCGGTCACACCTGAGCTTGCGATTTTGACACTGTCGACAGCTCAGATCAGGGCTGCGGCGGATATCACGGCTCGTTGCCGGGCTGTTGGTCGTTTCGATATCGCCCGTTGTCGATGCTGCCGCGGAACGGGGCGGCGTTGGGCCATTCGATCCGGCTTTCGGGTGCGACTGGCATAAGACGCCACGTTCGAAGCAAGGGAGACAGAAGTTATTCCCGTCCATTGATGTAGTGGAAGGCGTTGTTCGAAGATGGTATTGTGCTCAACGTAGCGTCAAGCCGGGACCATGAACTGAACAAACTTGCGCCGACCAGAATGTTGAATGCACGTCAATCATGATGCCCACATCGAGCCACCAAGAAGTGGTTATGTATGCCACATAGCTGTCGGGTTCCTCATCGTTTGCCACTCTAGCGGCGTGATCTAAGGTGAGATAAGCAATAACAACACACTTCACTCAACATGGGTAGAGTGTGACGGGACGATCCTGGTCTTTGATGAAAAACACATAAAATCTACTCCTTACCAAACCGCGCCATTGCGAATTTTGTGGTGATGCTGGGGAAAAGGAAACCAGCCCCTGAAAGTTCTCATCACCGACGCTAGTCGCCTGGTAAAGGGCAAACTTTGCTCTTTGTTTGCTACCAAGGGTGTTTGCCCCTTTCCTCGGGATACTGATCCGTCGTGCCGCCCGCTTCAGATTCCTTTTCTGGACTCCACTTTTTTCTTTCTTTTGGCCGTTGTGTTTGCTTGTTTGCTCCCTCGGCTGCTAGTTTGCCTGTTGGTGCCTAACAGTTCATGTATGAGAGATTTTGCACAATTACCGGGATGCTGGGGTTGTTCTCCCAGCAATCATCCTATTCACCGGGCTCAGCCATACGATTTTTCGGGTCAGTGGGGATCGAGCCCCGGGTTTGGGGGATGGCAAATCTAACACCCGTCCACGCGGTATTTGATGAGAGGTAAGTAGTGTGGATTGAGATCTCACAAACGATGACGATTTCGTCCCTGGCTTGAGTTCTGGTGAGCCGCAAAGTGAGCTCTTAATTCTTTGGTATCGAAAATACAGGTCAAACTCGAATCTTACAAGTGCACGCCAGCTACCCTCACTTTACTCGCTGGGCATTGCAAGCGCCTCATCAATCGTCTTCCAGGTGTGGTCTTTGACCTTTTGCAGATCCTCCTCAGTGAAAATAGCCTTGTTGCCAACCATCTTACCATTCTGATCGATACAGCTCCAGGATGCACCGTCCTTCTCCGAGGTCTCGTTCACTCCCTTCAGAAGTCCCTCGGCGCAAGTATCAGCCGGTACACCCATCACATTCGTCAGTAGTTTTGTCCCAACCCGGAGATACCACGGCATGGTGTGGAAGATGTTGGTCTGCACAAGTCCCGGGTATGCGTGGATAAAGTGTTGCTTCTTGGCCTTGTTCTCAGCCGCATACGCCTGAATCATTGCGTCCGTCATGGACAAGCAATGGTTCGCTGCGTTCTGTAGGCTAAAGTTCTTCTTCAGGTCCAAATCGTCCCAAATCAGCTTTGTCGGGCTTCCGCGGGTGCTGTCGAGGACGATGAGAACTTTGGCGTCGTCCTTTAGAATGGGGCTCAGTTCGCGGATGAGAAGCTGCCTGCCATAGTAGTGAAGGGCCATCTTGCGGTCGATTCCCTCGGACGTCTCGGTCCGGCCTGCCATGGTAAGGATGCCCTGCGTGAGGACGAGTAGGTCGAGTTGCGGGTCTTGGAGTGATTTGTATTCAGCTGTGTATTTCTTGATGGAGCGCATGGAAGATGCGTCCAAGGCGCGGAACTTGATGTTGGGATGGGGGGTGTCCTTGGGCTCGGTGCGGCCGCTGATGGTCACTTGTGAGGACGCCGAGGCAGCGGCCAGGCGGCAGGCAATGGCGTAGCCAATACCACCAGTTCCTCCGACGACTAATGATCGGGTGGCCATGGTTTTCTGTGATGCGAGAGTGGACAAGAGGTTGATATTTTGAGTCGGACAATGTCGTTGAGAAATTCAAGCTCCTTATCAAAAGCTGAGCTTGGCTCGGTCAGGGGTTAGGCCGATTCCGAAAACAAGAAAAGCTCCCCTAAGTCCGCAATCTATGCGCTGTCTGATTGGCTCAATTGAAATGGCATCTTTGATTTCATGCAAAAGAAGCTTTCTAAGTCCGCAAAATCCGCCGCCAGCTTCTGATATGCAGCTATCCATAGCTGTGACCTGACGTGAGGTAGCTTCGAAGCTCTTGGCTGTAAACATTTGATGTTGAAGGTCATGATAGGTCCTCAAGACCACCCCGACAGTCCGGTTATTGTCCTTCCTTGCGGGCCGCCCCATGGCGTATGTCCCTACCTGTTGTCCTCGCTTGGTATCTCTTCCAGAATCACATAGTTAAGCTGCACTCAAGTTGACATTGGCTCATTCCCGAGAGGTAATGACGATAGAGGGGAACGTATGTATCCGTAGGAGGGATGGATGGAAAGGGAAGAGACACTTCGGGCCCGGGCTCCGTAACCTTCGCCGTGCCTTATCTCGGAATATCCTACATCCATATCCGGTCCATCCTATTTATATCTGATTCAGTCCACACTACACGTGACCTTGGAGCCACCCTTACGTAAGTAGGTCCCAAGCATGAGCCGAAATGCCGGACTGGGGATCTTCCAAAGGTAAAAGTCAGCCACCTTACTGCATCAGTGCAAAGCAGGACCCAAGAGCTCCGACTCCCCTGCTCGCGGCTCTGCGGCAGCGTTAACTCTGGGCGAGCGGGGCCGCTGACGCGTTACTGGTCTTTTGGCGGTTCAGCGTCAGCCAAAGAGAGACATCGCGGGACGCATGGGCTGCCGATGTTCCAGGCGAGAGAAGCCTCTGCTGGGGAGCCCAGGGAAGCCTGGCCTGGCAGGGCGAATCTTCCAAAGTGGTTGAGTTTGAAAGGGGCTGAAATCTGGAGCCAGGGCCACAATTTCCCCTTCTCTTTCTTGCCCCTGGGCCCTGGCCGTATGTTCCGTCGTCCGTCTTACTCTTGTTCCGCCCAGGGCTGAAGTTTCGATCTCCGGCAAATCTGTTCTTTCTTTTCACTTCATCTCCTTGTGGCCCGAGTCTCGACCTACGTGCGGCGGTTGTCATTGCCACACGTCACACGTCATACACACCACCACACCCATTACACACCACACCAAGGTGAAGGACTGGACAAAAGAGGTATTCACTGGTTGGTCGTCTGGGATGTCACTCTCGGCCCTACCACACTACTTCAGCCCTTCGGACGGATCTGTGGGATCCAACGTTCTGGGTCACACCTAAACTGGGTCTCTTCTCCGAATCTTTTGCCCATCCCACCGCTTCTCATTCTATTCTCCTTGGCGAACTACGGAGGGGGCCCCTCTGGTTCATCAACTTCGGTTCCTCGATTTGTTCCATTTGTTCAAATTTGTCCCGCCCCAGCGCGTGGAGCTCTGGAGACGTTCTTCACGTCGGCGGTGCCGAGCTTCCATTCTTGTCCCTTCTACCCTACATAACCACGCCTTCCCCCCCTCGCGCTCCGCGAGGTCTTCTAGAAGGACGATGGGCATAATGGAGAAACTAGGGGTGACAGACCCCTTGGCAAAGCTTCCCCACAAGCCGCAGTCTTACAACGACAAATATGTTGTCGCCTACGACTTCAGCGAAGTCGGTATGTCAGATTCTCATTCTTTTTCTATTCATGATCGGGAATTGTCGTTGGAATGGGGCTGGCCGACTGACTGTGCCCCAGATTCTGAGACCTCCGTCAAGGAGCTCACCACCCTCCTTAATGAACTCGAGTCTGCTGGTCTCCAGACGGAAGTAAGGGCCGGCTACGATCAGACCCTTCTCATCTTTGTCAAGGCTCCTCGAGAGCTTCTTGGAAACACCGTCTACAAGTCAAGGTCAGTTGGACCAACCATCATTATAGTCTGCTGAAAGCCTCGGCTGACATCCCCATAGAGTGAAGGACTGGCTCTATGGCATCATTCCCGAACACCCCGGCGGCACAAAGACCACCGTTGTCGATGGTGCTTTTGAAGCCGAGGACATCCTCTCGGTTTACCATCTCGTCAACTGGCCCAAGTCTCTCGGTGGCGCTGGAATCACCCCTGAGACGGGCAAGTGGAAGAATGTCAAGGCCATCTTCCCTCTTCACAATGAGGAGACAAACCAATCCCTCATGAAGCATCTCAGCAAACGGCTGTTCCTGACGCCGGACGACATTGATTCCATCCGCGACCTCTGGGGAACCAAGGTGAGTTCCGTCATCCTACCCCCTTCCCCATGCCGTCTAGTAACATTCGCATAGGTCGCATTCTACTTCGCCTTCATCCAGACCTACCTTCTCTTCCTCACCTTCCCCGCAATCACCGGTGTCATTGCATGGTTGTACTTTTCAAAGTACTCCCTCACCTACGCCATCGCGACCTGCGTCTGGTGCACCATCTTTCTAGAGTACTGGAAGATCCAGGAAGTCGACCTCAGCATCCGATGGAACGTGCAAGGAATCGGCAAGGTCAAGGTCAACAGGCCGCAGTTCAAGTACGACAAGATTATCAAGGACGAAGCCGGCCAGGAGAAGCATTACTTTCCCAAGTGGAAGCAGGTCTCCCGCCAGCTGCTCCAAATTCCCTTTGTCTTGATTTCGGCTCTGGCACTGGGTGCAATCATCATCGCTGTGTTTGCTATTGAGGTGCTTATTTCAGAAGGCTACGATGGTCCTTACAAGAGCATGATTGTAAGTCCCTGAAATGACTCTTTGGTGCCTAGAAGATGTGCTCACCATAGGCAGGAATACGTTCCGACTTGCTTGCTCGCTGTTGCCCTGCCATACATCAGCAGCGGCCTTGAAGAAGTCGCCACGATGCTCACGAACTACGAAAACCACCGAACGGCCGATTACCACGAAATGTCCCTCACGCAGAAGATCTTCGTCCTCAACATCATCACAAACTACCTTCCGATTCTCATCACAGCCTTCATCTATGTCCCCTTTGGCGACACCTTTGTCCCCTGGCTCGAGGGCATGACCAAGGGCTTCCTTGGTGCCATTGGCCAAAAGTACATGGATGACGACCTCAGCTTCCATGTCGACTCTGACAGGCTCCGCGACGAGGTCATCGCTCTAGTTGTCACGGGCCAGATCTCAGGCTTCTTCGACGAAAACATCATGCCAGTTCTCAAGCACAAGGCGCAAGGCATCTACCGCGAGTACAAGCGGTCACACTCCAAAGACACGATGCTCATGTCCATCGTCAAGGACGCCCCCGAGGAAGCTAGGTTCCTCCGCAGCGCACGAAACCAGGCTACCTTGGAAAAGTACAATGTCCAGGACGACATCGCCGAGATCGTCCTCCAGTTCGGTTACCTCGCCCTCTTCTCCCCCGTCTGGCCCCTCATCCCAATCGGCTTTCTAATCAACAACATCGTCGAGCTACGCACCGACTTCCTTAAAATCTGCATGGAACATCGGCGCCCACCCCCCGTACGCACCGACGGCATCGGCCCGTGGATTAACTCTCTCGACTTCCTCACCTGGGCTGGCAGTCTCTCGACCGGCGCCATCGTACACCTCTTCGGCGCAAATAGCATCGGTGGCGGAGCGTGGTGGGCGTTGCCCATCACCATTTTCATCAGCGAGCATGTCTTCCTCGGCCTACGATCGGTCGTCCGCTTCTGCCTGGAGAGCATAGGGTCTGAGCAGATTCGTAAGCAGCGACACCAGCGGTATGCGACACGCGTGAAGCATCTTGAGGAGATGGAGGCCAACAAGCAGGCTGGGCTGATGCTGTCTGTCGCTGAGCGCGAGAGGCGCAAGTCGATTCGGGCGATGGGACAGGAGTCGTTCTGGACGACACAGATTGATGACGGCGCGAGTGCCGCGGTGGGAATAGGTCTGATTCAGTCAGTCAAGAGGGCCGAAGTTTTGAAGAACGGGCAGCCGAAGATTGACTAGTAGGTTGCCTGTTTTTTCACGCAGGTCAGATCATCAACAGAACCGGCGTCTTGTTTCATTAGAGGGGTAAAAGTTAGAGCATGAACACCATGCCAATAGATTGCGATACATCATCCCTCCGTTCCCCTACTTCTCGAGTCGCGACTGAAGCTAGGTGATTGGAGCTAGGTGGAGATTGGACGAAGTGGTACAGTGACATGTCTTTGACATCACATCACAGCACTGACATCATCGGATTGTATCCGCGCCATCAACAAACGCAGCCTTAACCTTACCTTCGAGCCTCGATCGCTCAATTGACAAACAACTCCTGTACAAACGATATCGATCAATATCTCGAGTCAACATCACCAGGACCTAGGAGACATCACTACTCGCCCAAAATGTCCAAGATCACATCTCCTGTCAACAACCCAATCTCCTTCGCCTCCTGCTCCATCGGCCTCCCCCGACACACCCTTGAAGATAAGTTGGCAGCAATATCCGCCGCCGACTTCAACGGCATCGAACTCTCCTTCCCAGACCTCCAATCCTTCGCCACACGACACCTCAACAAGGGCGACATTGCAGCCGACGACTACCGCTCCCTCTGCGATGCCGGCACGCTCGTCCGCGACTTATGCGCGCAGCTAAACCTCCAAATCATGGTCCTACAGCCCTTTGCGAATTTTGAAGGCTGGCCGAAGGGTAGTAAGCAGCGAGAAGAGGCGTTTGAGCGCGCGAGGGGCTGGATGGAGATCATGAGCGCCGTGGGGACGGATATGCTACAGGTCGGATCGTCGGATTCTCCGGATATCTCGTCGTCAATCGGAGACCTTGTCGCCGATCTTGCGGAACTAGCGGATCTTCTTGCGACGAGGGGGTTTAAGATCGCCTATGAGAATTGGTGCTGGGCTACGCATGCGCCTTCATGGAAGGATGCGTGGAAGATTGTGCAGCTTGCTAATCGGCCTAATTTGGGACTCTGTCTGGATACTTTCCAGTCGGCAGGCGGGGAATGGGGTGATCCGACCACTGAATCTGGGCGCATTGAGACGGGTGGCGTTGATGAGAGTGATCTCACGATGTCGTATGAGATCTCGCTACAGGAATTGGCTAAGACGGTTCCGCCGGAGAAGATCTACTTTCTACAGATCAGTGATGCATACAAGATCTCCCCGCCTTTGAGCAAAGAGCCTGATCAGAGTGGGTTAAGACCTAGGGGGCGTTGGAGCCACGATCATAGACCGCTACCGTTCGATGGCGGGTATCTGCCCATCTCGCCATTCCTGGAGGCTGTCATGAGCACTGGCTTCAGAGGATGGTTGTCTGTCGAAGTATTTGACGGGAAGTTTGAGGAGAAGTATGGGGACGATCTGCCACAATACGCCAGGAAGGCGAGGGACGGTGTTATGAAGATGCTGGGAGAGATGATTGTCGATCGGAGTGGCTTCTAACTTTTAGAGACGGAGGAATAATAATACAGCAGTACGCGAGTAAAAACGCTCAATCAGCTCATCGCTTCAAGCAAAGCCAAGACCTACGCCGTCTCAATTCCCCTCTCCTCGACCTTGTCGAATTCGTTAAACCTCATAGGCGTCTCACTCTCCGTCCACGGCATCACCTTCAAATCCTTCCAAATTCCTATCCACCTCTTCACCTTGGTCTCATACGCCTCCTGCACCCCAACGATCGGATTTGGCCTCACAATCATGGCAAAAAGCTCAGACAACCCCCTCGGCGCATATACCCTCCACGCCCCATCCCCCTCAACGCGCACCCCAATCATCGCGCTCGTCGTGATCCACGTATCGATCCCGGCCTCAGTCGACTCGTGCGCCGGACACGGCGCCCCGAACTTCTCCTCATACCACAGGTGCACCCGCGCCTGGTTCCGGATCTCCACCCCTTGGCCGGGGATGCCCGCGAACAGCTCACGCCCGCGACAAATCACGGCATCTTCGGCCTCGTAGGAGAGGTCTGAGTCGTCGTGGTAGACGAGGTCGTAGTCTGAGATGCCTGTTGTGGGCGGGAGCGAGGAAGCGTAGTTCCAGATTGTTTGGGAGACGGCGCCGCCTGCGAGGTACCAATTTGGGAGGTTTAGGGTTGTGGCGAGGGAGAGGACTTTGAGGAGGGTTTCATTTGTTTCGAGGACTTGGCGGACGAGGGTGAGTTGCTCGCCTAGCGGGAGCCTGGCTAGATCTACTGCAGGCATTTTTTATCTTTGTTATATGTCGGGGCGTTTGATTATGTGTTTGTGAGTAAGGTTTTGATGTTTTCACTTTCTTGACGCGTTATGAGTGAGTCAAGGGCATTGCAAGCGCGTTCATGTTAGTATCGAAAGATCAGAGTCAATCATATCACAGCAGGGGTTAGCACGCTGTAGCGCAGCTTACCTAAGTTAGTCGAGTCGCGATCCTGCAGACTTTCTTATTCCACAACCTTACGCGACACGTTGAAACCTCAACTCTGAATGATTGAGGGGATCTCCATCGTCTGGGCACATGGCATCCATCTAGGCTCACTTTGAGGCCAAGCACTGTGCCCGCATGTACACGGATGACATACACATGAACATCCATCACATCTGTTGATCGAGCAGTAAAGACCAAGATATCGGTGCTCCCTTAATTGCCACAAGCCACGATTAACAAACGACGGATTGTCAATTTCCTCATAAGTCTCCTCGCTTCTTAACGCGGAAGTGCTCGACTAAATCTCACATGTCTGTGTTCTTTTTGGAGTTGAGAAGTGAAGCCTCTGAGCTGTTCAAGAAGCGCGAGTCGGGAGCGTGCCGACCCCGCCATTACCCCGCGATCGTGAGGGGTATCACGTCTTCAATCACGCATCAAGAAGCCCACCTATCAGCCATGAAATTTGGGACTAGCAGACCCGTGGCCACCAGCGACGGGGTGAACCCGATTCAGTCATGCTTCATTAAGCTGCAAGACCCTTTACTGAGGCTGGTCTACCTGGTAGGTATTCATGCGCGACACATGCTGTTAGCCTGAATCTCCTTTCACATTCAGCTCATCTAGCCTCTAGCCAGTCCACATTTGATGCATTCGTTGCCGCGATGAAGGGTCCGTCTTGGTAGTGCACAGCTTCACTTTCACTCACTCACTCAAGCACGTTAAAGTCGTTAGTAGTGAACAGTAGAAGCTCTTCTATTATACAAACAGGATAGCGTGTCCTTGTTATGATCTAATATCGGAAGTGAAGAGCTGCATCTTTCGATCTCGACATTCGTCCAGTCCCCATAAGAAACCATCTGAACAATCGTATTGCGCTGTCCTGATCAGGTACTGATCTGATAGGCTGTTCTAGAGATGCCTATCATCCTACATACCAGAATCCGCACACTTAACGAGTAGCATCTGCATAATTTGTGTGTGGCCCTTAAAAGATGCAGCCCGAAAGGCCTTACCATTAAGGCCACCTTGTGCGTTGACATCAGCACCATTATCGAGAAGCATTTGAACAGTTTCAATGGAGTCTCTACACACCGCAGCTATAAGGGCGTGACCATCGTCGCCCCTATCTTTTTCGTTGATATCAGCGCCCTTGTCGAGGAGCATTTGGGCAATATCGCTGTGGCCTCCCCGTGATGCAACCTGGAGAGGTTTGGTGTAATGAGGGCAACCGCTAGCTCTTGAGTCAACGTCCGCACCCTCTTTGAGGAGCATCCGAACTATCTCTGATTGGCCGCTCTCGCATGCGATGAACAGCGGTGTGCGGCCACATGCGTCTTTGGCCTCTAAGCTAGCCAGCCATGTCTCTGAGCAGCAACTTTGATAGCAATAGTGAATGTGCGTGTAGCGCAGCGACATGTACTTTTTGAAAACCAGCATACTTCTTCGAGTCGTCCCGTCTTCCAGATGCGTAATGTGCCTTAATTCGCCACCAAAATGTAGAATCGGGTTCGTGTGAGTTATATAACTCATAAATGAGGTTCTGCGTGACCTCGTCTCCGGGGTCCACGCCGCGCGCATAGGCAGGCCAGTGCTTCGAAGCATAGTTGATGAGTGGATAGTTCTTTGCGCTAATTTCAGGCAGGTATTGCTCGAAAATGTTGTCTCTCGCCTGGAAGTCCCTAAAAAGAAGATATTGAACACAGACTTGCGTCATGATCGATTGTGAACGCTGTCCGCAAAGGGAACCTTTCCGCTAGCTGACTGAAGCACAGGGCCCTCTTTTTGCGATGAGGAACTCCTTAGCTATCTGGTGTAACAGATAAACTCGTCCATCATTGACAAAGACGAACAGTCCACAAATTCGGCGGATTTCCGACTTCAGACGCTCTTCGTGGAGCTCAAGATCATCATGCCCTTGGATATTTGGGGCATCTGTAGCTAGTTGGAATGCCACATTCATTTCCGAGAGGGTTAGAGGTCGTCGGGCACCCACGACGAGATGAAGCAGAATTTCAGCATCTGCTCGCTGGCTTTCCTTCAACCTGCCCAAAATTTTCTCACATGCATCTTCAACGGTGGTAGGAAGAGAGCTGGTATTCTTTTGGATAACTGCTTGCGTAGTTTTCCTGAGGCTGTGTTCCACCTTATCCATCACGAGGTGGAGCTAGAGGTAGGTTGAATGTGGTACTGCCATAAGCTTCTCTTGTAACACTTATTGTACTTTAGAGCGCATGTTGAGTTTGCGGCCGACTTGCTTGACTCTGACTTTATTTATAAAGTTGATTTCCTGACTGATATCCGTATTGCTGTCTTTGCCCGCTAGTCGAATGGAGTGCGGCTCTAGTATGTTGTTAAACTCTGATTCGATTTCTTGATAAGGCCGACTCGTAATCAGGAACTTTACGTGAAAGTTTCGAGTGCTATTGGATCCTTAGGTGTAAAATCTTGTAAGAGAATGGATGAATCTCTGGCGATCTTTATTCGTATATTCGTCGAGAGCATCTATAATGTATTAAGTGATGTTACCTGCTTCACGATCTGTCGAGTCGTGAATATACGCCATAGCTTGTCTGTTTCTTGCTGAATCTGTTTTGTATTCTTCTTGAAGTCGTCCATGGCATAATGAATGAGAAATGGCCGACTGAAGAAGAGCTGATGAATCAGGGCACATAACGCCGTTGCGAGACTATTCTGTTCTTCGTTATCTTTAAGGAAGAAGTAGCATACGGCATGGTTGTTGGTATATTCAAAGTCCTCTTCGATAAGAAATCGAGATAGAACAGACTATCCGCAGTCTGGTTCTGCGGAGATCCACAGCAAGTCGTTATGAGTGCTCTGCTTCCATCTCTTGTATCGATTATGCTTCAATACCCAATTGCAGATTCCCGGGACTCTGTTGGGATTGATGTTCTTAAAGCTTTTCGTACGTGGATGTCTTGAAGGCTCGGTGGCACTCAAGGTGTTTCTGGGTCTCGGATCTTACTTCTTGCTTTTGTGTTTGTTCTAATAGGCGTTGTTTGTGGTATGCACTAGTTCCCGGAGCTGAGGGTCTGGGTGAACCTCGTTAGCTTGATACTTCAGAGGCAGAGAAGTCAGACGGTTGATACACCATATTTAAACAGCCCTGTAGTACTGAAATGGCGGGTACACCATTTGACAGAAATTTGAACTACATATACTCACCAGAAACCATCTGTGGCACGGCTTTCTCCTGCAGGACCCGGTTTGGCAGTACAATCGAAAGAAGCTCTTTCGCCAATGCCGCTGACGTAGCGGCCGCATATTCCTGCCATAGTTCGCTTTTGTGAGAGTCTGAATAATCATAGATGCCGTGGATTACGAAATAGGGAAAGTCTTATAGACCCGCCGCTTCTGTCTCAAAGCAAAGTATATCTAACTTCCTCCTTATAGTTTCGCATGTCTTTCCATGCTTAATAATCTAGTTACCAGACGTAATATTCCTATAGTGAATGACTAGGTCGGTATTATCTCGAGCGTTTCGTTGTATTATATATAAATGATCATAGTTATCGTATCTAGAATCTTGGTTAACATATTTATACTTTACTTTAAAAAGATAATCGTCACTAATTCCCAATAAGCAAATATCTTCATTAGCTTCTTGGGAGCTTTATTAATAAGCTCGGATAAGAACTAGGGTATTTAGCTGTCCTAGATTAAATAGTCGGCCTTAAGACGGCTTAGGGCTACTAAGAAAACCTAAGGTAGTGTATTAAGAGCTCTAGTACGCTAGAATTCTCCCTAGTTTATAACTTTTCCTCAGTCGTACTGAATAATACCTCTAACGGTTCTAGTAGGTTGGCTAACTACGACGTCGCCCAGTCTAATATCATGGGCTCGCGACGGTGTACCGCCTCTAACTCCTACTATTAGCCCGATCCGGATAGATTTAAATGTCCGTAATATGTCCTTAGCGACGATAGTAGCAGGACTTAATCTACATATACCTGCAGGCAGGCAAGTAATAATTACGTTGTGACCCTGAACCTGGCCTAAAATATAGCTGTTGTGGTCGGCTGGGTTGGCGCGAGAAGTTCGGATGAACTTGGTCGAGCATTCCCCTCGCAGCGGCCATTTCCAACGGTAGAGCGCACACCCAGCCCACTTTGTATTGCTCCAGGGAAATTCCATTTTCGTCTCCAAGATTCTCGAGCTTCTCAGCGCTGCGAGCCTTCTTAGTTGGCCGAGAATCGGAGTTCGCAGGTTCTAGTTGCAACTTCTGGTGAGTCAATGATCATTACGATACAGGAAAGGACATAGCCTTACGATATTCTGAACCATGGCTTTGTTTGCCATTGCAAATTGCTCTGAACCCAGCGTCCATCCCGGTGGCGTATCCATGAGGCACCTTCGGAAAGTTCCCAGACATGATATTGTCTGTCTTCAAACGTGGGGCAGCAGACAAGGAATGGTCGTTCATCAGCGCGGAAATGAAAGTCATGTGTGGCTGAGCAGGCTGAGTTTCGATCTTCCGTTTCGGGGGATGAGTCAACATACATGCATTGCTGAAGGTGCCATGCTACCACACCCACGCGTGAGCAGGCTGGTAACGTGTACTTCGCAGACTGTACAGCCTTCTGTCTGGTCACTCGCGCCTGGTCACAGTACTCGTAGAGAAATATCACCCTCTGATGAATGCGGCAAACTTGATTGTATCTGTCAATGCGAGCGATTTTCTCCCATGACCAACGGGCTTATGCGTTTCCACCACGATAGGCCTAGCAACTGCGGCCCTATGCAATTGATTGTTGGAACTTGCATCACTCGAGCCCGAACGACCAATCAACTGCGGCGGAGAAAATGGCTCATTTCACTGAACATACAGTCGACTACGACCAGGCTGGAGGAAATCATCACTTACGCGATCGCTGGTGGATACTAGCAGACTTGAAAATTAGCACTGGCACAGTCCTGTGGCCGGGCTCATTGTTATTACCAAGGTACTTGAACATGGTATTGTGACTTCAGCATTTGTGAGCGTCAGGTTGGTTATTTCAAACTCTCGAGTCTTTCTGCTCATCGATAATGAGGAAGCTTTGCGGCACCACTCTCTCATTGTCATGCGAAGCTTCCCTCGTTGACCTCCCTCCATATGTCAACTCTTCCTCACTGCCATTCTCGCTAACGCTCTTGATGTGTGACAAGGCACTGGCATTACCTTTGCTTGCTCTCGCTGAGAATCCCATACTCGACCTCTTTCCCGAAGTCGCCTCACTTTGCCTCTTTTGACACTTGAAGGTGCCGCAGCATTTGCAGGGGAAGTAAGACATGTTGTAGACATCCTCGTGGCCTGACTGCGGCGGACCGCTGCTGGACTTGGCAAATGTTGTGGTAGCGAAGGCCGACGGTCGACGAGCTGCGTCGTCGGTGACACGATGCGAGTATGGGTCTGAGGACATTCCTAGCTTGAAGCCGATGGCTTTGAGAAGCGGGCGAAGCGTCGCGAGGCTGCCAGCGGTGATTGCAAGGCCTTGTTCTACGGATGACCAGATGGCGATGTCGAGGGTGGACCCTGGATTATAGTCAATTGATTGTTTCTGTAAAGAGATGAGATGGCTTGGGATGATTTACTCACATAGGAAGTCGGCATCTTTGAGGCCCATGAGGTATCCGAAGCGAACCAAGACAGCTGAGCTAGCACTGGCGGAATGGTCAGGTTCGTTCACTCTGCCAATGGAATGTTCTGTACTCACACGCAGCCCATGATCAACAATGGAATCAAAGCGAACTTCGTCTTCTTCCGCATTTGGAGATTCCAAACCAGAAAGGCTGGGAGAATGGCAAATGTCAAATCGGATATGACACTGAAGGCACTGTACAAGTATGCCAAGGCAATGACAATGTTGACATCGATGCAGCTTCCCGGCTGGCTCTTGTTCCAAAAAAACGAGATCGGATGGCACTGGAAAAGCGTCACGAAGAAGAAGACGATTCCAGCCAGGACTGTGAACATCATGGCCATATAGACGATCCAGCTGTGGAGCCTTCGGGTCGTGATTCGCAAGAGGAAGAATCCGATGGACATCTTTGAGACGATCATGCTAAGGGAGTAGAAGAGGTAGCAGAACCACCAGCACTGCGAGATCATGTCAGTACCCTTGTTACCAGTCGAAATCGTATCGTCTTGGACTGGTTGCTGACCTCTAGTGCTTTGGTGATATGGTCATCTTCGATATCCACGAAGTGCCTTCCGGTGCCATAGTGGACGCCGAATATCGAGAAGGTCGAGTAGCATATGAAGCAGGCCTTTGATGGAGTTAGTCATGTTTTCTCACAGAAGCAACATGCAAGCCGGATAATGCATAAGTACCAAAGCCAAGACCATCAGCCAGTCATCCGTTCCAAAAGCCTTGACCAGGCCAGCCCGGACGTAGCATCGCAACGCAGTGGCCAATACCGCCGCCGAGACGAAGAAGATGTTGACGCCTAGGAGCTCTGGGCCGCGGTTTTCAATCATGGGTGCCATGTTGACTCGTTGATCTTAAGTTCGAATATCAACCGGGGGTCCTTTCTTTGGAGCAGGCCCTCCCAGTTCCCACTTGAAGAGACGCAAGGTTTATGGGGATCGTGGGGAGAGAGGGGGGAGGCAGGTCAGGTCGTACGATTCTTTATAACTCCCCATCCCTAAACAAGTATCGAAAAAAAAAAAAAATTGATACGGGCTGCAGAAAACACCAGACACCATCGTTCCCGTGCACCGGGCGCTAACGCCAGGGGCAGATGGGTCTCGTTGTGTCGCGTTTCCAACTTCAGAGTTCAATCCGAAGCCTTCAGTCGCCGGCGTCGGGTCGTGCGTCCGGAGAGCTCGGTATGTGCCGCCCATCTCATCCTGAAGAATCAAGAGAAGGCAAGTTTCTGCCCTGACCCCACCGGAGCTCTCCTAGGCTTTAACTTCAAAGAACATTGAAGTTGGGGATCGTTTGCGATGAGGTAAGTCAACTTAGCCGAGCAGTCAGCTCCGAGCCTCTGTGAAGCTTTACCTCGAGGACGATGTCCAGATCCGGCGACGGACTCGGGATGGCGGCGGGAGGAATGCCTCATCCGCGTTAAGCCAAACTATAGAGCGTCTGTTACCAGTCCGTCTTTGGACACGGGCTCCGGTGAACGGACGAAGAGGCTAGCCAGGGGGGTAACTGTGGCTTGATTCTTCGAAGGAGCGCTGGAACTGATCTATTACCGTTCCGACACGCCACGTCCGAAATGGTGGCCGTGCAAGGAATCTCGCGTGCGTCTAGCTTGGTGTCTAGCGGCTTCCATGCTTGTTGTTTCGTTACTGCGGGTCGTTCCAGTGGCTGAGGACAATCCTTGAAGCAAACTCAGTAGTTCTTTGGCTTCACGAGACACGAGTAATTCCATTAGGTCAGCGGCAGCAAACCTGACTTTGTTGGAATGCATTTTCTTCGCGGTCGGGATCCCTCCTATCTAACCCCCTTTAGCGAGGGTGATCGGCCCGGGGAAGTGTGCCGGGCCATAATCCGGAATTTCCGCGATACGGCGCAGTCATGGTTGCCCAAGCCCTTCCTTGAATATATCGATCAATCGCCCAGTCCTATCAAGATGCCAATAGATAACATCTGCCAAAAGGCAGCACCTGTCACTTGTCAGATTGAGAGTTCGGTAGCTACAACTCTAAACTCACTCACGAGGCACTACTGCGAGACATAAAACAGTGTGGCTATGATCAAGAATGCGATGGCTTTAATTAATAGCCCAGGGGAACCGAGACACCCTTCACGTCTTGTTCTGGGGCGCCACAAGTCCGAACTTCTCTAACATTTCGACGCCATCCCCCTCCTTGACGTTGGCAGCTACGTCTTATTTTAGGACGTTGTGAGCATGTTTCCCCAGCGATTCTGCTTTCCTGTTCCGGCCTATAATTCGACATGTGAGACATCTACCTCAGACTCTTTACCATTGTTCTTGTGGAAGCCATAGGCTAGAAGGATCAGGTCAAAGTGCTCAATGGTCAATGGTATGCTCGCTGGACCATCTTGGCTCCTGGCCGATCCGTCGCCGCGGCATCCTCCCGACATGGGTTCATAGGCAGATTCTTTGCCGTGTGCACAAGCCAGGCGTGCCAGGAAACAAAACATCCCGACGGCTCTTGAGTGAGACCTGTGGACCCATGAACCCCTGCTTCCAAGACCCAGGTACTCGGATGACGGACGGATGACGGGTCTGGCGATAGTTTGCTGGCAGTATGGGTCCGGAAATGATCCCTTATGTAATTAATAACCGACCTTAGACCGGCTCCTTGTGCATGGTGGAGTAGACAATCCAAGCGTTATTTGCAGCAAGTCACGGTTCTCACCCTATCACCCTTGAGTCGGGAAGAGCAGGGACGTTGGTGTGTATCCCGTCGACGCCCAGATAATGTGGGGGGCCTGGCGAAGTGTACACCTGCATGCAACGGGAACATCTGTTTCTTGGCAGGCTAGCATGCTCTACGATTCTAGCATTGCCAACAGGCACATAGTGGAGTGAAGCATTGGGATAGACGTCGATAGACTGCGGAACCAAATCTAGCCGTATATGGTAGGGCTGTCACTACGAGCCTTGTGGCTCCTCGAAGTAAGGCCTCTCCGCTTGCGGCGTGACCCGTAACATATGCCGCCTAGTTGTCCCCTCTTCTACCCTGAAGTCTCGCAGCGCGGAGTGCTGAGTGTTCCTGTTGTCGTAGACCACGACTGTTCCTGGCTTCCAGTGAACCCGCAGGTGCCAGTCCTGGCCTCTCTCGATATGGTCGAACAAGAACCCTAGCAGGGCGGCACTCTCTTCCTGCTTCATTCCGGTAATACGTTTTGTGTACAGTCGGTTGACGTAGAGGGAAAGCTGCTTGGTGACGGGATGAGCTCGAACAACTGGATGGATCGTTTCGATTGGCTCTCTGATGTACCGGTCGCGGTAGTCGTTCACCGAAGCTTGAGAGAAGCCAGAGTGAACAGCCTTCAAGCTGTGAAGCAACGTCCGGTAGGGTTCTGAGAGAGAGTAGTAGGCAGCTGTCGTGGAGAGGTAAAGAGTATCACCTCCGGATGATGGAGTGCTCAAAGGCAAGAAAGTCGTCGTGCCCATTCCGTTGCTGTTTTGACGCTGTTAGGTTGCGTTCCGGGGGCATGTGATCATTGACATCGGACTTACATCTCATAGCTCATATCACTGTGCCATTTCACGCTGGTGACGTTGTCTTTGATCTCGTTATCGACAGCACCGGCCCTAGGCTGTCTGTCAATCATCCATATCTGTCTCCGTTTTCGCGGCGAACTCACGTGAAGTCACGGTACACTGGTAGCAGTTCCGGGTGATCTTTGATCTGGCCACCCATCTGATGGACATGTAGTGGACCGAAATGCTTTCCGTAGGCCTTCTGCTTCTCTGGCCCGATGTCTGCAAAATCCTGGTCTCGAAAAATCACCACGCCACGCTCGGCTGCGAGCAGTGCCAGCTCATCTAGCTGGGCAGGGTCCAGCTGACTGAGTTGAGTCCCATGAACTTCAGTCCCGACTGCTGGCGTGACTTCTTCATGGCTGACTCCAATAGTTCCCAGAAGATTCTTCTTGGCCTGATCAGCCCTCAAACCAACGTCTTCATGTTGGAACTCTTCCAGTGGAGGCTGGGTTCCGGGCACAAAATGGGGCAGGTAGCTCTCATATTTGTACTGAAAGCAATCAGAATCTGTCAACCATCAAGAATGGTTTGTACTTACGCTCTCCTTATCATAGTTGATAGAGGTTTCTGCCCGAAGTTGAAGCGTCTTGGACTCTTCTGTTGCCTCCGTGCTCACTTCTGTAGTCATTTTGATGCAGGATAGTGACAGTCTGTGATAACATCCGCGCACCCTGAATGACTTGATAACACCAAAACAATTCAACCTGATATAAACCTAACCGGGGGTTTATTTCCGTCTTGGAGGTTGGACGTCCTAGCACGCGATCTTGTACTCCTCGTTGCGACATCATCCTTGGGGATTCGTCATGATATTTATGACCTCGCATTGGTCAACTAAATCGTATCGTGTTCGCGTCTTATCTTTTGCAGCACCGTCGCACATTTCTACAGCGATGCAGCCTCCCGTAATATGCCTGGTAATGAGATAGTGATTCCCTTTCTGAATTGCGAAATCCGGATGCCTTTATTATTGCAGATGGAGAACCCGGCACTCATGCACTTGCTGGCATTTCTCATGCCTCTTGTGTGGCTTGCATCGGCCAGTTTCCGAGATCATTGCTGCACTGAAGACACGAGCGTGCCTCCTCAGAAAAGGATCACCATCATGGGAAGCAATGGCGTGCTACAGGTAGGAATGGGCTACGCTATATGAATCGCGGCCGGCGAGGCCTGAAAATGTCTGTCATGCCTCGGTCAGCTTAGCATTCTGTTCATTTATCATTTGAAAAGATGGCCAGCGACAGCAGAAAGCAAGACTCCGTAGTGTCTACGGAGCCTGGGGTACAAGTCGCATCTCCCGAGAATGGTAGGCAGAAGGTGCTCTCGAATATCTCACGAAACATCTGGGGCGATGACCCGCGAGAGAGAAGATACGTTCGAAAATTGGACACATTCCTCTTGTGAGCCAGCCTATTTATTGAACTCATTTCACTATGTCGTAATTGACTTCGAGAACAGCTCTTACGTACTTCTCGGGTACTTCGTCAAGTACCTTGACCAGAATAACTATAGCAATGCGTTTGTCAGCGGTATGCAAGAGGAGCTACATCTTTACGGCAACGAGAGAAACCTCCTGACCACATACTTCAACATTGGTATCATCTTGGGCACCATCCCAGCACAGATGATCCAGCTGAAGTATGTTCGCCCTTCTATCTGGATACCGGCGTGTGAACTTGGGTGGTCTGCATTGACAATGGTCATGGCGAGCGCCAAAAACGTGGAAACGGTGGGTCGAAATGATCGTAACTAAGGCAAACCTCAAGGCTGCTGACGTAGTTGCGTAGCTTTATGCATTGCGCTTCTTTATAGGACTCCTTGAGTCCTGTTCTTTTCCCGGTTTTGCTAGCATCCTGGGTAGTTGGTACGGCAAAACACAACTTGCCAAACGCATGGCTCTGTTCGAGCAGACTGCTGCCATTGCAGGCATATTCAGTGGGTACCTCCAAGCTGGTCTTTACACTGGCATGAATGGGACTGCGGGACTTTCTGGCTGGAGGTGGCTCTTCATCATGGATGGTCGGTAATCGGCAAAGTTACGGCACGGCGTGAACGTGGTATTGACTGCTCGCAGGCGTTATCTCGATTCCGATTGCTTTTTATGGTTTCTTTGCGCTTCCTGACTTGCCACATAATACTAGGGCCTTCTATCTCTCGAAAGAGGTAAGCATTGGTCGTTTCACGGGCTTTCTTGGGTGTATCTAAGCTGACGGGGCCTATAGGACCGCGAATATGGCGTCGATCGAGCCAGAGCTATGGGTCGAAAGCCACCATCCAAGTTAACTCTCAAGGGTATCAAGGATATATACACTTCGTGGCAGCTTTGGGCTTTCATTGTCCCCTACCTCATGGTGGCTGAAGCTGGTTCTGGTACCGGTTACTTCAACCTCTACCTCAAGTCTGAGGGCTATAGCGTGGTCAAAACGAACATACTTCCGACGATAGGTACCTCAAACATCGCGGAAAGTACACCATAAATGCAATATATGCTGACTAATTTTCTTCTTTCAGGAAACGCGATACAGATCGTCGCAGCTTTCACAGTGGGCTGGCTGTCAGATGCCACGGGTAGTCGTGTGTTGACAGTGGTGTTCGTGCAGGCCCTAGTTCTTGTCTCGAATATCATACTGTCGATATGGAATGTCCCCAAGGCGGCATTGCTTGCGGCCTTCTATCTGAGCTACACGGGTGGTGCGGCTCAGCCAATTGTCATCAGCTATGGGCATGAGATTACGCAATGGAATGCGAATCTTCGACAACTGCTAGTTGCTACGGGAAACATCTTCACCTACACCTTCAGTGCTTGGATGCCCGGTGAGTCTGATACTATACCGAGATGGCTCCGATGTCGCACATCTCAGGCAGTTCCCTTGCTAATGAAATGCGTTAGTGGTGCTATTCCCGACCTATGACGCTCCCCAGTATAAATACGGTTACCAGATATTGATTCTCTTCGGATTATTTGCTGCTGCGGGTATTTATCTTCTTGACTATCTCTACAAGAGAGACTTGTATGTAGAATTCCGAGAAGGAGTGCATTAAGTATCATTAGATGAGAGCTGACAACCAAGCAGGAAACGCAACGCACAGCTTTACGAGGCTGAGTTCCAGTCCGAGAATGATCGGCCTCCATCGGAGGAGATCAATGATGATGGATTAGGGTCCGGTCCAAACGCTTTTCAAAGCCCTTACGGAACCGTCACAAACGTGGAGGCACCGCCAAGGGCCAAATAAGCCAGAAACCCTTCTGAGAGTAGGCACCATAATATTCCATGGTCCAAAAGACGAAGGCTCTATCGGGAGGCCTAGTAATGCGAAGGGGGGGCACTCAATAATTGGCGAAAGACATCTGATTGGTACTGCACGTTACTTCGCGAGGAATTGCCGTTGGAACCTTGGTACGGGCGATTGCATGACGTTGAACCTACGTCAAATACTCTTTTCATTTTCTTACAGGGTTGAAATGCTATGTACAAGCATGATGGAATGGTTGATAGAACAAAGTTGCTAGAAATAGACTATAAGACCATGTCTTCGGGCCAGTTCCATGACTTTTTCAAGTGCGCTAGGCTACCACAATATGTTAACCACCTATTCTGGGCTCTGGGGCCAAGACCAGCGAGGGGATCGCCAACTTACATCAATGATACGTCCCAGCTAAAGTCATCTGCAGTATTTGATAACAAATCGTAGAGGACTTCTTGCTCTTCTTGGATTGTGAAACGGTCCCCCGCCAATACTATTGCCATGCATGCAGACCTGTGAAAGAGTCACTATATTATACAGAACTATGAGAAGGCTTCAACTTACACGTGAGCTGGGTTACATGGGCTGATCGAATCTGCCATACCAGCAAGTATTTTCACGTCGGTAAAAATCTCGTTCTACAGCCTATATGTGAGCACCGTATCTGCAGACCCTAAGAAAGAGACTTACGTTGATCGACCGAGCCGCTTGCTTGGATGATTTAGCCAGGCGCTGCCCATCAGGATTGTGTATCGTCAACAGAATGCGGTTTACATGATAGAACAGAAGCCCCATCACAACGGAATCGTTCAGAAGAAGAATCTCCGGGAAGAAGCTACCACGCAACGGGGCTTGCACCAAAACCGGCGTGAACGACTCCGGAACCGACCTCATCCACATCGCGGCGTAGGATACGAGCTGGTCGTAGGTCTCGCGGCGTTTGTTGTCTCCATAGCAGTAGTTCAGTACGTCAACGGTGTGGAGACACATCCGCCATGCCCAGATGTCGTCGTCTGCTGGTTGGAGGGAGCGATCGAAATCAACGTGCTCTATTTCGAGGTCGAGCTTTTCGTTTCTCATGACGGACCGGAAAATTTCGATGCGTATCCAGGCCCACATTGCTGCCTCCAGGAGAGTACCATGTGCGGGAGTCTTTATGTGAGTAGAAAGGAACTTCCATATTGGGGTCGCAGGTGTCTTTTGACATATCGGTATGGCTGTTTGAAATTCAGGTCAGCAAGACGGAATGCACAGTCTAATTTAACAGCAACAGCCCAGTCAGACTGAGCTTGGTCTAGTGGGCGGACTTGCTGTAAATATTTTCATAAAGCCTCAGCAGAACAGCAGCAGCAATTTGGGCTTCGTCCACCTCAAGGACAGTATCATCCAAGACAGGCTGGAGGAGCTCCATGGCTATCTCATAGTACCGTTCTGCAGGCTTGTCAAAGAAGTTAAGACTAACTCCATCATCCTTTGACTTTGCTGAGACAGCTAAGACGGCATTGAGCAGCACGGGGCTGAGAGCGGCATGCTGCAGAAGAAGTGTCGATATCCGATTGTGCGGGTCACCATAGTCGAATGAACCCGCGATAAACTCCCTAAAGTGCCGAACCAAATCTGCCTCACGACGGTCTTCTAACGGAAAGTTGGCAGAACTGAACGATCGACGCGGCTCGGGCAAGCTGGGATCATCGGAGTGGCTACCGCTGCCAATGTCGCTTATTGGCACGGAAATTTGGCTTCGAGGAACCGGAGAGAAGGAATGTGGCACATCATCTGATTCCAAGTGGCCTGACGACGGGCTTCGGAAAGCAGGATGAGGGTGCAGTGCGGGTAGCTTGTTCAAGGGGTACGGCTGGCCTTGTTCGATGGGCAGCAGGCTTCGATCAGCCTCGTTGATAGCTGAATCGGAGGTACGGTTTGGGCGGTTCTTCGGCGATGGCTTGACAAAGTCGTGATCGGTCTTCTTAGTCCGCCGCGGTTGCGGCTTCGGGGGGCTCGGGGGGAAGTCTTCAATCGAGACAAAGTCGTCGTCGTCAGAGTCGAATCCATCGTTGTGGAGGCTGTTTATGTCTGCAGTTTCATCGATGAAGCGTATTCTCTTGCCTGATACCCGACACCACTTTTGTGTATCAGAGAACTCATACTGGGCTTCTCCACGATTACCATCGGTGTCACTGAAGAACAAGAATAGTCAGTTGCATGCTGATGAATTATGATAGCCTAGCAGGGAGTCTGGGAACTCATAAGGGGAAGGAGGGATAAACAATTTACCTCGGCACAGTGATGTGTCTGAACTTGAGCTTGGTACCACGGACACAAGCCCTGCCTTTCCGGACACACTGCCCACAAGGGGCTCCTTTATCGCCTATGAAGATAGGTCAGATATTGAAAGGAATGCCGCCAGCGTTGCCACTGTCGACGTGGGATGTATCCACCCCCGCACACTCACATTTGATATGTCTGGGGAAGGCGGTCCAAAATCAGATTAGTGAACCGTCCAGGGCCATGTGGCAGATCGTCTTCGGTCTCGGGTTTGGGGGGCAGAATGGCGGCTGAGAGAAACGAATGCCATCCCCGCGGGTCCCGTGAACCTGTCCGAGAGGCCGGGGGTCGCTACCGCCATCTATCCCAAAGGAAGGGACGAATGATTTACAGATGGATAGTAATCAGAAGATTGGACTAAGACATACCTTGAGCGACAGCTTTCGCAGCCCGGCCTCCTTACGGTTCCCGGAGTGGGCATTTGAGGTAAGAAAACAGCGAGGTTTCTTTTTACATGCAGGACAGCGATTCCTCTTCGGCGGCGGACTGTGCTCAGGTGGGACAGCAAAAGGCGAGCAGCATGTTTGTGGGGAAAAAGCGAACAACAGAAGTTCGAACCGGCGGCGGCTGGTGTGGGATGGGAACCGGGCCAATGTAGACCATTGCAATACGCGCGAGGGACGTGGGCCTATCGCGCGGTTTTATCCAAGTCGGGCGAAGAAGGGAGGTGTTTCCGTGCGGGGAGAATAATTGGAGACGGACGCGGCGAGAACGCCGAATGTCCCCGATCGTGCCTCAATGTCATTCAGGCCCGCGGGACAGGTGTTCCATCGATAGCCTCGTGCTTAGACGTACTGAGTTTGGGTTCAAGCTTAGGCTCTAACGTTTAATGGTGGCTATTATTGGACAGTACATTATACACATAGGTGCAATGAATAGACTTCTAGGTATTGTAAGGCTTGTGGACTCAACTCGCCAATAATACGTGCTTGTAGACGAATGCACGGGTATCCTCACCTTATTCGACAACTTAGAAACCCTCGCATAGCCTCAAGGGGTTACCAATTTAATACCTAGTATCAAAGCAGATACTTGTTTGAGTTGGCGATGATCTCATACGCAGTCTGGGGTATTGATTTCCCCAAAAGTCGCCGGATCTCTGGAATCAAGCCCACCGACGGGCTCTCGCGGAAAACGTTACTGCATTGAACCAACAAAGCAAAACAAGAGCGAAACCCCAAAAGATACTCCACTGACTCGGCCTCTGCCCCGGACCCACTTCCCCGCGGTCGGGATCGCCACGGAGGCCGCGTGAATCTTACTATGTTTGTCATGAAGGGCAAGACTTTCCGTCGTCTGACAGCTTCTCAGACGAATTGGTGATCGTGATTGGTCTGTTCAGCCAACCTTTCTCGATGTCGTCTGCAACAGCTTCAGCCTCTAGCCATGGCATCTTGCACTATCAGTTTCCCGAATGCCGCAGAACACCGGCAGACAGGAAATTCCAACCGTGTTCAGTGTCATCGTGAGTACGTCTTCTTGGGACAATGACTTTAGAAGCTCCATATTCGTGCATACCAGTGTCTTGTTCGCACATATAAGACGAGGAGCTCGTGCCTAGTCAACAGATCCCCTCAGCACGCCAATCTTCTCTCTTCATCTTTCTCGTTGAAATACATCCTTGATACCCCTCGAGAGAAGCTTAAACACCCGTTGCAGAACTTGCACAAATCACATATACAAAATGGTCCAGAAACTCAGAATCGCTGCGTCTGGCCTCGGCCGTATGGGCAAGCGCCATGCCATCAACTTCTTGCACCGCACGCCCCGCGCGCAGCTTGTTGCTGCCTTTACCCCGGACGAGAACGAGCTTGTTTGGGCAAGACAGGAGCTGGAGCCTCACGGCGTCACCCTCTACACCGATTACGATGAGATGCTCACTCACGAGGGTCTCCAAGCCGTCGTCATCGCTACCGTTACCAAGGTCCATGCCGACCAGGCCATCAAGGCAATCAACAAGGACCTTCACGTCTTGTGCGAGAAGCCCATCTCTCTCGACCTCGCCAAGGTTAGTGATCTAACTCATCAATCTCTGCCCCATTTTCACTGCTAATGAATCGCAGTCTATGGAGGTTGTCACTGCTGCGCAGCACAAGCCTCATCTCAAGGTCATGTGCGGCTTCTCCCGCCGCTTCGACTCATCATACAGAGATGCGTTCGAAAAGATTGAGACGGGCTTGATCGGCAGACCTTCCGTTATCAGATCTCAAACATGTGACAAGCATGATCCTAGTGGCTTCTTTGTCAAGTATGCGGCCCTCAACGGCGGCTGTTTCGTTGACATGAGTGGTGAGTGTTCATCTGCTACTCCCGAGCATCGAAATGTGATTGGCCACCTATACTAACAGCCGAGCGTAGTCCATGACATTGACCTGTCACTATGGTTTTTTGGCGAGGACTCCCAGGTCAAGTCTGTGTCGGCATCCGGCATTACAGCTGTCTCCCCTGAACTCAAGGAGCACGGCGACTGCGACAATGCCGTCGGCATCGTTGAGTTCTGGGGCGGCAAGATTGCCTACTTCTACAACTCGCGTATGATGGCGCACGGACAAGAGGATACCACCGAGCTCATTGGCACTGGAGGCAAGCTCACCGTCAACGGCAACCCCCAAGCCAACTTCGTCAACTACTACGGTCCTCAGGGTATCACAAGAGAGGTCCCCGCGCACTACTACGGCCGATTCGAGTACGCTTTTGTCCAGGAGGCAAATGAGTTCACCGCTGCTGCGCTTGACAACACCAAGCTGCCGCTGAAGTTGACCAATGCCGTCAAGGCGGTGCAGATTGGCTCTTACCTGCAAGAGGCATTGGAGTCGGGCAAGAAGTTGTACTTTGACGAGATTGGACGTCGCCTTGACAAGCAGGCCAAGTTGTAGATGATTACGTCGGGAACAAATAGAATTTCCTCTCCTAGTTAATGAGAATCAAAAGCATGTCCTCACTTGCCGAACATGTCGTACCTTAGGTAGTCTGTACATGATAGTAATGTTACCTAGAAAGGGAGGGATACCCACAAGACATTGGGCTAATCAGTAACAAGTTGACTTCATTACTCGTCACATGTCTTGGAAGAAATGGTCGCAATTTACCTGCCAGAAAATAGACGTGCCCGGCAGGCAGAATGGACTGTGCCGAAACCTAACGATTGCACCAGACATGAGCTCAAAGCTTCTTCTCGGCAAAAGTTGCACTAGAGACGAGGGAGTACTGAATGACTCTTGATCATATCATTTTCGGGCCTCTGCAAAGAGATGACCAAAGGCACTATTGCAACTGTCTTGTGACCACTGTGAGTTCAGTTGCTCCTCCAGGTCCTTCGTCCGCCATCCAGTCCGCTGATGTATTTTTTCGAGCAAGTCCAAGCTTTCGCGTTGCTCTTTCGGGTCCGTAAGATACAGTCCGCCTGTGTTTGTAAATAAACTAGTCAGCCATGTATTCGCTTGAGCCAGGGTCCGACAGGGGCGCTTACAAGCTCTCAATGCATGAGCTGCCGTGAAACTGGCGTTGACTACTAACGGGTTGCTGATTGCGAGGCCTAAAAGTAGGCGGAAGTTGTCGAGAACTGCTTGCTGACTGGTGTCAGTATTATCGTACGAAGTTGCCAGAAGCCTGAAACACACCTCTGATTCCCTCCTCCGCCTGAATGTATCAAGACTCGGTTTGCTCAAGTATGGATTGAATATATGTAGAATCATGCGTGCAAGGCTGTAATGCTGGTATCCCACCACTGAAATTTGTTAACTTCATCAAAGGTACAAGACGATTCGTAACTGTTAATTCTTACCATGAGCAGGATGCGTCATCCATACTGTAGGAAACGCGGACCCGTTGGCAGTTGTATCATGCGGCGGGTCTACCCAGAGAGGGTCCGCGTGCCACGGATTAGAGACAAGCCAGTCTCCCAGCTCCTGATTAAGTTTGTTCCATCGATTGAGGTCTCTGACCATGGTGGGCTGAAAGGCGTACGCGCAAGCTTGTGCGCATAGAAAGACGGCGCGGTTGGCGAGGCACTCAGGGTCCGATACGACAAACGAGCTTGAACCTTTGTAGCTGTCCAGGTTAATGCTTAGGGGTTGAGACTTGACCAGGGCGACCCAATAGTCCTGGCGCAACACAATCCAGCTTGCTGCCTCCCCAAGTCCACCTTTGCTTGCTAGGCTGAACATGGAGTTGAGCAGCTTGGAGCTGCCTGATAAGTGAACGCCAAAGTCGGTATCTGGATAAAGAGAGTCAATTATTAAGTATAGTCGCACCTAACAGGAAGGGCAATAGGTCTCACCAGTCATCTCTTCGTATTGTCTCAATATCACAATCGCGGCAAGGACTTCTTCGTTGAGGGCTTCTGTAGAGCTGCCTAGTATCGGAATCAAGATCTGCAAGGCATGGCTGTAGTATGTCGAAGGTTTGGAATCTTCGGTTCCCTTGATACAACAAAGACTTCGAGATGCCAGTGCTATAATCGCGTATGCCAGCAGAGGTGAATTGCAAGCTCTTTTGGGCACTTCTGTTCCGAAATGTCGACGTTTGTCGCATATGTCTACCTGTAGTAATCTGAACATTAGCCTTTTATCACTGTATTGGAATCTTCTCAGGGAACTTGCCCATGTAGAGAGATCATGAATATAGTGCATGAATAGCCTCGCCTTCTCTCTGTCTTCGAAAGGTCTGCCGATTCCATGTTGACTCAACGACGGGGCAATTGAGATGGATCGGATAGAGTCATCTTGACTTTCTCTGTATCACCGGTATCAACAAGGGCTCTGAAGTTGCGGACACGTGTTGAACTTACCCTATGTCTTCATCGAGGCCTCTTTGGCCAGCACGCCTCGCAACGCTGATGTCTAAGAGCGACGGCAGAGGACTCGTCCATATCTCGCCGGGCGTATCATGCTCAGACATCCCTCAACATAACCGCGATACTGTCTCGAGGGCAGGATGAAGTCGTCTCCAATCGAGATGGACCGATTTCATCCAGCTGTACCTACTCAGACGGGCGTCCGGACCGGGGTTTGCAGCGATTGGCCCTTGATAGTTACATGTACAGAATAGAGTTGTAAAGTTCGCGGAGGAAAATGATTGCGGAGTTTGGCGGATTACATTTCCTTTTTCGGGTTAGGATGTGGCGGTGCGGAAGGGGAAAGATTTGCCCTCTTTTACTTTTACGTTGCCAACTTCTAAAAGGAGCTACCCGTGGGCCGAGGGCCCAATAATCACCCCGCTTTTCATAGAGCCGACACGGAGTGGTCCGCGTCCTCGACCGTCACTTCAAGAGTTCAGCCTCCTCATTTTCAAGCTAGCAATTTCACCAAAGTTCAAGATCCCGTAAATCTCAAACGCTATTATGTTATTTGTTATTTTAAAGAACATCCAATGAGATTGGTCTTTAGAAACCTTTCTTTAATTGCCGACGGCTAAAGCGTTTATCGGTTGAGTCAGTTTTGTCACGACTTAAGCTTATTCTAGACCCAAGGCATAGGTACCGGTATCAACGTACAGATACGGATCCATGCACTAGGTGGCTGTCATCTCATTGCGCTCAGACTTCGGTGAGCACGTGAAACTCCATTATGCAGCTTTGACTTCTGAATCGCTACAAGAATGCCTAATGTACCCTCTCTTAAGTTGTTCCTGGGCCCTAAGTTGGCGAATTGGCTACCCATTTGAAAGTGATTTACGACTCCAACTATGGCGTGCATCGATCTCTTCTAAGAAACACCTTCCCGATGTCAAGAACGCAAAGTCAAGACGCGTGTAACGACGAGGAATGTGATTCCTACGGGAAAGGTCAATATTGGCAGTACTTAGAATCGGTGAAATTTAGAACCTAAGAATGCATACACGAGACACGTTTGGCAACATGGTGTATTCGGATATACCTCCCGCGGCTTATACTGCATTAATAAGTTTAACATTTTGGTGAAGGACATCTTGGGATCATAGCTATCGCACCTCAGGTGGCCTGTATCGAGGTAGTGGCACGAGCGTCTGGGACAAGGGTCCCATCGGGACGGTCTGTACAAGTCTAGAAGAACTTGAATCGAAGTAGCAGCAAGGCATTGCTAAGACGGTAGAGCCACGGAGCGCCATGGAGATGGCCACGGAGTGGGACTTCATATCCCAAGGCTGGGGCCTGACAAACTTAGCAACGAACAATGAGCCAACTCCAATGAGCGGCAGGCCATCGGCAACTGGACCGATCTATGATCCACACACGGTTTGACGCGTCGTAAATAGTAGGGTGCACCACATGGCGCCGGTGCGATGCCAAGGTTCATACCACGCTTGCCAAGCCAGCTTTGAGATGAGTCCAGACTGTAGCCGAAGCGCTGAAATGTTTAGAGTTGACCGGCCGGGACGTCGGCCGGAAAGTCATTACCCGGCGTTAAGGGACGTGGCTGGCGAAGAACGCGTACGGACTTATGTGTCTTCGGAAGCAACCCCTGCATACATGTACGGATGGTTACAAACTCAGTAGATTTTCCAGCCGTAAGAAGTTCGATTGAGATGCGTGTAGAGCCTTTCGTGTCTTTTCCAGAGTTGCAAAGGTAGATACTGTCCTGGCGGGTTCCCATACGTTGATAAGCTACACATGTAGCTGATATGAAGTCGTTCAGTAAGGTACCTCCAAAACAACAATAGGAACTGGGATTCAGATGCCGGCTCGAAAATTTCGAGGCTGGCCTACAGGGGCCAGTCCCAGTCGCCAAATCACAGTTGTCATGAGACCATCAGCATGAGTTTTCCCAATGAGCAGGGAAGGCTGAAGAGTCCGGACTGGCTTTGGAGATAACACGCTACGGCGCGCCCTACATGGTTTCAGCGGAGCTGGTCATTTGGAAATGTCACACTACGACGCCCTACATGGTTTCAGCGGAAGTGAGTTGAGCTGAACACAAAGACACGGCCCCTCACTAGGGCACACGAGGTCGGTGCCAGTTCCACGGGGTTGATGACTGGAACTAGAGTAGCACTCCCCAGGATCGTATGCGATTCGACTTATGACTCGATGAACCGCTGGAATAGCGCGTCTATGGAAGAGAATGAAAGCCTTAGCGGCCGTTGCGGTGATATCAAAAAGACAGTCAACTGGTCAGGCAGCCTGGCTTGGTGACTCGTGGATGAGATCTCAGAGGCCTTCCTGGCCATAGACACAAGTACTGTATTACCGCTCCCCAGTGGACCACCCAAGACCGAACCAATCACGACAGGGCTTAATGGGAAAAATTGACGATGGGGTCTTTGCGAATGGTCCATAGGATATCCTCGTCGAAGGCCGAACTCAACACGGAAAGGACATATTCTCGCACCCGTTGATGGATACATATGACTCACTCAGAATGTGGCCAGTTGAGCGACTTGTATGAAGGAATAAATAAACTGAAGAATCATGTTTCGTATTCGGAAAATCGCAAGCATCTTGTGTAGCCTCGCAGTCTAGTAAGACGAAGTACTTGAAGGCTCTAAAGCCACCGTAGTTCAATCCGAGGCCCATGAGAAAAGTGAGGGGGCAAGGGCGGGATTCGACAGCCAAAGGCCGTCCGTCCATCCCTTCAGGTAGGTACACTATTTCAGAACGCCAGGTTCTCAACACCGAAACGAAAGACTCGAGACACGGATTGAATAGGCATTTTTCCGCGAAGATCGTGCCGCCGCAATACGTGTGTATCGCAGCTGCTGTGGCATGTGTTTTCATTTTCCCTTGAAGCGATGATGGCATCTTTGAATGTGAAGAGCAGCGTGGCTTGCCCCGGGATGAGGTGCTTTAGATGACTAACAGGCGAAGAATGCCCTCCTAGACCCCTTGCAATTACGTGCTTCGTTGCCCATATCCGGGCCGCTTGTAATTTGGGCTATTGCCATTGAAGAACGTGATGAGATCCGTCTACTCGTAGCTGGCCGACTGGGGTGTACTGCCGCATTCTTCCGGTGAAAGCCAAATTGAAAAAAGCCCATTGATTCGGATGAAGATCTGGTCATTTTCGCCATTGCTGGACCCTGATTTAAGATTTGGCGCTGGCTGTAAAGAGCTCCTCCATGGGCTCCTACCACGCGGGGTAGGGGCACGACGGTCAAGTCGCGATGCCATCCCCATCATCACAAAATCGCCATGGCGGCCCTTGGCCGGTTCCGCTAGCTTCTTTGATCCTTCGTATCAAGCGAGATTCCAGAAAACGCCTTCACATACAGCGCAGTCAAAAGTTGAGCCATTTTTACTTGATCTCTCGGTTTAATCCTCAGTGGGCGAGGGGCTTTGGCGATGTTGCGATGCACCCGGATGCGAACAGTTCTGGGGGGTTCTTACCCAAGAACGTGCTAACTCTCCTCGCGTCCCTGGACCCCAAGAGATTGGACTTTTTCGTAGAGTGACTAAGCGAAGTTCTGTCGATATGCTGAGTTGTATTCTCCGCTCTATGTGTGAATTCTTCGTCTCTGCAGCTTTTCAGGTGACAATGAACATACATCGCCATCCACGCATGTAGCTGAGCACGCGTTTCTGAAACGTTGTCTCCCAACACGACACAATGACATATGACAGGCTATCATAGCCATTGTAGCTGATGTATCAAATACAATGAGCTCTATGCTGCACATGATTAGTTTCAAATCATTTGTCCAAAAGCGAACATTCCACTCTGGAACGCGATCAACTTGACCTTCATCGGCAGCCGAAGGCGAGATGCCAACGTTTTTGACCAGATAGACACTGTACACCCTTAGTCGGCCAATCGAAGACCCTCCTTCCATCAGCAGAGCTGGATTTCTAGATGAAGGCACTGCCTACAGGCCAGGGTATTACTACAACCGAGCAAGCTGAAGCTCGAGGATTGTTAGCCTTCAGGCTTTAGTCCCATTTATAGCCTCGGAGACGGTGCCGTCATGCCAGAGCACATTAGGGTCGAGTACAGACTCGACACGGCTTGCTGAACACAAGGGAGATGTGTTTCCTGCTCCCTAAAGAATCGATAGCATGGTCTCAATACAATTATTCACTGCTTCATGAAGCCATCGACGGGCTTCCCTCTCACCCCCTCATAGCCCATTGAGCATCAAGTGAACGATGTCAGCACCTTGACCGTCCATTGTTCCTCGAATTCTTACGTCTATGGACCTTGCAAATGGCAGATGTGAGGGAGATAGAGGCGGAATATTATATACTGCATCACTACCCCGTCTAGTTCTGTGCTGATGCCATCTAACCCTCGAAGAGGTAGGATTTTGCGTCTTGGATTTCTTGTCAGTGCCCCCTCCGAGTGACATCTCGGTGGTTGCGGGAAGGGTTGACGCAAGAACAAGTTGGCGTGATGGTTACCTGGCTGTATCAAGACCTCGGGTCGCCTAGAGAGACATGAATTATTGGGCTTCTCTTTACAGACCATGGTCATGAGGAATAATCAAATTTGCGCCGTAACATTCTGCATCTTATAACATGTGAACAGAGACATTACTCATATTATACGCATTACTACTACCTTGTACATAAAATCCACACAGATATCAACAAAAAGCCTCCAACATTCACTTCATAACCATCATCATCTACTCATTCTGGCTCAGAATCACATCGGCAGCCTTCTCGCCCACCATATACGTAGACACAGCAGTAAATGTGCCAGGAATCCTCGGATACACCGAAGCATCAACAACTCTCAACCCAGCAACCCCGCGCACCCTGAAGCTCGAATCCAACACGGCCATCGGATCGTTATCAGCGCCGATAGGACACGTCGACGAAGCGTGGTGACCCCACGCGGTATCCTTGATATATTGCTTCACAGCCGCGTCGCCCTGGACGCCCGCACCAGGCAACTCCTCCCTGATGGGGACCAACTGGCGCTTGAATGCGTCGCGGGTGAGCTTCACGGTCTCTGTCATAGCCTGCAAGTCCGCATCAAAGTTACCGGAGCCTGTGTCAAAGTAGTTGTAGAGGATATCCGGCACGTCGAGCGGATCAGACGTGCGCAGCGTCACCGAGCCGGCGGTATTGCGCGGGTGCGACTTGAGAATCGCCCAGCTGAACCAGTCGTGCTCGATGGTCGCGTTGACGCTGTAGCCAGGGAAGTAGCCCCTGAAGTTGACGGGTCCGCCAAACGCAAAGACATCCCACTCGTTGCGCTCGGAGACGGTGCTCTTGTAGAACATTGTCGCGGCGAAGCCCGAGGACTCGTAGATGCCGCGGTCACCTAGGATAGGTGTGTTCCAGCGCGCGAGGCACGGGTCGGACTGCCCGTTGAAGCCAAAGGTGCACCCGTTGAGCGCGCTAAAGTCGGCGGGCGTGCGGCCCTGGACAGTGATTTCATAGTGGTCTTGGAGGTTCGTGCCGACGCCGGGAAGGTCCTTGACGACGGGGATGTTGAACTTCCGCAGCTCGGCGGCCGGGCCGATGCCACTGAGCTTGAGGATCTGCGGGGAGTTGTAGGCGCCGCCGGCGATGATGACTTCGCGGGAGGCGGTTGCAGTGCCGCGGGTGCCGGCGCCGGCATTGCGGGAGCGAGGGCTTGCGCGGTAGAGGTACTTTCCGTCGAGGAACTCTACGCCCGTCGCTTTGGGCGGGGAAGAGTTGTCGAAGAGGACTTTGGTTACGTGGCAGCTGGTGCGGACGTCGAGTGGGTACCGCTTCGCGCCGGTGATGGTCTTTGCGTCGCGGACGGCGACGATGAACTCGCGGGAGCCGACGCGATGGGCGTCGTTGGAAGAGATTGGAATCTGGTAGAAGCCTGGCGTCGTGTCGCGACTGGCAGCTACGTTGTTGCCATCGCCGGCGAGTAGGGTGGCGATGTTGAATACCAAGTTTGTCTCGTTTCCGAGGGCGAATGCGCCTCCGGTGACAAGGCTCAAGAGTTGAGGGTCGAGAAGGGCGAGGTTGAGAGGAGCTGTCTCGGTGCTGTACCAGCCATTGTATCCATGTCCTGGGACGCCGGGGAGGAGGTAGCGGTTATTTTCCATGCGGATGAAGTAGTTTCGCATGTTGTCTGCAGACCAGGACGAGTCGCCGGTGAGGCTGGCAATGTAGTCAAAGTCGGAGCGGTGAGGGTAGACGGCGATGAGTGCATTGTGGGCGGTGCAGCCTCCGAGGGTGCCGGATCGAGGATACAGCGTGCCCTTCATCTTGGAGCCGGACGGCGGGTTGAGTCCGGTATACTCGCCGCCGCCGGGTGTCTCATATGTGGTCTTGTAGTCACGGGCTTGTCTTGCCTCATCGGCATAGTGGCGGACGAAGAAGTCCCATGCCATGGCATCGTCTTCGGTAGACTTCGCCTGGTAGGCCGGGACGGTATAGTTCTCGTTGGCTCCCTGATCGTCGCCGGCCTCGATGAGGAGAGTTTTGCGGCCAGCGAGGGCGAGACGGGCGGCCAAGACTCCGCCGCCGGCGCCGGAGCCGACGACGATGAACTCATATCCAGTCAGGTCGACGGCCGCGACTAGACTTGTTGAAGCGGCCAGGAGACCGAAGAGATTTGTTAACCTCATGGCGATGCCTGGTATGAGATGTGACCTGGCTTGAGTTGAGTGTCGAGTTAGACATGGGAAATGTGAAAGGCCATAAGAAGTCGGGGGTAATACACACCTTGAGAGGTTCGTCGACGCCGAGGGATCCGTGATTGCTTGCAGATCTGGATACCCAGCCCACGAGAGATCGCCAGCTCTTATAAGCCATGATCGACGGAAAACAAATAAGCGCACATGGCGATGATCTCTTTCGGATGGCAGCTGGTGTACAGTTCATCTCCAGGGATTCGGCATGACGAAGAATGCCAACCTGATCCATGTCCGCGCCTCTGCGCTTAGAATTAGTCCATAGCCCGGACACTGTTCCGGGCCTTCTCAGCGCGGGGTCGCTGGCTCGGCCCGCCAAGACATTGCTGGCGCCTCCCTTTCCTGCTTGATCTAGTCAAGCTTTTGAGTTGTGTTTAGAAGAGGCAAAGAACAGTGACGACATTGTAGATATTTGCGAGTTCCAACCCATATCAAGGGGCTTCGAGGAGCGGTGAAGCTTTATCAAGGGATACGAGAACCCCAACTATCGGACCAGGCACGGAGGGTGGAAGGATATTGTAGGTCTTCTCTCCTGAGTCGAAGGAACTAGTGAGAGAAGAAAGCTAAAGGGTAAAACTGCAAAGGTGGATAGATCTGGAAGAAGAATATCGGATCGAGAACTCGTGGATGCTGTGTTACTTCGGGGCTGCGCTCGTGTCCAGAAACACAGATCATCTGATGCGGGAATAGCAGTCCCTCAATCGGGCCATTCCCTGCACAGTCCTCATCTCCACTTTCGAATCCCTGTCGTCCGAATGCTCTCAGCCCGTTGAGAACGATTCGAGGTTGTTATCTTTCCCCCTTGGACTGGAGGCGAATTACAGTTCACTAGACTGCGCGGGATGTCCCTTCGCCGGACAGGGTATCCCATGCGTTAGACGCCAACAACTCAACGACATCGAGCCTCCGAGGACGACTAAGACATGCGGAACGGGCTTCACTTCTCGAAGGTGGCTGCGATGACGATCATCGTCGCATACTGCAGTGCTCTAGCAATCTGCCGAGACTATCAGCATACCTCTTTCAGTGATGGCGGTTCGCTAGCCTGGTCTTAGTGCTTGCCTCACCCTCTTCCGCGAGCGCTGCAATGCAACGCTGAATCTTGACTTGGAGGGTCTTCCCCGCACTGAGTTCACTGCAGTCTATCATCTCCAGTCTGCAATGCGGCCTTGATTGATCTCGTCCGTGAATGTGGTCCTCCGTCTAGACGGATTGTTCGGGTTCTCATGCAAGACTGAGACTGCAATGTGATGAGTTACGCACGAAGTGATGGAAGCTGCCGAGGTACGGTCTGAGACTAACAGGGCGACTGCTGAAGAGCCAATATGACGGGGTTGGCGCAGGACAAGTTCTTCAGCCGGCGGGAGGCTTTAGCGGCTCGATTTCCGCAAGTCAATTCCGCTATGATTTGGTGCGAGCTGTCGTCCTGTGTATGCCGTCGAGCAGCGACTATTATCGAGAGTATCTCAACCGGCCCTTTTCTATCGCATCTGGTGTCAATGCCCATTAGCGATTCTATCAAAGCGTACGCTTTTCGAGGAGAGAAGCATGCCCAGTTTGAAGTTTGAAGATGTAGTCGTCGCAATCCTCAATTGATGGATAAAACCAGCCTCGTTCCAGCGATTGGCCTGTTTTCCCTGCTCCCTGAACTCTGCTTCTTCCTAGCTATTGCTCCCTTTCAAGCCTATCGGTGTCCACCATGGAATAGTCCGAGACCTCCTGGGCAAGAAGTGACAACGAAGAAAGGAGCAGTCGCCAGAACCGGATTGGTACCCATCTTGCTGTTCACGTGCGAATGCAGCACTGAATCGCTCGTCAAAAGATCGACAGCCCAGGCTTGCTCGTCGACGTGGTAGAGGTCGGATAAGATCGACCAGCTCCCAATCCCAACCACGTTGTCGCGGTCTCGCACTGACTTTCCAGCCTCGGATCCTTTCACCGTTGCCAGTCAACCGACAACACAGACTGGATTCTTGTCGGGCAATTAGAATGCACTTGAGGTGGTCGTGGCAATTGAACTTGAAGCAATATGTTGCGAGGTCCTCGCACTCTTCAACATCTCCATCAGTCTGCGCTTCTTCGAGACGACATGGTTGCCGAATCAAGTTAGAGGTTTGGTAGAGGGGAGGATTCGTGGGGCGGTGTCGTGAATAAGCTTAATACGCCGAAGTCTACGTAGTAAACCGCGCAGCACAAGTGCATGTTTTGTCGCCGCTGGTGTGCTGTCGACTCGGGAGGAAATGATGGTTTCGATGCGTTTTTGGGCTGGTGCCTGAGTACGGATGGTTCCTTGGCCAGGTTTCTTAGGAACAATTCCTCCGAGAAGCTCCTTAGTGACAGGAAGACAGGAGACCAGACGGGAGCTCGATTGAGCGTGCTCATTGGTCACTTCGGCCCCCGCGGTCTCCGCTTTGAAGCCCCACTCCAACGGGGCAGGCCTAAGCGCTTGACCTTTCATAGACAACTTTGAGCCAATAACCTTCATCAACCAGCATCTGTAGTGTAGTGGTTATCATCCTTGCCTTCCATTCTTCGGATCAGCAAGGGACCCGGTTTCGATTACCGGCGGATGCATCACGCTGGTTAAGTTTTTGTTGCGAATTTGGAGACTTCAACTTCCCCCTCTCATTCTTTGATAGCAGGAATCGTTATGTTGGGGATCCTTTCCTTTTGTCGCCGGGAAAGCTGTACAATCCCATTATTTATGGCGTCTGGTAGGTTGAATGAACTAGCACAGAGTTCGAATGAAGCTTTTCAGGGAAGGCGTGCGATGCGACCGGCACTTTGAAAGCTTAGGTTGATGGCTGGTACGTCAAAGAGGCACGAAGTCTAATTTCTCCTCTTCCTTTTGGCTGGACCATCTCAGCAAACGGTCTACTTTGTTGCATGTCATAAGCCAATTGGACATTTTACTTCTGGCAGTGTAGGCATTCAAGCGAAACCCGCAGTAATCCAGGTCATCATCATTACAATTATCTCGAGCGACCTTGTTATGTAGTCTGGTTCCGTTGAAGCAACCATCAAGCAACACATCAATCCTTCCCCTAGATAGTAAATGTCCCATTCACCCTCAGATCCCGACTACTCGCTCCAACCCAAACCCCATATTCGCCCGCCTCCAACCGCCACTGCTGCGCGCTCACATCCCAAAAGCTCAAATCCCGCCTCGTCAACGCGAAGTCCACCGTCGCGCTCCCACCCGCCTCAACATACACCCTCTCGAAGCCCCTCAGTTGCTTCGCAGGCGTGCCATCAACGGGAATACCGACATACAGCTGCGTGACCTCGTGGCCGGCCACGCCGCCCGTGTTTTGCACCGTCACGCTGACGGAGACGACCTCCTCCCAGAGAGCGGGGTGTCCGCCCTGCACGATGGCAACACTCGCATCTGGAATACCGGAACTCACGCCCGACACGGGACTCGCCGAGAGGGAGGAGTAGCCAAAGGTAGTATACGACAGCCCGAATCCGAATTCGTAGCGCGGCGAGATACCATCGCGATCAAAGGCGCGGTAGTCGATGAACAAACCCTCCGTGAAATCATCCTGCGGGAAGGGGCCCGCTTCGACGGTCGAGTTGAGGAGGTTGCCGTAGTCTGACTCGGCGCGGGCGACGGTGTAGGGGAGTCTGCCGCTTGGGTTGACGTCGCCGTAGAGGATATCGGCGAGGGAGTTGCCTGATTCCTGGCCGGGGAGGCCGGCGAAGAGGATTGCTGTTACGTTGGGGTGGTCTGCCCAGGCTTCAACAATACGGGTTCCTACATCGGGTGTGTTAGTGATCGCGACATCCTATGACCTTTGAGAGATTTACCGGCAGAGTGAAGCACGACAACCGTGTTGGAGCAGTTGGCCGCGACGTTATTGACCAAGTTATCGCTAAACTCGTCCGTCAGGCTCGGGCGGTCATATCCCTCCGAAGCCCACGCATTGATAAAGACAAGACACGCTTCCGAGTTAACGTAGTTAGGCTGCGGGTTCTCAGAGTAAAAGTCCCATTTGACCACTCCGCCGTCGGCGATAACACGATCCTGGATGGCCTGGAAAGGGGTAATGACATAAGGTGGCGTCGTCGTTCCGGAGCCACCACCAGAAAGCAGCGTTCCGTTGAACGTATCGGCCAACACGGTGCCCCACGACGGGCCATAACTCGTGCTTCCCCATGGCGCAGGCGGCAAGCTAGCATCGTACCCGTAGATCGTCAAGAACTTGGGACTCTTAAATGGAAGCGTGCCATTTACGTTCTTCACCAGCACAGTACCGGCAGCGCCAATCTCGCGGATAATTGCCTTGTGCCCGTTCTGTACGTCTACTGGTGCGTGTTTCTGGAGGTTCGAGTAGGCGCCGACGGCGGGGTAGTCGTCGCCGTCCTGGCCAATGTAGTACCAGGCCGCGAGGATTCTCGTCGTCATGTCCTCGACGCGCTCGCGAGTGACGCTGCCGTTGTTGACTGCCTCGACGAGGGATGCGCCCCAGAAGGCTTCGTTTGGCATGACGAGATCGAGGCCAGCGTTGGCTGTTGCCACGCCGGCGTGTTGTGCGCCCCCTGAGGTAATTGTAAGCAAAGTTGACGGAGGCCTGGGTATAGGAGGGAAGAAAAAACTTACAATCGCTGACAACGAAACCTTCAAACCCGAGCTCGGTCTTGAGGACTCCATTAAGTAGGTACGAGTTCTGGCAGCCGTACGAGTTGTTGGCGCGGTTGTACGAACACATGACTGACGCAGCGCCCTCCTTCAACGCATCCATGAATGGGAAAACATAGAGCTCGTGCAGTGTCCTGTCATCAACATTCGACGACCCGGCCTCACCGTCCTCAACGCTAGGGTTTCTTCGATACTCCTGCTCATTAAGAATCCAATGCTTCGGGCACGCAATCGTACCAGCATCCTGCATCCCCTTGGTGATACCGCCGACGCCAACAGATGACAGGTACGGATCATTACTCAGACCCTCCCAGTTCCGGCCGCCACGCGCAATACGGCCCAGTGGTCCACCGACGGGTCCCAGGCCGACATTAATGCCCTTACCGCGGAATTCAGCACCCAGGGCCTCGCCGTAGGCATACGAGAGGTTCCGGTCCCACGTGGCGCCGAGGTGGATGCCAGAAGGAAAAGCCGAGACGAACTCTTGAGCGCGTACGCCGTCAGGGCCGTCTTGAAGGCAGATAGGCTCGATGCCGAGGCGGGGCACGGAGCCCGTGTTGCCGGTGCAGAGACCATCCCAGCCGTGGGTGAAGTTTGCGAGCTCCTCAACGGTCATTTGGGCAGCCAGTGACTTGGCGCGCTGGTATGCGGTGGCCCATTTCTCGTTTGTCGTTCCGTTTCCCACGGCTATAGAAATCTCGGTTAAGTTCTTGTCCTGGTATAAAGTCACGTCATGAGAGAGGTAGGTACTGACGCGTGGGGTAGACGGCTGGACTCTGTCCATAGTAAGGATCTGTCTCATTGGTATAGCTATCTTGAGCTGCGCAGAGGGTGAACCCGGCAAAGACCACTGCCAATGTTGAAATCAAGTTATTGACCATGTTGAGGACCCAATTGAGGAGCACGACTTGAGCTTGCAGACTCTCTTCTCTGTCATCACGGTCCGGAGGATGTCCAGTCACTTAAGAACCTTTTCCTTCCCGTCGTCCCCTTCTCGCGTCATCTCTCCAGTCTCCTCGGACTGAGATACGTCGACGGCCGACATCTAGTCCCTGGCACCGCTGCGCAGTAGTGTGCACGCCGTCGGCCCTTCTCCCCAGTCGACGGTGTTCCCATGATCACATCCAACTTTTCACCGCAGCCAGATTCATCTCCACTCGGAATCCGTCTTCCAGCAGCAAAAAGGCCCAATGATGATCTCATCAACGATGCGACGCCGGCCGCTTGGGCAAGCTTTTTACGGTAGTAGTCTGCGGGGAAACCCCATGTCGGTCCACCTCGTTGGTGCCATCTTTCAACGGTGCGGGGGAGAAGGGTGTGGATGGCCGTTGGTGGCTAGTTTGCCTAGTTTTGGTAGTCCCATCGCAGGTCCAACAAGCTAAGGATGCGAAGCCAGGCTGCGAGTAGTTCGTCTGGAGATATCCCATGCAGCCTGGAGGCTCTTCGGCGGTATTTTCTTCTGCGCGTGGGGAAATCGTGGGGAATGGAAAATGGAGAAATCGGAAGACCAGGGTTGTTTTGGATGGCAGGTATTATAGGTTGCAACACCGGAGAGTATTCCCATGCCACCTCCGCATCTCCAGCGCGATGCGATGCCGGCATGTGGGCGAATGCGGGGAACGTCGTAAGGTTGGGACTGGTCAGATTCCACTTCTGGGTTGGTTCGAGTCCTGGGACGGGAAATTCTTCGGCAATGGGCTTGTCCAAGTCTTGTCCGAGGTCGGTTTGTAAGTCCTGATTCACTCAATGCTCGCCCATCATCGTCGATGAACGCGGCTGGGTGGCATCCATCGAAGAATCACCGGTTGCAAAAACGTCCGACTCACGACGAGTTGCGAGAAAGACGTATAAGCGAGCCTGTGCGATTGGTCCTGGCCATTTGCAGATGGAGCAGAGGTGTGATTCCCTGATGGTTTGCTCGAATGGCGTGTTGTCTGAAGCGATGACTTCCCGGTCATGTCTCTCTAGACTCTGCCATTCTTGGCCAACGATGACAGGGTCGCAGCCACCATAGGGCGTCAGGCATGATTGTCTCGAGCAGTGGGCTCTAGCCGTAGAAGAGCCTCGGTTGAAAGATGACAGTCGTTACGGGATTGTGTCTCCGGGCCGATGGTACCCCAGCCTGGGATAAGGAGTGGGATAGTTGTAGCTGGCATCCATGACGAAGGGCGGGTAATTTGGGTTCTATAGAAATCATGAGCAGGTGTTTCGAAGCCTCAACTTGCGGACTTGAGCATACATAAAAAGAACCTCCCGGCTTATCAAGTCGAGCAAGCTGGTTTCTTTCGCTCAACCATTCATCCTGGCCTTTGACTCGATGCTTGCACCAGGTGCATCGGGGGACGGTCTCTTGAGAAACGCTGGCACCACAAGGGCAATAAAACTGGTAGAAGAATTTTTAGCAGTTGTCAGGGAACACTCCAAATTTTCGACGTGGCAGAAACTCACACTACGCCATTTGCCATAGATTTCAAGTTGTTTGGTTTCGGAGGTTTCGTCCGGACCCCATTCTTCTTGGGCGATAAGCACGTTATTATGGCCCGACGCTTCTTTCGTTCGGGTGTCGTAATACGCCGTGGTCTCTTCTCTCTGATCGTCTTCGCACTTGGTACAAAGCCATCTCAGGCATAGGTTACAATTGCATGTGTCGCTGAGCTGTTTACCCTGAATGTCGCCTTCAAGCTCGGAATCGCAATCGCGGCAAAGACACATGATGTTGAGAGGGCGCCAGTTGTAGCGCGGCTCGACATAGCTTTCCTCCACGGACAGAAGCCGATCATAGTATCTGCACTCTTCACAAATGTTGATTCCGCATCTCCGGCAGGGTAGGGCTCCAGCTTCGTCGCACTTGACGTTGTACAGCTTGACTTCAATTTCCTCGTCCCCGACGACCATGGGAGGGAGGCCGCAGAAGAGAGTCCAGTAGTTTGGACAGTAGCGTCCGCTGAACGTTTGGCGTTGTATCAAGCCGCGGCCATCGCAGAGACAAAGGCTTCTCAGCTTTTCGAATATGGTACGGGAACCGAGGATGTGCACGTGGTGGTTACGGTTCGTCTGAGCTAGGTGAAGGAGATCCAGGGCTGAAACATATTCCGCGAGTATGGACAAGATCGGATAAGACGAGATGAGGTGCGAAAAGGACGGGGCCGGTGGTTTCGGGGCCATGGAGAACATTGAGTGTCCGATAGCTGACTGCGCAGCGAAAAGATCAGTATCGCGTGAAGTTGTCTTTGCTGTGGGACAACAACACACGTGTTTTGTTGCAGATTTGTTGCCCGGCCACGGCTCATCGAAGGCGAGTCATCGCTAGGATGTGCCTGTCTCAAACCAGCGGGCCGACGATGCCGCGGTCCGGAGATGTTGAGGATGAGCCACATGTGGCTGGATAGTATGCTGGCCTCATAGCTGAGCCTAGTGTTCATCGTATCAACGATGAGGAGCATCGTGTCAACCACCAGTGGTCAAAAAGAGAGTCAATTTCGTCGAGGAGTCTTGATAGCGCTTCTGCTTTGCTGCTTCGGACGACAGGAATTCAAAGTGATGGCAACTCAAAGCCGCATTAGGTTTGAACCTTTGTGCACAAAGGGCGGCTGAGCTCAAACACCATTGATGCGCCTTGGAGCAGCGCCGGGTAGCTTCCGAAGATTAAGGCAGGCCATAGGATTGTTGTCCACAGCTGCGAGCCAGAGTTAAGAGAAGGATCGGCATGACGGAGCTTCCAGCTTCCCGTAGAGCTCAAAACTGTCAACGTCAGCTTCGGTCGTCGCCTTTACTGGCTTTACATTGGACTGGAATTGATACAAGTGTCAGAGAGCGTCCGGTTTCATCGGATGTTGGTGGAAAAGGCTGTTTCAGTCGACAGCTCCGGCATGGTCCAGCCCCTCTTCTAGCTGTTCTAGAACATCGAGCTATGGTGGGAGGATGAACCACAGTGACGTTGGCTTCCATAGTTCTATGGTGTGGAAGTGGACAGTTCAAGGTGAGCGAGGTGACATTGGTGACATTGGACAGATTCGAAGATGAACAGTGGATGTTCCATGTTCCAGTTGTCTTCCGGACGCAGCGATGATCAATGGAAGTGCCCAGGGCGGGCAGGTGTGAGATCATCTGAATCGCTCCTGCTTGGATTGGCGCTGAAGACCGTGGGAGACGGAGCAACTGGGAGCTCCCCAGGCAGACAGATCCACTACGGTGAGTCAAGGCCAATCACAACTGTCAAGAGACTGTGGTTCCAGGGGGAGGTCTCCACTCTGATGGCCTGTGTGACATAAGGCTGCACCGCGACCGGCCAACAACAGCGCTGCTGCAGGAGCAGCCAAAGAGGTCCTCACATCACAGGCTCACAGTGCAGGCGCAGGCGCCCCGATGAGGTTGGTGAGATAAGCCAATCCGATAAGGATAACACACCTGACCGAAGCTCCAACGTTATCGCGACATCATCCTCGTCGCCTACACCATCCCATCCTGTTCCTGTCCTATCCCGTCCCGTCCCATCCCAACCGTCTTCCCGTCCTCTCTCTATCCGTACTTTATTCCTTTTCACATCTTCATCCTCCCCTTCTTTACCTTCGCTTCGCACCTTGGCTGTTCTCTTCCCATCATCGTCTTAATCCTATTCTTTTCCATTTAAATATGAATCGTTCCAACTCTTGACCTTTTGTCGTGAAGCACTTCCTCTCTTTCTCCCCCCATTCAACATGGCCAATTCCCCGTCGCACAGGTCTAGCCGGAGCCCAGCCTCGTCCACCTCTGCCGGCCGAGACTCCACGTCCCTTTCACATTCCAGAGACCGCCGTGATGCACCCTCCACATCAGCCTCCCACGCTGCCGACCATGTGCCGGTTGAGACATTGGTGGAACTCTTGCTCGCCGCCAAACGCTCGCTCTCGTCAATGACGGCCGTCTTGCGAGCAAACGAAATCGCGACCGATGCACGCCAGGCCCATGAGGAGGCTGTTGTATTATATGCCGAGACTCAGTTCCTGCGACGAGCCATCTCCGAGCAGCTGGCGCTCTTGATGAAGGTCCGTCGTGGTCTCAAGAGAACCTACGATGCTGGCAAGCGCGACTTCAAGCACCTGGTCAAGACTATGGATGCAACCAACGAGAAGCTTCAGGAAACCATGGCCATGCTCAAGAACACAACTGTGGAAGCTGTGTTCCGGCCACCAGGCGAAGAGCGCCGCAATCTGATGGACTTCGTGGACGAAAAGAGCGTCCACGTCATGGTCGAGGCTCTGAAGCAGAGCCTCGGCGAGCTCCAGGTGCGCACGAATTCTAATTACTTTGACCCTCCCACACCGTCCACGATAGCCTAGGCGACTGACAAGACCATCTTTCTACAGGCCATCCAAACATCCTTTGACGGCGATCTGCTCCGCTTCGACGACGACCTGCGAGCGCTCAAGAAAACGATGACGGCAACACCCCTACCCCGAACGCCCTCCGACTCGTCGCAATACGATCCGATACCCGAACTGCTCGGTTCTCTCGTAGACAACTCACACTCCATGGCCCAGCTCTTGACGTCCTTGACAAAGCACTTTGACCTCTGCGTCACAGCGGTGCGGACGACGGAGGGCGGCGCGGCTCTTGCTCGTCGTAGGGCGGCAGAGGTGACGCAGTCACAAGGTGGCGATGGCGTCTCGTTATCCGGCGTCATCGCCGATCAGGAGTCGCACATGCCCGACCTCGAACCGATAACGACGCAAGATCGGGCGGACATGCTAGACATTGTGGTCAGTGATTCATCAGAGGTCGAGGGCGTCATCCAGGAGATCAACGAGAGGCTGCAGGCCATGGAAGAGGACTTTTCGGTGATGACTGAACAAACAGGACAGATCAAGGTGGCGTTCCTCGGCACCCTGCAGGGGTTCGCCGCGCTGGAAGAGATGGGCGGTCGCATGGCCAGCTACATTGCGAGCGAGGCCGAGTTTCTCCAGCGATGGGAGGATGAGAGGTACACTATCTACACCAAGCTCGGTGAGATGGATGACCTCAGAGACTTTTATGAAAAGTACGCGGGCGCATATGACAACTTGATCCTTGAGGTTGAGCGGCGCCGCATGGTGGAGGACAAGATAACAAACATATGGAAGAAGGCGATGGACAGCGTTGATAAGCTCGTCGAGAATGATCGGCGGGAGCGCGAAGGATTTCGCCAGGACATTGGCGAATTCATCCCAACGGATCTATGGCCGGGCATGGACGGCGGGATGAAGAGGTGGGAACTCGTCGCGGTTGACGATGGCACCGCCGAGGATGATGTCTCAGGCGGGCAGAGAAGCACCCCGGCACTAGACCGAAGCGTCGTGGACGCGGCCCGGGATCGACTGGAGCGGAGCCAGCAGCGGTAGGAGCGTTGCAGTCTTTCAGATTGGCTCCTGTGTTGATTCAGATTGTTTGAGTGTAAGGGTTTCCGCGGAATATGGTTTCATTGGCGTTCATGGCAGGGTAAAGACGGTAGCCTCCAGATAGGCAAGGGATACGGTTTCCATGGTTTGGACGGCGGCAAAGTCTGTTTTTGATTGTTATCTGGCTGAGCATTTATCTCCTTCGGTCTTGTATGAAGCGAACTATCTTATCCGTACCGTAGGAACAATGACCATCACGGCTCCAGCAACTTACCCTCTCATCCGCTTCTGATCCCTCGTCTCGTCAGGCTTTTAGACTTTCCCATGATTGTATGTTGCGCCATGGTTCTGGCCGGTGACCATCAAACCTCCAGTGCTGTGATTCTGAGACCCCGTTCCGCTATGCTGGAACTGAACTCTGTCACCATAATTATTCAGCACAATCGATCCCCCCTGCTTCTTCGCCAACGATCTTGGTAACTTCTTTACCTCAGCCAGCGCCTCATTTAACTCGATTACAAGCTCTTCGGCCACAAATGGTGGTTTCGCGACATCAACCATCTGGTTCAACATGTCTTCCATCAGCTTCTCTAGACCCTGCCCATCATTCTGCTCCACCAAGGCCACGTAGCGGGCCGTCTTTTGCGCGGAGCCGCTTTCTCTATTGACTGCCTTGGACATAGACTCAATGGTACTTGCAAGACTTTCGCACGTCTCTGCGGTTTGCTTGATTTGGTGGAAGGCCTGTAGGTATTCGGTTGTTTCGGTGTCTTCTTCAACTTGCTGGATGCAAGAGTAGATGGAGGTGAAGACTTTGGGTAGGAGGGGGAGTCTCTTTGCGACTACTCGCAGAGTCGCCTGTTACACTGAACAATATGGCATCGGGGCCAACAGTATGTCAAGTTGGATAACGGACACCAAGACGTAGCCAGCGGAAATAGCATGCAGATCAATGGTCCGGCCAGTGGTACTTTACTTTCAACGATAGTACTCAATAGTTCGAAATTGCAAGTTCGCAAAGCAGGACAAAATCAAGGCTGAATCAAGACAACCGATTTAACAGATGAATTACTCAGATATCTCGATCAAGGAATTCAAGATGGCCTTGCACGTTCTCGGAACCATAGTGCTCCGCATGTTTTAGAGCATTCCATCCCCGGGGGCAGGGTGCACCTGACTTGGTCCCATCCAACAAAAACTGTTTAGCCCTGTACAGCCTATCAAGTTGCGCACATAGCATCAATGGCTTCCGGCCATGTTCTTCGTATCTTTCCAAGCGCACACAAGCTGTAGTCAAAAGTATGAGCGCATCATCACCATTGTCGCTTACGACGGCATGATGTAGAGCATTGAAGCCTTTGGAGTCCACCAAGTTTCTATCACTGCTCCAACGCAACAGTACTTGGACGCCCTCATGAAAGTCAAGCCTTGAGGCGTGGGGAAGCGCGCTCAATCCTTGGTTGTCTCGACCGTCTGCTAAGGCGCCATATCCGAGGAGTGGCTTCATAATCGCGATTTCTCTTCCAAGCGTTGCCAGAATAAGTGGCGTATTGCCCTTTGAGTCTTTTAGTTTTAATCTGACGTCTTGCTGTACCAGAAACCTCACTGCGTCGAGATGGCTATCTCTCACAGGCCAATGAAGTGGTGTCATCCCTTGATCGTTGGGAATATCGGCGACTTTCTGACGTTGACACAGAAACCATGCTAGTGAGAGATCGTTGTATGCGAGAGACCAGCAAAATAGGTTTGGTAGGTCTTCTATGGGGCAGAAAATGGAAGCACCCTTGGCAGTAAGGAGCCAACTAATGCTTTTTTCATTCTCCAAGACTGCGCGAGTAAGAGCAGCGTGGCCATTGATGTCCGTTTCGTTGATGGATGCCCCCTGATCGACAAGAACCCAAACAATGCCCATGTGATTCTTGTTGATAGCATCGATTAATGACGTCGATCCGTTCTCGTACGCTTTGTCTTTGTCTGCCCCATGCTCAATGAGGAGCTTGACTATAGCTGGTCTGTTGTTGGAAATTGCTAGTTAAAGTGGTGTTCCACCGCCAGCTGCGATCCTCGGATTGGATGGGTTGGGATATCTCTTCAATAATCTCTCAATCTTTGAAGGATCGTTGTGCATGTAGCGAATCGCGTGCTTAAGGGGAATCCAACCATCCCTAGAAAGGTTATTCATATCCACCCCTCTCTCCAATAATAGGTCTGTCAAGTACTGCGCATGGCTTTCAACAGCTTGTCTGAGAGATTGCGATCCTTTCGCCTTGCTAGGTCCGATCTTACTTTTGCCAATGATTTCACGGCCATGATGGAATGCCTGCCAAAAAGATGTCCAGCCTTCGAAGATTTCGACGTCCAGGTCTGTTTGGCTCACGACCAAAACTTTTGCAATTGACGATGGACCATATCGAATGGCCGAAGTCATTGCAGAATAGCCTCTCGGGCCCTTCAAGTCTAATTTTGCGCCGTACCTGACTAATGCCTTGACAATATCAACGTCGTTGACTATCGGTTTGATAAGAGCTTTGTGTAGCGGCGTTTCTCTAAGATTATCAAACTTGTTCGGGTTTGCTGAGTTTCGTAAAAAACAGTTCGACAACCTGAAGGTGATCGTATCGAACTGCCCAGTGCAAAGCGGTTTGGCCATCAGACGTCTCACTTTCTCGGATGCTGCCTCGAGACTCGATGAGATGATTTGCCCAATACGTGAGATTGAAATGGACTGCTGCATGCAGACCAGACATTCCTTCGACTGCATCGCCTGTCACCATCTTCGGAGCACGGAACGATCTCTCAAGGCTCGTTGTGTTTTGTAAAAACTTCGTCGCAAAGTCTTCAACCTTGTCGATAAACTCTTTCGGGATGGTTGAAAGATGGGTACCTCAATGGCAGGCAGCATGCTGCAGTAGGGACGAGTCAGGTCGATTTTCAGTATCGATGGCCGGAAGGGTCAAGAACTGGGGGCAGATAACCTATGATGTTGGGAACGGAGACGAAGACAGACATAAAGGCCCCATACAAAGTGCAACAATCTCTCTCGATGTTCAAGCTTTTGAAAGAAGCTGAAATGCAGGCCGATTAGCGCAGCCTCTAAACAGCCCTTTTCTGCGCCGACAAAACCCTGATCAATGTAGATCTCATCGTGTGCCGTACATGAACGCTCGGGATCCCGTGGAATTTGCGAGCTTGTGCCGGAAAAAGATGATGGAGGCCATGGAGGACATGGCAGGGGCTGCGAAACAGAAGATCATGGACGATATCGCAAACGCGAGGCAAGTGTCTCTTGCCAAACAAGGAGAGCGCGATCTTACGCTGGCCGAATTACTTGCAGAGATTCAAACCGCAGTCAAGGCGGATTTGCGGGCGGAAATACGCGCAGAGATCCGCGAGGAGATGGAGGATGAGAAAGACGCACAAAGAACGGGCAGGTCACCACCGTACCCATTCAAGACATCATTCAACACAACAGCAACACAACATGAGTCACAATTTGCAAAGGAGAAATATTTCCTCCGGAGATCACCGTGGGGCGGAGAGCAAGCATCCTAAGGCAAAGGTCCAAGAGTTGCCCCGAGACATACCAAAGTCTTCCAACCTCGAGCCACCTTCCGTTGTCAAGTCTTTTCGAAGCGTACAGACCTCGGGCCATGAAAATTTTGCAGGTATCGAGGCACATACGGGGCCAAGCCGATCCCTAGAAGTCGGTATCTCAAATGAGATGCAGACTGGAGGCATTTCTTCGACAGACAGCGCCTATCATACTCCCGATGTGTAGAATCTCCGTCAAGTGACAGTTCAGTTTGGAGGCTATTCTCGATATTTCGCAGTCCTACGACAGATTTCCAGAATTCAGGGGTACCTAGACATGATGGTCAGTCACATAGATCAGCCGCCAAACTAGAATCTGTTTCAGCAATGACAACCTAATACAATGGTTAACTGTCATGACTTGTCTCGCTGATTGGCTAATAACCTGGCAGAGTTGACAAAAGCCAACGGGAAGAGCAGTCCTTCAGTCATCATAGTCCGCAATTGTATAAGCACATGCCAAGCAGCTCACCACGCGGGAGGTGGATTTCTAACCAGCTTTCCTATCTTTTGGGGTTGGCGTGAATGAGATCCAGCTTACCTATGAACACCCGAGACCAATAATTACTCACTCTATCTTATTCGGATCTTCCTGGGACATTTACTCTCACAGCCAGTGTGCTTGCCTACCTTACCTCACCTGGACGTGCTACGATGGCCTCAAGTTTGGGATGGTGAATATCATGTGATCACAATGCGAGGCCAACGAATCTCCGAGTGAGTGCCGCGCTTTTCTTCCTCTTGAACTCCCATTTGATAACCCACCTTGACTGACATAATTCAGAGGTACAGAATTCTGTAAGTCAGTGCCTTTTTCTGTATAAGTCCTCCGCCAAAAAATAAAATAAAAATCGAGAGACGGAGTGCATCAGGACTCAAAGAGTGCAGGGCCAGACATAAGCTTGGTGTTTATTCTACGGGGGCCCTGCAAATCGCGGAACCTTGTTTTGGGGGCCATCAAGGCGAGAGGAATCTGAAGTGGGCCAACGTCTCGCTTGGCCACAGGCCTGAGTGAATTGAGTGGCTGTTCGCCTTGAAGTGGGGTGTTTCCAAGATGCCGATACCCGAGGAGTTGTCTCGGTCAAGAGCTGGCGACGTTGGACAATGTGCCTGGTTGCTGCGGGAATGTCGCACAACAACACCAACTTGTCGCCTGTCAATCGTCAACCTGTCGACCAGTCTTCTGTACCTTAGCTTGGTAAGATTTTTCAGACCGCATTAGTTCGTCCCATATCCATCTATGATTTCGGCCTAGGAGATTGACAAGAGACGCGATAGCTGGAAAATTGAGAAAGGAGTTACATAAGCAATCTCAAAAAATTGGGAGGCCCGCCAAGAACCGGGAAGACCCAGACAAGCCTTGGCACGTGACGCTCGGCACATCGACGCGTAACCCCTGCGCAGCTGAGGGAAGCTGCCAATCCCTGCGACGATGCCGATTCAAATTCAAGGTCTCGATGTTCCTGCCCAATGACGTTACTATGCGCGATGCACGGGTCGGAGCTAAACTGGATTGGCTTTTAAACTTACTTTATGGATTCCAGTTGGGGCCTTTTGGGTTGGGGGGTTTCAACTTTCTGGTGGTGTTTTTGCAAGGTGCAATCATGGTTTGATCCAGGGCGGGCCCGGTAGAAGGAGGCCCTTGGGAAACCAACTGATTCCAGTTTCTACTTTGGTGTTCCTGCTTGTGCTACGCCAGTGATACCTAGTCCGAGCAAAGTGCACACACACAGACAGGCACAAGGTACAGAGAGCGAGATGGGCAGAAAGAGGGGACCAAAGAGGAAAAGAGCGGCCTGCGGTGGCTGCTTCTCCCGTCATTAGTCGATCCAATAGCTCCGTCATTGAAATCATTCCAACCACATCTGAGACTGAGACCCCTTCTACTCTCCCGGCGCTGTGTTTTGTTTTCTTTCCACCTACCTTTACATCACCAAGAGCTTGCTTCCCAGACAGCAATCACCACATTGCTCGTCAATCGTCCATCCGGACAGACCTTTCACGATCGACGCACGAGGTTAACCACATCGTCGAAGCAATGTCGCAACCTTACGGCGAGTCTGCTGGCTACTACGGTGGCCAGCAGCAGCAACAACAGCCCCCGTACGATCCCAAACATACCCAGCAGTACAACAACGGATACCAGCAAGACTACAATCAACAGCAAAACTACCAGCAGGGCGGTTATCAGCAAGGCTACCCCCCTCCACCGCCGCCTCAGCAGGGTTTCGACAATGGAAGCAATGGCTACGGATACAATGCGCCGCCTCAGGGCTACGATCCCGAGAAGTACACCTTTGAGGAGGCTTTCAAGATTGAGAAGCCCAAGTGGAATGACCTCTGGGCTGCCATTCTGGTAAGATGCACCCTGTCGCGGCGATACTTCAAACCCCGCGTCAACTTCATGGACTTCAACCGCTAACAACCCTGCGCAGTTCCTCGCCGTCTTCCTTGGCTTCGCTGCCGTATCAGGCCTCACGATATCTGGCTACTCTGCGACAAAGGGCCTCAACGGCGGTGGCATCTACGACGGAGGCAACACCTTTGGCCTCAGCACGAATACAATTGTCCTCTTCGCCTTCGTCCTCGCCGTCGCGATCGTCCTTAGCTATGCTTACGTCTGGATGGCCCGCCTCTTCCCCAAGGCCTTTATCTGGGTCACGGGCATCCTCAACATCGTTTTTGCCCTCGTCACCGCAATTTACATGCTCTCGCGCAAGTACTACTCGGGCGGCATCGTCTTCCTCATCTTTGGCGTCTTCCTCGTCTTTGCCTTTATCAGCTGGATCCCTCGCATCCCCTTCTCCGCTCTGATGCTCAAGACCTCGATCCAGGTTTCCAAGAAGTACGGCCATGTCTACCTCGTTTCCTTCCTCGGTGGCATGCTCGGCGCCGCGTTTGCGGCTTGGTACTCTGTCACCCTCGTCGCGATCTACTCCAAGTATCAGCCGTCGCAGGATAACCCGCAGTGCAGGAACGGCCAGTGCAGCCAGGGCAAGGTTATTGGCCTGATCGTCTTCATCACGTTTGCCATGTACTGGATCTCTGAGGTGCTCAAGAACGTCATCCACGTCACCATCTCGGGTGTCTACGGATCTTGGTACTTCTGCGTCAATAACTTCCCCAAGGGAGCCACCCGCGGCGCGCTCAAGCGATCTCTAACCTACAGCTTTGGCTCCATCAGCTTCGGCAGCTTGATCGTCGCCGTCATCAACCTCCTCCGCCATCTGTGCTCCGTTGCCAGACAGCAGTCAGCCGCGGACGGCAATATTGTTTCGTACGTGCTGTTCTGCATCCTGAGCTGCCTCATTTCCCTGCTCGACTGGGCTGTGACGTTCCTCAACCGATACGCCTTCTCGCACATTGCCCTCTACGGCAAGGCCTACATCCCCGCAGCCAAGGATACCTGGAAGATGATCAAGGATCGCGGTATCGATGCACTTGTCAATGTGAGTACCTCCCCATAGCCTTCTTACTGTCGACTCAGTAGACTAACACGTCCCAGGAATGCCTAATCGGCCCCGTGCTCTCCTTCGGCGCCACATTCATCGGCTACGCCTGCGCGTTCCTTGCCTACTTGTATATGGTGTTCACCAACCCCGCATACAACCAGAGCGGCAACTACACCCCCGTCGTGGTAGCCTTCTCTTTCCTCATCGGCCTACAGATCGCCAACGTCTTCACGACGCCCATCTCGAGTGGTATCGATACCATTTTCGTCGCTTCTGCGTGGGATCCCCAGGTCCTCATGCGCGATCACCCTCAGCTGTACGATGAGATGGTTCGCGTGTACCCTCAGGTTCAGCAGGCCATCCACGCTTAATGTAGATCATAATATAGTGTGATGAGAGACTCCAAGAAGGTGGTGCGAGAGACTGGATACCCCAAGAGAGATGCAATCCGTCCACTTGGACGACGAACTTAGTACTAATGAAATGTCATTTTATCAACACGTCTTCACGTTGAGATTCTTTGCGCCGTGCGATAGAGTTTTTGTTTGTGACTGATTGAAGCAGAAACCACATTCAACCACCGACGACACCAGTCAGTAGCCGCCATGCAAAAAGAAGTCAGCACAACGATTGACAAAAGAAAATGTCCCTAGCAAGGCTCGAACTTGCGACCTTTGGATATCTCTAGATGATCTAGAGTCATATATGTGTATTTGATATGAGACCAACGCTCTACCGACTGAGCCATAGAGACAACTGTTGGTGTCTGGTATCGACGAACAGGTGATGAAGAACGCTCAGAGTTGCGGGCACGGTGAAAAGAACTGTCGGGGACCCAGATGAGCAAAAGATATTGACCAGCCTGGGGGTCGAACCCAGAATCTCCTGATTACACGAACTCTCAACTCTGGTTAAGAGGATTGAAGGGAGTCGTAGTCAGACGCCTTGCCATTGGGCCAACCGGCCTTGAGAAGAGGATCCAAGTGGAACTGCTTGATGGCAGAAGCCGACAGATTGGAGTTCATGAAGGAGAGAAGATGGGTTTGCGGGGCTGTCGCCAGAATGGATTAGCCGTGGGGAGCGAGAAAAATCTGCAACGAGATTTTTCGGGCTTGGATGCAGATTTTTCCACGATGGGGGCCAGCCGGTGTTGCGGTGGAGCGTGAAGCGTGGATGCGGGGTGGCCGGGTTGGTGACGAGCGGATCGGAGGAGGGGGCCGGTGGCCTGTGGACGGTGAGTTTTGGTGGGGGATGCGGGGCCGGGATGGCGCTCGGAAGAGAACGGCATCGTGGTGCTATGGCGGCCAACATCTCACAGCCTTTGATGGACAGCAAAGCACTTACTTCACCTCACGGGTACCATGGAAAACGTACCAGGCAGGTAAGCTTGCGGCTTGACATACCACAACTCACAACAGTCGTAACATCTACTGTCATGATCACAGCCTATCAGGATACGGATATCGATGACATCGAGAGGAAACACCAAGTAGATTATTCGAAACTCGGACGCGAGGAAAACAAAACCAAAGGTCGGGCACACCCTTCAACCCCCATCCACATCTTCCCCAACATCATCCCATCCCACGCATCCGCGTTGAGGCAGACAGCTCACTCACACCGGAACATGTTCTTGTCCAGTTTCTTGCACCTTCTCTCTCCTCCCTCCGTCTCGGCGTCTCCACCACTCACACACTCTCTTATCAACCGTCGACCACCGCCATCATGCCATTCGAGAACTCTCTCGAAAGCTGAACAGCAAAGCTGCGCAAGAGAGCACAAGAAATAAGGAAAGGAATCCACCAAAGCTCAAGTCACGCTTCATGCGTTCGATCACTGACGAGCGAGCCACCCGGCGCCGTCAAAGGCGAGGAATATGGGAGGAATCTTTCGATTGCTCGTCTCTAGACGAGGCAGACTCTATCTGGGCTGAGCTGCCACCGGCTGCGGGATATCCATCCCGCGCCGCCACATGGGCTCCGGTCCCTGCGAGATGCCCTCCGATACCATCGGGTTTGTTATAATCCTTTCCACGCAGCCTCTGGGCACTCTTCCCAGTCTTAGTTAGCCATCCATCAAGTGTCGACTGTTTCTCGGAACGCTTGTTACCCAGCCATCGTCGGGGACGAAGAGCTGTGGGGATGAGCGGACGCAAGATGCCTTCGTGCTCGAACCAGATGAAAGCCTTGCATCGTTTTTTCTTCTCGCTCCCTGGTATGGAGTATCCGGGGCATCTGTAAACTTGAAAAGCGTTAGCTTGGAAGACTTCAACACCTGGGCGGAGAGTTCCCACGGGATGGGAATGGAGAAAGTCTCACTCTATTTGAACTTCCTCAAGAAGCCATGCAGGCAATAGTATCCTCCTCTGCTTTGGTTAGTGGTGCGTTTGACACCTTCGTAACACGAATCGTGCTTGTCGAGCCCGTAAGTCTTCTGGGACTCGTCAAGGGGAAGACCATTCAACTCGATCGCAGCCATGATGTCTCCTTCTGATGACCTAGTACCTACTAGGATGCAAACCGTATTACTTGGAATACCCTGCAAGACCAAGATCGACTAACGAAGAGATGCTCTCTTGTACCGTCCTCCTGGGATGATGAAGAGAAAAAGAAACAAGAAGAAGAAGAAGAAGAAGAAGAAGAAGGTGTGAGATGCAGGAAGGCCTAATTTATACCTAGTCGCGTTCTCGACGCGACTGTCAGAGTCACGTGTCAATGACTGCAGGAAGCTCTTTCTGTCGTCTCTCAGTTGGAAGAAGGCTCACATGATAGGCCTATTCAATAAGTACTGCGACAGGCAGCCACTTACCCTCTATCTGCATTCAACCCTTTAACCTGCAGGTATCGGCTTACTACCTTCTTTCATTGCATATCGCAATTTCCAGTCGTGTGATAGGAAGAACTGGACGCTGACGCTGATGTCTTCGCATCTTAGACCACACGTAATCGTGATAAGCACTGCACACCAGCATCCACGTCGCTATCAAGCTTGAGGTAAACCAGGGAGAATCAACACGTATTGCGATTTAAGATTCAAAGATACTAAAGTCAAATACGGCTCGTCATCCCGCGAGACTGCTCGATATCAGGCACATGCGTCACCCATATCATCGTCATGGCCGCCTCTTCACAGGCCGAGCATTAAGGTCGTCGAAGGGAACAGGCGCCCCCGTCCCAAACTTCTCCAAGATCTCAGGCGTACCACCCGCGTAGTCCACAAGCGGCTTCCTGGTCGCAAACTCATACGCGGGAACCTAGCTTCAATTTAGCTATTACCCCATTCTTGCTGAGAAGGACGGATCCGTAACTCACCCAATTCCCATGCACACCCTCCCGAATCCTAAACGGAAGCTGGATAACACTCACCAGCCCAGCCGTGATATCCCGCGTATCTAAAACCACAAGACTACACAGCGTAGTCTCATGATCTCGGCACGAAACAACTAAGTACCCATCACCCTCCAGCGCAACCTCCGCTGTAGGGATAAAGCACGGCTCACCCACCGACTTGCTCGGCCCGGCATTCCACACCTTTGTCGTCCCCGCCGCGATATCAATATGCAACACAGCCCCAAACCCATTCGGTCCAGGTCCACCGCACCCAAGAGCAATGGTTATACGGCTTGGTGGTATACCGATCATCGCACCGCGCCATCTCACCGGGGGTATCACTGATGATCGCCGGCAACTCCAGCTCACTCGACTCTGAATTGGGATCAATCTTAAAGCGGACGAACTTCTCCACGGGAGCCGGTCTCTGGGCGGTGGCTTCGAGTTCAGGGTGCTTGGTGGGGAAGACGCGGAGGGCATCGACGTCGTGGAGGTAGACATCGATGTAGATTAGGCCGGCTGCGTCTTCGAAGTGGTTGCAGACGTGGCCCCAGTAGTGGTTCTTGAGGGAGGTGGACCATTTTGCGTCTTGGGGCTTTGGGTTCCGGCGGGGGAAGACAACGAAGTGGTTGGCCTAGGTGAGGTGAGTGATGAGTTGGTTCGGATAGACCATCCAGGCTGTGGGAAAGGGGCGATCTGAATACTTACGAGGAAAGGGTTCCTGCGGAAGTGCGTTCCGTTGTCTTCCTTCATGTGCTTCAGGTCAAACTCCAAGGGCGACATGCCGAAGATGACATAGCTAATTGTTCAGATAAGTACATGTGTGCAGCGGTTGAGACCCATGGCTGATGTTTGAAGGAGGCCTCATACTTGTCGGTTGCTGCCATGTCATGAGTCCAAGTAACGATGGGAGTCTTGATCCAGCATTCGTCAAGCACTTTACTTTCTTTGTCGAATCGGTAGTAGTCCAGGTCGTTTGAACTGCGTGAACCTGTTAGCCCCTGACGGACGACTCTAAAAACAAAAGACATACCCGAGTCTCGAAGCCTCCATGTCGAAGGCAAGCATGTCGCCCGTGGAAACATCAGTCTTGGGGTGAGCGGCAAAGGTCTTTGCCTTCAACTGCCCCTCAAAGTTATAAACGCCTAAGAGCAACCAGATCAGCTCGCTATCCTTCCAAATTCTCGAGCTCAGAAGGCTGCAGGAAGTACATACCGATAGTATCAAGCGTATCGGGATCCATCAAAATAGGCGGACTATCCTCCTTCAACACAAGCAATTTTCTCCGCCACCGCTGCACATGCGTATTTCCCGTCGACTACACCTCCTCAAACACCCTCGGGTCCCCCGCAAACGAATCCCGATACGTACCCCACAACGGCTGCCGCGCCGCCCCTTCATGAAGAAACCGTGGCGTCCTCACAAACCTTTGTCGGAAATCAACGACACCATTCGAGATTCTCCACGCATTCACTGCGCCGTCGCCGTTGATCCAAATATCCTTGCAATTACGGTTCTGAAAGACATAGTCAACGACGATGCGGTAGAAGGTCCCGTCGATGGAGGGCGGGATGGCGCCGTGGACGACGCAGGAGGCTACTTCGGCGTCGAAGCGGCCTGGCTGGTTGACGGGTTGGGCGCAGGCTGAGTCGGCTATTTCGAAGCGGAATTCGTTGCTGATTGTGAGGTTCTGTTTCTTTTCATCTACAGTGGCGGATGCTGAGGAGGTTTGAATATTGGAGTGGCTAGGGCGTGGGAAGTGGTGTGTCACGAGTTATGGCACGCAGCAATGGGCATATGAAGTGGGTTAAAGTGGCTTGAAGTAACCCATCTAGAATGAGCACATGAGAGCAGTCTATATACCAAAAGAGTGTGATGTCCACGTCAGAAAGCACGTGGCAAGATGCCTGACAAGTGCTGTACCATTCCTGTTTCGTGACATGGTGCCATTGCGGCACTAGGAGTTCATGTTGGTTCGACATATTTAATGCTTGGCCATAAGATGCTTGGTCATAAGAGACAGGAGTACTATAGTTTCAAGTATAACTAAGGTATCTTGGGCAATGAAATTCATCATCACGGATCGATTTGACTGTTCTTAAGTGTATTATCAAAACGACTTAATCAGCGGCTTTTCGCCTCTAAGCTCCCGCCGTTTGAACTTTGGTCGACGCCGTTCTATCGGAAAGAGCAGTCAGGTTCTTGAACAGACAACAGCACCCGTAGCATGAGATGAAGAGCGCTCGATGCAATGATTGAGCTGCCCAGACGCCATTATTGCTTCACTCAGCGGAGTTTGTTTCGGACTGAGGCCGATGGGTCTGTTGCTGGGGGCTAGCTGTCATCGGGGAGATGACCAAAAGTCCGGAAGTGACGCCCTCGCCATGGCCCTTGCTCAACCGCAGTCTACCTATCTCCCTCCCGTAGGAGGTACAAGCGTCAAGAGAATGCTTGTTTCCCCGCAAGAGACGTCTTGTTACCCCGCAAACTCGACTAAATTCACAGATATTTGTTCGTTACTTGTGTCTCAAAGTACAGCCACGATTATGACGAGGGAAGCAAGCCGTCTGATAGCGTGGCACGCGGCGCAACGGGGAACAAATGCCTGAACGTGAGTTCAGGCCGTCACCCAAGTTCGAGAGTTGCAAGCATGCCTGAAAACCTTTCATGCCACGATAAATGACTACTTCCATTTAAGCTCTTCTCCTCACAGAACCTCACATCTCGCCACCAAGAAAACTAGACAACCGTGACACCTTACCACATTCAGTGCCCACCTATTCTAGTATCTCATGCATCTTCGTTGGTCCATTGGCCATTCTCAATGCGATGCACCAAGACCCGCTGATCCAGTCATCTCACAACATCATCCCTACCGGCGGCTACCGCTGCATCTCGATAGAGGGCATCTCGAAGAAGACGCTTCTTGGGGTCAAGATCCTCGCTGATCAAGAAGTCAAAACTCATGTTCGTATGGAACGGTAGGCCATCCCATGTACTTTTGTGCAGTGCTTGCATCCAAACAAACTCCAGGTCGTCCCTCCAAGTCACCTTTCTGTAGTGTTCCTTCTGTTCTGGATGACCGAGCTTCGCGCCGAGTCTGATAAGAATCCTGCAAGTGGCATTTGTCTTTTCTCGAAGGCTATCATCAAGGGCGTTCGTCGCTTCCCACCTCGAGGGCTGATATTACATCCATGTTGTACCAGTCGCTCAACGAGAGACAATTCCTCATCTAATAGTGCACGTCGGCCATGCGATCGTTCTTGGTGCAAAGAGCGAAGTGTAGTGGAGTTCAAGGAAGAAATGTCGTGGGCAATGCGTTCCTTTGATGGAGAGGGCGAAAGTAGAGTTCTTCCTCTCGTCGACTCGCACGACACGCGGTACAGAGTCCCTGAGAGGGAACCTCCATCACTGCCCTGTGTGCTCTGAGAAACTTGAAAGCGGAGTGGCTTCCGTTGATTGCCGCGAAGTGTGCCGGAAACCAGAATTCGGCGGGAGTCTTGTTGGCATCATAGTTGACCAATATGCCGGTTGAGCGGGTCGAGACCCAACTGAATGTCCAGCTCGATATCGGGGGCGTGTGGTCGTGGAAACCTTCCTCCTTCCAACTATCGTACTTCACCTTCCTTGCTGGAATCTTGGGCCCCCTTCGTCGCTTCCTAATTTGCCGGTCCCCTCCTCTTTCCGGTCGAAGCCGACGTGCGTAGAATTCCTAAAAATGCCGCCGCCGAGATGTGCGAGACTGAGTATGATGGTGCTCTGCGACTTCCGAATGTGTCTAGGGACGATTTTTCATCGGAGACCGGTATGCTTCAGTGTTGTACGACATGGCGACATTGAGATCTGCGCCAGCCTCTAGTAGTGCCTTCGTGGCCGGAAGGTTGTTGACGTCCGTTGCCCACACAAGAAGATAGGGTTGCCGTTCCATTCCTTCGACAATCAACAGGGGATTGAACCAAGCGTGGAGTGCTCGGCAGCTGCGAGAGAGGGAAGCCAAATCGGCCAGAAGGCATGTTGTGGCAATTTCGTCTTCATGTTCCCGGTTGCACCGTAAGAATTGAAGAACTTCGTTCATCACTTCGTTTGGCAGATTGCCTAGACTCGGCATATTGGCGTCGAGCGGTTGGATAGAGTAAATCTCCGAGGGAGAAAAAAAGAGGCTGGAAGGTCTACCCCTCCCTTGATCTGGGTTGAGTTGCCTGGGCAAGGAAAGAAGTAGGCGCAACACGTCAAGTCGGAAGGAAGTCACCTTTCTGCCTATTATTACCCACGCAACCACGTCGAATTTGATTCAAGGTCTTTCTCAACAATATTTCGGTCATCAAAGCTCCCCAAAGTTCGAGTATGGATGTTTTGTTATAATGACAATACTCTGGCGGGATACCCAAGATGTCTTGTACACCCTTGCTCTTAGTCTTGACCCTGAGCCTTCCAATCTTACTATTTTGTTCTTTTCGTTCTTTCCCAACACAAAGACAACAAATGGCAAAGGCAGAAGCTCGGTTTCGGAACTTGGTAACGGGCCCAGGTTGAACCAGAAATGACCAGACTAATCTTGTTCAGCAGAGTAGGCTACGTAAAGACAAATCTATCGCCGTTTAGGGTAATAGTAGTACATTAAAACTTTACAGTTGCCATATCTGAAGGTAGGTCAAGATTGACCTGCAAGAAAACCAGTCCAATCCCCCACAATGTTGACGTCTCTTTGAACTTGATTCCTCTGATAGATCGGCACGGGATGTACCCACACACCACAGCATCCTCTTTTCTTACTCGAACCCGAGAAGCCGAGTGTACCTTGGCTCAAGAAAATTGCGACCCATATGCCATCCGCAGACGCAAGCTGAAGCATATCCCCAAACTTCGTCCTCCCAAGTTTACATACCCATAGCGTTACGTTGCACCGTGACTTGGTAGAGCTCGGGTGAATCTCTATTAAGAAAAAACTGTATGGTTCGCAGAGAGTCATCGAGCCCCCTCACCTGCTGAGACAAGTCCAGCACGCTCTCGCCTGTCTTGTTGACGATACCTAACTCGGCCCCGCGCTCCATGAGTGTGGGAAGCATCGTCTCGAAGCGCCTCGCATGATGTCTGTGAAGCTCGCCCTTTTCGTAGATGCTGTGGATGAGAACTATCAGATAGCCGAGGGGTATTCTGCCATCGTTGTCAACCGTGTTGATGGCGGTATCAGAACGGATGAAGCTAGGCAACGTCTGGTCAAGCGTCATTTTCCTAAACAGACCGTCTACATCCGTTGCTTCCTGGATGAGGTGGTGGGAGGACGTAGGGTCTTTCGCGGTGAGGGTCTTCGCGACAGTGTAAATGCCTCAAGCATGAGGTCGGCTGCACGAGGGTCTGCGCCTTCTTGACGGGCATAATGCAATGGTGATGCCCACCTTCCACTTCTTCCAACATGCGGATTTACTCCATGAGCGACGAGGTATTTGACAATCTTCTCATCAAACCATTCTTTGACGCACATGATATACCCCGGACTCCAACCGTTCTTCGTCGTTTCGTTTACGTCCACCCCTTCTTCGACGAGCTTCTTGACGACATCGTATTGACGGAAACGAATGGCAAGATGGAAGAGCGACCACCCTGCATGTCTCTTCGTGAGAAACACGAGACAATGCCTAGATTTGGGGTACGTGAAATAGAAACAATCGTCTTCATGAGTGCCACCAGTGCACAAGCATCTCTCGTCTGACTCGCATTCAATATCACTGCCAGCATCGATGGCCTTGACTGATTCCGGCTGTTTTGACGAGCCGGCCGGCTGGTCTTCGAATGCGTCGTGTTGTCTGAGATACGCCTCTTTCATGGCTGGAACGTAGGGAGGCTGATCCGGTGAGTCGACCCACACCGGGTATGTGATCCACCACTTATTTTGCATGTGGCCATACTTGACTATTGCGTCCACAAGGCTCTGTTGTTTCGTAGCCATTGCGGCGGCGAGGTAAAAGGGATCATGCAAGAAATGTTCCTTCGGGTCCATAGCCTTACAAAAGCTGTAAGCTTCTTCGCTGCTGGCAAAGCTGGCGCGGGGTTCGAATCGTGCCGCTTGAACCCTAACATTCATGTTCGACCAGATACCATACCACTCCGTCTTCGTCGGTGTCTTGACGCCATGCTCCAATAATCTCATTGCGAGTTGATGCATATCGAACCCATCATGAAATAGTGTCATCAGGAGGGTAATACCTCCCTCGGACTGAATGTTTCCATCGGCGAGCCCGCCTGTGACGAAGTCCACCAAAGCAGCCCATACACGACGACTATTGTTCGTGTTGTAGTAGAGCATACCGCTGTGCAACACGTTCTGTAGGGTTTGAGTGCAAATGAAGCTATCCTTGCTTTTCGAACGTTTACTGAGATGCTGGCGGAGCAAGTCCATGCATGCTATGTACGCGTCTAGGTTCGAAAAGTGATCATACCCAAGAACGACAGACTCAAGTGGCGTAAGGTTGTCGGTGCTAGCGCTAGCGGCATCCATGCCTAGATCCAGTAACATCGATAATGTCTCGACGTTGTGCGAGGAGCATGCGATCTGTAACGGATTTCGTTTACCCACCGCTCGCGCTGGTGAGTCTAGCAGAAGACGGACGACTTCACGTTGCGCCGATGAATCCGTCTTCCAATCGGGAGCGCGCCTTCTGGGGTATGAAACTCGGGAATGCAAGGTCGCATCGATCAAATCACGGGGCTGGCGTAGGACGGGCGTAGGACCGCAACAAATTTCGAGCAAGCCGCATCCCTCTTCTACGATGGGAGTGTCGCGGCGCCGCCCGTCATATGCCCTTGCATTCTGGATGTTTTGGTTGAAACCATGGAGAGTGATGTCGACCTTGGCCCCAGCTTTGATGAGGGCAATGGCCTCGTCGAAGAATCCCCAGAGGCATGCCTCCATCAAGACGGTTTGCCCTTTTCCGAGATCGTGGTTGATATCGGCTCCATTGCGCAGCAAGACCTCCAGAGCCGCTTCGAAGTTCTTCGCATCAGTCGCCTCCCAGAACACCCTGAAAAGCATTGTCGCACCTTCAATTTCTGCATTCTTGGCATTGACAGCATCTCTCTCCCAGCCCTGCTGCAAACACCACTCTGCAAGGTCCATGTGGCCGTGACGAATGGCGGAAATGAACCTAGGGAGCACCTGCCATGGCATCCCATTGAAGTTGAGAAGTCGCTCCTGGAGGTATTCGCAATGCTCCATCATCCGCTTAGCCACGCCAATATGTCCGTGGCACAAGGCAACATGCAGTGGTGTCCACGCGGGATACTCCGCGGGATACTCCCAGTATATAGCCGGCCCTGGCACTTGGTGACACTCACTGCGACAGAAGCCTTGTGAAGACACGTTCACAAGTGCACCGTTGTTCAGAAGCAATTCAAGAGCTTCCATGTTGCCCATCCTGGCGGCAATATGGATAGGCTTCCAATACATGCCCTCGATGTCGGTGTTGTCCATGTCCTCCCTGTCGTCGTAGTCCGGGAATCGGAGGTAACCTTCGTACATGACGTGAGTGACATCGGCCTCGCACAGCACTCTACCGGGCTCACCCCACTCTGAAGGATCGTCGGAATCATCGTCGGAATCAACACCAACATCCGGCAGGGGAAAGGGTGTCGCATGTGCAGGAGCCGCAACAGTATCAGTGCCGTCTTCACTGCCGACATCTTCGCCATCCGAGTAGTCATCACTAACGGAAGCGTCTTCGGAGGAATCGTCATCGGAAGAATTGCCAGTGGAGGGCGCTTCCGACGCCGCACCGTCATTCGCACTGATGCCAGCATCTTCTTGACCCCTGAGTTCTTCTTGGCTCCCCGTTTCCTCATCATCGAATCCGCCGCTAGTCTCAGTGTCTTCAGATTCCGAGTCACTATCTGAAGCACTGTCGGTTAAAGGCATTGGAAAGCCTATATTGTCAGATTCCGTTCAGAAAGATCCAATATTCGAATAGTTGTACTTACCATCCTCAGCAGACGTAGAGGTCGAAATGCTGCTGCCAGATTCAGAACGACTCCACTCGTCTCCAAGTGCATAGCCATAGAGGGCATCTATTTCGTCCATTGGAGCGTTCCTCTGAGTTAAGCGTCGCCGGTACATTCCTTGACTTTGGAAACAATGCCCATCACGCCGATAAAAACGGTAAAAGAGCTCTTTTGATGATTCAACGTTTGGGTCCCATGGACTATATTCGGCCTGAAATCGAATGATTGCATCGTTGGGATCTATCAGCCCAGTCCACAGCAATTTCTTCATGATTTCCACGTTGCCAATGTCGGTTGCCCAACACAACAAATAGGGATGGCGGCGCACGCCATTATCGTACAGCATTGGCGTTGCGACAACATTGAAGAATTTGTTCGTCCGTGCTAGCGCCGCGAGTGCAGCAAGCTGAGTATCGGCATATTCATAACCGATGGGTTCATCTCCCGGCAGGAGGATCTTTTGTCGCGCCAATTCATTGACAATGACTGTCTTGATCTCCGGAGGCAGGTTGTGCAGGTTCGTCATGGCTGAATATGCCGGCTTTGCGATAATCGGCTCACGGACTAGTTCACCGTCTGCCGAGTGATGATTACAAAGACCTGATCAACTCAACTGCATGCTAAAACAGAAAGCGTGCGAGTAGTATGTTTGGTAAGGAGTCAGCACCAAGTGATGCTGGCGGTACAGGAACGAGGTTGTGAGGAAGTGTGTTCTGAATTCACGGTTTGATGGGGTCTATTTCATTGCTACCCCAAATATCCACTCCAGGTGTTGATTGGTGCACAACGCGACCCAGCGACCGGGGGAGATGGCCAATAGGTACTCCGTGCTCCGTACAAGCAGCAAAATTTACGCCTAGCCACACTATCAGGGCAGAGTCCATGTGACTGTGCATCGACACGGCAACATCAAACTCTGCTTTTCCAAGAGAAAACAGAAACAAGGGTGAACTGCAAATACATTGCCGTAAATGGTAAAAGGAAAGCTGCCCAAAGCCAGAATCGAACTGGCGATCTTCTCATGTCGGGAACCATCATGTCAAAGATTGAAGTCTTGAAACAACGGAGATACTAGTGAGACGCTTTACCACTGAGCCATTCGGGCGATGGACCATGAACGTTTGGGGCGAGGTGGACTATGGTGTGGAGACCCGTCACTCAAGCCCTCGTTCTGATCTCTTTCTTCTTGCTACTTACTCGGAGTGGGATCGTGGCATAAACCATCTACTGGTTAAGCTGGCTTCAAACTCCACCCTGCTTCTCGCGCTGTCACCATAGCTGGTGTGAAGAGAGCTTGCAAGCTCGTTTCACACTTTGAAATTTTGATTGGGTTGAGTTTACATACGGAATACAGCATGCCTGTGTTGCTTTCATTCATCTGTTTCCGGCATCTTGGGTAAAACACATGTGGTAATCGAGGAACTCGGGAAGTGGTAGACTAATCTCTGAGAACTAGTTGCTTGTTGAGCTGTCTATAAAGTCGCTATGAGCGCCAGCAGTATAATGTCATTGCTAGTGTTCTGCTTACGGGCTCGGTTTACTTGAAGGTATGCTTGACTGGACAAAATGTTGTGGACACTCATGAAGTATTACTTACTACTGAAGGTCGAAGCACCAATTAAATGGAGCCCACAGCGTGGTCTCAGGTCTGGCCAGCAGTCCGGCTGCCATATGCAATAAATATCTACGAATGAAACGCAACCCCATGACCCTGTAGGGCGAAGACCGCAGAGGAAAGGTATGAATAGCATCTGAAGTGTATATGACCTAGTGGTGGAAGTATTAACGCATAATTGGGTCCTGAAAAGGTTGCGAGTCCGAAAAGTAGTGGTCCTACATAAAGTCACAGGCAGCTAATTTTTTTAACATCTCAAGTTCGCAACAATCAGACATCCCGTCTATATCATCGCGGAAACTTACCACTCAGCTCTGGAAACATTGCTTTTTAAAGCTTTTCAATATAACCCTTGCGCTTGAAGAAGAGATTGACAGCAATAATAAACGAACAAAATGTAAATGCTTTGCAAATAGAAGTTCCTAGAATCGATGCTTAGTGACCAACATCTATTATTTCAATTGTGTTGGGCCACGATCTTACGTTCACAGTCTTTACTAAGTTCAGATCCCATATCCGCAAAGACTGCATGAACACGAGGTCTCGTTTGTGACAGCAAGCGTTATAACATATGCTGCATATTTTGAATCCCTGTTCTAACAGTTGTATGGACCATAACCGTTGAAACTCAGTGGGAGCCGGCCGATTAGTAATCGACCCCTGGACTTCAACGACTGCCTGGAACTGACTCGTGAAACATACGTGTCGAGATACCTTAGGAAGGCTGATACTCAGATGCCTCATATTGTTTTGCGTGCCAGGTGGTAATACGTGTTCTTTCAATCATTAGAAACCTGGAGACAAATCGGTAACGTCGATTTCCCAATCCATTCTTCGTATCTACCAGACGTCAACTACCTCAGATACTTCGCCTCACTATTGCGGGTGCAGTAGAAAATGGCGAAAGCATTCTTTGCAAGACTCTTCCAACCGACTCGGTCCAACGCGGCTTCACTAGGGTCGCAATCCTTTACCAACGACACTCCTGAGAATATGTATGACAAAGTTGAGCCATGGATCAAGACCGACCTGGATATACCTATAGACTCGACCAACCGCGATAGATGGCCCAGCCTCATCTTACAAGCCCGAAGGCATATGAGATGCCATCCCTATCACCCCCACCGTCTCCCTAAAAGCTACCAGCCTTTCCGGATGGTGGTGGACTCTCCGGAAGAGGAGGAGGAGATGTCAAAGAAGGAAGTCGACATATCCGAACCGCCCACGTTCCCCCTTTTCATGGACCTACCGAAAGAGCTCAGAGACAAGATCTTGCTTTCATCAGAGGCCCCAATCGTCATGAACGGCTCCGTAGTCATGGATCAAGAATGGAGAGGGGGCACGCAAGTACACTTCCGCTCGTATAGGTCTTGGCATCAAATCCCTCTTTATGCCGTCAGCCACGAGACAAGAGCGCTCGCCATCACCTTCTTCGGCGAACCAGATCCGCTCTCTATACCGTTCAACGCGGCTGAAGACTTTGTACTCTTGGACTGGAATGGATCCATGCAGGCTGAGCGTAGCTGGATGGGCGACCATAGAAGTCCCGGACCCGTCCTGACGAGTCGCCGATGGAACGCAGCCAAGAAAGAGTGGGCGATGCCGCGGAATCTTTGCGATAGGATCCAGCACGTCAAAGTCGATGCGCGACACGCCGCTTCCGAAGATGCCGAAAAGGGGGAGAAAGTGCCCTGGCGGCTTGTTTTTGGGCTTCTCGGAGAGTACTTCAGTAACATGACGATGTTGGAGGTGAAGCTGTGGGATTTGGATGACAAGAGATTTGAGGGGGCGTACGACCCTGTAGGCCAAGAGCTTTATAGGATTGACCAGCTGGATCTTTTGGACGAGCTGGAAGAGATGTCTGAAAATGGGCGTGTACCGTTCCAGGCTTTACGGCGCTTCATTATCGCACCGGAACTGCAGACTCCTCTTCAGGCTGAGAGAGAGGTCCTGAAGTTTCGAAAAATGGGAGGCAGCTACTTTAAAGTCTTCAGACAGGGTCAGATCCCAAAAGTTGGACAGTGAGCACTGGATCTACGAGCTATTGGCCGCTCAAGGGAGAGATACAGTAACCTATAAGTATTTGTTATTCAGTCGGGACAATCATCACTTGAGTAAAGTCTGCCAAGACCCCCGGAGGACTTGAGAAAGGGAAGTCAAAATTCACCGGATAGATGGGAATCTTGAGTTTGTCACTAGTAAAGAAAAGTTAGCAGCGAAATGTACGAGACAAAATGGTCTTCGCTACTCCTGTCGTGGCTATGGAACCAAATTCCTTGACCATGTTGTCTTTGAGATCACACCTATTTCATGTTACCCACTAAAGTACATAAGCCTCGCAACAACCTTTCTAGAGAGATTATCCTACCTAGGCAACCTTCTACACTCCCTACTTAGGTATTCGAAGCTATTTTCGCTGTAAGTGACTATCATCACGCCCAAGCAGCCCGGCTATCATACCGGCTGTCTGTAATCTTCCGCAGAGACCCCAAGAATCACCTCGAAATTCCATAACGCGCCTGGAAAGTACTGCAAATTCCCCACATCCGCCCCGCTGTCAAGAAGTAGTCTGGCCGTCTTCTCAGCATCACCTCGGCCTCCCTGGTGTCTAAAGACCTTTGACTTGAGCAGCGCAACCACAAGCGGAGGAAACATGCCCATCCTGCCCCAGGATAGCTCACTCCCACCGGTAAGGCCGGCGCCAGCCTCCAGCAAGGCGCTGACAACATCCACATCCCGGAGCTCAGCAGCTATGGACAGTGCCGTTCGCAAGATCGCCTGCCCGCGAGCGTCTTCCAAGGTTGGGGCTATAGCTCTTATGAACGCCAACCGTGACGCGTGCCAGGCCTGGCATCTGGCTTCTGACCGGGCGTCGTGGCTCGCCTTATAGGTCAACAGCCCGTATGACCACCCGTGCATATACGGTAGACACGCAATCTCAAGGGGCGTGAAATCTATCACCGGTAAACCGTTTCCGTGGGAGCCAATGTGAAACTCGCCACCTTGCGGTGGAGCTCGGGCGGCTACATGCAAACCGGCACGAGAGAAGGCTATAACTGGCGAAGCTCCGACAGAGAGGAGCACACGCGCCTGGTCGAAACAACCAATGTAGCAAGCCTCTATAAGAAGGGTATGACCTATGCCTTGATCCTCGTCGATATTTGCTCCGTAGTTTGCGAGCAACGCTGCCCAATCCGCGAAGAAGTCTGGCCGTCTTGTCTGGTCGAGTGATAGGCGGAATGCATGCTGCATAGCACTGAGATTATGAAAGTCCCGCCACCTTTCATTCACATCCGCGCCATGGAAGATATAATCGCTGAGGATCATGAAGTGGTTATTGTCGAAGGGTAACTGCTCGAGAAGGAACGCTGCCACCTTTAAAAAATCTCGGTCAATGAGCCTTTTCAGTGAGAGTCTCCGATATATTACGGCGAGATGACGCAAGCCTGTTGCTTGTATTGCTGGCAAGGCCTTCAACAGTATATCTTCGTCCCTGTGGTAGAATGCCATATCGGAGAGACGCCAATACAGCCCATTTGGCTCTCCTTCTATGTCGATAAGGCGAGGGTCGAGTTGTACCATCCAATCGGGATTGTGTCTGCACAACAAGGCGAGGGCTTCGTAGTTGCCTTGGTAGACAGCGATACTTAGAGGCGTCAGAGAGCGATCTTCGGGCCTTGCTCGTCGGAGGCGATGTCCTTCTCTCAAAAGCCCTCTGTATTGACGTGGTACGAAGATCGAGTCGAATGACTGGCGAAAGTATTGCCAAAAGAATATCCCCAAAGTAGTAAGTCCTGGCGGGTAGAAGCGCGGTCTTCTCCTATCACGTCCCGGATCACGAATCTTCGCGTTTTGATCTGCACCAGCTTTGAGGAATCTCTCCATGAGATCCAATCTGCCGATTGCGGTCGCCCAATTGAGTATATAAGGGTGTCTCTCAACCACCCTCTTGTGGTAGATTGGAATGCAGGCATGGTAGAAGCCTTTGCACACCCGAGATAGAGCGTGTATGTCATCCACATCTCGGACGTCGACGCAGTGAGCAATCCTCTCGATGGCTTCCATCGGAAGACTGATCATTGTTGTCGGGGTCGAGGGTGATGCTGCCTTAACTTGAGGATGGGCAGGTCTTGTCATGTTCCGTGGCGCCATTGTGCTTATTCAGTGACGAATATGTTTCTAGAAGTGCTAAGGGGATACGAGAGTGATAATGGTCCAGTGATAAAGTAAGAGCCAGAATGATATTGGCGTAAGGTGAACGGAGAAGATCTGCTCCCCAGGTCAACGGGCTTTGTGGACTGATTAGAGAATACATAGCTGTCAAGAGAAATCGGCGGCCTTATGGAATTCTCCATAAAGTCTTCTGGAGATAGAACACGAAGCGTAACTTTGAGCCAAGGACCTTCCGAGTTTTTCTAATCCCTTGCGGAGACACCTTGCGAAGCCAAACCTAGGCCAAGTTCTTCCCGAGTTGTTCGGGTCATTGAGGTTGCGGTTCTAAATTACACTTGAACATCGAAACGACTGAGAAATGACAGAGCGATAGCAGCTCAAGATGAGGATATTCTGGTGTTAGTGATATTGGAGGTTTGAGGTTTGTGAAAGGCTGACCTACTAGGTAGGTACGTGTGCGAGTAACAGCGGCGACCATGCAAGCCTCTCAGCCATGTAGGCTGATTCCCGAATACATGACTATCTACAAAGGTTAGATCACATCACTATGAGTCCAAGATATGCAAAACTCTAGAATTTGAGTAGCATGGGCTTGGGAGACAGATGTGTGGGTATTCACACGCTGATAGTTGTGTTCCGAACATGGGACGACACGTAGCAAAGAGGTTCAATGTTGTAAGGCAAGTTAATAGCTCAAAGATACTATAGCATCTGATTAAGGCACGACCTGATATCTTGGACTAGGATAACTGTCCCCAATCCGTAAGGACATCAGGAGCGACTACTCTACAACCGCCTGCAGCATCATGTCCGGTAGTATGTTCCTCATCCTCCATATTACAGGAACGTACACAGCACACTCTCTTTCATCACTTCCCACTCCTAATCCAACCCCAGTCTCTCATATCTGACCGTCTTCTCATCTCAAATACTTAAGCCAAACAGCACACCCTCCCACAAAGAAAATCCCCATCAATATCAAATTCGTCAAGACCCCCTCAATCCACCTCTTGATTGCCATCTCCTCCCTTGCCTTCCAGCCGCCACCGGGACCAACAGCGTTCGCGTGCGGGAACGGCACATCAGGCACCTCCTTACCCAGAAACTTGCACAGGGGCTCCCATCCTTCATCAGCAGACCACTCGAGGAGTCGGTCGGGGGGCACCATGCCGCGGATCATGTCGCAGTGTTCTATGATTGAAATGCTGTTAGCCCCATCATATCATAACAATTAATTGCCGCGAGACGTGCGTCTGTTCCGTTGTCCAAGGTCTCGCATATCAGACCAAGAGTATCCACTCAACGCCAGACAAGACTGTGTGACGCGCATACAGAAAGGCCTGAATTCGGGAAGAAGAAACAGAAAAAGGCTTGACCATAGCAAAAAGAAACACAGAAAGGCTTGAACCCCCAAAAAGAAATCAAAACAGGAGTTCGGCTCAAAAAAAGAAAATGCAACTCACCACGATAAATCCACTTCCCATTCCTCTTAATCGCCCTCGCCATATCCCCATCAGGCGCTCGGAAGAACAATGCCCACAAAAACCTCTCATAGACGTGCCACGCCCAAAACGCCTCCCGGTCCAACAGGCTCGACACCCAGAAGCTCCAGCTCTCATTGACGTGCACCAGCGTCTTGACGGCACTCTTGTGCCACGAGTCCAGGTCCCGCCGCACGTTGAGAACGACTTTGGCCTCTGGGTACGCCCGGATCATCTCCGCCGCAAAGCAGCTCGCCGCCGCGTCCGTCACCGCAACGCAGTGGCCTAGCAACTCGTCGAATTCTTCGGCCGTGATGTTGCAGTCGCCTTCTGATGAGGGATCGTCGATTTCCTTCCCTCCTTTGCGTTTTGGCGACGACCCGCCCCCGCCGTACCATTTCTTCCGAGCAAGCTTCACCCAGCCTGTCGCCGGAATCGGAGGGTCGTCGTACACGATATCCCAGCCGTGGTAGGTGTGATCGTACCCGAGCGCAAGTAGAGCCTGCTGCAGGGACTCGGTGGCGCTTCGCGGCGGGCCGACGCAGAGAACCTGCATCGGCTTCGTGCGCTTGCGCTTCGGCGGCGGCGGGATGCGGTAGACGTGGTTCTCCAGGAAGCGCCACCACCAGTGGTCGAGGCTCGACATTGGCGAATGCATGGCTGCACGTTTCGTTTCGTTTCGTTTCGTTGGCGGCAAAACCGTCTCCCGCGGTCACTAATTTAGTCCCGCGTCTGTCGGTTGTTCCCGCTTCTCGACTTTCCTCGTGGGAAGCTCGTCTCGTTCCGCTAGTGCTTCGCTATGTCTGTCACGTTCTTTGGGCGCTGGTAATCTCAAGATTCGCAAAGACCGAAGATGAGCTGAGCTGCAGACGAAAAGAAGCCCACAACCGAGCGTGCATACGTTCGTGCCGCAGACGTCAAAACGTGCGACAGCTCCCGTGTTATATAACAGCAGAGAGCTCCATACCCCCAGTCAGGTCACACTCCACCAGCGGGAAACAAGAAACATGTGCTCACAGACATTGGAAACGTCTTGTTGGAGGCCATCGTGTCGTCATAGCGTTTGGAGAGCTGACTTTCTTTTCGTTCCTTCTCCTGCTACAGCAGGTAGCAAGCAGCGGCAAGAGGATTGCATGAACCATCCCTACATATTCCGAGAACGAAGGAGGGTTACTTTGCAAAACGCTGGCGCGTTGGGGGAGGTTATGGGCATCGGATGAGGGGGAGAAGCAAAGAAGCATGAAGGACGACCTACGCACGGCGCACGGCTCGGCCGCGGTGCCTTCGCCTTCCCCACACCCGATAACTCCGCAAAGCGTCAGCGCTTGCGAAGTTGAAAGCTTGCTTCCAGGACGGCTCTGCTTGAACATGGAAGAGGGGCCACTTGACAGACACCTGTTTGGAACTGGAAAATGCCTTGGTATAATGTGATGCGGCGGCCGAACGAGGTGAGCCTTAGACGAACCGTGACGTGTGACGGGGCCTATACATGAACCGAGACAAGCCTGCCATTCAGGCTGTCAACCTTCGGTTTCGGCTTTTCAGCCGTGCTTGCAAACCCAGTATCCCGCCTTTTTTCCCTCTGCCGGCTCCAATGACCGCCAGAACTTAGTCCACCCGGGGCGTCCGTCGCTCCGCAGGTATTCAACCTCCTTGACCTCGCCCTCACCTTTCTGGCTCTCTGCTGCAAGAAGTGCAGTGTACAGCGATTGGTAAAACAGAACCTGCTTGTCAATCTCCTCGGGCATCGCGTCAATAGGCCCCAATATGAGAGACTCTAGCTCGTTCGTGTCCACATCGCCAAGAGTGGAGATGAGGAGGGTAGTCACATTCGGTCGAGGCACCGGGACCCTACGAACGGAACCCTCAAAGGAAATGTGTAGCCGACGGAGGGCAGGGAAATTCGGCGCGATACTCTCAATGATGTTCAGATACTGGTCTCGGGGACTGAGTGCCCGAAGCTCAGTGATTGTAGGCGCCCCGGGTGAAGGTCGCGGAGACTTGTCGAGGGATTTGTCGATGAGGGACTCATCGCGGTCCGGTATGCGTATTTCCAGTGATGTGATCCAGCTGAGCTGCGGCGTGGCGATGGAATATCGAAAGTACATGGCCTCAAGCCTCTGCTCGAACTTGAATGTGTTGCTCGCGTACAAGACCTGTATCGTCTCTTCGTAGCTGCACATCAGTCAGTATTGGTCATCCGATGTAATGAAAACCACCGTTTGTCTCATCTCATGCGCCACGATGAACTCCCTCGGGTGCGGAGAACGAACTCACGCTCTTCGGCATGTTAGCAACCATGGGAGTACACCCAGATAGGTCTCCTTAGGACCGCATGTCTGGTAGAAACCTCTAGGACACTGATCAGACAGTTTAGTCTCGAGCTTTCGATCCTCCGGCCCGCATACGCAGCTCCACCAGTACCACTGCGGCGTCATACTCGCATCGGCAAAAGGCGGATCCATAGGCGACACGCTCGGTGAATGAGGGTACCAAGCCGGCACAGGCTGGTGGCCTTTCCGCCATCTCACATCTGGTTGGAGGCTGCGGCGGTACAGTAAGTAGAGATGTAGAATCTTGCGGCCAAAAGCAAGCTGGTAAATCTGGTAGCGGAGGTCGGAGGAGAGGACCTCGAAGAACGGCCCCGCTGAGCCGTTCACATACTTCTTCGCTTCCCTGAGTGGTTGCTGTGTCCGAATGGGAAGGGAGATCTGGGACCCGGCGTCGACATGGGCGCCGGGGATCGCTTCGGCTCGGTCATCTCCCTTGATCGCCGCGGCCGGGGCTGCGTCCGCATCCGAAGCGGTGAGAGGCGCGTCGCGCGGCACGACCCGCGGTGATGTGTCGCGACCCAGGCCCGGTACTTGGAGAGTTAGTTCCGACATGGCTGCTGGGCGCCGTAGCGACAGAGCGGATGACGGTGCAGAGCTTGAACCAGTTTTTTCGGCTGTCTGCTGTGTCTGTGAAAGTTGAAAAGAGCACGAGAGGTTGCAGGAGTAAAGAAACAGTTGGATGTAGAGCAGCAGGTGGTTTTGCAGACTTGAAGTATCACCCAAATGAACCAACTGCCCTGAACTTGGCGATAAGGCGTTCATCGGTACGTACTCTTCATCAGGTCCCCGGTCTCAGGTGGGTCATCTTTACCGTGTGACTATCCGGAAGGAAGGAGGGGCTGGCGTGCAATCAAGGTGACTGCCATACCGTGCCTGAACTGTACCCCTGAATCCGTCCGCTGAAGCAACTGCAACCGGCTGCGATCCAAGAGCGCGGATGCGTCTGGCAGGATTCCCAGGCATGGCCTATATAGCAACTCAATCACCAAGACAACCTATGTTGGCATTGCAACGTTGATGGCTCAATCTCAAGCTTGTGGGAACATCACTGACGAGTACGTTGGGAATAAGACAGATGATTCTCTTAATGTTTGCGACATGACAGAAGCCTGAGACTATGCTAGCAACTTTCCCCAGCATCACGCCCCTGAACTAATAGCTGTCGGCGACTATCAGGCCTCACAGCCTCCAAAAATCTTCCAAATAATGATCTCGTCTGTACAATTTTGTCAATCCGCCTTCTCCGTTTCATATGCGCTCGCACGTGGGCGGTTATTGACCAGAAACCTGTCGCTTAGAAGCCCATCGCAATCAGGGCGCCTGCGATGACGCCGAAGCCCCCAACCATGAGTCGCTGGGCTGGGCTCTGGGTGACGATGGCTGGAGTGAATGTCGCGGTGGCAGCAGGAGGGTCGTCCGTCAGAATGAGCGTCTGGAACATCGGTCCGTCGGGAGTAGATGTAGCGACGGGAATGGTGACGTTGCCCGGAGAAGGAACGATGACGGGAGGGTCATCGTACGGGGTCAGACTAGTGACGCCAGGGTCGCTGGGAGTCGTCTGAGGTGGTGCGAGAGGGTTGGTATATGTCTCAATCACTGGCGCAGCTGGTGGTGCGGTAGCTACGGGAGGATCCGACTGAATGCTGCCGTAACTTTGCAATCCAGGTGTACTCGTCGGCGGGACATGAACGACGACCGTCTGAATGACAACTGTAGGAGCCGAGGGAGAAGCTAGCGACAGAGTAGTAGGAGTGCCCGACAGAACGGTGAAGGAAGTTGTCAGACCACCACCGCCTGGTGTAACGCTCTGGATGATTACAGTCGATCTCGTGGCCAGCTTCACGGTACGGGTAATGGGAGGGAGTCGGATGGTGGAGTACGTGATATCCGGACCGGGATCACTGCCATCTGGACCAGTTGGAGCCGGGCCAGCGGGAGACGGATCAGAGGGAAGCGGCATCTCGTTGCAAGCCTTGTACACATTGGCATAGCTGCAGGTCGGAGGATTAAAGAATCCACACTGGCCGAGCGCGATGTTGCCATTGCACGGGTTGCTGCAGAGAGCCTCGTTCACGACTGGGAAGCTCTGAATGCTGCTGCCGCAACGACAACCACTGTTGAAGACGATACTCGTCAGTATCGGGTGGCCATTGTGATGCTAATGCATGAAATGTTTTTAAGAGTGTGAGCGATAGGACGACTTACTCGGGGAAAGTAGCAGCGTAGTTGCGACCGGTGCAAGCAGACTGACACTGCTCAGGGGTGTATCCTTTACCAAAGTTGACAAAGGCGTCGAATTTGTCCGAGGTGACGCTGACGCACCCAAGGTACTCGAAGCCGTAGATGACGTGGTTGGACTGAGCCGCGACCATGGCAGCCAGCAACAGAGTGAGGAGCGGCTTCAACATGTTGAGCGGGTGGCGGGAATAGCGAGTGGAGGTGGTGTTGCTTAGAGAAGGTCGGAAAATGACAATGCCCTGGTGAAGGTGGAGGAAACGAGTGATGATGGATTCTCAGAGTTGAGGATGAAAGAGTGTACGAAGGGTGATTCTGTGGATGGTTGGGATATTTGTGTGGAAGAAGAAAAAGAGGCGAGGCCTAGACAGCCCTTGAGAAGGAACAGGAAGGTAAAGGGTGAACCTAGGAAGGAAGGCGTAATAAGCATCCCTCGACACTTTCCTCCGTCAACCTGGGGGTGGAAGTTATGAACAAGGTATGGGAAGGTAGGAATACGTGCCTTCCTCACCTCAGCAGGTACGTAGTTGGGGGCATCTACTTTACTCCCAACTGACCTTGGTAAGAGCAGATGGAAGGACGAGAAAGAAGTAACTTAGCGAACGGGCGGGATGTAACATCACGTCAGGTACTTCGAAGAAATGACGAAGAGGGTGCCTTCAATTCTCTGCTCGGTCTAAGTTGTGATAGGTGAAAGGGCTCAACTTGGACAGCCTATACTCTTCCATTCCAAAATTCCAACACCGCCGCAGAACGGTAGCAATCGTCAGAGCTCTCCTTGATCATCACGATGCCCTTGAGGCGTGTGAAAACCTCTAGGGGCATTCTAGAGCCAGTGATGACGGGCGAGAAGCGGTTGTGGCTTGGGAGCCAGAACACAGCATCCCGCCCGTCCGTGGCCGATCGAGTCTTCATCACCCGATTGCATACACATAAGGCCCCTTACATATATCCTCCGCCACCAGACCTATCCTCGCTGGAGCCCAGATCGGCTCGCTTGTTTTCGTCCACGATTGAGCAGCTTAGTGCTTCTTTCTTGACGACGCCGAGACAAGCTTCTTCTTGACGCTCTTGGGGATCTTCTCCTTGCGCTTCTCGCGTTTGGCCTCCTTGACAGCCTGCTTGTGTTGCTGTGCTGTGTCAGTAAAGCTATTCCTCGTATTCCACGCAGACAGACTAACCTTCTTCTCGTCCTTGTCCTCGTGCTTGCGCCCCCTAGGCCGGCCCTTGTCAAACTTGGAATCGTCCTCCTCGCCGCTGGCCAGAGAAGCTCCGCTGCCTGATTCGTCCTCCGAAGTCTCTTCCTCCTCTTCCTCTTCCTTCTCTTCGTCCTTGACGACAGCGTCGGCCAAAAGGTTCTTGTAGACAAGCTTGTCACCATCACCCTGCCCAATCTTTGCGGCATCCTTCTCAATGTCATAGACCTGCTCGAGGGTCTGGGGAATGTACTGTTTCCGGAAAACCTCGTTGTCAACCTCTTGCTCCGCAGCAGCCTCCTCGTCGTCGGCGGGCCTGCTGGTGTACAGCTGCTCGATAGCCTCACCTAGGGCAGGCTCCTCAACAGGACCGTCCGCCGCAGAGATGAAGTCAAAGATGCTGCGGTCGCTGAGCGTGTCGACTCCCTTTCTCCTGAAAAAGTCGCCAACGTTCTTAATATCCATGCGCAGGAACTCTAATGCCCGCGGGTGGTCGGGCTCGACACTCTGGGATACATCAATGATGTACAGCTTTCCCGCGTTGTACAGGATGTTGTACTCGCTCAAATCGGCGTGAACGAGCCTGCAAATCTGGTATATCCGGCGCATGAGACCCAGAAGCTGGACGTACAGTGCTCTCCACTGCTCATCGACATCGTCTCCGGTCAGGTTTGCGTCTCTTAGACGGGGATACGCCCATCCCTTCTTGTCACCGAGGAAGCCCATAGCCAGAACGTGCAGCTTCAGGCTGATGGGTTCCGGACACGGGATGCCCGCGGCATGTATTCTCCTCAAGTTACGGAACTCCTTCTCGGCCCACAACTTGACCATCTTTCTGTTGCTGCTCTTGTCGAAACCCTTCTGGAAACGGTGCTCGCCTGCAATGTATCTCTCGCGATCCTTGAAGACGAGAATCGATGTCTTGTACACCTTGATGGCCCGCTGCACATTGGGACTGTCGCCCTCGGGGTGCAAAATGGCGTGGTAGACGTTGGCCTCCTTTCCGGTACTGATGGCACCATGAATCTCACTGACGATGCCACGGTTGATCATCTGCAGCAGGATCATGCGCGTGCGCTGATCCAGTACCTGCTCGCTCGTTGCGCGGTCCGCCTTATCCTTGCTCTTCTCATCGGTGTCCTTGACGCTATCCAGCCTGATCTTGGCAGCATGCTTGGAAAGTGCTGTAATTTGGTCGTCGACACTCGACTTGGTGTTCGCAGTCGGTCTCTGGATGTTGGAACGTGGGACGGCATTGTCGTTGCTGTTGAACATGCGCTGCCGATTGTAGGACTTGGTCAGATCACCAGAGTCGGCGGTCCAGTCCTCATCGTCAATCTCCTCGTCCTCGCCAAAGACGTCCTCCAAGTCGTCGTCTTCTTCTTCCTGGCCTGCGGCATCGTGGGGCACGGTTCTCAGTTCGGCGGGGATGTCTTCGGTCTGTTCGTAGCCCTGGTTTGGGCGGTATGTGTAAGGGGGCTCGTGAGGAGCAGCGGGAGACTCGTTGGAAGCCATATTGAGCGCTTCTACTTTGAATTGGAAGCGCTTATCCTGTAGGTTGTTGATGGCTTGGTGCTGGCACAAGGCTGTTCAGGATAGGATAGAAACAATTGCTTAGAGCGTGGATGTTGAGTACCCCTCTGCCCCTCCAACCTCGCCCGGGATTTTCGAATTTTTTATCTTATCAGCGGTGGCGGGCGTGGCGGGGTCGTTGGACTCATTTTTGGGGGCGATGGGGGCCGTGCCCAATGATGAGTCAACACCACGGCGAGTGACTGCAGTTCCTCAGTGAATCAAGGTGAATCACCGCTGGAAATTTGGAAAGGTGAGCACTAAAACGCGCTCGCTAAACATTTAGGCGAAAAGTTCGCGCCGCATCCGACGAGTGGGTCCAATTGACGTGCCCGCTTCGCAAGTTTGGTACCTGCACCTGCCGTTAAATCCCCGGGGTGCGGTGAGGCACCTCAGGCGCAGACCGCCAACTTCAACTCGTGACAAGACAACACATCTCGAGCTGGGAAATGGACGCCCAACTCCACCCCGACATCGCCTCAATGCGGCAAGGTGCTTGACTACCTATATGCACAATGCAATATGCATACATTGCAGGTCATCCTGGATCGTATTGAGGCTGCGTTTGCCGCGACATGCGAGAGTCACTGCTTCGGTCCACGAACAACCTAACGGGATTCCGAGATGTCGCCTCGGATGTGGTTCTTTGAGTCTCGGCCGGACAACTTAGAGAAAGCTGCTGTGGCTGCCTTCGATGCGTCAAGTCTTCATCTGCTCCTTCAAACTGTGTCTCATTCCGGAATACGAAGGCGCCCATATTACATGGATGGAGGCCGAGACGGGCGTCCAAGGGTGCATCTGGTCTAATTTGTAATGAACAACATCTTCCTAGAAACTTTACCTTATCCTGCCCGACTCTCTGCCTTCATGTTCTGCAAAGCAAAGAAGGATGAACTGTCCAAGATGCTCAGTATTCTATACCTCAGCCGGGCATGATTTCCTCGCAACCTCGCCGGGGGTCACTCATCGTCTCTTACGCTCTGGGCATCTGTTTGCGCTCGGGTCTTTATCATCCCACTTTGCACATGGCGCTGCCGTCCTGCCGTCGCCGGCTGATGCGGTCCATTGTTCAGTCACATCAACTTTGTGCTCCCGCCGAATTCTTCAAGATCATGAGCTCGCTCAAGCAGTCTGAGAGGCATCTAGATTTGCCGCCCGAACCTCGCGATAGCTTGGGCACAAACTCTCGCCAAGATGTCAAGTCTCGCGGGAAAGGGCACTCTTGCGCTCTTCCAGAATCGGGCAGACAATTCGTGTTGCCGAGACATGTTGCGAGCAAGCGCAGAACGATCTTTGGCATTAACTCAGTTCGCCTTATGCGGGCGACGAGACAACCCTGATCACACGCACATTCGCCCATTTTGCTCTTTCCAGTGACTGCAACTTCTAGGGAACTGACTTCCCAGTGTTTTCTTGACTTCAAAGCTACGATGAACACCGCAAGAGCTAATCTCTCAGTTGGCCTCGTAGCTTCAGCCCCTTCACCATCCATCCCCTCGGAAACCAGCGCGGCCGAGAAGTCTGCCGATCGAACCCACGCCGCTCCCCTCTGCCCAAAGTCTCTATGCAATACCGGCAGCTGTCAACGGGCAGGCGACATGGTACCAGGCCGTTGGTGCCGCTGCCGAACCGACCACCTCCAGGCACGGCCCTTGTGCGGGGAGCAAAAGGTTATTATAACGTTTGCCCACCGAGTCTCCCAACGCTACGCACAGCCAATGACACCCGTTCACCAGATCATAGGTAATAGTTCTCAGGCTTATACGGGGTCAGCCTACCCATCCATGCACAAATAACCTCTGTCTCATCGCAATAAGGTGGTTCTATTTACTTTGCTAGTCTCTGCGGCGTGAAACTAGCAGTATCTGCGCTCTTCTTATATCGTCAACCTTCCCTGCCCCAATCTTCAGCCTGCTTGCCCTAGTGGACTGATTAGTGATGCCTTCCTGATTCCATCATCTTTCGTTCAGGGTGAATCTTGCCCAGCGTCTCTCAGTATCCTCCTCGCTAGGCGTGATGACTTTTCGCAAGCGCTGGGCATGGGTGTTTGGGGTTATTGTCGTCCTTCTTACACTCACTACGCCCGTCAGCGCTCATCACAAGAAGAAACCCGATACGTTAGCCCCTCTGCCGGCTCCAATACCGAGGCCGTCTGTAACTCCAGGACCGAGACCAAAGCCTCCGCCTGCGCCTGTGCCAATCGTACCACCGGGCCCTAAGCCAAAGCCAACGGTAACTCCAACTGCGATACCAAAAGCACCTCCGGCCCCGGTGCCCATCGCACCGCCAGCGCCTAAACCGAAGCCGAATCCACCAAAGGCAAAGCCTGAGTTCACCGAAGAGGAGATTAACAATGGAACGGCTCTGGCGAAACTGAATAAGAGAGCCCTCGAAAATGCGCGGAGTATCAATGTGCCACAGAAACATCCAATATCCAACATCACCACAAATGGTACGAGGCTGTGTCAAGGAGAAGGGGTGTTGATGAGAAAAGAATGGTGAGGAACAAAAATTTCCCCTCCTGCGTTCCCAGAGACGGTCGCTAATTTGCCCACAGGCGAAAGTTGACTGTCACGGAGAGGAAGTCCTTCATAACTGCCGTCCAATGCATCATGAACGAGCCGGTGGTATCGGATCCTAAGAGAGTGCCTATGGCAAAGTCTCTGTACGACGATTTTGTAGCCGTTCACTACACCAGCTTTCGCAACACACATTTGACAGTAAGTGTCTGCTATCACGCACATCATGGTCGAAGGCTCGTGGATAGCTTGTCTAACAACCGTCCTAGGCCTCATTCTTTGCTTGGCATCGTTATTACTTGGCCAGTTTTGAGCAAAGATTGCGCACACAATGCAGATATAAAGGTATGCCCTCCAAAATTATTTCTTTGCCATGACAACGTTCGCGAAACTCACTCTTTAACAGGTGCCCTTCCATACTGGGAATGGGGACTTGATGTAAACAACCCAGCCGCCTCGCCAGTCTTTGACGGCACTGAGCTTTCGCTGGGAAGCGATGGCGAGTTCATTCCCCACGACGGTCTACAACTACGCCAGCCCTTCTCAAACAACACTATCAAACTTAAGCCCGGTTCCGGAGGCGGGTGCATCAAGTCAGGCCCCTTCCAGAACATGACTGTACACATTGGTCCCGCCTCACTTGCGCAATATGGCACCACGAAGCCCTTCAATGTCACGGATCCCCTCCAAGACCTACCTAGATGTCTAAAGCGAGACCTGAACAAGGACGCAGCCCAGCGGTTCAACTCGTTCAGAAATACGACAACTCTCATCCTCGAACAAACCAACATCAAGAACTTCTCTTCGCTTTTACAAGGCGATGACCGCTTCTTTCCTAACACTTTGGGGATCCACGGTGGTGGCCATTTCATCATTGGCGGGGATCCAGGGGCGGACGGTGTCATCGCGCCCGGCGACCCGGCGTTCTGGGTCCACCAGGCCCAGGTCGACCGCGTGTATTGGATCTGGCAGAACCTTGACTTCAAGAATCGCCAGGGAGTATTTGGTACAATGTCCCTGCAAGATAACCCAAAGAGCCCCGAGGGCAGCATCGAGGATGACATTGACCTTACGCCTCTCAACACGCCAGTGAAGATTAAGAACCTGATGAACACGGTTTCTGGGGCGCCGCTTTGCTACATGTACGAGTAGTAGAATTCTTTAGCGATCGTTTGATTCTTAATAGATTTGATACCCCTCGACCTTGCTCACCATTTGTAGAACACCGACGGTACCGCAGTACCGTTGAATCCAGACATACAGTAGTATTGTCTCTTCTATGAACTTTCCGCCTCACGTTGTTACTTAACGTAACTAAGGTATGCTTTTCGGCTATTACCGCGAGTAGCCTCAATGTATACACACCATCTGACTCTACTCAAATTTGAATCGTTGAGTTTAAACGTTGACGTCGGGTGGCGAAAGCTAGAACGGCTGTTCACTAAACGGGTTCACGGGAGTTTTGTAAAGAGCGAACAGTAGACTTTATGACTGGGTTTGTCTTCGAGTCGCAGTTACTTTTCCTTGTAACTGGTCCACGGTATAGAGATATTCTGGCCCGAGTCAGGATTCGCAACGATCTACGCGTAGCTGAAGCCCCATAGAACTCTCAGTTAACTCTCATTCGCCTCAAAATCGCCTCAAAATCGCCTCGTTCTCGTGTGCCATTGAGTGCGACAGAACAGACGAGAAGCCTTCTCGAAAAAGGAAGCCACTTGTGACAATCTCAAACTCTGGGAAAAAGAAAGGCGAAAAAAGGGGTGCGCAACTTCACTCCAACGGACCCAGCTTCCCAATCACCTAGCAAGACCTGGGACCAACGTCCGTAGCGAGACCATTTTCAGTCCGCCCTCTCAACGAGGGACAACCTAGCGACGATCGAAACAAGCTTTCCTAAGATTAGACGGTAGCCTCCACTGGAGCCGTACGTCCTCCCACTTCGGGCCCCCGCCGAAGAGCCCCTTTCATCCTCGTAGCCTGTAGCTTTGGGGGACGTGCCCCCGTCGTCGGTCGATCGGGCCCGTCAAAGCGTCACCCGCTACGCAGTAAGGTCCAACCCCGGGGCTTTGGGGGGAAGAGAAACGCGTGGCTCTGGTGTTTTGAAACATCTGATGTTAGCTCCCCGCTAGCAGTCTGGTTCGGTGCTGGAGCTTAGCGTTGGCGTTGGAAGTGGTGACTCTGGTGAGTCTTGGTGAGTGCAGTTGGTGTGGCGGTGACGTCTACAAACATTTCCCTCAAACCTTTAAAGTCTGTTTGCTTAATACCGCCCGGAGCCCTTTTATTGCAATCTTTGCCGAGAAGGGGTTGATTCAGTTGGTTTCCGTTTTCCGTCCGCTCGTCAGACAAGCGAACTCTTTTTCTTCTCTTAAGTATTGTCAGCTGTTAATATCTACTTCGCTTGTTGTTTCCCTCGTCCCATGCTTCTCAGAGACGCTCTTTCGATCATGTTATCCCAACTCTTTGCATGACGGCCACCCACAACGTGTTTACCACCTAGCAGCGTTCAATTCTTCAAGATTACAACAGATAACAAATATTCAATTAATTTGATCTCAACGCACGCGAAATCTCGGTTCACTTATCGACACTCTGTTGAGAGACTCTAATCCGCGTGTAACGCAAACAAAGTGCTGTGTAACCCTCGTGTAAGAAGCCGGGAAGGAGAGCAAAATCGCCTTGCTCCCTTACACAAAAGTATCACGACGTCAAACAACCGACCCTTCAGACCGACGTCACCAGCCCACAAACGAGAACGTTTCTGTTTTCTGTTTTCAGCCAACGAGTGAGGCGCAACGCCATTGTTGCCGCATTTCCGTCCTTTTCGTATCACTTGTCTCAAGCGGCGCGAACACGTCACCGGTCGTGTCTTACGAGACACTAGAGCGACTAGCTGCGAGTTCGACCCGTCTAGCCCTCTTCCTACCAAACGCTCAACGGTCATTAGATTTCGCCACGGCGATTTCATTTTCGCCCTTTCTACACCCATCGAATTCGACAATCTGGGTATCACCTCGCCTCGAACTCACGATGTTGTCGATGCCAGCGCCTCGGATGCTGTCCATGACAGGCCCGAGATCAAGTCGGAATGTCCCCATCGTCTACGTTGTGTTGGCAATATGCCTCTTACTCTTCTTCGTCCAAACCGAGTTCGGATACACAGTGATGGAAAAGGTGGCAGATGCAAAACCCCATGCACCCAAGATCAACAGCCTGACATCGACACCGACCCCGAAGCCCAATTACAAGCCGCAGCCGACTTGGACACCACCGCCCGTCAAAGATCCCTTTCCGCTTCTCTCGTCGGGCATGCCGCCACCGGTGCCATCGTGGAATAGGCCTGAGAAGCCCAACGTATACCACAAATACTCCTTGACGACGGCGCCGCCCTTGATGATCGGCTTCACGCGGAGCTGGCCGATGCTGCTGCAGACAGTTGTCGGTTATATCACCGCCGGTTGGCCGGCGGAGCAGATCTACGTCGTGGAGAATACTGGCGTTCACGATTCAAATGCCCGAGGCCGGTTGACGCTGCAAAATCCGTTCTATCTCAATTACACCCAGCTCCACATGCTTGGCGTTCACGTCATGCGCACGCCGGTTTTGCTCAACTTTGCGCAACTCCAAAACTTCTTCATCACGGTTGCAAAGGAGAAGCCGTGGTCATACTACTTCTGGAGTCACATGGACGCATTCGTCCTCTCCAGCGAGGAGGGAATTCCAGGAGTCTCTGGAGCAGTCGGCACACCCGAGTACCAGACCATTTACGAGCTGGCCGTCAAGGAGTTGAATGAGACGATGCGATCAGATCACAAGTGGGGTGCCCGGTTCTTCGCATACGATCACCTCGCCCTGGTGAATCCGCGCGCTTACGAAGACGTCGGTGGCTTCGACACGTTCATCCCGTACTACATGACGGACTGCGACATGCATTGGCGGCTCGAGGAGGCGGGATGGAGCATCAAAGAGGCGCAGGCGGGTATTGTCCAGGATGTTGCGTCAGTGCTGGATGACTTACGCGTCCTGTACCGCGAGGGGGAGGTTCCCGAGGGGTTTGGCTTCACGGACCCGAATCCACCACAGAGCAAGGTTTTAGGCGAGGTCCCGCTGGAAGACGACAAGGGGAGCCTACCGGTGCCTGATGCTGTTCCGGAATTGGATGAGACGGGGGCGCCGGTGGATGACGCGGCTGGTGGCGCGGATGAGGATTCGACGACGGCTGTTGATCCTTTGACGACTTTCAGGAGGCTGCACAGGATCAGTCAGGATATGTTCAATCATAAGCATGCGGATCGGGAGAGGAATACTTGGCAGTTGGGACAGAGGGGAGGAGATCCACGGGAGCCTTATTCATATGATGCTCTTGGATTCCAGGTTGGAATAGATGTCATGACCGAGGCCGGGCGAGAAACCTTCCGACGGAAATGGGGTCATCGAGGGTGTGATTTTGGTGCTGCTGGATTGAGACCCAGCGATGCATGGAAAGTAGAAAAGGATTGGGAATAATGAAGGCCGGGGACAAGGAGGAGTTCGGACATATACGGAGTTGGCGTCAGGAAACACTCTTTCCATAACTTCAAGTCTATTTCACGTTAAAATGATAAGCAGATTGTCAAGATATATACCATGTTTCTTTCCGCTTGACATATAATCAAGTGTTGACTCCTTTCAAGACTCGGAATTCCCAAGTTATCACTGAAGCTGCAAATCGTGTGGAGCTTGGGACTCGAAGACCGTCAATACCATGCGCACTCCAACCAAGGACGTTACTTCAAAGTTGCGAAAGCATGCTCCAGTTGTGCCACCTTCGCACAAAACCCGCCAATGTAATAGCCAGTCGGGGAGATTTCAGTACTAAGAAGACGACATGGAATCAGCGTTGCATCACAACTTCAAGTCGCACATGGGAGCTAAATTTGTCCAACTACGGCTAGCTGCTTACCGAAGTGGGGTAGAAAGGCAGCAACAACCTTCAACAGGCTGGTCGCTCAATTTCCAACCTCACGAACTCCAAGCTGACAGTCAGTGTTCTCAAGCAAGGATCTTAGCCTGTCTCATTTCTACTGCCTCTGTAGGCGTAGAAATACTATGCTCACACATTATGCCAACCACAAAGCTCGAAAATCTCCCTCCAGAGGTGTTGACTGCGGTCTGTACCTCGTTTAGAGACGACCGGGCGGGACTATTGTCAATCTCTCAGGTCTCGAAGTACCTGCGGGCAATATCAGTCCCCATCATATTCAAACACATTACCATCACGACAAGTACTGGGAGACGTCGACGTCGAAGATCTAGTCGTCCTCCGACTCGTGATACCCGAGCGAGTTTACTACGCACCATAGTCGCCAATCCATCGATCGCCGCGCATGTCTCTAACGTCTACTGTCCATCATCACGGGGCGCCGTGCCTAGCATAGACGAGGAAGACATGGATTTCATTCTTCAGACAGCCTCAAAATTTGATGTCCCGGTTCCAGAATTACTCCGCTTCGGCGGTGCTGACCCAGCTCTTGAGGGTAGGCGCGGCTGGGCCCTCAGTGATGACGACATGCAGCGCCTCGTCGCTGTGCGCGCATTCTTCGCAGAACTCATTATAGCACATACGCCCAATATCGTCACACTAGACTATAGTATAGGCCGCTACCGGAATGCCCTCGAAGTGTTAGGGATGGTCCAGGCTTCATCCTCTTTCAACCGTCAGCCGATGTTTCCTGTGCTGAAAAACGTCCGCTTGCAGCTATTTGGGCCCGGAATCTTCCTCAGAACGCTACCTGTAATCGCTCCCAATCTCCAAACACTCCGGATCCAAGGATTAGCTGCACCAATGGAAGCCTGGCACTTCGATAGGGTCAAGGATCTCCGATTAACCTCATCAAATTTTACGGGCCCTGAGCTCAGGACCGTCTTGACAGGGTGTCCCGCTTTGACGAACTTTGACTACGACTACTATTCTCTCAGAGACCAGAGATGTGCTCCGCAAGATGTACTTGATGCTTTGGGGGGCTTTGAAACACAGTTGGAGGGCCTCTCCTTGAACTTTCACTCCGACACATGGACAGGCCGTGGGCGGGAGCCATTGCCTACAGATTCAAATGAGCCCAACTCGGGGCTGATAGTGTCTTTAAAGCATTTTACGGCCTTGGTCAATATTCAGCTGGACAGTGTGTGCTTGTGGAAAGACACAGGCAAGGAGTCCACAGGCGAGGATCAAGAAAGTGAGACGGAACAAATACTCATAAACCTTCTACCAAGGGCTGTAAAGAACTTACGTCTCACTTAGAAGAGCCCGAAGCCGTTTGAGGAAGCGCTACCCACCCTTGCGCACCATCTCGAGGATTGCTGCCCCGGGTTACAGCAAGTTCACAACAAACTGCTTTTCGATGGACCATTGTCTCAAGACCTCCTCGACCGGCTACGGCATGTCAGAGAACAGTTCGTTTCACTTGGTATTGATTTTAAATTCGATGTTTCTAGGTTGAACGGTTGTGTTTATGTCAACTTGGATGATGGGGGTCTGCCGGTTTCCATCGAGGCGATGACTGAAGAGGAATGGATTATTTCTGAATTAGGTTGATATGGATACCATTGAATCGTTTGCGTGTGAGGAGCAGTCTGTAGATGCCTCATCTTGTTTTTAGGTTCAGCGTCTTTTTTAGGCGATATCTACCCTTGCCAGAATTCAGAATGCTAGGAGGATCAAAGATGAGCCAAAGGGATATCAGGAGTGCTCCAAGAGCACCTGAAGCCGCTTTCGCCTAGCTTAGGGCGGTCTTGACTGTCAACTACTCATTGGGAAGTGGGTTCGTGTTCGTTAGGATGACTCACCAAAAGCCAGTGAGAAATGAGCGTCTGTAATTGGCTGAGAGGCTTTTATGACCTGGTTTTCACGATTCACGTTGCGGGGTCGAATAGGCAGCCGCGGGCTAACAAGGAGCAAGATTAAGAAATGTCCTAGTCAGTGGATTTTGAAAATCAATCTTTAATATTCATTGCGTTCAAATCGATTCCCTTTCGTAATTCTACTGCCTTGCTCTATGAGCCGCAAGCCGCCTGAATGTCCTCAGCTGAAGATCCCGGCCGTAAAGAACTTCAACCACCCACGCCCACTAAGTCCCCAATGATAACGTCAATCATACGCCTTCAGGATCTTCCGACAGAAATTCTTTTCCAGATTTGCCTGGAATTGAAAAATGATGACGCTTCAGGCGTATCCAGGCTCTCATTGACCTCCAGAGAATTCCGGGATATTACAATGCCCCACATATTCGACCGACTGTCCTTTACAAGACCTCCAACTCACTCGAACACTACAAATGGAACCAAAGACAGCCGGATAGGCCTTCTTAGAACAATGATTAAAAATTCTAAGATCGCCTCTGAGGTCAAAGAGATTGAAGACTTGCTCGACGGGAAAGGACTCTTGACCAAAGAAGATCTCGATATCATCATTCAGGCAACCAAGGACCTCGGACTTACGCCACCAGAAGCTTTGACGCGGCTCTGCCAACAGTTGCAACCGTCCGAAACGGTAGGAGACATCCAATTTAGTCTCAATCATGGGGCTTACGAGCACTTGGGCTGTTTCATGACAGAAATGCTAGTTGCTCATACGCCCAACCTTCGAGGTTGGGAGTATAATGTCCATGGCTGCTCAAATGCATTCAAGTCACTTCGAGAGGCAGTCGGAGCTCGGATCGGAATGCCGCTGCTGCCCAATTTAGTGGATGCTTACATTGAGTTGAACGGATCGGCGGATCGGGTGCAGCCTTTGGCAGAGGCCGCTCCAACTCTAGACAGCCTCTGGCTCACTTGCATTCGGGGACTTCAATCCGACATTCAATTCAACAGCGTGCGAGTCTTGATCTTGACAAAAACAGACTTGACCGCTGCCGAACTCAAAAGACTTCTGTGCGGTTTCCCTGGTCTCAAGAAGTTCTGGTTCACATCAAGCCACCGCTCAATGCGTATCGGGAGCAACTCGCAGCTATGTCGCCCTCAAGAAGTGGTGGATGCACTCCATGCTCTCGGCTTGGGAATCACAGAGCTAACGCTGCGATTTGATTCTTGGGGCTACAATGAGCCAACCCAGGATCCCAATGTCCCGCTCCATGGTCTTCTTAGCTCGATTCGGAAGCTTAATAAATTGGAGAATCTCGATTTTGACGGGATGTGCTTTTGGGGTAGAAGCCATTCTTTCAATCCATCCGAAATTTATGATTCTGTGAAAGCTCAGCCCCTTGCGAAGCTTCTTCCTCGTGGCCTTAAAAAACTTACGTTGACGGATTTGAAGAATGGTCCGTTTTATAAAGATTTAGATATATTGCAGGAGGGGATATCGGAAGTTCTGCCGGAGCTGGAAGTACTGGAATGTGGACTGCGACATAGGAAGAGACTGCCACAGGACAAGGTGCAGTACCTGACGGAACGCTTCGCGGCTCAGGGAGTGAGATTTCAAGACTTGGCAAGCCTTCATATCAGCGACGATGAGGAGGATTGAATAATGTTGACTGGACCTTCTTACAAAGTCATCAATGTTGACCAAAATCTTATGCTGGTAGGGAGACGACTCTCTAGATAACTCAAAGACTCACAAATCGCCTCCCGCCTGTCTGTATCTAGGCTGTCTTTGATCTTGGAAAGCTACTTTCATGCCGTTAGGGGAGCGAGGAAGCATGAACAGGTGACTGCTGGGTCGCTGCGATGACTACGTGTGATTCAAAAGTAGACCCATCAACTAGGGAAGATTCGCATGTATTTTGACACCTCCTCTGATTCTGGGACTGGACAATCGTGTTTACCAGTCAGCAACTCTTGGCAGCTGGGATATTAGGACTGGAAACTCGCTTTTGTCCTTGGCCTGCGTCTTAGAGCCTTGGCAGTTCATCAACATCTTATCGAGCTGCCTTTTGTGAACCTTTCCCCTCTTTGCGGAGTTGCTTCCACCCTAACTTTCGCTTGACATTTAATAGAGTGGCCGACGGTAGCCACATGCATCAGCCCGAAAGTTGATGTCCAAGAAATAAGGCGACTTCTTTGTACTGACGAATAGCTTCAAAAGTCCCTACCGCTTCCTAAGAGCACGTTAGTTCTAGAATCCCATGGCCCAAATTCGAACCTTCAACAGAAAGCCTCAGGTCACTATACTGTCTGAACTGGATCCTTACCGCCGCGCGGGGTGACATTCGGGGATCCAACCAGGTCTACCCCAGGCCATGCAGATCGGCTCGTTCCACTAGCACGCTGGCCACCAATCGTCGCCGTTGAGGGAGCTTTAAGCTTAAACCTTAAGGGCAGGTGAGAAGGATTTCGAAGGGTTGCGTGCGAGTTGCGTGCCCGGGTCGGTTGGCATGTTCGAACATGTCAATTACCCGCCTTCCTCATTCCATTCAGATTTGACAGCAAATCATCCGCCGGATGTCCTGGAATTGCTTGTGTCTTGCCTGTGAGAGAGGCTCGCTAATCTCTCCTCTTGGCCAGATAGGGAAGGTGATCAGATAATATTGACAGTCGAACTCAGATGTTATTCAAGGCTTGCACTAAGCGAGCGCAGTCCCTCGACTGACGACCTGCGTCTGGCCAGCTCATAACTCCTCACCGGGAAAGAAGCTGCCCAAGCTATGCAAGCTCCCCCAGACTGTTCATCCCTACTTTGAGGTGGAGTTGTCGTCTCGGCAGTGGCTGGTCGGACCCTTCACAACCGGCTCGTGGCACCCGAACGGGTCAGGGCATGTCTTCGAGGAGGCCAGCGGCCAATGACGCATGGCAGCTTCCCTGATATTTCAGATCTGTACTCCGTATAATCTGCCATTTGGTAAACTTGAACACGGGATTGTAAGCCCAGTGAGTGGTTTCTTAGCTTCGCGGGGATGCTGAGGGTTAGGCCGCAACCCCAGAGCTTATCTGAGTACGACCAAGACAGAGGCAATCACACCTACCACTTTCTGCAAAGAGCCGTTAGTCACACCACTTCGAAATAACTCATTGAAAGCTACGGAGTATAGGTGGTGATATCGGGAGCTGGCTATGTCATCTGATCTCCATAAATAGAGACGGATCATCGCTCCCGCTTTCCCAGCTTTCCTCCAACACTCCAGGCTTCAACTCGCTGCATTGCCACGCCGCTCCTAGAGTCTGCCGTTGACAATGAAGTTCCTCGCTGGTCTGTCCCTCGTCCTGCCGCTGGCATCCGCCGCGGCTGTGGCCCCTCTCGAGAAGAAGATCACCTATGATGGCTTCAAGGCCTTCCGTATCTCCACGCACAACGACCCCGCGTCGATTAAGAAGAAGATTGCCAACATTGCGGCGATCCCATTCAACCTCGACAACAGCGAGCACCTTGACGTCGCTATCCCCGCTGGCGATGTCTCCAAGTTCGAGGAGCTTGGCCTCGAGACGTCCATTCTTCACGAGGATCTTGGTGCTGATATCGCCGAAGAGGGCACCTTTGCTCCCTATGAGAGTAAGATTCTTCATGTCAACCATTGAGGGAGGCTGGAAGAAGAGCACTTTCTCTGACAGTTAACAGGCAACGACGACATCTCTCTTCAGGCTCTCCCCAGCCTGACGTGGTTCGACTCGTACCACACGTTCGCCGACCACCAGCAGTTCATACGCGACTTGCAGTCCAACTTCCCCTCCAACTCTGAGCTGGTCAATGCTGGTAACTCCTATGGCGGACGCTCCCTCCTCGGTATTCACCTGTGGGGTAGCGGTGGCAAGGGCTCCAAGCCTGCCATCTACTGGCACGGCACCGTCCACGCTCGCGAGTGGATCACCACCATGGTACGTCATCGGAACTTCTGCTGATTTAGTCAACATTGCTCACATGGAACAGGTTGTCGAGTACCTTACCTACCAGATCATCGATGGCTACCAGAAGAACGACGCTGCTGTCAAGGCTCTCCTTGACAAGTATGACTTTTACATCTTGCCTATTGTCAACCCTGATGGTAAGACGGATCGAACCAATATGAAACATCCCTTTTTGAACAAATGGCTGATTTCACCAAGGCTTTGCTTACACTCAGACAAACGACCGCCTTTGGCGCAAGAACCGTCAAGTCAGATCTGGCAGCACTTGCGTCGGCACTGACATCAACCGGTGCGTCCATCACATCATCCACTGCAGGGGTCATAACTAACACTCAGTAGGAACTGGCCTTTCAACTGGCAACTCCCCGGCGGTGCCTCCACCAACTACTGCTCCGAGACCTACAAGGGCCAGGCTGCCGGCGACACCCCCGAGATGGTCGCCCTGAAGGCTTACACCGACCGCCTCGCCGCCGGTAACGGCATCAAGCTCTTCATCGACTGGCACAGCTACGGCCAGTACATCCTCCTGCCCTATGGATACGACTGCTCCGCCCGAGCCTCCAACCACGCCCGCCAGATGACCCTCGCTACCAGCACTGCCAACACCATTGCCCAGGCCTACGGCACAAGGTTCACCTACGGACCTAGCTGCTCTACTCTTTACGCCACTACTGGTAGCGCTCCAGACTACCTCACCGGCGCTGCTGGTGCTGAAGTCGCCTGGACTATCGAGCTGAGACCCTCTGGATCCGCTGGTGGTGGCTTTGTTCTTCCTGCTGCCCAGATTCTGCCCAGTGCGATTGAGCAGTGGAACGGGATGAAGTACTTGCTAGCAAATGTGTAATCCGTGATATCAAGGCGTTGGATCTGACTCTTGTATTCACATTAGTGAGGAGAGAATATCTCCAAAGACCAATGAGAAATCACGTTAGCACTCAATCAATTACTACACTGAACAAAGCTTCAGGATAAAAATAATGAGAAAGGCTTTATATCAGATTATGTGAACAGCAATGATGGATGGAAGGAAGGCTACATTGTCCTTATTTTTGAAATGGTTCTATCCTATCAACTACTAACCCCACTATATCCGTTTATAATCTTTCCCTAAGTTTGCTCTATTCCAAGATTATTGATAGGCGTGTTAAGGAAAATAAGGTCGTATTGTTAGTTTATTAGTTATCCCCCTATGAGAGTACATTTATGTATACTGACGCTATCTAGTAGTTAGCTTTATTGGGGGCCCTCGATATTGATGTCTCCGACACTAACCAGTCCACACCTCCGACAAATCATGACGTTGAGACGCCGAGGGTTTTCTGTGAAGTCAGCACCAGGAGGGAACACAGCAACCATGATGACGATGGCAATGTCATTGCCTTGACCTTGGTACCATCGATAGTTGAGGCGCGGAGAATTATTGGAGGGCCTGTGAATAATCCAGCTCTTTGATCGTGCGAGAAATAATCCCGACGTAAGCGGTTTAGAGTCCCAGGATCGTTGTGCGGGACAGGTCCACCTGTTTAGTCTTGACGAAGCCGACAGTGAAGTCAAGGGCAGCTCAGACCTGCTCTTCTGGCGTATAAGTAAACCAACAAGATGGAGTGGCCGTTCGCACAACTCACATCGCCGTCCATAATGTGCCTCTTTCACCTACTTCTGAATATCCCAATGGGGCCTTTCCGGGTCTGGTCAGACCCTAGTTGAAAGTCCAGGGTACTCCGGGACTGTATCGCAGCGTATCGGTGACTGTCCTGAAGTGAGTTAGAAAACTGCGGCAATCGAGAACAAATGGAACACAGTTGGACGGGTTTACCTGGAGCATACGATGAATGAGATGCTTTACTTGTAGGCTGTCGTATGATCGCAGTCTGGCTGTCGAGAAGTGTAAGGGAGATAAGATCGCGATCGGAGGTAGGCAAGGTCAAAACTTACCCTCGAGAAGAGTACAAACAGCCGAGCGCCCCCTCGACAGATTTGGGCCCAGCAAGTAATTATGTGATTAAAGTGCCACGTGACACAAAGTCAAGAGGATCAACTACACGTAGATGGCGGGTGGCGTAGGTAGTAAAGGTGGTGCCTTATGTCTGTTTATCCAACTTAAGGCACGAACGGATTGAAATTCCCGTCAAGGTACTCAAAGCAGTAAAACCTAGAAGCCATCAATATGCTCTACCCTCTACCTCACTTGGATTTCTACGCAACGCCGCTGATTTTTGACGACCCTCCGACGCGTGGGGCCACCGCTTTGATCATTCAGAAGAATTGGGATTGGGACGTGTAACATCAAGAGAAAAAGAGTGTTGTTTTTTCGACGTCTCTCTGCATCCAAAAAAGACTGTGTGATTGTTGCCGCGAAAGTTTCCGAGCTCTTTCTCATTGTCCCTTTCGTCGTTGCCTTTGTTATCTCGCCTGTCCTAGACGAGGACGCCTTGATGTAAGGTAGTCACTCCACAACATTCTTTTACGAGTAGCTTTCCATCGAGAGGAGAGACACCAGGTAGCCAAGGGTTGACCACAGGCATTTTTGCACGGTTGACCCTGCAGCTCTGGCTCCTTTAGGCTGCCTTCTCTCTCCCTCCGTACAATAATCAAGGTTTGGCTACGGTGCCCAAACGTGTCCTTGTAATTGTTTCACAAGATAATACACCCCACCTACCGTCCAAAAACTCGGAGTTACTCTGCGTCTGTCGGCGATGAGAATTCCTTCGCCACTGTAGGATGAGTTTACAGGCAGGCAACCAATAACGTTCTTCAATACAAGTAAGTGCCATACACCATGATTTGGGTTAATTCCTCAGTCGTTTCTAGCCCATGTTGATGGAGGATATGTGTTAGCTATTATGGTCTTTTGCCGGTCCCGCGACTGGGTGTGGACTGAGCCGCAGTTCGCATACTAGATGGTCTTGTTGATCGATCCATCAGTTAATTTTGAGAGACGCCGGCCTCTGAATCAAAGTGAATCATGGAATCTGAGATTCAGTCAAGTCAAATAATGCTAGTGTATCAATAAAGTTCCTATTGGACGAAGCCCGTCTATTTGAATTGCTCCGCGGCATGCTCCAAGAACTCGAGCATCTCCCGCTTAGACGCCTCCTCCAGACGACGTGCCGACTCCTGCTTCTCTGCGAGCGCAAGTATGTAGTCACCATACATAGTAAATCCGATGTTTTTGATGTCGGCCGCCATGTCTTCGCCCACCATCTTCAAGCCCTCCTCGAGAACGTCTTTGACGTTTCGGATCGCGTCCCGGAACATCTTTACCTTCCGGTTGAGGACATATTCCTCGATTTTAGCTTGGATCTTCTTGGCTGATCCCTTCCCTACGTGAGTTTGCAATGTGATTAGTATGGGTACCCAGAAGCATTTCAAGAGGTTTCTCAGAGAGCGAAATCATACTCACCACGCATGAGACCACACTCCTCATATCCAGGGGCCATTACTTCGGCAATTATTGTAGTCAACGCTCTGTTGGCGTCTTTCTGGGCATCATCGACTCCCATGCGACTATGGGCGGCAAGTCGCACAACCTTCAACTTATGAAGCTCGAGTTGCCGGTTGAGCTGGACGATTGTAGGCGTTTCATCGTGGTCGAAATCATGAATCCCAAGTTGCTTCATGACATCCTCGTGAAACGCGCCGAGTCGGCGGGTTGCAGAGACAGAGAAATTGTCGAGCACGCCTGGGATACTGAACTGAAAGAAGTTTGCCCAGGTCTCCGTCAGGTTATCTGTGATGGGTCTCAACAAGTCTTCGTTGAAATTATTTGACCTCCATGTGCCGCGGCGGCGAAACGTTGCCTTCAGCGTAAAGAAGTTCATGTTGCCCCAGCTAATGGCGGTAGGGACTGCCGCGCGACTGGCAGCGGAGCTCAAGTGCTTCATCTCCTCATACAAGACAGTCTCTACTGCCATGTGCAACTTGTCGCGGCAATCTTCGACCTCGCCGTTCAGATCCTATTGGGTGTTATTTCCTTGTTCCATTCAACCGAGATGGAAGTCAAACTTACGGTATTGAAGCGTACCAACATCCCCCTTAGACGCTCCCCGTCAATCGTGGCTGTGGTCTCTGCCGTGTCCTGGGCCCATATCGCGATGGGGTTGAGGATTTGGCAGATGCTATTGAGTATCTCTTGGTACTTTGCGATTCGAAGATTTTCAGTCAGCTTCTGAGCATGAGCTTGGAGCTGAGGGATTTCCGTGTCCTCCTCGTTGTCGAAGCCAGGTGTTTCATCATCTTTATTGGCTACGAGACCTTGCATTCTCTGGTAAACGAGACTGCTGGTGCAGAAGACCGGAGTCAAAGCGGACATTTCGTCGTAGTCGCGGGACTTCTCATCAGCTTGGCCAAATCCATCGGAGTTGGATGAAACTTGACGATCAAGACTAAATTGGTTATCAATCAGTTTCAATGCTTTTTAGCGTCATTGCTCACTTACTCTTTGAATCCTTTATCGAGATGCTTCCTGACAGCATCTCGGCAAAGCTTGTTGCGTTTCCGGATCAAACGTGCATGGACCTCATCCATCAGCTCTCGCTTTTTCTGTCTCAACTCCGCGAGCTCTTCGTGCTTCTGGGCCATTGGGTCGGAATCAACGACATAATCATTAGTCGCTCTGGTTGGTTTATTGAATACTACCTTCTCCGCTTGCTTGACGGGAGGCTCGGTCCGCGCTCGTTTTGCTGTGCGGTCCGCGTCGACGCTGCTGGTCGAGGCCCGAGATGTCTTGCGACGACCTCGGACAACCATGAGCTCCTTTTCCAGAGCAATAATGCGGCGACCTAGGGCTTGTGTCTGTTTCCATATTGTATTGGTATCCTTATCCAGCTTCGACTTCATGCTTTCTATTCCTGAGCTGATCGTCATTTCGTCGGTCTTTGAGCAAATGACGGTCAAAGCCGAGAAAGATCCGTCCAGCTTGAGTTGACGCTTGATAGAATTGCTGATGATGTCTTTCGCTGTCTTATTGTCGACAGCTCTATTGATTGGAGCCACTACCCAGACCCCTGAACAGGACTTGATGTACTCGCTCGCTACCGCAGCTCTGGCTGCATCCCAATCCTGGTGGCCGGGCTACCATACCTAATATCAGCGACCTTCCATGCAATCAACTTCCAGACAAATTGTAACATACCAAGTCTACGATTGTAAGACCATTCGCGAGCACTCTGGCTTTGGTAAAGATTCTGACAATCTTCACCAACGGCCAGTATGCCGCGGTATCGTCATCCTTGTCGTTCGAATCGATGTAGGGCTCGACTTGCTCGCGTATCTCCAGTGCATTATCGCATTTCAGCGTCATGGTGGTACCTAGAAGCTGATTGACGTTTGGGTGGGTAGATAGCTGGGCCGAGGTGCTGCTAGTCAAGTCTTCATGGGTCATTAACGGATAGACCGCTTGAATCTTTGCTAGTGCTTTGGCTGCGTCGCTGTCTGGGTCCAGGTCGTCTTTATCCGTTGTTTCTTCAGCGAGAAGATCCATGAGTAGTGTGTTGACCTCTTTTACCCATTCTTCTCGAGATATGAACTCAACTTCCGCGCGGTATGGGCTCTCTTCGTCTTCATCATGGTTGTACGAAACCTCGGTGGCAACAGCGGTGCATGCGCGCATGCAGTTTGTAGGAAGCAAGCTAAAGATGGTTAGCTGAAATCAATACCGCAAAGGATTTTCCGTGAATACCTCTCTTCATCTAGTAGAGCATTGATGGTTGAGCTTTTGCCATCCCCCGTGTTGCCCAGGACGCCGATGATAGTTTGATGGGACCGCCTCGCCTGATCGCGAACATCAGAAATTTGGTGGGTCCAGTGAGCTACTGCCGTCTTAAGAGCAGGTCGAAGCTTGCGAGAGGAAGCAACGGTCTCGCATGCTGGCTGAAGATCGTCCAAAAGCGGCAGAACCTTCTCGTAGAATAGCTGCCAGAGATCAGGGTCTTTGACCTTCCTCATCTTCTCAAGGTAGGAGAATGTCAATAGAGCTCGCTGACCAGGAGAGCTTGACTCTCCATTGATAGAGGCATCTGTCGTGACGTCCTCATACTGCTCGCCCTTCACTTTGTTTTCTTCCTTGAAAGGAGTATCTGGTCTGATGTTATCATGCTGCTCTTCCTTCAATCCAACGGCTGCCTCACTGAGGTCCATCGTGAGACTGTGAAGAAAACTCCCCAGCGTTGATGTGATTTTGTTCTTGGGAAAAGGTAATCGTGATGCTTTGGAGAAAACAGCGACCTAAAATAATTTGAATCGCTAGCCAGAACCCTTGCGGAGGGACCTAGTGGAAATGAACTCGAAGCTACCTCTCGCGGTTTTGAAGAATAGAAAGAAAGCCTGTAGTGCTCGGAATTTATGATGTCATATAGAGCCTCGATGATGAAACGATATTCAGAAGTGGAAGTTGCTCGTCCAGATGCAAATGGGTGGAAAGTCAGAAAGGTGATGCAAAAATTGCGTGCCGGAGATGTCAAAATGCGAGCCAGATGTTGATGATGATAATTAAAAGAGGAGATAGAAGGTTGGAGTGAAAAGTGAGGATTGATGAAGAATGTTGAAGAGATTCGGGGAAGGTCAGAAGACGGAGAGGTTGGGTTGAAGTTGTCGGGGGAAGTGAGGTTGGAGAATCAGTGGGGTTAAATACTCGTGGAAGTTGGGAGTTGCCTTTGGATTCTGGCCGATTGAGAAGGAAAGAGCAAAGAAAGCAAGTACGGACCACCCTACCTTACCCCGAAGAGACGAGTCCTCTTGAGTATTTTGAGAGAGAAGGTTCGGCTGACGTTCAAAAAGGAGTTCAGAAGAAGATGTGAACGAGAATATTGAAAGTCGCAAGACCGTTTTCCAGTAAAACCTGGTTCCTCGAATACCAGCAGAGAATCGAATGCGGCTATGGTGATAAGTATTTGGGGTTGACGTCGGGATCACTGGAGACGGAACAAAGAAGTGGGAATAGCCTCATTTCAAGTAAGGCAAGGGCGGCAAGTAACGTTGCCGCGATTGGCTTTTATTCGGCACTCTGCACACTTACCCAGATTACTAACTACCTGTGCTTCTTTCTTTTCTCAGCTACTTACTACGCAACGCTTGAGGAGGAAGGCGCCAATCCATTCACCTCGGTGAAGCGAATCCTTCACCATGGCTTGACCGAACCCACCGAGATAAGGCAGTAAAGAAAAGACCTCATATCAGATCTTATCAGATCCTTGCCAGCGCAACCCCACCATGCGAACCCCGCGGTCCGCAATCCGCAGCGACGCAGGCCGAGGCGGGCTGCCCCTCACCAGCAAAGCCGACCATATCCCTCTCTCACACGACCCGAGTCAATAACGACACATTGCAACGACACACGCAGGCGCAAACGGATTTCCTCTGTCGCAAAGCATTTTTTAGCATACGAAACTGGGCGCAAACGCAAGGAAAGAAACATCTCAACCATGGCGCAAGTTGAAAATCAAGTAGCAGACGCAGGGGAGCTCTTCGTCAACGGGCGCATCTTCCTGCACAACGCCGAAGCCGGCCTCGAGACACAACCAACCTTTGCCGAGAGCATGTTCGTCGCCAACGGCATCATTGAGAACATTGGTACAACGGACGACCTCAAGGCAAGACACACATCGGGGGAGGTCACCACACACGATTTGGAGGGCAGAACAGTCCTGCCGGGCTTCATCGATGGACATGTGCACCTTCTCCTCCTCGGCCAGTCGTTGCGCAAAGTGAGCCTCGAGAACTGTACATCACTTGAGGAGATCCGCGCCGCCATCAAGAAGTACGCCGTCGCCAACCCGGACGTCCCGCGCATCATGTGCAAGCTGTGGATGCACTCCATGACCCCCGACGGCGTCGACAAGACCATGCTCGACGACATTGACCCCCGACCAATCTTCATCGACACAAAGGACCTCCACTCGACTTGGTGCAACACAGCCGGCATCAAGGAGCTCGGCATCGAGAACATGCCGGATCCGTCAGGAGGCAAGATCCACCGTGATGCCGAGGGCAAAGCGACGGGTCTCCTCAGCGAAGCCGCCGTGCTCACCATCGTGTGGCCTCATCTTGCCCAAGTCGCCCCCAAGCGAGATCGGATGGACGCCATGAAGGATGCCGTGCAGACCTACAACGCATCAGGTTACACAGGGCTGATTGAGATGGCCATGGATGAGCCGGCATGGGACGCAGCGTGCTCGCTCCGCGCCGAGGAACCCAACTTACCCATGCGCATCCACGCCTACTGGCTCATCAAACCATCCGAATCCGAAGAGGAGCGCTTCAAGCAGGTTGATCGGGCCATCGAACTCCACAACGAGCTGAACAAGACCACCTCGCCCGACCTGCGCATCGTAGGCATCAAAATCATCACCGACGGCATCATCGACGCCTGTACCGCCCACCTGTCCGAGCCCTATGCCGAGGTGGGTTCCCCCCCGCCCTTCTGGAGCGCCGAGTGGCTCGGCCCCGTGGTCGCGAGGGCAGACGCCGCCGGATTGCAAATCGCCCTGCACGCAATAGGCGACGCAGCCATCAAGAACGCAGTCAACGCCCTCGCCAACCACGCGACGCCGGGCCGCCGCCACCGCCTCGAGCACATTGAGATGGCATCCCCCGAGGACGCAAAGCACCTAGGCGAGCTTGGCCTCACGGCCTCAATCCAACCCGTCCATGCCGACCCCGCCATCCTCCGCGCCTGGCCGCGCCTCATTGGCGCTCACCGCTGCGAGCGCGCCTTCGCCTACCGCGAGTTTGCAGACCACGGCGCGCTCCTTGCACTCGGCAGCGACAGCCCCACGGCTCCCTGGGCGCCGCTGCAGAACGCCTACGTCGCGACGACGCGACGGTCTGCCAGGGAACCGGGGTACGACGTGGTCGTCAACGAGCACTTCAAGCTGGGCGTGTGCGAGGCCATCACGGCGGCCGCATTCGGAACTGCAAAGAGCGTGTTTGCGGAGGATCGGACGGGTTCTTTGCAGGTTGGCAAGCGCGCGGACTTCGTGGTGGCGGAGATGGATTGGACGCCGCAGGGCCTGCTCAAGGGCGAGATCAAGGCCACCTGGTTTGACGGGCGCAAGGTTTGGGCGTCTTCACCCGATGCGTAGAGTGTTGTTGGGAAGATGGGAACAGCCTCCATCCGTCCATGTTTGAATCAGACTTTTTTTCTTTTGGCCGCAGTCGCTGCTATTGACTGCTGCATTTCAGTACATACGCCCCGTATATGCAGCCGAGAGGCAAATCTAAGGCCAGCCAATTGGTGGTGTTCGTGTACAAGTATTTGTCGGCCCACATGTTCAGATAATTGTAAATAAAGGTTCGTGTGTACCTTTTTCGTGTGTGTGCTGTGCGTTTGCGTGTGTCTCTATGCGAAAGAGAGAACGCAAGTCAGTGTGAGTTATGTGAGTAGGAGTTGTTTGTGTGTGTGTCAGTCAGTATGCCAGCCGGCGCAGTATTTTGGGAATAGTTTCATCCCATCTCGTGCATGTTTCCGGCTCTGCGGCAAGATGGCACTGGCCGCTCCACAGTCCCGCAGTCCCCCCAATCCCCAGTCTCTCTCACGCAATACCCCGATCGGGGAAAGGTTGCAAATCCGCACCAACTCGGGACAAAGTCGCGCTGAAGTTCTCCAGGGGTTCTTCGTGAGTGGCTCGGACAATGGGCACGTCAAGGGTGTTCTCGGGAGGAAGAGAAAGCTGCCTGCCAAAGGGCAGATAACCAACCCAGACAGGGATCATCCCGTGTGCTTCTGCATGTCTGTGATATCAGAGATTCCAAAAGAGGCTCTGGCAGCGGATGTCAAAACCCCCATTTCAGCACATGGAGGGTGTGGTGGTGGCCCACTCTCTCGAGATGCCGAGGGATGGATCGTTCTCTCGTCCCAGACTCTGGGTGGTGGTCAGTACAAGAAGACGGTCATGACCCCGCGAACTTGGACAGATCGGGCCAACTAACCTTCTTTCTCCATTCAGATCTCCTTCTCGACTTTGATCCTTCCAAGGAAACACACGGACACATTTCGCATCTTCTCGTGATCCACCTTGTCTGCTGAAACACAACCTCTCATATCACACGATGCAGCCTCAGATCAGTCTGTCGGCGCTCGCCGCCCTCGTCCCCATGGTTCTGGCCCTGCCCCAGCAGCAGCCTCCTCCACCGGGTCCGCCAGCCGCTTGCGCACCGGTCAACATCATCGTCGCCCGCGGGAGTCTTGAGGCGCAGGGTGCCGGTCTCTTGGGCAACATTGCCATGAACGCCTCGATGCAGATTCCCGGCTCCGTCATCACGCCGTTGGTGTATCCCGCACAACTCGACCCGTACCCGCCCTCTGTGTCGGCTGGTGTCATGAACATGACGACTCTTCTGAACCAGCAGGCGCAGCAGTGCCCCCAGTCAAAGCTCGTCTTGATGGGATACTCTCAGGTATGTGGCTCCCGTGAACTTGATGCAATGCCTTTGTATCTGACGGACTGTAGGGCGCACAAGTGTCACTTGATACACTCTGCGGTACCACGGATGGCCCCAACTTCAACACGACTGTTGCTCAGGCGCCCATGGTCGGAAGCAAGAGTAAGTCCACAGATATTCGATCCCGCGTAACAGTCATGACCAGTTGCTGACATGGCTCAACAGTCGCTGCCGTCGTCCTCTTCGGCGACCCAACTTTCATCGCTGGCCAGCCCTTCGCCAAGGGAACCTCAAAGAAGAACGGCGTATGTATTTCGGACATCGATGTTGAATTCCGTCTGCGGTTGACTGACAATTTCCTTGCAGATCTTCCCTCGCATGGATCTCGGCCCATGCCAGGCCTTGCAAAGCAAGTTCGCTTCCTTTTGCGATGACACGGATCTCTTCTGCGCCTCGGGCCAGAACTTGACCGTCCATCTCGGCTACTTCTCAAAGCAGGACTACATCTCCCAGGCATCGACCTTCATCGTCCAGCAGACTAAGTAAGCCAGACTTGTAGACGAAGGTATGGGGGTAGTGTAACACCCGAGAAGCTGGCGACTCGGTGAGTGCTTGTCGATTAGGCCAGGCACCTAGAATGACTGGGCAGAGACGAGGGGATGTAATGCTTTTACGATTCTTGACGATAAACTTCCTTTTCTTTTTGCTGCGGTAGCATTTTCAGTCCGGTCTTGATGATCGACGCATGGAGTTTCGTGGTTGAGGCAAAGAAGACACACTAGTTGCAGCGTTTTTTCTGATATCAGCAGAGGCCTTCGAGCCAGAACAACTTGAATAAACGAGAAGATTAATTGTTAAAGGACTGGAACATTTGTCGTCTGTGCTCGTTTCGTCACCGACAAATGCGGGTCCACTGCAGAGCAACAGGGTGGGGGCAATGTACCTGCCTAGTGTACTAGCCGAATGCGGAAGCGAGATGGGTCCATGTGACATTAGCCATGGCTCACCGAATGATCTCACCGAGCACACCTCGAGAATTCTCATCGGCAACGATAAGGACCACAGACGATAACCGGCGATAAGCAGCCACAGTGGCTTCTGAAGAAGTCCTCGTCGTCAGATTCCTTTCAGACAGTGCTAACACTCATTCAATCAATCACCCATCAAATGGCCAGGTGGTCTGATTCCCAAATTCATATACAAGCAAGTACCTCGTCTCGCGTCGATATCACTTGACTTCTTAGTACACAAAGATGAAGTCCTCGTTCTTCAGATCCGTCATGTCCTGCAGACCGTGATCCTCCTCAATCGCAGGGTGCTGGTGTTGGGCGTCCTCCTCAATCTCGACCGCCTTGCCCTCCTGCTTATCCTTGTTGCGCATCATCGACTCGTCAACAATCAACGCGCTCTTGCCGAGTGCTTCACGGCGCTTGGCGTGCTGGACGTTGAGGTATTTGAGGTAAAGAGGAATCAGGCTGTACGACGACCAGTCAGGACTCAGTCAACATTATGCAAATTGTAAAAGGGTTAGGAAAGAAGACTTACGCTCCCATGATAGCTACGAGGACGAACATGATGAGGTTGGAAATCAGACCAGGGCGGTATACCGGGGCATCATCGACGGAGTATAAGAGCGGTCCGATGATATTGCCCGTGCACATCCCGATGAATACGACCGCAGAGGTGGTCTTCTTCTTGGTGTCGCCGGCGGTGTTCTGGGCCTGCCATGTAAAAATGAGAGGCGTAATGGCTGCCAATGCAGAGACCTAGGTGCTGTGACTTAGTACAATGTGCGAATTGGTGCTATATCCACTGGAGCCTTACCAAGTAGTACCCAAACAGCAAAACCCCCTTGTGCTCACGCGGTACGGTGAGCATGAGGACGGTACCGATGGCAGGGATAATTGCCACGCCTGCGATAACGATGCCCTTCTTCTGGATTCGAGTAGCGATCCAGCCACTTCCCATGATGGCGATGATCTGGATGGCACCGAAGGGGATGTTGAAAAGGATGGTTGTGAAACTGCTGTATCCAAATGACTGAACGATCAAATTACCAAAGGTCGAGATGCCACCACTGGCGATGCTGTAAAGAACTTGTTAGTACTACAACAGTACACGTAGACGATGGTCCGAGACACGTACGAAATGGCGATGATCAGAATGAACCAGCACCACGTTTTCAAATCTAGGAACGTCTCCCAGACGTGGTCCCAGCGCCAGACTCCAGACTGAATTCCCATCTGGTTTGCACGGAGTCTCTCAACCGCAATGACCTTTTCCCTCTCGGTCAGGTACTTGGCAGACATGGGCGAATCGGGCATGAATATGAGGACGACAACGGAGTAAGTGACGGTGAGCAGGCCGCAGAACCTATATCACGGGCAGCATTAGCAAGGCATTCTCGGCGTCGAAGCAATCCACCTCAAGATCTTATGTTGATGACGTACAAAAAGATGATCTGGTATTTGTAGAGCTTATCGCTATTGATGTGGCCCAGACCGTAGGTGAAGAGGCTTCCGACGATGAACGTCACGCCGTTCATGGCGTTCCACGAACTAGTGACCAACGTCTGTTCGCTTCTTCTCCACCAGGTAGTCGTGACAGCCAAGCATGACGGCGCAATCATGGCCTCGAAAGAACCGAGCATGAACCGCAAGCCGAGAAGGGATTTGAAATCGGTGCACGAGGACATGATGGCCAGGGAAGAGCCCCATAGGAAGATGGCGGCAGCGATAACCTTTCCGTTGGGCAGCTTGACGAGGATCCAAGCGGCGACGGGTTGCATGACGAGTTGAGCGATGTAGAGGATGGAGCCGAGCCAAGAGTACTGCTTCCCGACGAGGTGTGCGTCTTCTTTGATGCCGAAGATGGAAACATAGCTATTGGTATTAACCTGTTAGTAACATGGACGTGCTGTACGGCCTAGGTGCGGATTCACTCACCTGAGGGAACTCTTGTCCATCTGCTGAAAGAAATACGCCCCGAGAATCAAGGGCAGAATACGAAAATTGATCCTCTTGAGAACGGCTTGCTCTTCCTCGTACGTGAAAGCAGTGTCGCCACCTCCGTGCTCAGCAAGGAACTTTGCCGCCTTCTCTTGGACCGTGTTTGCCGGTGCCGGTGTTTCGGAGACGGGCTCGATTGCGTCGACGGTAGGACCGCCGACCCGATCCTCGGCCGGGGCTTGAGAAGCCATGTCGGATCTTCGGTCTCGCACGAAGACGACCCTAACAGGTGTCGTTGAAGTAACGATCAAAGAGATAATGCCGTGCTAGTGGTGCATATGTCGAGCACACCGTTCAAAATGACACTGTAGCACCTTGATGGGAAGAAGGAGAGTAGCAGACACCCGACGTTGTGGTTCGAACTCATTCATCTTGTCCGTCATATACCCTCATGCGACAAGCCCCCTTGTCCGCCCCCAACAACCGGTTTCCTCTCAGCCGGAGACGAACGGGAAACCCGAGCGTGGAGGCTCAACATCGATCTACCTTGGCAACACCTGACTCCCGCGTTGCGTATGCCCATCGTGTACGGATTAGTGTCTTTTGGTCTTTCTTGCTAATAGCCGGAGATTAAGTCTGCCCTCCAAGTCGGATGGCACGTTGCCAAGATGGCTTGCCGGTTGCTTGACAGAACCCAAGAGATCCCTCGAAAACACCCCAGTCCAAATTCCAATGTTGTTCCTCATTGGAGGGAAAACTCCAGGCAATATGCGAAGCCGAGACATCAGGGGTCTCTGTCAAATCAAATCTCAGCCCAACGCCTGAGGGTCATCGTTTACCTTACGAGTCGTGCGCAAACCTGCCAGGTCAACCCAGGTCTAGTTCAAAAGAGTCTGGGGTAACGATCTACCGTTTACGAGCGGGTGGCTGGAATAGCCAAGTTGAGAGTACCAACAAGGGGCGTTCTCTGGGCTGACGTTGCACTCATTCCCACTTCTTCCCCAAACTCTCTCCGCACGCTACTCTCTCGAATCTCCAGTCCTCGGTTTACCCCAGTATCCCCGACATTTCCGATAATTGAAGCGGAGAGCCACCCCCGCGTTCCGCTTCATCGTCTCCCCTCATTGTGGGGATCGTGAGCGTCGAGTGACTGGTTCACGAGTCGGGCATTCAAACCCCCGCGCCCAGAAACGGGTTACCATTTTGGCTAAATTCGGGCGTTTGGGCTATCTGATCCCGAGTGGGATTCGTGCCGGGGGCCGGGACTGCATGAGATCTCGCGGATTTTGAGAGCCATCTGCCGAAGTCATGACGACTCCGATAAGGCGGGTTTCGATCTCTCAATAAACTCGATGTGCCCATCACAGTCCAGCGTCAGTTCCATTCTCTGCAATTTCAAGGCAGTTTGTGAACTTCCTGAATCCGACAAAACCTTACCTTAGCACCTCGAAGCACAGCAATCACACGAACCGAGTACATACCTGACATTCACAATGGGTGAGACAACACAAAAGAAGCGGTATGCCATCGTCGGTACCGGTGGCCGATCGGGCTTTTTCTACACGGCCATTGCAAAGGACTACAGCAGCACTTCAGTCATTGTCGGTCTCTGCGACACGAACCAGACGCGCATGGACTATGCCAACTCAAGATTGAAAGACCTGGGCCACGGCGAGGTCTCGACCTACATCGCAGCCGACTTTGACCAGATGATTAAGGATACTAAGCCGGACGAGGTCATCGTCACGACCATGGATCGTACACACAACATCTATATCGTACGAGCAATGGAGTTGGGCTGCAACGTCGTCACCGAGAAGCCAATGACCATCGATGCGCCCCGTTGCAGGGAAATCTTTTCGGCAGTCGAGCGAACAGGCCAGAAGGTACGCGTGACGTTCAACTACCGCTACGCACCGCACAACACAAAGATCTTTGAGATTATCAAGTCCGGCGCCATTGGCAAGGTGACGAGCGTGCACTTTGAGTGGATGCTCAACGAGAACCATGGCGCCGACTACTTTCGTCGCTGGCACCGCGATAAGCGCAACTCAGGCGGCCTCCTTGTACACAAGTCGACGCACCACTTTGACCTCGTCAATTTCTGGCTTCAGACGCGGCCGCAGACGGTTTACGCCCAGGGCGATCTCAAATTCTACGGACGGGAAAATGCCGAGGCGCGGGGCGTGACGAAGTTCTACACCAGAGCGCACGGAAGTGAGGCGGCAAAAGACGATCCCTTTGCACTACAATTGGACCAGAACCCGCAGCTCAAGGCTATGTATCTGGATGCGGAGCACGAAGATAGCTACTACAGAGATCAGAGCGTGTTTGGCGACGGCATTAGTATTGAGGATACGATGAACCTGCTCATCCGGTATCGCAATGGCGCGGTGATGACATACTCTCTGACAGCGTATGCGCCGTGGGAAGGATTCCGCGTCAACTTCAACGGTACGGGTGGCCGCCTCGAGGTTGAGGTTGTCGAGAAGAGCTACGTGAACTCTGGAGGTAGCCAGGCTCTGGAGGGAGCGATTGAGAAGCGGACGATGCTGCTTAGGCCACTGTTTGGACCTCCTCAGGAGATTGATCTGGGCGAGGCCAAGGGTGCCCACGGCGGTGGAGACCTTGTTCTGCTGGCGGATCTGTTTGGCGAGCCGGTCTCTGATGAGTACATGCGGGCTGCTAGTCACATTGATGGTGCCGCGTCAATCTTGACTGGCATTGCAGCCAATAGGTCACTGGCGACAGGGCAGGCCGTTAATGTGGATGACATCCTGGTGGTGCCTGAGAAATAAGAAGGATGGAAGCGCGAGTCAGCGATTCAATGTGATGATAGATATGCAATGGAACAGGATAGAATGAACCACAAGCAGACACGAATTGGAGCAATGGCACACCCTTGCTATAACAACATCCTCTATTAGGATTGGTGAAAAGAAAGAAAACAAAGAAGATGGCAGCATCGCAAGAATATAACCATCAATCATGGCTTTCTATTCGCATCTTAACTGGTTTGGAAGGGTACACGAACGTTAAACGCTGATAACTGCATGCTATGCCAACTCACATTCGATCAAACTTTCGACGCCATTACCACCGCCGTGGATGTCCAAGATTCTCAGTCCAGCCTTCTCCAGAAGGCTCTGCCACTCTACGCGTGTACGCTCCTTGCTACTAACCAACGTCAACATCATGATATCCTGTCCTGTGTTTTGCCAGTCGGCACCAGTATCGGGGATGCAGTTCTCATTGACCAACAGCCTGCTATATCCGGGCTTCATCGCAGCCGTGGTGCGTGCAAGAATCTCCTCGCACTTCTTATCCGGCCAGTCATGGAGAACCGAATGCATGTAGTAGGCTCGGGCACCTGCGTAGGTGGAGCGTCAGGTCTGGATGTCTTTGACCAGAAGATGAGAGGGGCTCTTACCTTTTATCGGTTGTTCAGTAAAAAAGTCATGTCCCATTCTCTCAATCTGCTCGTCAAGCTTTTCAATCTGGTTGATAACAGTTGGTAGATCCTGGACGACAAGCCTACCAGGAGCATTAGGATGCTTCCTCCGGAACTCATCAACGTCATGACCAAAGCTCCCTCCGACGTCAACAAGAAGAACGCCGTTTTCAGAGTGGTCAAACCCGTCAACCAATCGTTCCTTCACCGGGTAAATGCCTTCATCCATCCAGCTAGGTCGGCCCTGGCGGTATGCACCCATGTGCTGAGCGAATTGCATCTCGTATGGGTGGTTTTCTGCAAGCCAGCTGAAGCAGTCAAGTTCGGTGTTGTATCCGTACTGCAGGGGTCCATTGAAGACATCGTGAGGCTCGCGATAGTTGGTCTTTTTGGCGAACTCGTGAAACTTGGCCAAGGACTCCATGCAGGCTCCAGCGCTGATAGTTGACGATTATCAGCTTACAGGATAGATTCATAGTTGGATATGCGCCAAAAGAAAACATTCACACTTTCATCACCCGAGTGGACTGGGTGATGGAGAGGTGGAGTTGACTTACACGCAGGGGTAGCCAGCGCCCATACTAGTGATCGTGAGCGCATCCGAGAAGTTGGTCGACTTGTACTCATCAAATCCAGTCTCAGTGATGTAGAGCATCGCGCCGAGATGTCTCATGATCCGTCCTGTCGTGAGAAAGAAAGAGTAAGCAGTAGCCCAAAAGTCTCATTTTGTGAAAGGCGACACACCCAACAAAGCAGGATCGTGTCCTAATTTCAAAGCTAGGTCAGAGACTTTTTGAGGCTTCTTGCTCTGCGCCAACAACGCAAAGAGACCAGAGTCAACTGCGTACGTAAGGGCAGTGAAGGCAGCTGGCTGATGGGAGATCCTTAGCAAACTCGTTGAAGGTTGTGAGGCAGGTCGCCTTACTTGTGCCCAGCAATGTTTGATCATGGTCTCGCGCGGTGTCTCCAGTGCATGTACCAGCAAACGGGCGCTCTGTAGCATGCTTAGACGTGCTGTATCGTTACCTTTGGCGACTGTGCCAGTGAGGTCGGCAATATTCTTGACATGTCGCTCCACGCTTGGAAGGTCGCACGCAGCCAGAGCAACAGATATGTCAACCTCGCGGGGTATCTCGCTCGGGATAGAACCCATGGTGCTGTATTATGGAGGAAGACAATTGGTCAATCGTTCAAGTAATAGGAGGCTATGGGGATACAGTTAGGGGGAAGGAATCCAAAAAGAAATCATCGCAGTCTACTGCTCAAGGGATCAAAGTCTGGTGACCGTCTTTCGGAGGCATAGCTGGGTAATATAAGAAAGGACTGACCAGCAAAGTTGAGACGCCTCCCCAGACATTTCCAATAACACATGTATGCAGAGGGAAAACACCAGTCTCGAAGTGGAAAGACTGGGTACACAATGAGGGAAGGTACCTGGCATGGATTGAGAAAAGTCACACGGAGGCGATGGGCGACCAGGCCAACATGGACCCGCATGATGATGTGCACCTTCGAACCGTCTACTCACGATCAATTTCTGCCAACCTTAACGTGGTATTCGATGTGCGTCTGAGGTAGAAGGTAGACCTTGGGAGCTTGTAGATGGCTTGGCCAGTTGCCACGACTGGTCAAGACTCCGGACCTGGGGTGAAATAAAACTGGCTCATGGCCACAAAATTTCATGTTGGAGACACAATCGTGTCCTTGACCCTGTTTCAACAGAGCATGATTTGAGTGGCGACAATCGTCTTGTCCAACAAAAGTACCTGGTCAAAGGGAGCAAGGCATGCGACTCACGAATCCATCGGATTGGACTGACATTCCACTCATGCACAGTTGGGTTCTCTCACTTAATTCTTCAAGGGTGCTGTAGCCTGTAGGCCGAGAGTAGATATTGTTGTTCGCTGTTGGTTCTAAAATCTGTCAACAAGACTTTCTGATTGGTGACGAAACCCATGCCGGGTGGAGAGGAGCGAGGGCCCCCGGAGCTTTCGGCGGGGCCGCCGGATGATATCCACCACGTCCGGGCCGATGTTGCGCAACAAACAGCCCACAATATCATTCGGATTGAGATCCAACCAACAAGATGGTTCTGCTTTAGGCAAACTCTGTTAGTTGGAAATGGGTATCACTATCGACTTCGGTCGTGGCCACAACGAATGGACAGCAATCTGGCCACGCGTCGCTACAGGTTGTAGTCTCGATTCTCGACTTCGAGAGATAGCCAGGACTATGCTATCTGGTCCTCCATGATTTTTTGTTGGACATGTGCCTTAAAATCCCCCGTCAAGGATACACGAGCCGGCTCAGGTGAGCGTATGTGCGTCTGCACGAGGAGTCCGGGGTGGAGCTCGTCGCCGCACCCCCCCGGTCAATGTTCGTGCTTCCAACTGCGGCACGACATTTCTCGAGTCTGATCCGACACCTCCTTGGCGCATATCTCTGCAGAAGGTCTTCAGCGAAAAGTTCAAGCCGTTGGCCTCCGCCTCCTGACAAGGACCATGAATCCATCACCCAAACGATTCCACTTGCCTGGGCGAGTTTCGACTTCATCTTTGGCCGTCAGATAATCACCGTTCTGGAAGATGGCGAGTGATAGTTCGACAACGATCTCCCACTCAACAGAGGATAAAGGCCCTGGGATTATTGTTGCAATATGTATTATTGTTGGAATCAGCACTCTCTTCGTGGCCATGCGGCTATTTGTTCGCATCAAAATCCTCGGCCAAACCCATTTGGATGATTACCTCACGGTTGCATCTTTGGTGAGTTCAATCCTTTCCCTTTGAGTTCAGCAGCTCTACTCTCAAGATCAAGAAGCTAACAAATTCTGGCGTAGGTGCTCAGCTACGCGACAGTAGCTCTCGAAATTTGGGCGATTCGTTGCGGCAATGGTCGACACGCCGACACGCTTTCCAAAGACCAGCAATCAGCCGCAATCCTCTCCACGATTTCAGGATTTCCTCCAAACGTCCTTGCCTATACCGTACCGAAGTTCGCCGTTGTGGCACTACTTGTCAGGATTTTAAACCCAGGAAGGAAGCATCAAGTTATGCTCTGGTGCATGGCGACTGGTTGCTTGGTGCTGGTCTCCCTCTGCATCATCATTTTATTTGCTCAGTGTACCCCGACTCGTGCTCAATGGGACTTTACCGTGACTGAAAAGAGCTGTTGGAGCCCTTGGGTTCTTGTAAATGTTGCTATATTGACAGGAGGTAAGCGCTGCGTCTTCTGCTTTCGAGGTGACTATTGCTGAACCCAGTCCATGTCAGCTTATTCCGCTGCCCTGGATTTATACCTTGCAGTCTACCCTGCCACAGTTTTGATGAGACTTCAGATGAACATCAAGAAGAAAATCATCCTGAGCACTGCCCTTGGCATTGGGTCCATGTATGGAACGAAGATTGAACGGGCCTATTCTCAGTTGAAACATGTCTAACGAAACCTTCAGCTCTTGCTTCATCTCCATCTACAAAAGCACACGCCTACCATCTCTTGCAAGCAAAGATTTTACTTGTAAGAAACCGTTACTCAGCGTCTCCGCTCTAGCTAACAGTCAAGAAGATGACAGCGCTGAGCTTGTTGTATGGACCATGTGAATACCGAAGAAATTTGACCATGTATGTCGAGTACGCCTAGCTAACGCCCTTGATAGTGTCGAGGGCAATACTTTAATTATCGCCGCCTGCATACCCATTCTGGGACCACTCGTAGAACTCGCGCTAGGGCGTCGCGTTCTCAGTTCAACTGACCGAAAGTATCAGAAGCAAAGCGACCCGGCAGGATTGCGGTCAGTCGGAATTGAGATGAACGGGTCTCGGTCAGTGCCGAGGAACGGAAACGTCGTTGGCAAGACATCGACAACTATCGGCTCACGAATCGACTTGGAAGATGCGAGTAGTCAAGATAGTATTGTCGGAGAGGAGACTGGGCCGAGCTCTCGAGCTCCCGGGATCATGAGGAGGCAAGACATCACGGTTTTGTTTGAGAGGGCAGGGGCAGGCCGTGACCAGGAACACGAAGACAATATGAAATCTCGAAAGTGGGATTCATTGTAGAATGAGCTGCTAAAAGGTGTTATAATGAGACGTTTAGGCGCACAAGCATCTCTAAGCTTTTCTTCATTACTTCATGATACTAAGTGACTCGTTCTGACATCTGAATGTTTATATCTTTCGACTGAACATATTCAGCACGATCATGGATCTTGTCACGAAACAGGAATGGTATCAGCGCTTGTCAAGCACCTTTCCACGTGCTTTCTCACGTGGATATCACATTCTCTTAGTATATAGACTGCTCTCAAGTGCTCTTCTAGACGGGTTACTTCAAGCCACTTTAACCCACTTCATATGACCATTGCTGCGTGCCATAGCTCGTGACAGATCTTGAAGCTGCTTACCTACGTTACGGCCGTGCCTAAGAAAATAGTCTTAGTTCTGACCATTCTCGGGCATGAAGGTTCATTGATGCAAAGGTTGACTGAGTACATCGCATGATAGTCGCCAATGTTGAATGAGCCAAGGTAAGTTAAGGTTTTGCGGAATGGAGAAACTATGTCAACATGGCAAAAGTCCCCGGCTTTGCCTTTTGCCATTGGCCGGTGGGATATTATATACGACCAGACTCGTCGTTGATGAAAGACCGACAGGGCCCAAAATACCAAAACAAAAGGGTTTTGAGTTGACATGGGGATTTCGTAACCTGGTCTTCGACACTGAATTGCCCATGTGACAGGCTATACTAAACTCAACATCGACTAGATATCTGCTTTGGGTATTACATTAATATCAATTAACTTTGAGTGCGCGTGATGCGAGGTGTCTGTATAGGACGTGTAGGCCTCGGGATGTCGGAACGCCGGGAACTAGACACTCAACATAAATATGAGCGTTTGACCCAACGGCTCGTTGGAATTCCACACTCAGTATCATTGCGGCTTTCATCACTGTTCTGTAGCGAAGATTCGTGTTTCAGGTGAGAGTCATCGTGACCTTTGGTCACACATCGTTCTGAATACAGTGTTATTGACTATCTACTAATCTAGGTACTGAACTATTGCCACCAAGTTCCTCTCCACCATGAAGTTCTACTCGTCCATCACTTCCTTCTTTTTGGCGGGTGTTGCAAATGTATGTTGTCGTAATGATTGTAGTTGAGAAGTATTCATAAACCGTTGGTTTGGCTATCTCGACGAAGGACATACGCTAACCTGCATTTTCCAAATAGGCGCAGTATAAGTGTTATTGTGCGAACCCTGACACGTTCTCCAACACTTTCTGTGTCACGGGTGATGGAGTCACGTTTCCAGACTGAAAGGACCGAAAAGGTACCTGGCTAAATAATGGCGGCCTTTGCGAGTTTCAAGGGGCTTCCTTTCACACAGAATGAGTTTATCTCCTCTTACGCAACTTGCTGCAGTAGCACCGGTCCCCAAACTGGAAACAAGTACGGAGGTAACTGCTTCAAGTAGACGAGCTAGACTTGACATACATGGCGAGCTTCACGACTGCATGAAACAAGGATTGCTGTCGTTTTTCATAGGCTGGTGATAGCAACTCAGCCATAAAATCGCCTTCCAAGTTTGGCTAGCAAGACTCGAGCAGTCGATTTCCATCATCCGCGAACCGATTTTGATTGAGTGACCATAATGTATTCCGTGAAACACACCATTCTCAGGCATTAGCACCTGCTAAGTGAAATCGCTAATACTTTGGTCTCTCGAATATAGTGCCTAACTGAGTCTCGGAGGTGGGGCTCGCCATAGGAGCGGCGTGAGAGAAGGAGGATTGAGCATTCAATTTCAAGAATGCGTGAACATAAAATATCTGCTTTCTCATGCCCCTTTAGCATTGAGCGCTTCCTTCTGTCTTATTCCACTTTAGTTGACATCGCGACTGACCTCTTGTCATTGGACCAACTTACACGACCGCAGCCCCACGCCTTCTGGGATAGCGATGCCTACAAGACAACAGAGGCAGCCTGTAACTTGCTGCTCACTCAGCCAAACGACAATATGCTTCGCGTCGTGGAGGACACAGTCGAAATGATTCGCGAAACCCAACACCCTGATGGCTTTCTCAATTCTTTCTATACGGTACGTGGCGTTGAAAGCCGATGGACCAACCTGCGCTACCTCCACGAGCTCTACTGCCTTAGCCACCTGTAGGAGGCGAACGTAGCCTACGAGACGCTCACAAAAAGCGGTCGCCTGCTTGAGGTGGAGATTAGATCCATACATCACATGGACCCGGTCTTTGGACGTGAGAAAAGCAAAAAGCGCGGGTATCCGGACCACCAGGAGATTGAGTTCGACTTGCTTCGTCTCGACGATATGACGGGCGACCTACTAGCTCTCAAGCCAAGTACTTCATTCTGGAGCGAGTCACACACAACGACAACGACGAGACATGTTTCCATCACGAAACACTTGCACGTGGTGCTGATCCGTACGGTGGGCTGGGTAGCGATGTTAAGGGCTGGTTTCATGGACCTCCAGATTACGCATACAACCAGGCTCACCGGCCCATCGGCGAGCAGACCGAAATCAGAGGGCACGCCATACGCGCAATGTACTACTACACGGCTGTTGTGGACCTTGTTCGTCGCCAGGTCACGTCGGATCCCGATGTGGTCGAGTGCAAGCAGGTGCTCAAGCGGCTTTGAAGGGACATGATGAACTGGAAGATGTACGTCACGGGTGCTGTTGGTGCCTACCATCAGACCGAAGGGTTTGGCGAAGCCTTCGTACTCAACGATCTCGAGATGGAGAGCTGCTACGGCGAGACTTGCGCATGCTCTGCACTCATTGTATGATGTCAACGGATGCTGCAGATAGAGCTCAGACCCGAGTACGCGGATGTCATGGAGAAGTGCCTGTACAATGGCTTCCTCGGCGACATCAGCTCAGACGGCGCGGCGTTTTACGACCAGAACGCATTACGCACCAGGGCGGGACAGCCCAAGGAGCGTGAGCGCTGGTTCGCCTGCTGCTCTCATGTGGCCAAGCTCGTCGGTTCGCTGGGTTCTCTTCTCTACTCGACCGATGATATTAAGGGCCTCATGGCGGTTCATCCGTGCGTACAGAGTGAGGTTGAACTGATGCTGGCAGGTAAAAGCAAAAGGTCTCCGTCTTGACCTAGACGCCATGATCGGACGAAATCATTGTCCGTGTTGAGGGCACCACGAGGCTGTCACTGCGCATTCCTGACTGGGTGTTGGATCAAGGGTACACATGCTCTCTCCAAGGCAAGCTCGAACAAGGATATCTGCACATCGCCAAACGTTCTTGTAGATACTGAGGTCCGTCTCTCGCTCTCGAAATCAGCCCATCAGCTGTATGCACACCCTAGGACGGGCAAGGATGAGGTCTGCCTTCGCCAGGGACTGCTAGCGTACTGCCTGGAAGATATGGAAAACGCGGGCATCCATATTGACCACATCGCTCTGGGGAACAAGCGAGCACTGAAGGAGGGGTCGCCCGTATATATTGCGACCACGCATGGTGTGACTCCCTTACTGGTCACGGGTCGGAAGCTGATGCACGTAGGCGTTATGACGGGCAAGCCGAATCGGCTTCACGGACCCAAGGCCTGGGAGTATGATGTCGAGCCGCTGCAACTCACAGTCACTCCGTACTTCCTCCTCGTCAATTGCGGTGGGAACGGCACCATGCGGGTCTGGACGCCAAGGTTCAAGATCAGTTAGTGTAACATGGGTAAGTAGACACAGCTTTCCTACTTGAATAGGTAGGTCTATTACACAATGCAACAGTTGAAACAGGTCGAAGAGACAAGGCGGGAAAGGTCATGATTAGTGTGATAGGTTTTAATATGTGGAACAGATCGCCCCGGCGTCGAGACAAATAGTTGTGATTAAGAACAACCAGTTTAGGGCTCATCATCGGTGTGAAGGCTGAAGTTCTAGTCAAAATAGTAGAAGTACAATGATACATTACCAAGGACGCCCATGACCATGTACCATACAATTTCGTTTACTCTACTAAATGCAGTTGATACAATCCAAGGCTGAGGTACTAACTTCCTTACTCAGCCAAGACAATCCAATCTTCACTTCCTGCAGCGGCATTTGACTCCACGATCAAGGAAGGCTTTTCCAGCACTCCTGTAGGCTTCAACAGATATTCCTCGCTCCAAGCCCAACCACCAGCTGTTGAGAGTCATGTCAGCAACTTTCTTGCCATTAGCACCGGATAACTTACTTCGCCACTGGTCAGGCCAGCATCCAAAGATTCCTTCTGTGAGATGGATATGACCAAACGAGTTGTACCTGTACCCAAATGCCGTAATCGAAATCTCGTGCTTGCCAGCTTCGAGTTCTCCAAGATCCAGCTTCCTTGGCTGTAGCGCGATGTGTCCGCTCTTTTGCTTCCATTGAACCTTGATGACCGGCGTCGCAAATTGCGGAATCGAGAGAGTGACGGCGGAGCGGGACTTAAGCGAGAAGCTGCAAAAGTAGGTTACGTTGCCAGCATAGAATGGGTGTCCTTGCTTGACCACGTCGCCCCAGCCCAAGCTCTGTCTTCGCTCGCATAGTATAGGCAGGTTGTTCTTCAGCTCGACGCTGAAGCTGCCCAACAAGTATATCCTCTCCAGATTGGTCAGCACACCGAAGGGCATACTGAGTTCAATAATGTTCTTTCCCTTGCGAATCGTCCTCTTCGGGACTGATATTGTCTTGATATCCTCGTCAACCCACCAAGAAAGTCTTTTCTCCTCGACTGGCAGCTTGTGGCCGTTGATGGTGACCCTTGCGTTCTCAGGATTCTCCATTGCGAGGTAGGCTGGTGTTTTAACAATGATGGTGGAATCAAATTCGAACCTGAGGTCAACGTAGACTTTGGCCGCTCGTTCTGACTGCGGTACGCTCCAGGGCTGTTTCCAAGCGGAACCCTTTGCCGGGATGCGAAGTCTCGCTCGGATCTCGTTATCAATCTTGAGGATTTCCTGACGTGCAGAATCCTCCCATGGATCATCGTCGATTCTGTACAGCGCATAGTCGAGCATTAAGACGTTCGGCTCCGAGAGCACGACCTCCTCGAGCTTGAGTTCCGTAGATGTATATTGAGCCGGAGCTAGCGCCACTGCGCCTTCAATACTGACGAAGGACAGTTCTTCCCCTGGTACAGGGTAAAGTCTCAACAGTAAACTTGCACAGCCCTCGAATCTGTGGTCGAAGATGGTCCAACCGCTTTCATATCGAGCTTTGTGTTGATGGGTTGCACCCGTAAAGGTATCCAAGATTTCCACATCCCAGTCGCCCTTGATGCTGACCAGCGTGTCGTATGGGTTGTTTCTGTCCGTGTTGCAGATGAAGACAAACCTCTCTTCTCCATCCTGGCGCATCTGGTAAAGTAGGGTATCAGTCGGCCCCCCAACCTTCAAGTCGATCTTCAAGTCACGATTTTGAGATACAGCAGAGAGGACATCGCCTTGATCCCAAGCAACCTTGACTGATGGCTCGATATCGAGGCTGAGATCTGGCGGCGCAACCTGAGCATCAATGAGAACCGGGGCATCACCGGCAATGATAACGGCACCCCCGGCAGCGGCGAATTTCTTGACAACACTGAATGTCGACGACCGAATGGTCCTTAAGTTCGGCAGAATCACGACGTCGTACTCGCACTGGCCAACCTTGAGAGGCTTCGATACATCTTCACCGATTTGGGTCGGCAGAAGACTCTCGGAAATGAAGTCGAAATCCACCAAGCCATGTAGCAGCCAGTTTGTGAGCTCCGCAAATGCCTGGTCACGGCGACCAATCTCATCGTCGCCGCTGTTGTTGGGTCCGAAGCACAACCAAAAGCTTTCAATGGGGTGAATCACACCTACTCGCGTAACGGCCTTGCCGCGCGTCAAGGCGACACCAACACGGGCGAAATGGTCCTCAACGTAGCCGTACTCCTTGTACCATGGGCTCTGGTAGCCAATACTGGCGGGATAATCGCGCTTACCTTCACCAGCCATACTGACCCAGCTGAGGTGCTGCACGCGGAACGTGATGCCCAGAGCCGCATGCCAGTCGCCGCAGCCCTTGTGCCCTTCGAAAGTGAAGTACCAGTGGGTGCACCCATAGATCTCGCTCATGGCGCCGCGGACGCCGTTCTGGCGGGCCACGCTGGTGCATTGTTTCGCGGTGTTGTACTCGACCCAGTCGTTGAGAAGGTCCATGCCCGGAAGCGTCTGATTTCGGTAGCAGCGCATTGCTTCGCCATGGGCGGTCGTCTGAGAACGGAGGGTGGGCTCTTCCATCATGTGGCCGTTGAGGATAATCTTGTTTTTCCTGCACCAGTTTGCCAGCAGATCGAGGAATGAAGTCACAAATCTTTCGCTGACATGGTCGTGGAACCGGTAACGAGACAAGCTCGGTGTATCTCCCGGAAGATCCCACAACAGTTCCGGGATGCTAGCAATGAGGTCCGCATCTTCACCGTACGTCGCTCTGAATGTGTCGGGCAGATCTGCTGTCCATGGTAGAAAAACGTCTTCCACTCCAGTCGGGCTGGACAGTTGTGTCTTGATAGCCACTTGGGGCTCATCGGTGAAGATACAGGGCACTGTTGTCCCAAATTTGTCGCCAATCTTATCCTTGTAGACCTCATGCGTGCTCTCCAAAAAGCGGTTCATGGCTTCGGTGCTCATTGTGTCGATGTAGGTCTGCCCGTTGAACCAAGATGACGGAGGGTTAATCTCGACGTACGCGTACCATACCCTTCCGCCTGGTTCCGCATCCTCTCCCTCTTCGAGTCTTTTGTTTGACTTCAGGCGGCCATTCTCATCAAGTGTGATTGAAAAGCGTGCCAAGAGATAACCTTCTTCACTCCGGCAGGCCTGTGCTGAACTGGGAGCGCAGCCACTAAAACTTGTGTGAGATGGATATGAGAAAGATAGCCTGGGGACTTACCCGCCAAGCTCAACAGTCCCGTACGGGTACGGCGTGAACAGAATGTGCTTCGTCTTATGCTCTGGGTATTGCTTGACGACCTTGCCCCCAGCAACACCGGAGGGCCACCGATCATCGTCGTATCTGATGTATTTCATCAGTAATCTCATCAAAAGAATTTGAGTATCGAGGGCTAGAATTTCTTACAAGCAGGCGAGCATCCCCTTACTTTCTGCATACTCCACGCAGTCCCGAACGCGATCCATAAACTCAGGGCCCATATATTCGGTATCCAGTCCGGTCCGGACATGCATGTGGAAACCACCCATGCCCATCTCATTGAGATGATCGATCTGCCTGAGAAGCTTCTCCTTTTCCAACTTTGTATTCCATGACCACAGAGGACATCCTCGATATTCTGAAGTTGGGTTCTTGAAGAGGTCCTCGCTGAAGGGTTTGGTCGCCTTGGGGTACGTCAGTGGATTCGCCGTCTCCTCCGGGCTCCGGGCATCATCCCCGCTGGCGGCCTTCCCCGGCCTGTCGTTCTCAATCGCGACAAATGATGAGTCCATATCGTGTGATTCATGCACAACTCTTTCGAACTGGAGCTTGGGGATTCTGACTAGATGTTGTAAGTGAGAATAATGACCTTGCATTTCATGCCGCAGACTTTCAGGCACGCAGGGAGGCTTTGTGATCTCATGACTTGTTTCAACCTTAGCGCACATCCCCGCACGCGAAGACACGCCGAAGCTTTCGGCTGAAAACGGCGCCGTTTGCTGACTGAAAACGAAACCTTTCCCACCTTCTGGGCCCTTTCTTGTATGAGGCTATGAGCAGGCGACATGGAACACTCGCCAAGGACGAGAGTCTAATGGGGTGACCAAGTAGTACGAGCAAGAGCGGCAGGCATGTCACATCGTCACTGGCGCATTCACTGCATGCCCTTATCCTTCACCTGAGTTCAGTGAGCAAACACCACTCCAAGCCCCCAAACTTGAACGAGTTGAATATGCTTTCAAGTTTCTTGAGCCCATACTGCCTTGTTTCTCTCAGCAAAGTCGCGAAACTTCCTTGGCTGCTTCCCAGTCAGCGCAAGGACAACGCTGTTCGTCCGGTCCTCACTCCCGTTCTTGATGGCCATGTCCAGCCCACCCATCATCTCCGCGTAGTCCCGAGGCATGCCCTGAGTGACATAACGCTCTACGAGTCCCTGCACTGAGAGCCGTTTGTGAACAATCTTTCGACCGAGATCTTCGGAGAGAATGACTGCAATCTATATTTTGGTCCCAAAAATTACTATCCATGAGTTCGGGACGGTGTATAATACTCACGTCATCGTAGCCGAGCAGCTCAGGGCCGAAAATGAGATACTCGTCATTTGGCGCATCTTCTTGGGTGAGTAGCTGGAATGCACAGGCCGCAATATCCTCAGCTGCGACCCAGGGAAGCTTTCCATCCGCAGTAGCAGAGTAAATCGTGCTCTCGATCAAAATGGCTAGGCGATGATTATCTTGTTCCGCAAAGTTTTCTAGTATTTTGTCAGCTCATTCTTTTCCCTCTCAAAACTCAATCCACAGTCTCACGTTGGAACCACGTAGGCCTCAGCGCAGCCCATTCCACCTGACCCGTATCGCCAAGTTCCTTCAAGTACGCATGCGGCCGGCCCATTGCGTAACCGTTAATGTCGGGCTCAGTGAGGCTCCCACTCAGCAGGACAAATCTGATGATAGGCCCCTGTCGCCGTGCTCGGTCGATGAAGGCCTGCATCGGCGGAAGCATGTCCATGACTGGTGGGGCAACCAAGAAAATACTCGTTGCACCAAGGTCTAACGCGGCTGTCCATGTCGCTTCGTTCCCCCAGTCGAATGCGATAGGCTTAATGTTTTCGGCGTCCGGCTCCGTGGTGACTGCTCCGCTCCGGGAGGCTTGGAAGGTGGGGGTAGATGTCGTTGCGAAGAGCTTCGTGATCTGACGGCCGACTTTCCCGGTACCGCCCAGAACCAGGACGCTTTGAGATCGTTTCGATGTCATATTAACTGATGTGATAAAAAGTCATGACAGCTGCTCGGTAGTTTAGAAGTAATGAAGGCCGCGAGCCGAAGTATTTAGGCGTAATCGGAGGCCTAGGACAACACCCAGGGTGAGGACTTAGCGGAGGTAAGATGCTAGTCACGCAACGGATTTAAGCCGCCTATGTACGGAAACGCGAACTTGATATCTTCGAGCCCGACGGGGTTGTCGTCCCAGGTTCTTCTGCGTGATTTCACAGATCGTCCTGAGATTTTAGAAGAGATCGAGGCAAGCACGCGGTCGGATAGATGGGGTACCGATGGAATAACTAATTTGTTTCCCACTTACCCCTCCACACGCCAACTACGTCCACGTCATTTGTGCAGATGCAGGCTTCAGGGGCGCTGTTGGTGGTGAATTTTCTGTTGCCAATATTATCTTGAGGGTACCAACAGACTACCGGTATTTGTTTGATGGTTGCTCAACACCTGACAACCAGTCGAAGGCGTGCTTGCAGATTGCACAAGGCCTCGACATTTCACCCTATCCGCACGAAAATGCGGGCGGTTGAGGATGATGAGTGAGTGTGTCTAGACCTTTGTCACCCCCTACTATGTAATAGACGTATACGGACGGCGGGCCCACAGCAAGTTTATCATGAGATGTAGCTATGACAAAGGCCAATGCATTTTGAGGTAGCGTAGAAGATACGTACGCTGAAAGGCACACAGCAAATAGTGCACCAATTCTAGCACACGTTTGCAGCGAGCCTTGGCAGCTCTTTCCGTTGGCAATAATTACCAGGAAATGTGTACCACGCAGAGGAAAAGAACAATTACCCCTGATTGCTATACAACAGAAGATTGGTAATCCAACGTCTAAACAGCCTTTCATAGGGGGTGAGTGAGTTTCACCACGCGAGGGTATCTAGGAACCTCCATTTCAACAGAACGACAACGCTTCACCCAAAGACGCGGCCATTCCCCTGCTAACATTGTACTTGCAGTTCACAATGCCGCTCGTGTCCAGCTTTTTGCAATCCACCAACTCCAGCTTGAATCCCCCAAGCGGCGTGAGCGCCGAGTCCGGCAACATTCTGGTCCCTTTCCTCAGCATCACGGGCATGATTGCCGTCTCCACGGAGTCTAGGATCCCCGCATCTAGACACGGACCCGCCAGTTGCCCTCCGCCCATGAGCCAGATGTCCTGGCCCTCCGCGTTTTTGAGGTCCGCGACATAGCCGGTGAAATTTTGTGATATGATTGTCACGCTTGGGTGATCTTCGCTCCTGAGAGTTCTGCTGACGACAACCAGGTTTTGTTTTGGATATCGCCGTAGAGGGTTCTGCTCACCCATGGCGAACATACACTGATACGTCTTTCGGCCCATTATAAAAGTATCGAACTGGGCATAAAGTGCCTGAAAATCGATGTTGTCGTCTTGTACGATCCAATCTGTTGATCCATCTGGGGGAGCAATGAAGCCATCGAGGGATATAGCAACATTGTATCGTAAACGTCGCTGCGGTTCTTTCATCTTGAAGTTTGGACGTCAAATTGCGTCAGATGCTATCACGATCCATTTACTCTATGACCAGGGAAACGGGGGGAGGTCCCTTATAAATGCACGATCGTAATCTGATCTCTCATGGCCTGCCAACCCGAAAACATTGGCAAAGAGACGCTGAATCAGATGCCACACTTGGCAAGACAAACGGACATCCGAGTCCCAGGGTGCCATGTGATGTCATCTCCTCCAACCGTTCGTGCGCGGCCTCCACTGATTTGCGAAGCGGACCGCGAGGATCCGAGTGTGGCCGTCGCCTATACTCGGCTTCCGCTGCCGGATGGGAGACTGGGCAGGAGAAAATGCGGAACGTGACGGGCATGCTTGCCTGGGATTTCCGAACACAACCAAGGTGAAATATTCGGTGAGAGTCAGCCCTACTCGTGGCCGTTTCATCTCGGCGGACAGCGGAGGGTTGTTTCATGATGTGTAATCTCCTTGTGGCTTAGGCATGAAACTTGCCCGACCGAAGTCGCGACGTCATAAGCCCGATTATCGGCCGATATCAATGTCTTATGAACTACTGGTCTGTTGCACGGCATAAAGACCTTCTGTATTCATACTTCTTTCCAGTTGTCAATGGCTCTCTTTCAATCTCAGCCTCTTGAGGTTTAGGCTGCTACGGCTAGGATCTTCATGCCACATTATGAGATGTGCTAATTCATAGTTGTGACTCATTAGCATCAAAGCTCTACGGGTAACTGTAAAACATTCGTTGGGCGTCACACATGTATAATATGCGGTAAACGATATGCATAATACTCTGCATATAAAACGCAAGGCATTGTCTTATGTGTATTGATAATGGATTCTGACGACACGAAACAGTACGGCTGATTGATATCTCAGCGATGATCTCGACGTGTATTCAAAGTTGAACGACATCTCCGGCCTTATGGACTAAGCTTGGACATTTCGGAGGAATGTCTATGTTTTCTAGAGTGCTCGATATAGTTCGATAGGATCTATGCTGTTCATCCTAGGTACCGCAATATTAAGCACCCGAGTAAATGTTGGTGGCACAGACTTCTTCGAGTACCAGACATCTGGTCAATGTGCAAAGTCAATCTGTGAAATAGAAGCAGCGTAGTATTGAGCTGTATCACAGTAGCTCAGGCTTTGAAAGCTTACTTAACTGCAGACACGTTCCGATTTCGAGCGACATGCATTGAATCATTGACGGCAAACTAAGCTCTGGAGGACGGCACCGTAATAGATGAAGCTCATCGCCAGGTGTGAGCGATGATCACAGCCAATCGGAAGTACAACACGTCCGGGTGTTGTAATCTTGACTAAACCTATAATTATTGATCACCGGAATCGCATCCGCTGTTCCCCAGTGGCATATCAAGGCAGAATTCGCCTAAAAGACCATCGTGGTTGCTCCCGCCGAAAGGTGTCCAATCCAAAAGATCTTGACGCATAATTACGGATGGAAAAGTGTTGTTCCTGCGGACGTGACACAACGAGCGGGGATCTCGGATGCATGAGAAAGATCACTAACATGACGAAGGTGGCACGGTGGCTCATGCACCTCGTTTTCGTCAACCATAGCCAGGGAAGGTCTCAGTACTCCCACCACCAAGAAAGACCAATCTTTCTCTCGCAAGGTCTTACAGACAGTGATCCGATTGGAGGCTGTGGAACAAAGACGTACGCTGGTGACTCGATAGATAAGTTGCCTCACTGTCCTGCGTTTGTTCGACTAGGCAACGCGAGTATAAGTATTTATATGCTACTTGACCTCTTCTCGTTTCCTGAATATCAGCAAGCCTCATTATTCGGTCCCAATATGTTGTCTTTTAATCGTATTGCTATCTACGGTCATCGAGGCTGGGCCAGCTCAAAGATAACCGAAGCCTTGATCGCATCAGGGGCACCGATTCGAATTATTTACTGTCCAGGATCCGATATCTCGAGCCTGCCGTCTTCCATCACTAGCGTCGAGGTGGATGTTGAGGACGAGAAAGCACTGGTTAACGCCCTACATGACATTGACATCGTGACGTATATACCGTACTCACATCGTTGACCTCGAAACACCATTCAGGTTCAAGTCAGCCCAGACAAAAGCTCTGACATCTTGGCAGCTCTCTCGTCGGACACGAAGGGGTTAAGCGACAGCATGCCTTCGTCAAGACCATACCAAAGACGGACGTCAAGCTTTTCTCACCATCGGAGCTTGCGGGTAGATACTACGAGCAAGGCTTGAAGATTGGCGTCAACAAGGCTAAACGCCAAGTTGAGGAAGCCTCTATCGCTGCTGGCATTCCAACTATGCTAGTCTTGCTTGGGAACTTCGCCGAGTTTGCACTGAATACTCCGTAAGTTTTCCTCGAATATCCTACGGTAAGATCTACCATCACCTTGACTGTCTCAAACAATCGCATGTTAGTGGCATGGATGTAGACTTGCCTGGTAATAGAATTGTGTACTCGGGGAACAGTGCCGAGGAGATTGTGGACTTAAGGTGAGTTGAAGCTGAGATTGGTAAGTGATCTACTTCAATTTCTTACTAATGTGACGTTCGGTACGAGGAGCTACGTGGCCGCAGCATATGCAACTATTTTTGCTTCGACGCTAACTCCCCAACAAACAGGGCGATCTCGATCTCCGAGTTGAAGGCCACTGGTAATGATTTTGCTACTGCGCCGAAACAGAAACATGGCACTCCTCCTCAAGCCTCCGTTTTGAGCCTCGACAAAGTCAACACCGAAGTTGAAGAAGGGCTAAGATCAGGCAGTCTCTTCACCCTGGCTTGATACTGCCGCAAGATTTGGGGCACCGGTGAGCAAGCCAAGATGGTCGGGGCCGATATCTGGGATGTTGAAGGCTACAAAAAGGCCACTCTTGAAGTCTTAGTCGTTCGTGGAAAGCTTGAAGCTTATCGCCAACTCCCACCATAGGTTTCGGAGTACTTTCGGGGCACATTCTGATCACGCGAGCACTTGGCTAAGGTATCTCCATATCAGGAACTGGGAGGGAAATGGCATCGGGAACGCTCACTTGAGCGATAAGAACCAGCTTGCGATAGGAAAGTTTGATCTTGATCTTATAGAGCTCGCGAAGATACATGTACCTGAATACGTTAACACTATGTAAGTTGATTTCAAGTTTTCTTGTACAACATGTTGGTTTCTTTACAAACAAGATTAGAAGTTCAAACTTTTTCAAATAAACTATCTTAAATCAATGGTAAACTAGATCTACGACCCTTTCAGACCGAAAGCCGCTAATCTTCAACCTTGTCGTGTGACCTAGTTGAAGTTCTTCTTGGCCTGTTGGAGCGGTGTTAGTGAGTATCCTTTAAATGTTGAGTGGTACACAACTTACCTCCTTCAAATTCTCTTCATTAGTCTTCTTGCCCTTCTTGAAAGTAGCATCCAGCTTGTCCAAGGATCCCTTATCCTTCTTAGGGTCGCCAGTCAAGCCATTGACTGTTTTCTTCGCACCCTTCTGCGCATTCTCAACTTTCCCAAGTCCCTTGGTAAGAGCAGGATCCTTGTTGCCGGCGATCTTTTGGTTCTTCTGACGGTCTTTAGTTGCCTCATCCAAGGCACTATTGATCTTCTTTTCATCTTTCTTGAGGCCCTTCGCATCGTTCTTCTTGGCAGCGTTCTGTGCCTTCTCAGTGGCAGAGATCTCCTTGTCGCCAGCTTTGAGATTATCTTTGATGCCCTTCTCCAGCTTCTTCTTATCCGCAGAGGGCTTGTTGTTTGTTGCCTTGGCCGGTGCCTTGGTGGTTGCCTTGGTGGCAGGAGATTTGTTGTTTGCGGGATTGGCTACTGGAAGAGCCACAGTCAGGGCAACCAAGAAGAGAAGAAGAGCTAGTGTAAGACGCATCTTTGCTGATATGAAGAGCCGAATGAAATGATTGTCTTATGAAATTAAGTAGGTGCAGTGATACGAGATCCGAATCCTGTCGGATGTTGTGGAAGAGACCGTTGAAAAATGATTGAATGGTGTGATGGCCGGAGCAGAAGTTGCTTATCCTTTTGGAGTTGTTGTCGGTTTTATACTCATGCTCTTTGAATAATGCGCGAGGGTGAGTAGTATCTCAGGTAACTTTTACCCAAGAACCAACCAGATGAGGTGGTCCTTGATGAGGTGTTCCTTGATGAAGCGGCATCTCAGACGAAGCAGATGTCGCAGTCAAACCTAGTTTACTTGAATGGGAAGTTTCCGACACTAAGTGATAGTATAATCTTGATCATGCAGGCTCGGGCTCTTCTGGACATCGAAGCTGTCATCGGCAGCATCAAGCGAGTCATATAGCTCGCACTACGACTCGTCCCCAGTTTCTGGGGATCTGCCATTGCCAAGACGTACCCTGCGATCAGCGGAAAATCGCCAACTCTAATGTCCGTTGGGGAACACCCAAGAGGAATAGACTTCAGGTGATGGCAGAGCAAGTTGTTTTAGGATGAAACTGAGGATCATATGTCATTGGCGGGCGTCGAGCTGGAAGGGCGTCCAAATGCAGGAAGCTGGAGAATGATCGCTGCAAGCATGAGTCGGGGGATCCGAGGGCGCCGGAACCACAGCCTTGGGACAGATGACAATACGCGTAGGCATATCAAGCTTGGAATGGTGTTTACCAAAAATTCCCGAAAAAGTGAGACCCGTATTAAACTTTTACTCGGGAACATGTCGCACTCCAGACGGGAAGAAGCCGCCAAGGCTGCGACAATGGATGAAAAGCATAAATCCAGTAAGGGTTCGAGAGCCACGTTTCCGAAGCGGTAGTCTCAACCAAGACCTTTCAGTTCCAAGATGCTTAATTCAAGCTTGACAGAAGGGCACCACAAATTGTTCTGTTTTTACTATCGGATATCCCGCAGAGTCACAGGATACAAGCTCCTCTCCACGAGTAGGTGTGATTTAACTTACTTCTACATGTCTTGTTTCTAGATTCTCCATGGAGAGGCTTGAGGTGAACAAATTGAACAGTGAAGCCACCGGTCTAAGTGGCCAGTCAGGCCAAATCTTAGCGTGATAAACAGATGAAGGAAGTTTGAATCGACTTAAGGCCTGATTATCGGAAGAACTTCGTCAGAACTTCGTCTGAAACGAGTCAATATGTATCAAAGCTGCATTATAGATGCAAGGTCAAATTCAATATCTATCAGCAATCCATGTATCGGCTATTGCGACCTACAAAATATGATGATACACGTCTAGTCGTGAATTGCGTTGCGTTCGGATTCGTACCCAAGGCCGTGGTCATGAGTCCGAGACAGGGAGCATTTCAACACCGGCATTGACAGAGATGAACCCATTCAGAACACCACACACACATCACTCAGTTATCATCCTCAAAGTCTACATGTATCTCCTCTGCTGTGGGCTTTCTGCCGTGGATCAACCACCTGAACACTATTAAGAAGGGTCCACATGCTGTTCAGAATCTTGGCTCAAACGTTGATGTATGCACGAATGCTTTTATCGTTGAACTCATGGCGAACCTGGTCCATCAGTCGGAGTACTTCCTCCCTCGTTCAGTTCAAGGCCTTTATAGGCGGGGCTATGCAGAAGCCCTCCCACCCAAACGTGATGTTCTCATTATTCCAGAGTCCCAGCTCCTTGTGTCTAGGGTCTCTAGACCATCTCTCGTTGGCCATCTGAATCGTTTGACGTAAACATCCCTGAAGCTAATGCTGCTCATCAGATCTGCGAGTCCAACAACATTTCAGAATGGGCGTCCAAACATTGCAGCAGCTTCTTTGATCATTCTAGATGACTTCAGCATTGCAGAATCTTTCCTCAATGTTCTGTCGTCGGACGTAGGAATGATATCCGATTCGTTCAGTTGCAGGTAGCCAACATGATCTAAATTGAGACTTTGAAACTTTGCTCCGATCAATTTGTGGCAAAATGAACGTGGCCTAACCCAGATTCTCCTCCACACGCCCGTTGCAACTCCTGGGGAGGATACCACTGCTTGTCAAACTTGCGACCACCCAGAAAGAACCATCTGGGGTAAATTGCGTTTTCCTCGTCGAATGCTTTGCGTCCATTGAGTTGACTTGCACCTCGATTCGGTTCACCGGGTGCAAAATAAAGCATGTCCAGAGGTGCCCTAGTTGCCGTTGCCGTGCTGCCAAAGTGAATATCCATTCGACGTAACGACGGCATCCTATCAACAGCAGTGACGAATGATGTAGCCAAAGGCGTGAACGTCTTTGACTCGGTTGTACATCTAAACCATCTTCCAGGAAATTCTCCAGACTGTCTAGACCATTCAAAGTCTGGTAGAAAATCCGAGGTGTCGGAGTCATCCGAATCAAAGGCGGCAATCTTTTCGTCGTGCTCGAGACCGTACCCACAGTCATCGGCCAAGGCCTTGGTCTGGTCACCGGTAAGCAAGTACCTGCCGTCAGGTGTTGTTGTTGAACAGTCGACATAAAGGTACTCCAATGAAGGGCAATGAATCTCTGGCTGGTTTTTAAGAGACCCAAACGCCGCTGGTGATAAGATCCAGAGAGTTTCCAAGTGCAGTCGCCGAAGGGTAGAAATTTGACACAAGCGACGAACGCCTAGGGACAAGATATCCTCTCCATAGTCGTCGCTCATCAACGGTTCTAGCTTGAAACTCTCATCAATGGGATCCTTATCGTCGACTTTGACTCTGAACTCGACCAGGCTCGGGAACGATGTGCTGAGCAAAGCCTTTCCAAGGGCAGATCTGATTTCGTTGCGATTAGCCATTAATCGACGTGTCGGAAGCCTGAAGCTCCATTCCATCTTTCTCGCAGAGACGAATGTGCTTGAGATGGCGGAAATCGCGTCCGGATGGAAGTTTCGTCCACCGGGCCCCCCGTCAAACTCGAACCCTGACACACACGGCACCTGCGGCAACTTTGCCAGGCCTGAGTTAGGTGGCGGCAAGAGGCTGTGGTCGAAACGCAGGTAGCGGAAGTGGTCCCTTACTTGCCACATCGGCGCAGTCCGGTGATTATGGATGTTTCTTAGCTCACCAACCTCCTCCATCTCTTCCACCAGCCTGTCTGTTGGTGACTCCACCACAATCTTCAGGTTGATGCCAGGGCCGTACCGCCGACGTTCCCACCTAGCTAATCGACCGAGAAAATTCACAGCAGCTTTCGTGAATACCGTGTCGTTCTCTAACGCCTCCTTGCTGCTCTGAATCTTCTTGATGCGTTTGCCACTGATCGTTGGCAAAACAACATGGAAGTCAATATGTTGCACATAGGCCCTTTGCTGCGGGTCTAGAAAGGCTTGATTGAAACGGGCGAGACCCTCGGCGGTACTGGGCACCTGTACCCGCACTGACGGCCCGAAGTCGTCAATGACAAAGGTATCGAATTCGGCGTCCATCTCCATCTTTGATTTATGTGTTGTTGGGTAGACGATGGAAGGAACTATTCAGGCAACGGTTTCGGGGCTATGTAATTCTTGCTCTAGCACTAGTGGGGAGTTGCGTGATGTTTGCTCACAATCATACCACCCCAACCTCACCCAGAACGCTTTCGGACAAACAATTTAGCGAATGGGGAATTCCAACATTCTTAATTTTCTAGTTCTAGTCTTTTTTTCAGCTCATCCGAGACTATCTAAGCATATCGGCATAGAGTATGAAGGGGCTTCCTAATGGTAGTTACCCAAGTGACATTAGAGTGGTAATATCTTCTAGTATCATGCTATTACCCCCTCGTATCTTACGTTCGCTTCACGCTATTCTGCTCATAGAAAGATACTTGCAGAAAACGCGAGAGAGATGGTCCAAAGAAACAGCATTTCATTCTATAAGTTAAGTCAGTTGAAAGATCTAAAATTTGGCGTACCCGGGTATTGGCCGGTTCAAGGTCGGCGATGAAAAGATTGCCGGATGTCTCCTCAATCTCTAGGTCATTGTAATCAGTTAGTAAAATGAAGTTGAACCGTCTTCCTTGTAGACATCTTCACAGTTGATCTGCGGGATATTCATCTACCGGCCTGTCAAATGTCGGCAGTGGCTTTCGTTCAAAAGACCAGTTCGGGTTTCCTACCGATCGGGCAACCGGCCCGGAACTGTCCGGTGTCCCAACCGGTATTCCCATGCGGGAGCCCGAGCATTATCTGCCGATCGCATGATTCTAAGCTAAGAGCAGAAAAGCAATTCTCGCTATCGTGCTGCTCTCGGTTTAGCGGCATGCGCGTACGAATCGCACTTCGAGCCAACAAGAGCACACAGGTGCTAGTCGGAACGTCGAGTTCTGCACGCTACCAGCTAAGGGCGATCCCCCACCATTAACGATGCATCCACAAGCCCCCTTCTCGGGAGTGATAATGACACGTACTGTGAGGTGATGATCCGAGATGTTCGCTTTTTGAGGACGACGTGCTCACGCCGAAGCCGGCACTGACCTGCGATACTGCTGTGCCGGTCTTTACCGGAGCCAGCAGCTTATAAGTGAAGATGATGAGCAGGAATAATTAGATGGGCCTGTAGCACTTGGATACCAACGTGCGGTTCTCACTTAATTCTCAGACATATCGAAGTTTTGTCCACGATGCGGTTCTCGACAAGAAGTCTCATTGTGGTGGGCTTGCTCAGCGCCTTGGGCCTGAAGCAGCGGGCCGCTGCAGTTGAGTTGTCAAGCTTCACAAAGGATTTGTTCACCGAGTCCATGGACTTTTTGGATAAGATCTACGATCGTGCGGGCGGCTACCTTTATTTTTTTTACTTCCCACTTGCGGCAGGTAAGCACGAGACGCGATCTTCCATCTGGTATGCCACTGGTCTCCTGCAACGCAACACTGGCGATGATGTGGAGCAGGCTACCAAGATCATCAAAAATATAATCGGAGATCAGAAGAAGATACGTGAGGAACAATGGTAAGTTTCCTCTGGATTCTTGAGTTGCAAGATCAAATTCCACTTACACCAGAGGTTTATCCAGGTTTGGAGACTACACGGTTTATCCGGAGGAGCCAACTGTTGGCACAGCGGCGTATCCTAAGAATGTAGGCATCTCTTTCCTCGACGTTCTATCCAACTTCAATAATAATGCTGACCTACTTCATTCCCAAAGATCTACAATTCTTGGGATCCTAATTGGCGAGGCTTTATTGGCACAGCTCTCATTGTCATTTATGAAGAGTTTAGGCACCTTCTCGTGAGAGACGTTCAGGATCTCATTCTCGAGAGCCTGTACAACAACACCGTTGGAGACAGCTACCGTGTCGGTGGAGTTGATGACGACAATCTTTACCCGTCATACAGCAACCCAGCCATCATGCGTGCCATTGTAACCGGGTGGACTGGTCGAACTCTCAATGACTCCAACATGACAGCTGCCGGCGAACTGTATGCCAAGGAGATTTTGGACTTATTTGACCGCAATAACACACTTTCTGAGTTCAATAGCCCAACGTACGCCGGCGTCAGCATCTATTCGCTTACCCTATGGGCCAAGTACATGCCCAATGACTCGTCACTAATGGGCCAGCATGGTGCTCGCATGATCAAAGCCATTTGGGAATCCATCGGTTCCATGTACAACGCCAACCTCCGTAATGTTGCTGGACCGTGGGATAGGACCTATGGTTTCGACATGAACCAATACGTCGCCATCATCAACATCTACATCTGGTCTCTCGTTGGTAAGTACAAGGCACCCGGCATCTCACAAACATGGAGCATGGCGCACGCAGATGATTTTGAGTACGCGCCGCTCATCTCTGTCTTGGCACCTTTCCATGATGACCTCGTACCATCAGACGTTGTGGAGAAGCTCGGCACATTTCCTGGTGAGCACTTGTTTGAAACTGCCGCTTTCTCCCCCCCTCACGATTCTGTGCCTCGAAACATCACAACTTGGCTATCTGCCAACCTCACCATTGGAGCTGAGTCATATGACGAAGATACTCTCGGTGGGCCCCGCGAAGATCCTTCTCAATGGTCGCCTGCGGTGGTACAGTGGGCTAGAAATGACGGTAGTGTCGGCTACACCGTTCTCCATGGCACTGAAGAGACTTTGGATGTGGATGTTAGCCCTGGACACCTCAGCCTATCTTACCCCCACGGCAATTCCACCAGCATTTTCACATTCCTTGTGAGCTCCAATCCCCTTGGCAGCAAGAGAGACATCTTCGGATTCGAGGATGTTGAAGGAATACAAGTCAGCGTCGGGGGCTCGGTAGTTTCACAACCGGAAATTGGATTCTGCGGCCTTGTTGGCGGTACCTGTTCCATCATTCAGTGAGTTGGAACAATTTGCAAAAGTCCCTCGGAACATCGTGCTAACATTAAGTAGTGGCTTTGAATTTTGGAACATTACGTTTGTGATGCCTAGTAACTCAAGTGTAGTTCCCTCGATTGAGCTTGACATCAAGAGTACGATTGGGGAGAGTGAGCGGAGATCGCATCGTACCTTGTAGTCAGGATCATCAAAATGCGGTTAGCAACTTGTCTCATGTTCAAGTGCAGGTCCGCAGAGATGAAAGTTGTTTCCTGATTGTTGAAGGTAGTAGGCCTTTTAGAAGCTATTTCCAGATTCCAACTTGTCATTAATACTGCGGCTCTGGTTACTTTGTGGATTAGTGAAACCTTCACCAAAAATGCTTCTTGTCTGGTTCCATATTCATTAATGCCCCACCCTAACCTGACTTGCAACTCTCAGAGACTACTAAGTAATACGAAGGGAACCCGAGTAAAGCCACATTTATTACTCTACTGCGAAAGCTATCGATTTCATAATCAGAGCCGCGTGTTACTCTTTTTTTTTTTGTCCTGTAGTATGTAATCAATGCGAAGCTTTCGGCGGGTCCCGATGTTTGACCTTCAGCTAATTCCCAAAGAGGCCATCAATTACGCCAGTTAAGCAATTGATTCCTATTGCCAAGCTGCTTTACCGCCCGGTGGTTGTACGGAGTACATCATTATTCATAGCTCCCACCCTCAAGCTCTTGGGGACGGGACTCCACCATCAAAGTGGAAGGTCAATATTCGGGTCGCAACCCACGTGTTCTTCGTGATATCCAATCCCCAACCTCCTATCACAAGCGCCCCGATTACCCCGCGATGAGCGACAGAACTCCGTTACGATTAGGGATTTGACGCCGACATGCTTACCTTTAATCGGCCGACATCCCCGAGGCGATGTCACATTGGCTCCGTCTGGGAGCCGGTCAGCGCAACCCTTAGCTGCCACGGGACTCAATGACAGGTTGGTGGCTTGGTGGGCGCCCCCTGGTTCCGAGATTTACTGCGAACTGCCGGGCCTATCAGGTTGCATCATGACGCCATGGGGTCACTATCAAAGTCACGATGATCACTTCCAACTCCAGGACTCACCTACAGCTGTCATCCGCGAAGGCCGTGGCCGCCGCTGGCCCCTCGACGATTTCCTCAAGACGTCCAAGAGCTTTGACAACTCAATATCAGCTGCACAAACGGAGACCGGTGCGGGCCGAGGTGCTGTAGTGGGCTAGTCAACCTGCAGGACAAATTGGGCAAACTTGCTTCAATCGTCCCAGCTTCCTCTTCGAAGGCCGACGTTCCTGGTATTGCACTCGTCTGACTGGTCAATGGGACTGAATGACAGGCGTCAGGAAGACATGCACTGGCCAACATGGGGCTCGGGCCAAGCTTTTGAGTCGGACTGCTACACCGTTGGTGGACACCAATGGTCGATGCTGGTCCTGGCCCTGCGACGCATCACAAACTGGAAGAGGGACTGAAGCAAATATCGACAGCCAAGGCTTGGCCCAGCAACCCTCTCGGCGCGCGAGGCGCGTACATCTCGATCATGAACTGGTGCGAAGCTCCGGATAGTTGCGGAACATGGAGCTAAGGGCATATAAAGTAGCTCTTGTTCCCCGGCATCCAGTATCACGAGAGGTCTTCAGAGCTCCAGACTCCCAAATCCGACAAGGCCCACCTCCTGCTTTTCAAAGCATCCAGGTCCAGCAGCTGCCATCGTCCCTGAGCCATCACAATGAAGGCCAGCCTCCTCTTCCTCGCGGCCTCCACGGCCCTTGCCGCCCCTCTCGAGAGCGTCCCCGTCGCTCGCAGCGAGATTGGGTCTTTCCCCATCGCCGAGCTTGAGGCTTACTACAATGCCGCCTACTCCGTCAAGCCCGAGGAGACCGCCGCTCTCAGCCCCGCGATCTCCAAGCGCCAGTACAACGGCGACACCTTCAACCAGCTGACCGATGGCACGGCTTGCCGCAAGGTCACCTTGATCTGGGCCCGTGGCACCACGCAATCCGGCAACGTTGGCGAGGCCGGTTCCGAGGGACCCGTTTTCTTCAACGCCCTTGCCGGTCTTGTCGGAACCTCCAACTTGGCCGTCCAGGGTGTCGACTACTCCGCTAGCATCCTTGGCTTCCTCGCTGGCGGCGACGCAGCGGGCAGCACCACCATGGCTAACTTGGTTGCTCGCGTAAGTTCAAAACCCTTCATGCAGGGTATCTCTTCAAACTAACAATAGCTTCTCTTCAGGCGGTCACCCAATGCCCCAGCACCAAGATCGTCATGTCCGGCTACAGCCAGGGTGGCCAGCTCGTCCACAACGCCGCATCCAAGCTCACTGCGGCCCAGACCGCCCGTGTATCTGCCGGTATGTCTACAAAATCCGTTATCTGGAGATCCTCGAGACCCGCTTGCTGACAGCTTGTACTATGTAGTTCTTATCTTCGGCGACCCGTTTGATGGCCAGGCTGTTGGCAGCATCCCTGCCTCCAAGGTCAAGGTCATTTGCCACGACGGCGACAACATCTGCGACGGCGGTATCATCATCACCGCCGACCACAGAAACTACGAGCAAGATGCCCCAGCTGCGGCTGCCTTCGTTGCTGGTCTTGTTGCGTAAGGAATTGTAACGATTAATGACATGTCCAGGCTAAGACCTTGTGGAGGAATGAGGGAATCATTTTTTCTTAGGCAGTTGAATAAGAACCGTTGAGGGAACACCCTAATTCCCAATCTAAATGACAACATAGTTCTATAAATATCGTTACGAGAAGAGCAAACCATTGATACTAGACACCCTTCTTATCCTAATGCCTGGAATGAGTGGTCGTGTCATTAAGGTGCTGGTAGACTTCCTGTTGCTAGCTCCATCCAATCATTTGCCTTCCTCATTTAGTCTTCGGCAAAGTGGAATATTCTGCCACGGGGGATCGTCCTCTATGTTCTGAGGGTGACAGGTAAGTAATTCAAACATTATCGATGGCCGCAAAGGTATGTGATGCGTACATCCGGCTTACTTTTTGGCCACTTTGGGATCAACATGGTTTCCTACTTCAGAATAATACAACTCGCTCCGGGCAGCCGGATTTGATACAACACTACAATTCTCCCGCCCATGTTCTCTTCTCAAAAGCGATGATTGCAGTGTGTATAACAGACGTAGCTCAATTGGATGACTCCTCGTGTAAATGAGATGTAACATGTGCTTCCAATTTGTTCCAATGCACATGTGCGCAACGCAATAGCTCCAGCCTTTGAAAGCTGATACTGATCAGTTCTAGCGATTTTCTCTGCTGCATGCCTGAATGCAAAATGAAGAGAACACATCCATAGCTCTAATTTGAATCAGAGGTTCTATTCTTAGAGTAAACGGGCCTTTGATCCATCACTAGCACTCTTTTGGTAGGTGAGAGTACGGCACGGATAGTTGCATGCACCTGCTTGTTCTCTCAGCGACGTCGATCGGTTTGTCGGTTCGTAGTACGTGCTCGTCCGCCCACCAGTCTCATGATTCATATATCACCGCTATTCTCAGGCTGTGAGGCCATGCAATGCGGGAAGCCATATGGCGCTTTTCATACTCTCAATGCTCCAGATAGATTCTCAGCTTGCACAAAGTCCTCGGCGAACATAAACATTTATCTGTCGAGGAATTTCGGGTGTTGTTGGGCCATGAGCTAAACAGACCACCTCAGCGTACAGGATCAAGTTGAGCGGTAGGAGTGGGTACAGGCACACAGGAGAACATGTTTGGTACTCGTTTGGAAACAAGCATAGCAAATGCTATCAGTGAAAGTAAACGACCAATTTAGACAACCCTCGTTCGTGTTTCTCTGTGTGGGAGACGGGCCCAACTGGCATGCAGCTCTTATTAACGTTCAGTGCGTACGCCGCAGTCTGCCAAGGCACCGACTGCTTGACTGTGAGTTTGCTTTTCTGACTTGAGCCTGTGGACTTGATCATCAAGTACTCTTCGCGCCTTATATAAGGCTTAAGGTACCACGTCTGTTGGTAACACAATGTGCAGATTCAGCCACGTTGACAAGGTGGCCAAGTCTGTCTGGCCCAACCAACAACTCTGTGTGCTCCAACCTGCATATGCAGTCGAATATGATCCTGGCCTCCTCGCCTCTGAAACCTGGACTGGTTGGCTTTATGTAAGGGAATGAAAAAGATCCTTGTTGAAAACTCGTGCTCTTTTGAACGGGAAAAGAATATGAGCATGCCATGCGTATTGTTGCGTCTAGTTCCATCCTGCTCCGTCAATAACTCTGGCCTGTTTCTTCTCTCCCCATTGTATTCATTGCAACTCTCCCTTTCTTCAACGTACCTATCTACCAGCTCTCTCCTTCCATCGGAAAATGCGCCTGAGATGCCACCTCCTACTAGTCTTGCCATGCATAACACGAGTCCAGGGCACTATAAAGCGCCTTTATTGGACGACTGATGCGGGCCAAAGCACAAGTGTTGGACCAGACGGGCCATGGCAAGCGATATGGATATACGACTGGTATAGCAACATCACCTACAACTTCTGGCCAACTGGCGGTGTGAGAACCATGATGGTGCCCGTTGGAAATGGCGACGATTACATCAGCGCGTACGGGCAACCGATCAAATTGGAATCCGGCAGTGGAGTGCGTCTTATGCGATCCTCTTGGCCTATCGGACTCGACGAGAATATTTCAGGCTACTTATGGCGCGACCGTATGAACCTAGTTTCACGCGAGGATTCCCAAGCTGAAGAGTCTCGGGCCGATATAGACCTCAATATCTTTATTCCCAGCGAGTCTCCTTACCCAGGGGCATACTCCAATGGGTCGAACGGGAATAAAGCCGTCGGAGCGCTCGGCTTGGGCGCAGATACTAGCACTATCCAACAACCGGACGACTTTCCGCGATTCAAGATCGACACAGTCACAGGTCAGCTAGTGTCAGAGGAAAAGATCGCTAGCAAATCCTGGTTCATGCATATGGGCAGCGTACATCTGGGCCAGCCAGGCTCCTTGACTTTGGGGGGCTACGAGCAAAACCGGGCGTTGGGAAATGTGGGAACGTTCTTCCTGGATGGCGAGCTCCCTCGAGTGTTTCTTACTGATGTATATCTCGACTTTGAAACGGGGGAAACGCCATACAACGAGACTGTTGGAAGTGTATGGCAAGATATTGTCATTGATGAGGAAGCCCAAAGCTCGGTAGATCAATACGGTGGCCCTGCTGGGTCCGTTATGGTCCTACCGAACGCAGCGGCTCCTTATTTGTATCTTCCTCGAGGAGTTTGCGAAGCTGCGGCTATGGCCCTACCCGTCCGCTGGGTTTCTCAAGTCGGCTTATACGTTTGGGATTTCTCTGGGCAGCCGGACAGAACGAACCGCTTCATCAACTCGCCAGCCTATATGGGTTTCACTTTTTCGGACGAAAAAGCGAAGAATCTCACTATCAAGATCCCGTTTAAGTTGTTGAACCTTACTCTTGACGACACTCCAGCAAGGCACGACAGTGTTAATTGGGGGATCGACTTTTATTGGCCCTGCAAGTCATGGGATAAGCCGTCTGCAACGGATCCCTCCGTAAGTACATATCCAGGAAGTCGATGGCCATTGGGTCGAGCCTTTCTACAAGGTGCTTTCACCGGATTCAACTACGACCGAAAAAGATTTTATATGGCACAAGCACCCGGCCCAGGAATGGGTCAGCGAATTGTTGTCGACGATGATAGCGAAACGATACGGTCGAAACCTGAAGATACCTTTGCGGAGACGTGGCAGGCGTATTGGACGAAAATCGAGCCGCTGACACCTAACGACACGACTGGCGTCATCTCCACCTCCACGAGCGGAATAGCAAAGAGTGCCATAGTGGGCATTGCGATCGGAGCGAGCTGTGGTCTATGTGCGTTGTTGGCATTGCTTTGGTTCTTCTGCCGGCGGGCTCGGAGAGACAGAGACCAAAGCGATGGAAAACAGGGAAAAAAGAGCGGTGACGAAGGAGTTCTGGATGCGGAGTTCTTCACCGGGGGTAAGGCTGAAATGGATGGAAAGGGGGTGTCAATCTCAGAACTAGGGCATCACGACTGGAAGTCCGCATTGGGCGAGCAACAGCCTCAAGAGTTACCGTCGCCTTTCAATCCGCCCATGAATAGCAGCCATGGGTTCAGCGACATGGTTTTTGAGCTACCTGACGGCAACTGGGTTTCCCATGAGAAAGGGGAGAAGGCAAAGAAGGAAGAGAACGGGGGCGAAGACGAGAAATCAAAATAACGTTAAACAGATGAAGTAGACATCTAGGAGTGCATGGAAACAGGCCAACTTTTATTTATCAATCCCTTTTAGAAAGCCCCAGTATTTTTGACACCTAATTGAAAACAACCGTCTTGGTCTTGTTGAGGAACACGCGTCCCTCTGCAGTCCACTTGACCGCGGCAGCCAGAACCTGGCTCTCGATGTTTGATCCCTCCTCTACGAGGTCTTTGGGGCTCATGCAGTGGTCAACTCTGGCGATGCGCTGCTCAATGATCGGGCCCTCGTCCAAATCGGCCGTGACAAAGTGAGCCGTTGCGCCAATGATCTTGACACCACGCTCGTAGGCCTGGTGGTAGGGCTTCGCGCCCTTGAAAGACGGCAAGAAGGAGTGGTGAATGTTGATGATCTTTCCGGACATTGCCGCACACAGCTTGGGGGAAAGGACCTGCATGTAGCGAGCCAGAACGATCAGCTCAATGTCGTTCTCCTTGACCAGGCGCAGGATAGCTTCCTCCTGCTCAGCCTTGGTGTCCTTGTTGACGGGCAGATGGTGGAATTCGATGCCATAGTTGCCAGCCAGGCCCTGGTACTCATTGTGGTTGGAGACGATGAGGGGAATGTCAATGGGCAGCTGGCCCGACTTTGCGCGGAAGAGCAGGTCGTTGAGGCAGTGTCCGATCTTGGAGACCATGATCAGGGTGCGCAGCTTCCGTGCGACGGGCCGGATGCGGTACCAGTCCAGCTGGAGATCGGCGGCGAGAGCGTCGAACGGGCCCTTGAGGTGCTCCGTCGACTCGGACTCGGTCGGCCCAAAGTGCACGCGCATGAAAAACTTTTCCGATACGGGGTCGGAGAACTGCTGGAGGTCCAGGATATTGAGCTTCTCGGCCGCAAACACCCCCGTCACGGCGTGGACAATGCCGGACTTGTCCGGGCACGAGAGCGTCAGGATGTGGTCGTGAGAGGCGGGAGCCATGTTGAATGTCTGGTTTATGGGTTGGTCGATTGGGTTGAAAAGGGGCGTTTGGTCGAACTTGAAGGGATGTTGACTCTTTCACGCTCAGAAAATCTCATTAGTAGCCTTTGGCTTTCTCACTCCTGAGAGCGATGAGTCAAACACTAAAAACAGCCGCGGGGCACCAGCTCCGTCTCCAGAGCCCCTCCGACCTCGGGGATGTCTCGGAGACCCGCAGCTAGCTCAATTCATCTCAAATGAGACGTTTTCAATCATCAACTGTGAGGGTTTTTAGGGAGTCGTCATTGGAAATAAAATACCATGTATGAGTCTCATTCAACTGAGTTGGTAATAGCAAGTAGACAGTGCAGTGTAAGAAGAGGTGGGATGGACAGCCGATGATACATTCAACTGCACGTCTCATTCGACTCAAGTGTGCACCTGTGGTCGAGCAGGCATGCCACTCATATGCCCCTCACCAGCGTCGCACTTCACAGAGAGTCCCTCCGTAGGGACCCCTCTCAACCTCTCATTCGGCCTGCCAATATTGACCAAGACCTTGCTTGTCAAGGGTTTGACTTTGCAATAGACTCGCTGTCAAAATTAGTTCGCCGCGATCCCCTCACCAGCACCAATAACACATCTGTGCCATCATGAGAGCGAAGATGCTTTCAAGTGCCCGTAAGACCGCGTTGCTCCTATGTAGCATTGTGAGCTCATGCAGCCTAGGAAACGAATCGGTGAACGGATATGATGAGATCAAATGTCGTGTGCCAAAGCCCGATCATGGACAATCCAGCTCAGTCTGTGACCTGTAGCATACTGCATCAATATCGTATACCTCTCGCAGCACGTACGCAGACCTAGATACATGCTTTAGTTGCGTCTGTAAATCAAGCCCTACTGCCAATGGCTCACTCGACTTACCGCTTTCCATGCAAGCTCAGGTGGGGTTGGATCGATGCGCGTGCATCCATGAAGCCTCAGCCTTACTCAAAATCGGTCCTATGTCGCCGAGCGAATATCACACTAAGAGCTTTCTTATTCTCAAAACCTAATATTTACAGATCCGTAAGCTTTTCAATCGTTAGACGAGGTACTGTGCACAGGAAATACATTTGGATAATCGGGTAGAGCATCTCTCGTGGTATCATCCATACTTACACGTACCACCGATTCTTCAATCTCTTTTTTCCACCAGAGCTAGATAAGCAATCATGAGCATCAATGGTTGTGCTCTCAGATGCCGCATCTGTCGTTGCGGCTTCATTTCGAGCCTCAGCTAAGACAACTTGCGATTCTTGGAGGAACTGATAGTAATGACCCCCCGTACCGGGACGAAACAGGTTTTGTTGTTTTCTTTGTTTTCGCTGTTCAGCCCTACCGCCTCAACTCCCTTTCCAATCGGGCATCAACTGGGGTCAACCCACAAAGCTCAACTCACTGCATGTACCATGGTAAAGGAGGGCCATTCAGTGATCGACTCGCACAAAGCCAGTGTTCAGGATCAATTGGTCCAGGCATAGGGCTGAGGATCTCAATGCGGAGACCCACAGCTACCACATCATGACGCCTTCGGTGTGGGTAGGCTTCTCATCATCTGCACGGTTGTGCATTCCGAATACAATTGCGCATGTGGCACCAACGCGGCTATTCTGCTCAATGCCCAAGTCTGTCGTTCATTGCTGACTGCTACTCCAATGCATGTGGACTTTATCATGGTGTTGGGTAAAGCATGTTTTCTTGCAGGCCTTCCAGCCGAATCTAGTAGTCAATGGTTTTGTCGACGATTTTCGACATAGGAATCGCACTTCCGTTGGCAACACACGCCTGCTCGCACAGCATCGGTTCGTAGGACTAAGTCATACGTACTTGTACTGTACATTCACGATGTTTTGACCTCGCCTGTCGGCAAACATTACTACTGAGGCACACGTGCAAGTTTCGGACAAAGCGCTACCACACCACAGAGACTCCCTGTTCGAAATTGTTCAAATTCCTCCACACTGGTTGATACGACATGTCCACCGCTCACCTCAAACGAGCCATGCGGGCGGCGCCTCCATGCTCATCTTGCAATATCAGGCTACACTAAGGTAGCTCAGTGCACAGCTGTGCACACAACTCCATGCCCTCAAGACTGCATCAGGTGCTGAAAACCGGCGCATTTTACTTTATCTTAGTGATTTATAAAGTTAGGGCCCAATGCCTCACTCCCGTCCAGCTGCTACAGACATTTTCAAGCACGTTCCTCACGCCGATGCCCTACCCTCACGATTGATATTACCGACGTCTACCAAAATGAAGTTGGTTCATTGCACGACAGGGGAGATAGATGATCACAGCTTCCCTCCAAAAGTCAAATATGCCATTTTATCTCATGTCTACTCGACTCCTGGACATGATGAATGGGATGCATATGACTCGGGTGACTTGCAAGATATAAGCCGTAAAACGGTCATCGACAATGCTTGTCTCCTTGCACGCCGAAATGGTTTGAAGTACATTTGGATCGACTCCTTATGCATCAACAAAGAATCATTCGATGAGGTTTCTGATACTATCAACTCACTTTGGAGATATTTCGAAGGTGCGAGCATTTGCTTGGTTTACCTATTCGATCTGCCCTGCTCCCCAGCGCCTTACGAATGTGTAGCAACGTGGAAACAGTCTTTGTTTTGGGCTCGGTCCTGGAGCCTTCAAGAATTACTGTTCCCCACGAGAAGCTACTTCTACGATTGCAATTGGCACTTCCGGGGAGACACTTCTTCGCACAATTTTCAACTCTTCTTAGGACGAGTCACAGACTGGCTACCTATCGGACGAATCACATATTCCGCTTCAGTTGCACGCAAGATGTCTTGGGCAGCGGGGAAGAAAGATACTCGTGGCGAGGATTCATCGTACGCTCTTCTCGGTATCTTTGACGTCACTATGCCCATCATGTATGGCGAGGGTAAAGAGTTGGCTTTCCGGAACCTTCAAGAGGCGATTCTCGACAAGACAGGCGACATGTCGTTATTTGTCTGGACCAGTTCTGACGTTTCAATTCCCCGAGGCATTTTTGCCATTTCAGCCGACGAGTTTGCGTCGTTTGTGTTGTCAAGACTTGCCCTTCCCCCCTCCAAAGACAGAAATATCCATCTTGTGTCTAGGAGTCGTGATGGGATCGTGGTCCAAGGCAATTGTCTTGTTCAAAGTGAGGACACCATCTTTCTCGACCTTGGATACAGAAAATGCAGTCCCCATACCGGCTTTTCAGAAGATAGATCTGGCATTCTGATCCGCCGGGGTGCATCTGGAATATATCATCGTGTGCAGCCTGACGCGATACAGACTGCGTCCGCAGTTGGGCGTACTGAACTCATGCGAATCACGATTGATGCGGGTTACTTCGTCGGTGGCTCCGTGCAAGGGACTCGGTTTTACCCCCAACGAAACTCGAAAACTCGCACACATTCGATTAGTCATAAGAACACGGCACTTTTGGTGAACGGTAATTCTACTCAGGATGTACCTTCAACTGCTGGGAGCCCTTCGCCGTTACGCACCTCAGCCGATGCTCCTAAACAGAATTGTTCAAGTTCGATGCCTGCCCTAGGAAATCCTCCGACGGTCACAGACCAACGACACAATCAGTCCCAGAAAACAGATCAGGCATCAGATTCAACCAATAAAGAAAGTGATCTCAATGATGTACCAACTGTTCTCAAACGAGACACCCTCGTTGAGACATCGTCCACTCGGATTATCACCCCAGGATCGCTCGACCATAGCACCGCTGGCAACATCACGAAGACGGCTACCGCGACGAGAGTGAAGCAGTCATTTGCTAATCACACAGCTCTTTTGGATGATGGCATCGTTGTCAAAGGTCTAGCTAGGAAGGCGTACAAGAATTTTCAGATATTCCAGCACATCGTCAATCACGACACAGAAAGGGAGAAACGACGAAGCAAAACAAACAACCTCCCTGTAGGTTCATGGAGACGCGGACCACGTAAATCACAGCGAAGAGCCATTCGGGCTCGATCTACTGAGTTTGCGTGTCCCTTGTTCGTTGAGAGCCCTTGGGAACATCTTCAATGTCTGAAGGCCAAGGCTTTGATTACAATGTCGGATGTCAAAGATCATATTTGGAGGTCGCACCGTGTCCCTTACTACTGCCCGATCTGCGCTCATACATTCTGTAACGCTTACTTGCGAGACCAACACATTGTTGAACAAGGTTGCAGCATTTCAGATGATCCTGCTTTCAAGGCACGTGTGACAGAGGATCAAGACGATCTCATTTCACGGACTCGGCAGCTTCCTGGTCGCAAAAGGCAGTGGTTCGCGGTCTGGAAGATTCTGAATCCGTCAAAAACTCAACAGCCAAAGTCTCCCTTTCTAAGCGACACAATGGGCTCTGGAGTAGTCTACTTCAAGAACTTTTACCAGTCTCGCAAGCTCAAAGGGAGGAAAAGGTTCAGAGAAGAGAGTGCGAATCTGATGAAGCTTGATGAAGCGGTGCTTCAGGAGGTTATTGACATTATGGTGGACGAAATGTTGAAATCCCCTACCAGACTTAGATTGCTCCAAGCGTAAATGAGTCGACACTGCTAAACGCCGGTGTTTTTCACATCTAGCAAAGGGGGTTTATCACAAGTCAAGATTGGATTCCGGCGCAACCTGACGCCTGATTTTTTTTCTTCGGTGTGTGTGGTAAACTAGGTACTTTAATGCTACAAAATAGAGTCAAGCCACATGATGAACCCGGGACAACATGCTTCTCAGTCTCAACAGCACAAGGCGCTGGGTGCCAGAGTGACCTACGAGACCTATCCCCGTCCATGAATATGTGCTGGCGATTACGTTTTCCGTCTGTCCGTATATCCTCTTGCCTTACGCTTTTGCCACCATTGAAAGTATTCAATGTTACATGCAGATCGAAGCTACACTGATGAATTTAACTTCTTTTAAGAGGCAATCTGAAATTACCTCATAACCAATGAAGTGTCGATGGCAGACAGTCTGGCCTAAGTACTTGCAAGTGCAGAGACCTACTAAACTACTTTGAGTTGTCAGGTTCGTGTCACTTTGAAAGACTGGAATCCCAGGTGAATCGCCGCAAATACAAACTGGCCACTGATTTTTTGCTGGCACTCAAGCAGGGCTTGCGTATCTTGGGCTTTCAAGAACAATTTCGGATCAGAAGTCTTTTATGATGAGCTCAATTGGATTCTCCATACTCCATCTGCCCACGTTTCTGAATTCCCCTGCCTTTCTTTTCGATATTAGTCTTACATTAGTGGACTTCGCAACCTTGACAGGAGAAGACACGATCATATCAGTGAGATTCAAATTCCAGTTCTTTGTCGTCGAATTTTCCCAAAGTCATGAATGTCGTGGACGGTGAGTATTTTGCAGGTGACGAAGGGCAGAGCCGCGATCTTGGAAGATTTGCCTCATTGCCTTCGCTTTGTGCTGCACTGACTTTCGCGAGCCGGCCCAAAATCAACAACAGATTGTCGCTTGTGGACGATTTCGAAAGGGAGACTGGCATGGTCTTGGGCAGCTCTGTTCCGTTTATCAGGCTCGTCTGTAAGGGGTCGTTATTGAGAGATGAGATGACCTTGGGACCATTCTTCTGCCATAAGTCACAGACAGTAGAAATGACCTCTTCCACCCCGCTCTTTAGGAACGGCGAAGCTGGAAAGGATTGCCCCGGGAACAAGATATCCCAGATAGTGTACCAGGAGTGTTCATCGCCCTTGGGACCGCTGTTCATCCTCTGTAACAGATCATTGACCTGATGTTCTGAGATACCTTCATCGATCCCAGCAGAACGCGGGCCGGCTCTACTTTGGCACTGCTGGTCATCGACATGTCCCTTGCACTTTCGTTTGTCCTTAAATCCTTCGTGACAGCCCGCGCAGTGGAACCGGTGCTTCCTGAGAAGATGCTGTTTAACGTCCTTCACTCTCTTCAAGTGGAAGCGAGCACAATGGAGGTGCGTGACTCGATCAAACTTGTAGAAAGGACAAGCGAGTCTTTTGCTAGACGGTGATCCTGCTTCCACATCGTGAAGCTCCTTTTCTACTTGTTCGCTATAGTCTGCAGTTACGCTTTTTACGTGAATCCCACTTGACGTTGTCTTATCCAAGGCCTCGATCTCGGATCTCGGCCGCTTGCGATGGCCGGCCCTGCTGGAAGTCAAGCTAGGTGTTTGATCAGGAGCGGGTGATGGATTTGTATCTCCCTCACATGGAAAAACGTATTGACTAGATGGAATATCACCGCTTTTGTGGGTGGCTTGTCTCGCCCACTGCGACGGACTGGATAGAATTACGCTTGGCTCGGGAAAGGTCCTCGTGTCAGAAACTGAGCTACATCAGTACATGTAGAATGTAAGAGCTACTCCTTTATCTTTGACAACCCCAGAACGGACCTTGTGAGAGCTGATAAGAGTAGCTTTGGTCATGGAAACTAGGAACACCCGCGGACTGGTAACCTGCAGGCTCAGGATACACTTCTTTGTGTGGGTTTGAAGGATGGCCCTGTGGGAGAGCAGGGCCAACGCATGGTTCGTCTGGAGGCGGTAGCCGTATCCAATCGCCAAAGAAGTGACTTCCAAATAGTTCTTCTACGATGCTTTTAGCGATTTTCAGTTTCCAGGCATACTGCTAAAACCTACCGCTGTGACAAGTCTCTGGCTCTTCCCGGAGGGACGGGAGCCATGGCCAGGACGATCCAAGCTCGTCCCAGAACGTCGTGGCCGGCGAGGGAACAACAAAGTAAGAGCCTGATAGCTGGGAGGCCACGTCCACGTCGTCAGGATAGTCTGGATGCTGAAAACTTGGATCCATGGTTGAGCCTCAGCCGTTGGGCTGTTAGCATTTACAAGCCAGCTACCGAGATCATTTTCGAAGTCCCAGAACACATCTCTCGATTCAGGGGGCTTTAGCTATGGTGTGTGGGAATCCCAGACTTATAGGTTAATGACAGCCCTCGTTTGGACCATGAGGATTTTGACGCGCACTTATGACTTAATGTCCCGCCTAATGAACTTGCAAGCTAACAATTCCACACCACCGAGCTCAGCGTCACAGAAGCCGGCGCACAAGTACCAGGCTTGATTCGAGATCCGGCAAGTGCGACAAGTGGGATTGGACACGGCTCTCCACTGAAAGGGAGCGAGATGGTTGCATATCTAAGGGCTGTGCAACATTTGATAAGCCTCCCTAGCTAGGTTGGGGAACGCATTTGCAGCCCGAAAGTGCACAAGTGTTCGTCTTGTCGTCTCGGCGCATCTGGCCCAAGTTACGCACTCTGTTGGCGAACCATTCAATTTGAAGGCTTCAGGTCAAAGTCATGGAACCAGATATGCAGTCAATATTCGCGGTGTGTAGGTACATGCATGATTTGTATTGGGTATCTTCTTCACCTCTTCGCAGCCTTCCCCCATGCCTTATCAAACTTCTCTATCCCCAATTGTGTTCCCTGTCTTCTGCCGGCTGTTTGTGCGAAACCGTAAGCTGCGAGCGGGATTGGTGGTTCCTCCTTTATCCACGCCTGGACTCTAGTGGTCCGCACAGCCTGCTGGCCGCTTTTGCCTAATCTGCTGGACAATAAGCATGACGAAAGTCGGTAAGAGACACGAACACCCACTTTGTATCTCCTGTATGAAGGGAGTGTGCATCGTTGCTCGGCATCTCGAGTTTTCAAACTGGACTGATTTTTCTTCTTTTTTTTGGCTGGATCTTCAAGACTGCTTGATTTGTCTTTACCAAGGCGAATGTTTGTGACTGAGAAACGAATGACGGGAACAGTTCAGTGTCCTTTTTCACCTCTTTTCTATGTCTTTCCAGTAGGCCCATACCATGCGTCCCTTCTTCACTGCGCGTTTCCCCCGAACATCGCGCAGCGCAGTTGTGCGCAATTGAAAGCAATTTCTTGAGCAGCTGCGCTTCTCTTCCAAACTGCGGCGGGCGAACAGGTGTGGAGCGAGAAGAATGGTTCGCCTCGGGGGCGTGTCGCTACCATGAGTACTTGGCGCACTCCAACATCGTAGAAACGAGCAGTCGCGCGTTTCGACGTGTCAATCTGCCCGTTTATCGCGTGCAACTGATCAGGAGTGACGTAGATGCAGGTTTACAGGGAAACCGAAGTGGAAAAACTTCCTGTAGCACCGCATATCCGGATCAAGCTTCCTGACCTTAGAGGATGTTTTGGCGCAAGGCAACGGCTTGCCTCGCACATGGGCCTAGAGTCTCGGGTGGCGTGGCCGCCTGAGAACATAGAGATGGCTCGATGGGCTTGCAAATCAAGTGACTGGCGACAGAATCACTTCAAGGGAGAGGGTACATTGTTGGATCAGAATCTACGAGACCGGACAGCCTTGCTTTGGGCTCGATAGACGCGAGAGAGGCGCGATACTGTACAGTTCGACGGAACCAAATCGGATCAGAACGCCCCCGAGTCCGCCCCGGGAAATTTGCAATGGCTGTGCAGTGCTCCGTACGCTGGACTATGCTGGCTGGCCGGCCGAAGAGCCTCATCCGTGTCCTCGTCGGGACGCAAGAACTTGAGAAGTAATGATGTTTACTAGGAGATTGAAGAAAGGCAGCCACGCTAAGGAGAGGAGTCGGTTGAGGAGGCGACTGGATTTCCTCCAGGATTTTCCACAGATGGAGGCAGTCACTGGTTTCTTTCCTCTTTTTCCAGTTCTTACGATTCCACCAGACTATCATATATCCTTTGCCCGGCAGACGTTCACAGCCAACAGCCTGGAAACATTCTGTCTAGATTCCAACCACCTTTGCCAATGAGTTTGCTACTGAGGCTCTCGAGTGGCTTGATCGTCTACTCAGACACTGCGGCCAACCGGCTGTCGACCTTCGGGGGAAACAGTTGGGGCCAGTCATTAGGAGGCTCGTGTACCGTCAGCGACGTCTGTTCCACTGCTACAGACGCACTGAGAGTTTGTCCGCATTTGCTCAACTCGCTCTTTGGTTCTCTCGCAAACCCGTCACAACTGAGCCTTTCCCACGTTCAATTTTCTTGGGCCGGCATTACCGTAGTGCAAACTCCCTCCCATCATCTCAGTCCAACACTCGCACAGCATACATGTTCTCCGTGGCCAGACTTGGAACGCGACGACCTCAATATTCGTTATGGCCTTTACAGCTTCCTCGCAGTATGTGGCACTGGTCTTTGCCTGCTGAAGCCAGTTGCTGTCGCTCTGTTCGGCAACTTGGTGCCGGCACCACCCCGCTCCAACGAGAATCAACGTTCCCTGGTCATCGAACAATGGTCTACAGGCTGGTTGACCTTCAGCGACTTCCTCACTCGCCCACCCATTTCACAGCTACTTCGAGAAGTGGTCACCAAGCCTAAAGTATACCTTGCGCAGTTCGTGTGCAGACCAGGGAGCATCACTTCAGGTAGTAAGACTCACGAATACGATGGGGTTTTGGCTTCTGAACCTGGAGAACGTCGGAGCAGGAAGAGAGCTACAAAGTCAGGCGGGAGCGCTACTCCTAGTACCACAAGCCGCGGGCGTAGTAGGAAACGCCAGCGTGTTGCGGTCGCCCCCAAACCAAAAACCGTCAGGAAGGGGAGGCTTTTCGCGTGCCACTTTTACGCGCACGACACTGTTGCTCATGAGTGCTGCCGACACTACAAATTCGACGAAGTGAGGGATATCAAGAGGCACATGACAGAAGAGGGTAGAGGCAATCACCGCCAGCCCATCCATTGTGTCATTTGCTTCTCCTTATTCGACACATTCGCAGAGCGCAGCGCACATTTGAGATTACGAACATGCCGTGCCGGTGTCTGTAATTTCGATGCTTCTGGTCTAAACGAAGACCAAATAGCTTCTATTCGGGGACTTAAGAAGTCTCGCGGTGAAGATGAGAAGGAATTCTGGTTCAAGATCTGGGACATTATCTTCCCAGGCGAGCAGAGACCATTATCCCCCTACTCTGACGACGTCGACGAGCTCGCGACAAGACGCCGGGTCGCTCCCAGAATGGCCTTAGGTGTGCAACAACTTGGCCTAAGGCTTGGGTGGAGTGACAACGACGTCCAAGAGGTCATTCGTGTGCTAGACAGCAGCTGGGGTCCAGGCCTGGCAGTGTCGCCATCGCCAGTCGAGCAACACACTTCTTCTCAAGCTGTCATCGGCATTCAGTCATCGCCTACACCTTCGTCACGTCCCTCCAATTCATCTACGCGTTCCATTCAAAGCCAAGTGTTCCCCAACAGCTCCGCTCCCGCCACGGCCTCTCTCCAGTCTCCCCCAAACTCAGCCAGTCCGACAAATACAGCCAATTTCAGTGGATTGCAACCCCGGTCGAGGTCTAATCCTTTTCAGAGCCCGTTTGAACCATTCAATGCTCCGAGGAACCCTCATCGTGCCCGAGTAGCACACATGTCATACAATTTGGCGTTGTCAAACCACAGCGCCGTTGCTCAACAGCAGTGGATGGCTAATCAAACCGACTGGCCTCGCTTCAGAACAAATAACATGTTAACCACCAATCTCCCCCGAGTTCACTACGCAGGCGTCGGACAGGCTCAGTCGCCCTATGCTCCGCCTGTACCTGGGCTCAATCTGTATTCGCAGGGGCTGAACCAGCGACAAGCAACAATCAACCCGATCATTACTGACAACTGGACGCGTTTCATTAATGATCCTGTGATAGCTCACGACACGCTCGGTGATGAAGAATATCAGTCACCAAGTAGCCTCCTTCCATCAGAACACTGCGAATGCCAGCGCGAGCCGGGAAGGTCCCCAAAGAGATGCTATTTGCACTATTGATTCTGTCCTTCTCATATTGTACTTTCGCCATGTTCTTTCCTTTCATATTTACTTGGGTCGATTACAATCGGTTATTGGAAAGGCATAGGGTGCTTGTTTCGGCGTCAATGCTTTCAATAGTGGCATTATACCCGCATTAGCCATCTCGAGAACAGGACCAGATTCGGTGAACTTCACGAAGTTGGAGTTGGCTTGGATTTCACAGGTAGCATTCAGGACATGGGTAGATTTCACAGCGCAATTCGTGCGACACGTCAGCGTAATCCAATAGCAGAAACGTGCTTTCGTGTACTACAAATCATCTCGTTCTTGATGCGTTCTGATGATGTGAGTAGTAGGTATTTTGTTGCCTTGCCCGTTGGAGGGGTTGCTCGCAAACTTTGATGTCAACTTGTGAGGCCATTCTCGGTCCATTCTCGATGCGCTATCAGAACCGCTAGCTTTTTGACCGACCTGTGCCTTCCATGATATTTCATTCTCAAAGTTTCTCACAACTGAGATATTTTGAGACAGATCACCCCATGATCTGGTGGCCCAAGACTTCATTTTACGATCACAGTTTGGCTTCCCTATCCCACGCGAAGCATGCCATCCATCACCCGATGGTCCACAAACAGCAAAAAGCTTCCATAGATGCGTTTTGGAAGCTTCTCAACAACATGATCTCTTTCAATAATTTTCCGGTTCTTAACACGACTTAGCTATGTCCTTGTCATGACTTCCGCATGCTCTCTTCAAAGGAAGGCGCGACTGGATCAATCTGGCTGTAATTTCGTCCCACGCACTGCATTTCGCATCCGCTCTGTGTCTTTTACATGCCTTCATGCGCCGTCAGCTCCGTCGGCGAAGTTGAACATGCTCGGGTAACTATCGCCGAAGGATTGCAGGACCTCGTTGAAAATGGCGGCATCGAATTCGTCGGCATCAGTAGGTTGCAGACTTGATGAGTCCCACCATTGGGTGGCCAGCCCGCCCAGCTGCGTTCCGTTGAAATGGGAACTCTCATCGGTGATGCGAGTGTGGCCGTCTTGGAGAAAGTTGTCTTGCATCTCCAGACTCTGATATTGGATTGTGTTGGAACCATGTCCATGAGCGTCATGAACCAGTGTCTGGTTCTGGGGTGGGGGAACTGGCGCGGGTGCTGCTGCTACGGCAACCTGATCATCACCGTCTGAATTCCAACGGATTTGCCCCGCCTGTGCAACTTCAGGTTGTTCTAGCACGCGGCTGACAGCACCAATGATGCACATAACAACAAGGTTCCTGTTTTCCTCTGTGAGGGGTTGCTGTAGTGAGGCTTCTCGCTCGGAGACGAGGTCCTCGACTATGTGATGGCCTTCTTCCCTCCACAGCTCTCGGCGCATGGTACTGATATCCTCAACCATTCTGCCGAGAAAACAAAAAGCTGGTCTTGGGCGTGGCAGTCCGGGACAGGCAATATCCCACACGCTGAACCACTGATCTTCTGTTGGTGCATTTGGGACCCTTCCCTCCAACAAAGAGTCTTGTTCTTCTGTCATCCAAGGTGGGCCTGATGCGTCCCCGGCATCACAGGAGCGCTCCACGATATGCCCGTCGCAATCGTCTCTTCTTTGGAACGTCTTCCAGCAAATGGGACAGTAGAAGGCTGGTCGACTGTGTCCTCTTCTCATGTGCTGTTTGACATCCCGGATTCGCCTGAGATGAAGCATCGCACACGCTGCATATCTTTCTGAGTCTTTGCGAAAGAAGGGGCAGGCCAAAAACCTCTGTTCTGTATTCTCTCTGGAACTGTGTTGGTCGCCTTCGGGACCCAAGTTATCCGGATCGTCATCATCGGGGGGCTCATTGTTATTTTGACAGGGGGCGGTTTGTTGCTTCCTAGACCCCGCGTGCCGTTTCGACAGCTGTTGCTGTTCCCCTTGCTGATCTTCAGACTGGCGGCCACGTTTTCTACTAGGAGCTTTCCCTCCTCCTCGTCCTCCGGTCTTCTGGCACTGGGCAATCTCCAGGCGTTCTTCGAGAATTTGCAGAGTTCTGAAAACTAGGCCGCTTATATTGCGGAATGTTTTCGTGCCTTCCAATGTTGCCGAAGACGGCCTTCCGGAGACAGCGTCTATCCCTGACACGATTTCGCCTGAAGAGTCGACAACATCGACATCGGATCTGGGGACTTGTCGCCTTCGACTGCGGACGAGATCTGGCATGACACGGGGAGGCCAGGGCTTGTAGACAGGAGAGTTTCGGTCGATGTACGGCGAAGCTGGTTGAGGTTTACCGGGAAATACAATGTCCCAGATACGATACCATTCCCTCAATGGATTTTGCTCACAATAGTCTCGTATTGCGGCAGCTTTCGAAGGCGAAAGGCCGGCCGACAGTGTAGTCGCCTCAGTAGCAAATACATGTTGTAGGTTTGATGGTCCGGACGATAGCTCTCTAGGGGTGCTTGATGTCTGGCGCCCAGGGGTGGAACCTGTTTCCGTTCTTGATGAAGGTACTGTGTGTGATCTTAACAAATGCTCCTTCAGTCTACGAATCGTGGGAAATTCGCAGGCTGCGGTCCTAGAACAGCAGCCGCACTGAGAGGGATCGTATTTGACGTAGTGGCACGCAAAAAATCGCATTTTGCCCTTTCCGGTTCCAACCTCATTCATGTTCGAGGCCCCTGGCGGCTCTGGCGGCTCTGAACCGCCGTCTTTAGAATGAGACTGAGGCATGGCTGACGACGGTCTATTGCCCCTGTACTTTTCTGTCGTTGTAGCAGAGAATCCAACTGCCGCGTCTCCGGCGATCGCACCGGACCCAGCCTTGCCCTCATAAATGTTGAGGTTTCCGCTTTGGGGGAGCGAGATGGTACGGAGCGGATACCTTGAATGGATTGAGGTAATGGTAGACTCGCGCTGACGTGTGCGCATCCGTTCCTGATCTTCGGACTCTGCCGGCATTCGGGGGCTCGCGATGGTGATCTCTCGGATGATATCATAGCCGCTGCTCCAAGCAGTAGGTCGATCGCCCATCCACGCCTCACGTACCTCCATGTTGCTTAGAATCCCGAATGGTGAGTGTGGTCCCGATACGATTACCGAGGTTTGCGAATGCTATTGAGTTAGCGAGATAATGTTGCTGTTGGAGTGACACTTGGTCCAAAATAGTCGAGGACGATCGAGCTCCCCAGTGACTACTTTTTTTTTTTAAGGGTCAAGATGAAGTACTTAAGTGCCTATTTGAGCGTTGGGCGGTTCGTGTTCTCGTCACCCTGTCTCAGTCTGCCCTGTTTACTTACGTGTCAGTGGCGTCTCTCTGTCGAACAATCAGATCATGAGACTAGTAGGCAACTAATGCAACTTGCGGCCTTGCCTGCAGCACCGCGCGATGGCAAGATCACAGAGCCGAGTTTGAGTTGTAAGGGATATCAACACCCGGCCCTGTATTCCTACCACCGCATGGGCACCTAAGCCATGCGACAATGGGAGAGCACAATTGTGCTGATGGAAGCTAAGCACACTGGTGCTCAAGTCGCCTAAGGCGTACACGGCGCCTTGGCTGAGCTTTGGCTAGTGGCTGGCATATTTCGAGCAGACCTCGAAAGAACAAGGGTCCTTTCTCGCAGGATTTATCTTCAGAACCAATGCTTCAAGTAATGCTCTTGACGGGAGTAATGTATCCGTCGGTGCGGGAGTAGGACAAGCGTTTGACATTCCGTGTCTGGTTTAAGTCCAGCCCGGCTGGCCAATGCAGGCCAGAGCTAGGCATGTACACAGATGTCCTGGAGTTACAATGTCTTCCCATGTCTTTGAGTAGATATTCCTGAAGTTGTTGGTCATGTGTTGGTTGAGCCTTGGTCGTTCAGACTCTCTTCGAGCAGAAGCAAGACCTGGCAATATCCCGTACCTAAATGTCTGCCCCTCCCCCGCAATTCAGTAGAGGAGCACGGATCACCGGGCATCCATTGAAAATGTGGGGACACGGCACTCGGGTTGACTAATCGCACCGCGGGCCCTCTAGACGCGAACCGTTTCGGGAAGACTGCACAATTCCGCGCCGAGGGGCCAAAGAAGCTTTGCGACACAACAGCACCGCTGCGCCAGTCAGCCTGTCGTATTCGGGTGCCACCCACCGTTGCTCAAGCCTCGATCCCTCCAGGACTGCCGGTCGGTTCCTCAATGTGGAGTGTAACGGCACGGATCACTTATACTGTGGTCCCCGACCGTTTGATCAGTCCCCTGGGAGTCTGGGACAGTGGGACGGGCAGTCTAATTGACTTGGTCCGCGTTGCTACAGCTAGCTGTACTTGTCCTTCTCAATTCAATTAACCTTTCCGAAGCTTCCCTCCTCCTCGTATTCTTTGACGACGACACACGCACACGAAAGCACTTACACCCGATAAACAACGCGTCAACGACTCGACGGATCACACCGAGCAAAACCCTTCCTCCACGATACCCTCACATCACGAACCCACCCAAATCCATAGACCCCAGCGCATACGACAAGATGGTCTCAACACGCTCCTCCTCCCGCGCTCTCCCAAACGGCCTTGACGCCTCCCCAAGCATCCCCTCCACAGCCCGCGCCGTCGTCACAGCCGCCACAACCCACCCCGAGAACAAGTCCACCCCACAAGGCTGGTCCCACGCGCCAACCTCCCTCACCTGCTTCTGGCTCCTCATCTCCCTGCCCCTCGTCATCTGGGACACGGGCTACGTCCTCCTCCGTCCCTGGACGATGCCGGGAGGGCACCTTCACTGGCCCGTCTGGGCGCCCTACAAGCTCTACGGCGAGGTCGACCACGTATACGGATGGAAGGCGTTCAACGCCGGCAACGGCTTCACGTCTGCGCAGGGCGCGTTGAATGCTGTTGAGACGGTCATGTATCTTGCGTACTACTGGCTATACTTCTCGCGGGGACGCGCCGTCGAGGGGCCGGCTGGGTTGAAGAAGGTTGTTGGCGGAAAGGCGGGCGCGTTGGCTATTGTGATTGGGTTCAGCGCGGCTGTAATGACCCTGAGCAAGACGGTCTTGTACTGTGAGCGCGACTCTTTTGCGCCCCGAGCTCTGCGAAGCGATGACATACTGACAGTGACGATGCGACAGGGGCGAACGAGTACTTTTCTGGCTTCGATAACATTGGCCACAACCCCCCTCTGGACCTTCTCTTCCTCTGGATCATTCCTAAGTAAGCCTGTTTCCCAGTATAGCCGGCTTGATCGCAATGTGGTAAGAAGCTGACTTGATATCGCAACTACAGCGGCGCATGGCTCCTCGGATCAGGCTACATGATCTTCTCCATGGGCAGCGAGATCGTCGACGGGCTGGCCCTCGCGTCGAAGACTACCAAGACTGAATAATGGATGTCGCGCTCGAGACGCCTAACGCGGATTGACTCTTCTTGCGAGAGTAATTATAAGGTAGGGTATCCGTGTTCTATACCTACACTTATCCAGATGGCGCTACATGCCGCATGTATCTTTCAAGACGACAAAGGGACAAGGAATCTGATGGACTGGTAAATATGAGATGTATATATATACGTTGACATATGCGTAATGTTTGATATGGAAAAAAGGTTCATCTACCCTCCTCTGAGGTGGCGTCGATCCTGATTTGACGTTGCGTGCGATAGGTCGCGCATTTCTTGACATGTGCTCCTCCACCACATCCACGATGGCTGCATTCCTGCAGGTACCATGCAAATCAAACGCCGAGGGGCGACGAGACAGGCCTATGCTGTCAGCACTTGTGCTCACAATACCTCATAATACATGTATCTCACAGATCAATGGCGAATTGAAAAGCTTCCACGTTTTGAGAGGCCAGTCCATACTAAGGTAGGGTAGTCCATATCGGCCTGTCAACATGCACTTTTTAACAAACATGGTGGTGTATAGAGGTGTCCTCCTCTCATTAGTATCGTCTGGGCTATGCAAGTCATAATTCAAGTAAAAAGGGAAAAGACAATTGGTTCGTATCACATTTCTTTCCCTCGGATTTTGCAGTAAGAATATTGTACAATGTGTCATGGCATTTCCCGGCCTGAACTCCTTGCCCAACCTCAACGCCCATATCAATCATCGCCATGCGCAGGCCTGGATAAGGAGGGTGCGACAGGGTATCTCGTCATTTCCGAAATGAATACATACAAAAAAAAAACACAAGTTGCACCACACCACTATCATTGGTACATCCCGACCAGAGTACTTAATACACCAAGTCGGTCTAGATATTCAAAGGCGAGCAGCTGGTGAGTCCGCCCAGGTCCTTGAACTGCTCCCACACAGGCTGCACATCCATCTGCCCCAAAACTGGGGACTCATGAATCGGCACCGAAGACTTGCGAATCTGTAAGGGGAGAGGCTCCAGCTCATGACGATGGAAGTCCTCCTCCTGCTCCTTGATCAGCTCCTCATAGTCGTGAGCGTAGCTACCAGCGCCGGCGCCGATAACACTATGGCGCCGGTTAGTGACGGTCCATTCCGAGGAGCTGGCACGGGGAGGTGTCCCCGCGAAGGAGAGCACGTTTCTCATACGCCGACGTCCTCGCAGAGGGACAGGGCTCAGCATAGGCGACTCCTGGTTGGGCCAGTTCTTGGATGGCGCGTCGGGCGACGTAGGCGGCGCCGTGGAGTCGACGGTCGCGTAGCTGTGGCCACCCATTGAGGGAGCCTCGGAGGCGCCGCTAGACTCTGAAGAGGTCGAGAAGGAGCGCGGAGCGACCAACGTCCGGGGCGAGACCTCGGCGGGAGGTCCCTCCCATTTCTTGACGGCGTTGGTGCCGTTGCCGTAGCCGTGGACCACAATCTCGCAGTAAGTTGCCTTGCGAGGCGCCGGTGCGCACTGCTCTTCCAGCTTACGGAAGATGCTGAGAGATCGCCGGAAGGGGTTGTTACGGGACAAGCTGCGGCTTCGTGAGCGGGCGGGGGCGGCGGCGGCGGCTGGGACTCCGCATGATGATTGTCGACGGGAGGCTACCTCGTCACGGCGAGATCTGGCAGTGTAGTCAACATCTGGTCGGATGTCAATAGTAGGTGACGCAATGGCAGTCGGTGTCCCGTGGCATCCCGTTGCCCAGTCCGTGACGGATTGCGACCGCCTAGTGTCGGCAGCCATATCTGTCTGCTTGCGCAGGAGGGTTTGCAGTTGACGTCCCTCCTTCCAGGGTGGCAGCTTCTCGGAAGAGACTGCGAGATGATAGTCGGCATCGACAGTATCGCGAACTTCTGGTGGAGGTTGCGTACAGCTAAGAAGCACTTGATAGACTGCGTAAATCATAATCCAGCGCACCTTGCGGGCGTCGACGAGACTAATCTTCTCGGCCTTGTCGACGCGGATTAGAGGTGATACGGAGTCTTCTTCGAACTTCCGGTAGGCCCGGACAAAGTCATTATCCAGGAGTTTTGAGTCGCGCATGTTCATCGCCTTGATCATGGCACTGTGAGCCACCAGGCGCTGGTCAGGCTTCAATTTATCACCTCGCGCGGTGTTCGCCAACCACTGCAGCGACATGCGACGGGATGCCTTGTCACTGGCCGTCTCGGGCAGTAACGGTAGCGGGTGCCTGAGAGACTTGAAGTTGCACCGGTCATCGAACTCCTGGACACTCTGCACGGCGCAGATCCCGCCTTGCGCTAACAACGGGCTGCTCTCAATTGACGTAAACTCTTCATCTACGAGCAAGTCGTAGACGGCCTTGAAGTCCTTGCACATGGTGCTCAAGATCTCAGGATCGAAGATGGTGCTGCTCCGAGTGTCAAAGGATAGTGGCGGGTAGTAGCCAAACTTTGTCGTGTAAAATGATTGGATGAAAGATCGGAATCGGTCCAGGTGGGCACGTCCGCCTGCTGGTAGACCGAGATGTGTCTCAGAGAGCTCTTCTTCAAGGAAGTTCTTGAGCATGCCGCCAGCCTGGCTGAGCCGTGAGTTCATCTCAGTCCGGGCCCGTCGGATCAGGGTCTTGGAAACTGAGCCAATATGCTATGTCCCGTAAGTCAAACGTGCAGCCGTTGACATTGAGCGAAACATACCTGGTACTCGGGGCTGTAGAAGAGCTCCTCGCTCATTCCAACGCAGTGGCTGAATGCGTCGACGTACAAGTCTCTCAATTGAAAGACTTCAGCCAAATGCAGCATAGCGAGTGCGTGTTGCGGCAGACCCTTGATGTCGTAGTAACCCTCCTCGTCTAGGTAAGAAGTAAGATCTGACACGTTATCCTGGTCGTTGCCTCTGAACTCTGCCATGCTGTTGAGAAGGCCGATGAGCGCGGTGCCCAGATGCTCGCCAACCACTGAGCGGCGAAAGATCCATGCAAAAAAGTTTCTTGTTGCGAGATGGTAAGAAAACGCCTGTTCCTTGTCGGCCATTGGCGGTGCTGGAATGTAGAGCTCGATTCGCTCATTTGGGTTGAGAGCATTCCACCGATCCAAGTCATCATACTGGTCATAGAATGAACCTGGCGTCTCGGGCATGTCGCGAGCCATAAATCTCTTGACAAACGGATGGCATTTTGCTGAAAGCAAAGCACCGAAAGGTACCTTAAATGCAGGTCCTCTGCGGGACTGCCCTTTGCCGTACAAATGTACGAAGCAATTTCCGCCACGAAACCATAATTCAGGGTCCTGAGACATCAACGTTAGCGAACAACCTCAAGTCAAGAGACATCGTGCAAGCAGATTTCTTCCACGATGATGGATAGGATTAACTTACTCTTCTCAAATTATCCCAATCACTACAAGACCTTGCCGCACCATCCCACCTCTTGACTCTTGAATTCTTAGGCATCCTTCCCTCAATAATAGGGTTTCCAAGCGTCTTAGGCGTCCAGCCTTGTGTTGATGTTGTCGACATTGTGCGAGTCGGTGGTAGAGACATTCGTTTCCGAGAATCTCGTCGGCCGTACATGATGAGACTTCAAGCGCGAGACAAGTCGCGGGAATAGGGACGTTGATATGTGCGATCGTTGGATAGCTCCCGTGACGGGAAGCCTCACACCTCAGCTGGATGCGGACGGAGAGCTTCACCAAGATTGAGAGCTGACAGCAGTGGATGGCGCCGATGACTGCAGAGGAGGTGTTCCGGACCGCCAATAGTCCACAGGAACCCCTGTCAGATCTACGGTGATCACTGAAGGGAGTGCGGTAACTAGCGGGGGTACCCAGTACGCCCGTAGCAGTGAACAATGACTCCGGATCGTCACTTGTCCACTACGTTGTCGGGTCTGGTCGAAAGCAGCCGGTCCAGATGGGCGAGAGAGCTCTGGTTGGATGGGGAAATGGACGCCAAAAACCTTGCAAAATGTCTTCGGGTGGGCGTGTGGATGGCTTTATGTCACTTGTCCCGGATCAAGAACAACTTGACCCAAAATCCGGGACTGGACTGGACACCTGCGTCCTGGCAAAGACCCGCCAGCTTGCCCACGGTCCGAGCTACCTGTCGAAGAGTGTCGAGTGACGCGGCGGGAGACAGAGGGATAGCTCCAAGCCATGTTTTAGACCGGGCCGCCACTAGAGCAATGGATGAACCCCTCAGTCCGGACCCTGCCCTGGTCTGCAGCTTCTTCGAGGTTGGCCAAGCGAATGTGCCTGTCATCCACAGCTCTGATGCGTTGGCAGCTCTTCAGATTTCTCAGACTCCGTGCGACAGCATACGCATACAGGAGTAATGAGTCTGTTCCTGTTCCTGAGGAACACTGCTGCTGCTGCCGCATCCGTCAGCTCCAGGCTGTGCCACTGCAGGCTCCCCGTCCGTGAGCCGGCTTCTCGCAAAGAAGGGCGGCGAGAGGAATCAATTTGCCTTTCAACGGCGACGTATGATGTCTGGAGGTCTCAAACAGTCTCTGCGTCTCCACAAACGCTGTTGTGACGGAACCCGAAATCGACGTTGGAGTGATCGGCAAGGCCAAGTGTGACTTGTTTTCTCAATAACATGAGCATTCTTGCGTGTACATTCCCCTCTCCCTAGGACACTTGGGGAATGCTAGTGATAGGATGGTGATGCAAAGCGTCGATGCTGGCTCGCCTCTGCCCACCATCAGCCCAAAGTCCGGGGGCTTGTCGTGCTTGTCTTTGGGGATCGCCGTCCCCAATGCATGCTTCGGCGTTGGCTTGCATCAACAAAGAAGCTCAATGATTGGTCAGAATCGCGTCCCGCTTGCTCGATTAAGCAATGTCTCATGAACATTGGCGACTAACCCACCGGGAGCTGGGCTTCCCTTTACTAATTGTCTTGGGACGATCGCAATCGGCTTTTTCTCTGCTGAATCATCAAAGTCACACGGCGGCCATACTGTGAAGTCATCCCAATGTGATATAACGGCCAAGATCGCATCCGGGAGGTGTGGATTGAGGTTCGACCGTCTTCGTCCTGTTGGGAGGCAACATTGAATCTAGGTCTTGCACCCACGTAGGTAGACCTGCTGATACATAGTCTTCGAGGCCAAAGAGCGTCATCCCGCATGAGGATATTCCTCGCGGCGGGAAACTCCATGGCGTAAGTGTGAAGCTCGAAAGGTCGGCCGCCATGTAGTCTTTGTCGTCGCCAGATCAGTCCGCTTTCCGTAATTACTGTTTGTAGCACAGACAAGA